TTAGTCGGTTATACCGATTGCAAGATAGGCTGGTGATGTTGACTTCGAGAAAGTCCCACATAGGGTACTAATTCACATTTGCAGGGGGAGCGTGTCATGGCAGTTCAAGATTGCAGTAAGTGTGTTGCTTTATCAACAACTGAAGCAGATATTCATAGCACTAATACAGAAAGCATGCAAAAGTTGCTTGTGGATTGAAGGAAGTTTTCTTGAATGAAAACTCGGAATTCATTCAAGAACGAGTATTTGATGATTCTGCCGATAGTCCAAAGTGTCAATGTTCTATGCTGGAAAGAATTCGTCCTCCTTTCATTTCAAGAATCAAAGCTACATTGATTGTTATGATATCATTTGGACTTCAAGGATGACTGGAGTGATGTAAGCAGTTTACAGCTTGAGAAGATTAAACATACAGATGAAAATGGATCAGATGATGTTAACCGAAGATTCTTCCAAAAGACAAGTTGAATATTGTGTCGATTAGGCTTTGAGGATGATGATAATATGGCTGACGTCCCCACTTGAGCGTGCAGGGGTGAGATTTGTGTGGTGTGTTGGCCACGTCAAGTGGGACCACTCACATTTGAAAAAGAAATAATAATAATAATAATAATAAAACACACGTTTTTCTTGCCAGTCAAAACCATACCGCGGAAGAAGAAAAAGGAAATTCAAAGGTTGGTGAAAGCAGCTAATTCTTAATTAGGCGGTGATTGCGTTATTCAAAGGTTGGTGAAAGCAGCTCATTCTTAGGCGATGATTACGCTGCATATTCGCTAACCTCTCCTATAAATAGGAGAAGAGTTGCCTCGTTTCAGTGTGAGCCACAGATCAATTTTATCTGTGAAGAAAAGATTTGAGAGTTTATAGTTTTAAGAAAGGGTTCTTAAAACTACGGGTTTAGAAAATAGTGAAGATTATTAGGGTGCTTTTTTTTTTTTGGGAAACACTTGTGAGTGCCACTATTTTGTATTGGGAAACATACACCTCTAGTAGAGAGTAGACCACATTCGTGATCTACTGTCGTTCGCCTCAAGCCTCATCATATTATGGCTCAAATAGAAATAGACTAGAATATATCTCAGCAGTGTCCCGGATCCCACCTAAAGTGGTACGTGAACGCCTAAAATCAGTTGAGGGTGAACCACGTAAATCTTTTTGTGTGTCCTACTTGTTACCTTATTTACAGCAATCAACCATTGTGTTATTATTCTCGTAATTTTAGCCATATTGACCAGAAGCCATATTAAAAGACCTAAACTTCGAAGTTTCGAATATTTATGCGATTATAAGACGATTCTCTTGAAACAATCAAACGAACACGTTTACTCCTACCTCCATAGACCCTAAACAGTTGAGGGTGAACCACGTAAATCTTTGTGTGTCCTATTTTAATTTTTCCGCTGTGTTATTATTCTCGTAATTTTATTGCCGGTATCCTAACATCAAGTTCGAATTTTGGATATGGAGTCTCTTTAAACAATCAGAAGGGAACACTTTACTCCCTCTATAGACATGTCTGGCTCGATTTAATCAGACCAATGGATTTCAAATACCGGATAGTTAGAAACTAAAAAGATAAATAACTTTCATATGGAAATTGATTATGGGGCAGACTTGCATGCACTTGTGTAGAATTAAAGATAAGAAAATTGTTTTTTTCCAAAATCATTTACAAAATTACAATGACAATAATTTTTTTGAAACTATTTTACAAGAAGAATACAAATTTGTATGTGGAATTAATAATAGATTAAATTAAATCTGTGAAACAAGTTTCAGAGGAAATAATGTAAAGAAACTACATTAACTCCTCGGGACAAAAAGCGAATCACCGCCTAAAGTACTATCGGTGTCATGAATTATTCTGGCTTGTGGCCACATCATAGTTACAAACGTGGCTTGCAACAAGAACTTTCTCTTCTTCCACGTACAAGTCCTGCCGCCTCACTTGGACCAGCAGATGCTACTTACTTGCTTATCAAGTAGCCAGACATATAGTTTGAATATTTTATAGATAAAATTGAAAACTTTGAATAATATTTTATAGGAAAATGTTAGAAAAATCTTTAGATTTGGGGCCTGCCGTTGTGTGCGAGTAATGTTACATTCTTTTGTGATACTCAAGTACATATCTCCTCTCTCTTTTCATTTATCTTATTGACGAATTCAATATATATCACTAAATTTCTTATATTATATTAAATTTGTATTATGATTGCAAATAGTTTGAAAAATGAATTTAATAGTCTCGAAAAAGGCATCATTTTGGTCTTTAACCCCTAAATAAACAAAAATATTGATGTTTTTTCACTAAGAAAAAATGAAATAGTAATAATTTTTTTAAATGGCAAATCACTATTGGTTGTGTATAATTTTTTTAAATGGCAAATGAATTGGATCCTTTTTTTTAATTTTCTAAATTGATTTCTCTTTTTCGTCGTCTTTCTCTTTATTTTCTCTTTTTTCTTTCAGTTTCAGATTTTTTTTTTTCTAAATAAACTCTAAATTTAGGGGTCTAAGTCTTGTTTTCTTTATTTACAGCATTTTACTCTTAGATTCAGTGCTTGTACTTTTATTTTATTGTTTCTTGTTTTTCATCTAAAATTTGTTATATTTGGTCACGTGTGGAGTTGGCATGTCTACATTTTATGTAGAGTTATTTTATCTGCATTTTATGTAAAGTGCTTAATTTATTTTTCTTTAGATAGGTATTGTAATACGCTATGTATGTTTTGTAGAATTTTTTTTTTAAAATGTAATTTAGATTTTTTTTTTTTTTTTTTTTTTCTCACACTTTCTATTCGCAGTTATTTTAGTTCTGCATTTTATGCTAAAGATGCTTAATTTATGTTTTCCCGGTTTAGATAGCCTTGCATACATACGCTATGTGATGTTATTAGTACGAATTCTATTTTATTTTCTAAATATTGTAACTCTTTATATTTTTTTTTTTTTTATTTAATCCTATTGAGTCTAACGTCAATATCAGACGTTAGACTCCATCTCTAAATTCACTGTGTTCAGAAGATTATTATTATGTTTTGTTGATACAGCCAACTACCATTACCAGTCATTCTTAGATAAACCTATAGTATGGTTCCTGTATTTGCTTTGGTTATGACGAGTTTTAGCTTAACCAAGTTTTCACAATTTATCCAAAGAGGAATCATCATTCTATTTCTTTCAGAAATTTAAGATTCTGAACCTAATCTCCCTATTATATATTTAATCTCTGTGTGCTCAAAGGACAAGAAAAGCTTCCATCATGAAACCATTGTATCATTATTTCCAACAGAAAACTGAGAAAATCAAAAAAATCTTAAAGCAAAAAAAATAAACCTGCAACGCGATTGAAAAGAAGTCATGCTAAGCTCGACACCTCTATCTCGTAGAGTTATGAATCCAATATAATAGCCCTAAGTCCATCAAAAATATTGTTTTTCACACCCAAAGCACCAAAATAAGCCGCTTATTGAGAATAATTTAGGTAAGAAATGAGGGAAACTAGACAATATAAACCAACAGTTTATACTTGCAGCATGCGCCACTACAATTGGCGTTACATACTTTAGAAATGATAAGGCACCCTTTTACACCTCCATCTCCTTCTCACTGATTACATTCTATATATTTGGTTCACTCACAAATTCGCAAATGTACCAATGCACTGAGAGAAGAGATCCGAGACCCGTGCCCAAATGGAGATGAGTGGATTCAACCTAGCTCCAAAACCTGCCGCTAGAGCGCAGGTGATGCTCGATTACAATTCTAATTATTTCCAAACTGTTTTAGACTAAGTGTAGCAATTATGAAGACGACTAGAACCCAGTGATTATGATAAATTTTATATTTTTAGTACTTTTTTTAAATCTTTTGGACAATTTTTTTTTCAGTGAATGAAAGATCACGCTATAAAGAATAAAAATCAACACACCTCCATATTAAAATATCTTTATACCTCGACGAGGAAACAAAGTCTATAGAATAGATATAAAATAGAGATATAATCTATGAGTGTATCTGACGCTTCTTAACAAAATCCCACAGAAACCTGCCTGAACTCTCACATACTCTATAATCCATCCCTGACACTGAAGAGCTGAGAACACAAGTCATAATGATTCAACTCTATCATTTAGCCAACTCTGAAATATCCAGACAAAGATGTCTTTGTTTTTTTTTTTTTTTTTTTTTCCTTTTGGAGTCTAGTAATGCAAGACGTTGCTCCACTTAAATTATGGGTTCAAAGTTTTTATGTTTGTTGTAAGCAACAATAAGTCTTTAGATAATCAAATAGGTTTGTATTTTCTTTTTGGTTATGACAGTTTTGTTCCAAGTTCAATTTTCCAAAGAGGAATTCTATCTATTTCTTCAGAAATTTAAGTTCTGAAATTCCTATATATATTAATTTGTGTCTCAAAGACAAGAAAAGCTTCCATGAACTGTATATTAATTCAACAGAAAATCAGAAAAATAAAGAAAAAAATTTGAAGGATGAAAAGAAAGCATTGAAGCTGCTATCTTAGGTTAGAATATTTGTCCTTTATAATTTGTTTTTCAACCAAAGTACAAAATATTGAAGATAATTTAGGTAAGAAATGAGGGAAACTACATAAAACATAATTGCGCATGCACATGTACATACTTAATGATAAGGACCTTTAACCTTTTTCTCACATGTACATTATTATTTTTCCTTGTACCAATGTACTGAAGTCGCCCGTGCATGAATGGTGGGCTTCCCTAGTTCAAAACCTGCGCAGGGAGGGTGGATAAATTCAATTTCAAACTGTTTTAGTTGTAGCAATTATTAAGAGACTAGACCGGATTGAATTTTATATTTTTAGTACTTTTTTTTAAATCTTTTTGGACAATTTTTTTTCAGTGAATGAAGATATGAAAATAAAAATAAAATCTATAAATTTTTTCCTCGGGAAAAAAGTTATAGGTAGATATAAAAATGGTTATTTGTATCTGACGCTTCTAAAATCAGAACCTGCCTGAACTTCAACTATAATTTCATTGGAACTAAGCCATGGAAAATATGTTATTTGATTCAACTCTATCATTAGCCAACTTGGAATACCAGACAAGTTGGTTTTGTTGATAGTATCATCATCAAAGAATATACCACAGCACATCCATGACATCTTCTTCGTCTGCATTGGCTCTGGTGGGAGCTTTCTTCTTCTGGTGTTCTTGCAACCGCTCCTCCCCTTGCAATGTCTAGTGCTTTTGCAGCCTTATTCATTGCTTTTTCAACTCACCAATATCCAGTCATCTTAAAAACTGTCGCGCATCTGAGACAACAAATTTCCCAGATAATTTGAGAACTTCGCTCACAGCACCTCACCATTCTCCAGTACTCTCATAACTATTCATATACTCCACCAATCAGTTCCCTACAACAATCCTAAATAATACATTCAAAGTTACTAGAATTACTTTCCCTCTTTTGATATCTCTGTATGACTCTTCAGAGGCTGCTTGTAACTTGGCCTTTCTCATGTCAGAGCATTCCAAGAAAATTATTCAAAAGAAGCTCCACAGTGGTCATCCGGGAATTTGGCGCCAACACTCTCCATATGAGCTGGCAGATTTTCTGAAGAAAGAGCTTCAGGAAAATTGGCAAAAAGCTGCCACTGGTAGCAAGGCATTCCTTCAGCATTTTCCCACCAATTATGATCAGAATTCAATCCACACCAACTTTGACCGTAAATAATTGTCCAGTCTTATCAGCCATGTTTCCCAGTCCCGTGAGTGACCTTGACCCCCAACCCCCCACCAGCAGATGGAGGTGACAAATAACTGGTCATCTACTGGCAGCTTCTGGTGGTAGTCTCTTCTTATCGCTTGCCTTTCTTGATATCACAGAGAAAAAGTATGTTAGTGTAATGATGCAAGTATGATGATCATACAACTTGCTGATAATAGAGAAAGGATTTCTGTGGATACTAAGTCTGAAAAGTGGATGTTTTTGGTCAAAAACCAAAAGGGGACCCATTTAAGATTCAAAAAGTCACATTTGGCTATCAAAATCAAAATGTGGCTTTCAAAATCAAAATGAACACATGCTAACTAATTTGGAATTTGTATGAGCAACTTCATGGTTTATAGGTGGAACTCGGAAGTTGCGTATGACATGCGTCATGACTCTATAATATTCAGAGCTTGTTTGTACCTTTCCTTCTTAAGATGCAGAGATGAGTGCTTGTAGAAAAATAAAGTCACATCTATGGAACCAAATCCTCTATCCATTGGCTCATTTAATGACCAAGTCAAATGTTTGGTTTAGTCCCACATTCTCTGATTAGTGATTTATATCTCAAAAATTTAGTGTTACTTTTGATAGGATATAATTCATATTCTTTATAGTCACCTGAACAAAATTTTCAAATATAATTTTTAAAAATAAAAGTTGAACTGAAATCATAACTAAAATTTGCCGCTAGTTGATGTCCCTGATTTATTGGGTACTGACTTGTGACTTTAACAAAAGCACTCCCTATAATCTGTAGCTTATAACCAATTGGAGTGTTCGCTTCTCTAGAATCAAATACAATTCAATACATTCCCAAGTTCATGTTCCAGAATTATATCTCATCAGCAAATATTAGACCATTTTTGCCATGTATCAGACAATCTTACACCCTAAGATATTATTGATTTCATATTTCCTCATATACACATTGGAAGCCCACTTGAAATTTACTGTACAATATGCATGAAAGCCCTATTCTTTTTTCACCGAAAAAATTTTGCACAATTTGGTAAACAACAGGCAATAATAGAGATATGATACCTAGTCATGCTTAGGCAATCCCCTTTTTCACCAGCATATCATAAACTTGATCTACTTTGTTCGGTGCCATCTTGAACAGGCCATATGCATCAGATTTCTTTGTAATAGTGCCCTTCATAATCTCCACCGACATAGTCTGAAGCATGTTTAGATAATGCGAAGGTAATATTCTCATCTCACCACAAAGACGTTTCTCCTGTGTGCCAGAACACCATGTTTGATAAGTCAAAAAATGTCAAGCTTGGAACACAGAGTTTTGAGCACACACACTTGCACATGTATAAAGAAAGGATCCACTAGTTTAGCAGGTTGCTTCTACAACTTGTCCATAATTGTATCAGTAAAGTGAAACAGCGAATAATTCTTACAGATTCAGAGAGCAAATCAGCCCCTAGGAATCCAGAGATATCCCAATCATCTAAAGAGCTTGAGATTTGTTTTGCAATAGTTGAAAATGAGTCCTTGTCACCAGCATGCAAACCAGGGGACCCCTTAACGACTCCACGGGGACTGCCATCAACTTCCCCTTTAAGGTTAGTAGGCCTCTGCAGCACTTTACCACTTGGACCAGCCACTGTACTTTCCTTCACTCTATGGATGCTATGATCAGCTTCCTTCTTTTGTTTCTGCTCAATAAATCTGTTCACCTCAGCAGCTGTTCGACAGCCAGCCGCTCGAGCTTCCTGCGTAATTATTTTTGCCAAGTGTAACAGAGAGATCATAAACCATTTGGCAAGGGTACCAAAAAAAGGCATAAACCACAATATCTTCTTGCAGATGTGGAGGAAATATAAATGTTCAACTCCCACAACAGAAAAGCTCAAGGTTACAGAGATCAAGTTTGATAGAGTGTGCATACCTGAAGATCCTGTATTCTTTTGACAATTCGATGTTCCTCAATAACACTCTTCATCAATTCTTCATGTTCTTCTTTTGAGTGGAACCTCATGAAGACCTTGTAACGCTGATATATTTCCCTCTCCTCAGGGGCAAGGTTATTTTCAAATGGATCTGGGTAAAGTAAATTTCTTTCCAGTATGAAATCCTTCCTTCGTTTCCTCTCATCAAGCCTGTCATCACATCCCCAGTGCATTTGGACAAGATATTACACGATTGAAAAATATCTATGAAATGAATTCCAAACATGAATATCTGTGATTAAATTTGAAGTTACAGGTTCATGAAATTGATTTCTAGTCTGGCACCTAGTTTCTCAAAAGCTTTGAGCAGTAACTGCCGAAGCTTAGTGCTGCAAATATCTGGGTCAACAAATTCACAGAACTCAATGGTTGGTTAGTTAGCAGATTGCTCTTGAAAGACTACCAAGACCAAGAGCGATCCGCTAGTTACACAGAACCACCATTTAATGGCGGTTGTCCGGTTAGAATATATACAATTCTTCAGGATTTAATGCCTATATATATTTTCCTAATTTATTCCATCGTCAGTTGAAGAGAAGGCAGACTGTTCATCAGCCTTGCCCATATAGTTTCTTATTTATAGTTTTAAGCAACTCCTTGGTTACCTTTTTGAGTAGATATGCAGAACTCGCAGTTTCAGTTCACGTTCAGCATCGGTGTCAGTGTCCTTGAATTCCATATCCGCTAATAACTGCTCTGCATCATTGTCATATTCAATCTCAAATTCCTGCCTCTTGAAGTTGTACCCACTTAACTCTGTCATGGATGGCCCTTCCTCTCCTGGCGCCCTAAGTTTTTTCTCTCCAATGCTCCTGTCTGCCTGCAAGTCTGCAAATGATTTTGAACAATTGTTAAGCAGTTATCCAATAATATAGTATATAAATGAAAAATCAATTCATTAATAAAACTCAATAAGACAATATTAATTGACCTTTTAAAAGTAAGCAAGGTTTAAAAAATATAACTAACTTTATGGTCCAAAAATAATCTTACATTTAGGCTTCATTTGTTTCCGGAAAATAACTTACCAGTAAAAGTATTTCCAAGGAAAAAAATACGTAAAAAAATGATAATTGTGATAGTTGCTGGTGATCTGTAGTGGTGGCCAGTGGTGGCCAATGGTGGCTTGTGACCGTTTGTGATAGCTGTTGGTGGCCGGTTACTAGTGATGATGGCTACTTGTGATTAATGAATTAATAAAGGTAAGATCCTGTAGTGTCGCCAGTGGTGGCCAATGGTGGCTTGCTGACAGCTTTGTGCATACTTACCTATGAGAAAAGAGAGCCGCGCTCGGACTATTGATGATGGCTACTTGTGCTAATCCGAGATTAATAAAATATATCCATAATAATAAGATATACCACTAAATATTATATATATAATTATATATATAATAAGATAATAGTTAAGGTTTATCAATATATATATATATATAAGATAATAGTAAGTTTATCAATATCTAAAAAATGTTTGCCTCTTTTGAAAAAGGGAAATCATTTTCCTTAAAAATAGCTTATATTCCTTTGACCAAAAAAATATTTTCCGTTGACTGATTTTCTGAACACCCAAAACATTGGCAAATCTGAAATATTTTCCAAAAACAATGGAGCCTTAAAAACATGAGTTTCCAAGTTCTAAAACATCAACACCATATCACATCAATAACCTTGTGCATCAAATAGACTTCAGCCAGCTCTAGTTAGATACACTATTTGAGAGATGGTATCAATGACGAAAGGTGATTTATATATACAATGATGTGCTAGTCCAAACAAAAGGGAATCAACCACTTGCCAAAAACTTGAAGAATATAGTTCTCAAACAGCAAATAACTACATGCAAAAAACTGTTTTAAATATACCTTCCACTTTAATTCCATCCTTCATCTGGGTGATATTGGAGGCTTTCTTTATGGCACCTGTGAAAGTGTTCGCGCTGTTTGAACTCATAGAAGCTCCAAATTCTGATGTCAAAAGGGTAAGCACATTAAATCATTCAGTTGCTTACGCATTCATCCATAAAAGTTAACCTTCAAGAGAGAGCCAACAAAAATAGATGTATGTCATGTGTTGGAACAACTAACACTCTTACCTGATTTTAAGCTAGGTGAGGATTGGCAAGCTACATCTTTTTTTTTTTGAGCTTCACTTCTGACCAAGCACATTTGTTGGAATTAGCAAAACAGGATTAGAGTGAATATTAAAGTAAATAACATAGTGGAGAATATGGCAATACTTGACTCTTGCAGATAAGGGGGACTCCTCTTTCAATGTAAGCTCCCCAAGTGCAGGAAACTCTGATAACATGCAAATCAATCCAGTAAATCTTATTTCACATAAAAACCAAAATATTTAAGCCAAGAAAAGAAGGGCAGACAGGGACACCAACAAATAGACCCCAAAACCCATTCACTATTGTATTAAACACTGGTTCATTTTTTTGGTGAAAATTAGTTAGAAACTGCTTTTGAAATTTTTTGAGGCTAAAAAAACTCCAATGCAGCTTAAAACAACATTTAGTTGCTTTTAACCAAAACATTCAAGAGGGTGTCTCTTTAGTAGCAATACCAAACAAACAATTGAAAAAACACAAAAAGGATTCTCCATGAGCAAAAAGGGTGAACTGAAAAACTTAAGATTAAAAAATGATAATCAATTCAAAACATGCAAAATAGACTATAAAATATAACACAAAATTGACAAGAAACATATAACTGGCTGTCCCCTTCAATTGAATTTGCCAAAAGGAAATAGCTCCTATAAAATATAAATCATGCAAACTCATATCAGCCTATTAATTTACTTTAAAGATTGTTTGTTAGAACCACAATGGTAATCTAATTTCTACATGATAACCCCAAACAAGCCAAATTCGTTAAAACAATGGTTATACAATTTCCACATTAACTGAAAACAAAATCTCACTTCCAGCCTATAAGTTTCCAAATAACATAAAATCAATAGAAAACTTACCTTTCTTGATAACACCATAGCCCTTGGCCATTGCAAGGAGCTCCTCTCTACTCTTTCCCATAACTTGAGACATGTCCTAGGCAAATATAATCAGATATGGAAACATATATTAAACATAACTGTAGCAAATATTATTATAAGAAATAGACATTTGCGGGGTAAACAAAAAAACTCATGTCCGTTGCACATGCTACAAAAACTAGTACATGTAAATATCAGAGTGAATACGAGATACACAACGCTATTGATATACTATGATATTAATCTTACTGGGAGAGGAAAGCATGGGGAATTCATATACACAGCATTATAGTGATCAATACATTGTGACCGGTTCTTGGTTCCAACGTGTTCTGCTACTTCAGTCCAGTTTCCAAATCCATACATTTCGATGCCCTAAAAGTAGGATATTTGTTAGCTAACCATCATTTGCATATTCACAAGACTAAGCAGCACTTGCAAGGGAAATTAATCCTTAGCAATCTAAAGGAAATATGAAATCAATCTGTAAAAGAAATACCTCAAGAAGTAATATCTCTTCATCTGCATTCCAGTCTGGACAAATGAGAGGAAAAGACAAATTGTCCTGTGAAAGAGATAATGAAAACATGTACTAGTTTGGGAAGATTGCCGTTTATTGCCTAATTCCAATTTCATTTACACCGTAGCAAAGTACAGAGGAATTAGGAATGAAAATGATAATAGATGGAACAAAATGAAAAAAAGTATACAAATTTGGATAAAGTTTAAACTGCATCCTAAAGGCACAGAAGCTAGCATGCAATACAGTGAATTTTGTTGAACACAGGCCACAAATGTCTTCTTCCAAATGTGGCTTTACATATCTTTTAGTGCTATTCTGGTCTAACACTACTTGTCTGAGCATCAATAGGAGCATATAGAACACATGATTTAAGACAAAAGAACATATATACCCTTTAAAAGGCATCTTACCATAACCCTGTATGGATGACTGCTTTTATGAGGAGTAACCTCAGCTCCAACAGAAAAGCACTCTAGACAAAGGTCAAAATCTGGGCACACTGCACACTTAATGTGAATCATTCCAGAGATATCTTTTTTGCAATAATTACAGTGGTATAGTGCTGCTTTCCCTTCACTTGTCTCTTGGGATACTGCAGTGCATGAGACAAGAGTTATGAATATAGGTATAAGCATGCATGTTCTTATACACCCATGTGAGGGGTTTCACAGGTTAAAAAAAATATACCTGTAGATGCAGTCTGTCCACTCTCTGCATTAGAAGCTGTCTTTTTTCTCTTTGATCTACTTATAGAGAGGGGAAAAGAGTTATGAAATAAGGCAGAAACGAAGATAAAACACCAAAAGCTAGAAGGCAAATCTAGTACTATGATCCCACACTAAAACTTCAAAACAGGTACAAAAAGGCTATACAATAGGGCAAAACCAAGTAGGAATTAGAAATTTCAAATGATTGTTGCCTGCCACACAGCTACAAATATTTTCGTTCTCATTGATTCAAATCTATCTTAAATCTGAACTTGACCTTAAATTAAAGCGTTTTATATCAACGGTCATTTTTCCCTTTTAAACTTGCGGAATGAGTTTTCGGAACGAGAGCAAATTCTACTCGCCTTGGCTCTAAAAGTCGAATTAACACAAGCAATAAAGTCAAAGCCTTTGCAATCTAATCTCAATAAGACACAATAGATTCTCTTTTTTTTTACGTAAAGAAAAGAACATGGAACCAAAACAACTCTCTAATTCTAAATAATTACAGGATTCTAATTTCGAAGCTAGCACTAATTAGAATTTCCCAGCAAGCTGTAATTAAACATTGTTAATAAAGAGTAGCTAAAACAAATCTAGGGATTGAAAATTTTGGGAAGTGCACATTTTCTATGACTTTCAACCAAACAATCAGTGCCCGGTAAAATTTAAATATCTCTGCTGCAATTTTAACAGAGTGAAGGAAGAAGAAATTATTTACCGCACTGACCTATGATTGGCGTCGTCATCAATAGAACGAGACACTGCACGCGAACGGCCCATGGTCGACTGATTTCGGAGAGAGGATCAAAGAACAAATCTTCTAAACAGTATTAGAATCTATGCGAGAGCAGATGCAAATAACTATCAAAAACCGCTCCATAGAAGAATCAAAAGCAAATATTTGCTCGAATCAGACATCGGAGCTTACTCGGGCTAAGAGATCCGAGTTCGCTTTTCCGACGTAGAAACGTCTACGTCCAGGTGAGGCGGTTGATATATGCCACGTTAACGTACATCTATCAAACGGTTAAAGAAAAACATTCCCGTCCTTCAAAATGCCCGTTGTTTTACTTTTTAATTTTATCCGTTGGAAAATTGGAATAATTATTTTTCATTTTTCAGTTTTATCCCTTCAATCAATTTTATTTATTTCATTATGCACATTGAACTTAGGGGTGGAAGGGGCAGAGTTTATTTGATGGATCTTAGAATTTGGGAATTTAGATGTGGAAAGGTGCACTTGACGAAAGAAAAAGGCAAACTATGGAATTAGTATGGGGTTGATATGATGAATTTTTAATTTATACAATCTATATGTATATATATAATCCTGAAGTAAAAAGATGTAAGCTGATACTCTAATCCTTGAGAATTTTATTTTATCTTTTTTTTTAATTTTTAGATTTTTTCTTTATTTTTCTATGTTTTGATTGGTTGGTTATATTTTTTAATTTTAAATTTAATATTTATATAATAATAATATATTTTGAAATCTAATCTAATTTAACAACTATTCTATTTTATTTGGTATTTGATTTTTATTTTCTAAAATTTAAAATTTTTTTAAAAATAATTTGACTCTTGAAAATTTTTAATTGGAATTTTAGATTTTTTTTATTTTTCTATGTTTTAATTTGATGATTATTTTTTAAAATTTTAAAATTAATATTTACGTAATACCAATATACTTCGAAATCTAATCTAATCTAAAAACTATTCTATTTTATTTGGTATTTGGTTTTCATTTCCTTCAAAATTTAAAACTTTTTAGAGACAATTTGGCTTTTGAAAATTTCTATTTTTGTACCTATATCTGTATATAATCATAGTTATTGGCTTAAATGAAAAAGATAATTGTTTTTGCATATAATATATAGTTAGATTGTTTTTAATTGTACACCTATATGGTTAATACTTTGTTTTCTTTTGTTAGTTTGTTGTATGTTGAATTTTTTTCTTTCTTTTGTATAGGGCAGTTAGGGCGTCAATCGTCATGCTCCTCATCAGATTCAATATCTCTTGGAATTATGCATTTTCAAAAAGAGCTTTTTGCTTTCGTCATCATTCATATCCAGCAATGGTATCCAATCAAAATTGTGTATAATTAGAGTTATATACTTAAAATTAATTGTTGTACATAATTTTGAATATGCGATTCTTCTCTTTTTAAAATCTCAATATGTACCATTATTTGAGCATCAATTTTCCTTTATTAATTTATGTTAGTGTGAACTCTTTCTAGTTTTCAGTATAGCTTCAAGCAGAAAAGAAATATTTTGTATATACTAGATTGATATTAATATAAACTTTCGCATTTATAATATTATTTTCTTTGATTGTAGTGATGTTAAATTATTTAATTTTATTGGTGTATAAACATGATCTTACGGAATTGGCTAAATTTCTCAAACTGTTCAATAATGTTTTTGTTAATTTATTAATAAATGCAATTTATAAATTATAAATCTATATCTAATAAAATAATCCTTTTAAAAAAAATAATAATAAAGCAACTCGTGCAACGTGTGGGTTGCCGCCTAGTATTATTATAATGCAGGCAGTTGTTGAAATGATTTTTTTTTTTTAGATTTTATTAGTTTATCTATGGATGATATGTTATTATCATTTTAAGATTTATTTTTAAGTTTTCTATGATGTTGACTAATTTTATTTTAAATTAAAAATGAATGGATGTTATTATTGTCAAAGCATTGTTATTAATTGGATAAATTACTGTAAAGTCTCTAAATTTTAATTTTACTACTTTTTTTCTCTGTTGTTTAGAAATATTAATTATATTGAAATTATTATATTTGATTCGTTAAATATTTAATTCTTTTGTTTAAAAATTATAATTTTGCAGCTAAATAAGGGATCGAATAGTAATTTACTAATAAATCTCAACACTACACTAAATATAGTTTTTTGTGACTATTTGAAAGCGTCTCTAAATATTAAAAAACGTCATAAAAGATTATTTGGCACGAATAAAACATCCTATGAATATAGCGACGTCGCTCATAGTCTTTTGGTGACGAATTTGGTAAAACGTCCCTAAATTCTTATCTTTTGCGATGAAAACTAATATCTAAACTAGTTGTACAATTAGGTAGGACAATGTATTGAAAACGATAAAAAACGTCCTTAAAAATATTTATTATTATTATTAAATTTTATTTAATGGATTACATGTAAGTTTTAGCTGCTAAATGAGAAAAAAAAAAAAAAGATTTAGTCATAGTTAAGACTCTTCACCTCTCTCTGCAAATGCATTTAGTGGGGATTTAATCATAACTTTTCCTAGCTTGCGTTGCTAACTGAACGACTCTCCATAAATGAAAAGTGCTTTTTTTAAACTCTTATCAATACATCATCCTTCTAAAGTATACGTAGTTAAATAAAAATTAAATGGCCAAAGCATAATTTAACCCATTAACTTCCATAAATTGCCTTACTTTCGTTAACTAAATTATGTAAATTTTATAAATTTTTAAACAAAACACATCCAAAAAGAAATTTTCCGTAGTTCATGAGTCAATAGAAAATTGAAATTTTAATGTTAAAATATTTAAACAACAATTAATTAAATATTATATATAAAAATTAATACCTTTTATATTTAATATAAAGATATCTCTATTAATAGTTTTGAAGTATTAAAAAAGAATTGAGTATAAAATTAAATACAAAAATTTAAATCACAATTAAATATTAATTAGTATAAATAATATGAAAGCATGTTTAGGTTTAGGGTTTGTACCATGAGAGAAAGAAGGATGCTTTAATGAGATGTCGAATGATCATTTTGATGGAAAAATTAAAAGATTTAAAATTATTAATAAATAAAAAAATTAGTCAGTGCCAATTGTATTTTTGAAAATTTTTTATTCAAATAACATTGTATTTTTTTATATCAATACATTATTATACTCTCAACTTTTTAGTAATAAAAACAATTTATAATATTATGACATGGACAAGAAATTAACTGAAAGTTTTTTAAAACAATTAAACCACGAGTGTAAACAAAGCATATAATAAAACTACAAACAACATGAACACACTTAAAAAAAAAAAGGAACTAATAAAGGCCGGGAGGTAGGCGAGGTGACAGAAGAACTTCAAGCGGGGTGGCTTTAAGGTTTGTTAGTCCAGGACTTTCAGTCATATCAATCGGTTCAGTTGTAGGATTTGAAATCTGAAAAGCCTGTAGAAATCTAGCCAATGCTATGTGAACCATTTGCAGGCCAAAAGCTGTTCCAGGGCAAGCTCTTCTGCCACTTCCAAATGGGATCAGTTCAAAGTTCTGACCTCTAACATCAATATCCTTGTGACTAGTAAGAAACCGCTCCGGTTTAAACTGCAATGGGTCAGGCCAATTCTTTGGATCTCTATGGATCTTCCAAACATTTATAATCAGCCGAGTCCCTTTCTTTATATGGCAGCCACCGATAGTGCAGTTTTCTCTTGTCACTCGAGGTGCAGACAGCGGGGCCGGTGGATATAATCGTAATGATTCTTTGATTATGGCTTGAAGGTAGATTAGCTTACTAATATCAAATTCATTCACTTGTCTTTCTCTCCCAACTAGCCTATCCAATTCTTCCTGTGCCTTCTCCAGCGCTTGCTTGTTGTTCAACAATAGTGAAATCGTCCATGTCAGGGTGACTGTGGAGGTATCGCTGCCCCCTGCAATTAAATTCTATGACATGAAATAAATTTGAATTAGTGTATCGTTTAACCAATGTCAGTAATTAAGGAAAATATATATATATATTAATGAACAAAACTCACCAGACATGCAGATTTGATAATCATGTCAGAATCATAACCTGCAAAATCTTTTTCTTCGAGTACTGAAAGCATCGAATCCATAAAGTCTTGCTCTTTTGTAGCCACCTTTCCTGCAGAGCCTCTCTTCCTTCGATGCTCCTCTAACAATTCACTAACAAGACAATTCATTTCCTTAGCAGTTGTTTTCATACCTTTCTCATGTCCACCGGCATCAAGCCAACCAAGAAAAGGGATTGCATCTCTCAAAACAAACATCCCCAAGTAATGGAAGAATTCTCTCATCGTCTTACGAAAATGCTCCGCCTCACCACCACCGGAGCATCTCTTCCCTACAACCATTCTTAATATCACATTAAGACCCAACTCCCCAAACCATTTATTCAAGTCAACTAAAACATGACCAGACCCATTTTTTTTCTCTGTCCATAATTTGTACAGCTCTTTTAATAAGGTCTCTATTTCAGATAGCCTAACATGTTTGAGTAGCTCAATCTGGTGATTCGAGAGTAGTTTCAAGGAAATTATTTTACGCATTTCGCGCCAATAATCTCCATAAGGTGCAAAAGCGAACATGACACCATCGTAGCCCAGGTACTTAAATGCAGTGAAATTAGGGCGTTCAGAAACAGCCATATCGTTGGTGGTGAACAATTCCTTAGCTAGTTCACCAGAACTAACAACCACGGCTTGGTGTATACCAATCTGCATGGTGAATATTGGACCGTACCTATCAGCTAAGCTTCCAAACGTTATGTGGAGAAGCTTGGAACCTGCTAGTAACGGAAGGTGACCAATTATGGGCCACGCACCACCGGCTTTGGGTGCTCGAGTTTTCTTGGAACAAAATATTGAACTCCTACGTACGTAGTAGCATGCAAATAGGAATAAAGGGGCAAGAAGTCCTGCTGTCATGGCATTTAGATATACAAATAGAAATTCCATAGTATTAACACTTGGTGCTTAGGTTTGGAGGGAGGATATACTAAAATGCACAAGCTCTTCCCTATTGGCATATATATATATATATATATAGAGGAGTTACGTGGTTATGATATACTACAAAATAGGGATAAAGAATTAATTTTAATTAAAGAAGTTATAGTCCACTTTCTTCGATATAGAAAAGTCTTGAATCATAAACTAAACGATTATTAAATAAATGATTTTTTTCAAGTTTTGATTAGATTAAGAATTATATATCTTACAATATATTTTTTATTTCAATATAAAATATTCAAAAAATAAAATTAATGTGTTAAACAAAAAAATAAACTTCAGTTTCAATTACGTGGTATCTATGTAAGTATGTATTGCTTAATTTCCGTTCATACCTTTGTTTGTGTTTTTGTTCGATGTATGGACAAGTCGTGTTCTATGATTAACTCGCACGCATGGAATACGAAAAGTTGCGTTAGGTTTTAGGAGTTAAAAAGGAAAACAAAAACGACTTACGCAAGTTTAATCTGTCGCAATTTAGATTAAAGGAAAAACAGAAAATTCAACCTGTTTGTGTTCATCCAATCATCGCTAGCTCTCATCGCAACTGCCAGATTTGAAATGTTAAAGATAGAAGCTTGATTGTTTTGTGCGTACAAGATTCATCAAATATCATTAAATGTAAACTCTATGATGGCTATGTCTCTATAGTTAAATTTAGGGCACTATTTATTTTTTGGCAAAATTTTTAATAATGGTTGCTAATTAGGTATGGTGTTATTGGTTTTCTCATGTTTTATAATATATATATATGGGATGAGAAGTAAGGATTCAAGTTCTCTACCATGAAAATTACCTCTATCTGTCGCTCATCAAATTAGTGAAAATAACTGTAGTTGAGATGATTCGAATTCAAGACCTCCCACTCATCACATAATTGAGAAGACCAAACATGTATAACCTACAATATTCTTTCGACCCATTAAATAAAAAAAAATGATAATGATTATTATTGCAATGTAAGATGACCATTAAAGCTATAATTATTTTATTAAATTATCATAAATAATATGTATATTATTTTAATATGTTATATAAATAAAAAAATATTAATTAAATTTAAGGCATTGCGTGTTAGATTCATTAATATCATCAGATGCAAATTACAAGGGCAAATATTAAATTTAAGGGTTTAATTTGCTTGGAACTAAAATAAGGGAGAAGGTTATCAAATAGAATTTGCCACCACATCAATATTTGTCTTGTTCATCTTCAGCTACAACCTTTTCAGTTTCAATAAAAAGTACGAAATGCTTTATTTATATTTATAAAGTATTTATAAATAAAAAGTACGAAATATTTTAATATAAGATACTAAAATTGTAGTTGTAAATAAAAACTACTAATTAGTAGTAAAAATTACTATATAATTATCATGTTTGATTAGGTAGGGTGATGGGCCCAAAATATCATTAACGCAAATTCATGAACCTTAATATTTCAAATGGGCCTAGATTGTGAACCAGAATGGGCCATATTGCTGTAGGCCGTGTCTCCTAAAGTCCAAAGTTGCTCCAAAGCTTGGAGTTTAGATTGTCTTTTCAAAAGTCATAGGTCAGAAAGAGGGTTTAGTTTCACCCATGGTCCCTTAAGTTAGTATTAACTTACTTTACTGTACTCATTGTAAAAAAGAAAAAGAATCTGAATTTTAATTATGTAATAATAAAATAACTCTTAGTAAATTTCGGGTTAGACCTTGATAAAAAGCTGACGTGGACGATATATTAGGTAAAAAAATTATCATCTTAAACAATATTATGTGAGAAAATTTTGCATTGAATCTTTAATTACCATGGCTGTGGCTTTCCTAACTGTATCAGCATCATAACAGGCAAGATCAGCACCATCAAGAACAGACAGCAAAATATCCATGAAGTCTTGCTCTCCGTTAGTGTTTCTCTTCCTGTAATGTTCCTCTAACCATTCTTCAACAAGTAATGGAGAAAATTATATAATGGATGAGATTTTCTACTTTCAGACACTACTAACTTGCCAGTAGAGTCAAACTAATATGATTATCAATTTATTAAAGAGGACTTGAACGCTGGAGCTAAATGCAAAAAATATTAAGATTAATAAAGAAAAACTTGCTTTTTTTCAAATTTCTTATGCAAATACGATAACTAAGATAGTATTACTGGATTATACTTATCAACATTGAATTTATGGACAAACCAATATAAAAATAAACATTTTAAAAAATTGTTCATATTTATCTAGAAATATTTTCATTTTTACAAAAATTCATATTTTCATTATTTTGGTCTATATATTAAATTATAAATTCAATCTATACAAGTCGATCTCATTATTATATTTTTAAAAAAGATAAAAAAAAGATAAGCAGAAAACAAGACCAAATAAGGATTCATATATAAACATCAATGAACTTTTTAGCTACGGGATATGGTACAATACATTGTTGGGCATGACATATGGATAGATCATAGAGGTGATTTTGAATCAATAAGGGGTGAAATTAAATTATATTATGATAAAGACTATGAAATTTGAAAAATTCCACTCCAAATATCAAAATTTAAGTTGTGCTAACAAAATAAAATTTATCAATAAATATTTAATTTCGCCATTCAAATTTTATTAATAAATCACATTTTGATATATAATGTTAAGTTTAAATAGACTCGTGACCAATCTTTTCGAATTTTCAATTTCCATAGCAATTTTTTAGCCTCCAAATTAGTGTATGGATTGGTATATTTATATATCTCGCATAGGCGAGTTTTATCACTCTAATAAATAGTTTATATAATTTGCGTCATGTCGGTTGAGTTACACGCGGGTCAGACCCATAGGAAAACTTCCCATCCGACATGTCGTTTCTCGGACTCTTTTCACTTTAAACTGGCTCGCTACTTACCATGGTTCGTCTCCTCCTCGACACTAAACCCAGCGATTTAACTACCTTTTTTTTTTTTTTTTTTTTTTTAACTACCTTTTTTGTATTCCCAAAAAAAAAAAAAAAAAAATGACATACAAACAAAAAAAAAAAAAAAAAAAAAAAATGACATACCAAACACACTTATCGTCTAGGATTATCTTTTAATTAGAAGTTTCACCATTCGATAAAAAAATTTCCAGGTTCAGAATTCAATACGAAAAGAAGAAATGTTGGTAATGAACATATAAAAAAAGAGATCATTAGCAATAGAGTTTGGTAGGGAGGCGTGGAGAAAGGAGAATATGTAATGGGGTTGCTTTTGGTGTATGCATATCAATAGGCTGATCCATGGAGGTTGCCAAATCAAATGCTTGGAGAAGTCTACCAAGTGTAGGCGATGTGAGGCGAGGTGACAGAAGGACTAATAAAGGCCAGGAGGTAGGCGAGGTGACAGAAGAACTTCAAGCGGGTGGCTTTAAGGTTTGTTAGTCCCGGACTTTCAGTCTTTTGAATCGGTTCATTTGTAGGATTGGAAATCTCAAAAGCCTGTAGAAATCTAGCCATTGCTATGTGAACCATTTGCAGGCCAAAAGCTGTTCCAGCGCAAAGCTCTTCTGCCACTTCCAAATGGATCAGTTCAAAGTTCTGAACTCTAACATCAATATCCTTGTGACTAGTAAGAAACCGCTCCGGTTTAAACTGCAATGGGTCAGGCCAATTCTTTGGATCTGTATGGATCTTCTAAAGATTTATAATCAGCCAAGTCCCTTTCTTTATATGGCAGCCACCGATAGTTTTCAGTATTTGTTTTATTTGAATAATTCCATTCTAGTTTCAATTACGTGGTATCTATGTACTGCTTAATCTCTGTTCATACCTTTGTTTGTGTTTTTTGATGTATGGACAAGTCCTGTTCTATGGCTAACTCAGATGCATGGAATACGAAAGTTGGGTTAATGAATAAAATTATTAAAAATTATACATATTTATAGGATTTCTTTTTTGTGGACCGATATATATTGATTTATTCACTGGCCATTAATATCTGTGGAATGCTTAATAATTAAAGAGTATAAATAAACAAATCTCCATCACCATTATTTCTTTCCTTTATTATTCTTTGGCTAAGAAATTTTTAGATTTGTATACATGGAACTGAATAAATAATAAATACCACGAAATGGAAATTTATTTTTAGTCATGGCTAAACTATTGTATAGCACTTGTTCTGTTCGGTCTTATTCAATCGCCATAATCATCTACTTGAGGTGTTTTTATTTTTATTAGATTATCATTCTACTATACAATTTTCCCTCTTCTTATCAAAGAAAATAGGCAAAAAGGGAAATATATACATGTCCAGCAAACCAAACATAACATATCAAATTCTTAGCTTTACGCTTTAGCCCGTATGATTTCAACATACAAAGCATTAAATTAGGATTCTATAATATTTCTATTCATAGAGATGAGCAGGTAAGCGAGGTTTGACTAGAACTCCAAGAGGGGCGGCTTTGCTGTTTGTTAATCCAGCAGATTCTGTCATGTCAACAGGTGCATTTAATGGAGCTGAGATCTCAAATGCCTGCAGTAAACTTGCTAGCAATAATTGACTCATTAAGATGCCAAAATTCATTCCAGGGCATGCCCTTCTACCAGCACCAAATGGAATAAGCTCAAAATTCTGACCCTTGACATCAATGTCCTTGTGTGTGTTCAGAAATCTCTCTGGTTCAAATTCCTTTGGGTTTGACCAAACCCTTGGATCTCTATGGATCTTGTAAATATTAAGAATAAGACGAGTACCTTTTGGGACATGGAAACCACCTATGGTGCAAGCTTGGGTGAATTCTCGTTGCCCTGAGAGTGGCCCGGCTGGATACAACCTCATCATCTCCTTCACTATTGCCTGAAGATATACAAGCTTGCTCATGTCTGCTTCATTCACTAATCTTTCTTTTCCAACTTGAATGTCTATTTCTTCTTGGGCCTTTTTCAGTGCAATTGGATGGTTCAACAATAGTGCTAGCCCCCATGTGACAGTTACGGTTGTGGTATCGGTGCCTCCTGCAATAAGAGTCTACAATACAAGTTCGAATTATCATCATAAATAGTAGGTGAGAAAATTTTGTATTGAATCTTTAATTACCATGGCTGTGGCTTTCCTAACTGTATCAGCATCATAACAGGCAAGATCAACACCATCAAGAACAGACAGCAAAATATCCATGAAGTCTTGCTCTCCGTTAGTGTTTCTCTTCCTGTAATGTTCCTCTAACCATTCTCCAACAATACTGTCAAATTCTTTGGCAGTTCTTTTCATGGATTTCTCATATCCACCAAAATCCAACCATCCAAGAAATGGAAGAGCATCCCTTAATACAAATACTCCTGCCAACTGAAAGAACTGCCTCATTGCCTTTTGAAATCGCTCTGCCACTTTCACATCAGCCCCAGCAATAGCACCAAAGTACCTCTTTCCTGCAACCATCCTGAGAATTACATTCATATTTATGTCATTAAAGAATCTCTTCATTTCAACCTTAACTTGGTTTCTCTCATCTTTGTCCTTTGTCCAAAACTTGTACAAATCTTTTATTGAGCCCTCTACTTCAGAGGCTCTAATATGTTTTAGTAGCTCAAGCTTCCGGTTAGAGAGTAGCTCTAAGGCTGTTATTTTGCGCATTTCTCGCCAGTACTCGCCATAAGGGGAGAATCCAAAATTGGCATAATTGTAGCCTAGAAGCTTCGCCCCCGTGAGTTTGGGGCGGGAGGATACAGTAGGGTCGTTGACTGTGAATAGTTCCTTAGCCAACTCCCAGCTACTGACTACCAAAGCTGGGTATATCCCAATCCTGATGGTGAAGATAGGTCCATATTTATCAGCTAAGGCTGCTAATACTTTGTGGGGAAGCTCACGTCCAGCTAATAAGTGTAGGTGACCTATAATAGGCCACGAATCACCAGCTTCTGGTGCTGCTCTGGCCTTCCTAGATTGAGACCTTCTCAGGAGATAGTAACAAAACAGAAGTATGGCAGTGAGACCAAGGTATTGTAGAAGCAAAACCATGGTAGTGTTGGTGTGGTGGATAGTGGAAACTGGACTTCTGTTTTATTGTGACAGCGGTCCCCGTTTATTCAATTATTTTTATGGATAAGATGTAACGGATAAATCCCAAAAGAAGAAAGCACTATCCTAGTGCCGGAAACACCTGGGCCATGAAATGTTTGCCATTTGTATTGTTGATGATAACATTATTTATAAATTTACTTAAACAACATTTCTAATTGATTTGTGGAAAAATCTTTTCGAATTTTTCGTTTTACATAGCAATTTTTAGTCTCCAACTTAGTGTATGGATTGTTCTATATCTCGTATGGCGAGTTTTATTACTCTAAGAAATAGTTTATATAGTTTGCATCATGGCGGGTTAGATCCATAGGAAAACTTTTCATCCGACATGTCTTTTCTTCGACTCTTTTCTCTTTGAAACGGAATCGCTGCTTCGCATGGTTTGTTTCCTCTTCGATACTAGACCCAGATAGATGTAATAAACCAAGTGATTAATCACTGCTATTTTTTTAGGCAACATACTGCTTAACTACTAAACACACTTGTTTTTGGAGTGTTTATTCCAAAAAAAAAAAAAAAAAAAAAAAAAAAAAAAAAACATGGAACTTCATCCGAATGTCTCTTCGGACTTCTTTTCTCTTTGACACGGAATCGCTGCTTACGCCACACTGGTTCGTTCTCTCTTCGATTAACAGAGCCCAGAAAGATGTAATTAAACCACGTGACCTCTAATCCATTGCCTATTTTTTTAAGGCAACAATACTGCTTAACTACTAAACACTTATTCCTGGAAACGTGTAATATATCCAAAAATAAAAAACAAAAAAAAAAAAAAAAAAGAAAAAAAATACCAAACACACTTATCGCTTAATCAGGGAGAGCAATCATTAGCATACTAGAGTTGTCAGGGAGGCGTGGAGAAAGGAGAACATAGTAAATGGGTGATTGCTATGCGATGTATTTCATTCCCAGACCTGGCAGTCATCATCAACTAGAAGTTGGATCCATGGGAGTATGTCAAATCAAATGCTTGGAGAATGATCTTTACCAAGTTGTCAGTTGAGAGAGGCTATAAGTGCAGTGCAAGGAATGATACAACGAGCTGGAGCATGAAATCGTCTTAACAGAACCAAATAAGTATTGAGCTTCAAAACTGCTGACACCTAAAATCAAATAATTCCACAATGGCTTGTTGAGAAATCTCTACTGGTTCAAAAATCTAATGGCTTTGTTCCAAACCTGATCCCTTATGGATCCATTTGGATCATTCCATTACCATTCAGAATACAAGCGAAGTGCCAAGCTGGAACATTGCATACCTGCTATTGTGCGCAATCTCCATGGCTCTCTGGGCCCCTGAGAGTGGATAAGGATTAAGACCGAGGGTTTCCTGTTACACGCCTTGAAGATACGCAAGATTTCTATATGTCTGACGCGTTCACTAAGACGTTGATTGTCACTACCTGGAAATCTACTTCCTCCTGTGCCTTCTTTAGATGCGATGGGGATATAGTTGAGAAGCCAACGAAAATAGCCATGCCACATGTCGTTGATGTGGCATCACTAGCACAACAGTATATAACAGCCTCGCCCAATACAAATATGTAGACAGCATTTGGTGATTACTTGTCAAGCACTGTTATAGCAACCTCCGAATGGAAGGACACCGAATTGCAAGGAAAATGAGAATCGTATTTGTGTAGTAGATGAATGTGATGTAGTGATAGTGTGTAGAAATGTGTAAATGTAGCGCAGACAAGAGATTAATAGACTCTGAATGCATAAGTATCTGCAAATCATATGAAAACCTGAGAGATGCCTTCTCCTCAGGATGATAAATCTGTCAATGAAACCGCTCATTATATCAGCCTTGACAATTTCTGAAAATTCTCCCTTGCAGAATGCTCTTCTAGCCAACTTGCAAGTACTGCATCTAAAGTCCTTGGCTGGGTCTCAGATGAATTGCTTTCGATGTTCTCTTTGACAATTCCAATAGATAACACCATTAAAATCGGACTAATTCATTCAGGAACTCACAAAACTATCCCATCATGCGAATTATAAGAACTTGAGCAGTGTAGATGTCAAAGAAGATCTGTCCTGACACCGCTATCCAATCAGTCAGTGTGTGTGTGTGTGTGTGTGTGTGTCATACCAGACAGGTAGACTTGATGCTAGTATCTGCATCATATGGAAAACCTGAGAGATGTCCCTTCTCCTCGGCTGATAACATCCTGTCAATGAAATCCTGCTCATTTTCAGCCTTGACATTTCCTGAAATTCTCCTTTGTCGATGCTCTTCTAGCCAACTTGCAAGTACTGCATCTAAGTCCTTGGCTGTCTTTTTCATTGCTCTTTTATGTCCCTGAAAATCCAACCACCATAAAAATGGAAATGCATCGGAAACCACAAAAACACCCATCAAGCGAAAGAACTCAGAAATCAAATCCTGACACCGTCTTGCCTCACCATCATCATAACATTTTCCAGCCACCAATCTAACAATCACATCAAATGTAATATATTGTGACCACTGTTTAAGTTCAACAAGCACAGGCAGCTTATTATTATTTGCTGCCCATAGACTATAAAGCTTTCTTATCCCTGCATTAACTACAAGAGCCTGTACATTCTTGATTATTTCAAGTTGACTGTTAGAGAGAAGTTCAAGCATTACTATCTTCCGCATTTCCCGCCAGTGGGGGCTGTAGGGAGCGAAACCAAACACTGTATTGTTATAACACATGTGTTTTGTTGCTGCTGTTGTAGGACGGGAAGCCAAGGCCCTGTCATTAGTGGTGAAGCATTCTTTTGCCACTTCCTTACTGGCCACCACAAAAGCACAGCGGCTTCCAAGGCGGATACAGAAGGCTGGTCCATATTTATCAGTCATAATTCCAAGCTTTTGGTGAAGAAGCTTATAGGCACCACCAAGTAGCATGTGGAGGTGGCCGATTATTGGCCATGAACCAATTGGTTCAGGGGCATTTCTAGCATTGCAAGTTGTAGTAATCTTTGTCCTTCTGAGAAGTACTGAGTAAAGAAAAATTGAAGAGAAGAAGCCAATAATCGCAAATAATTGCAAATTTAGATCCATGATAATTCGCTATGGAGACGAAAAGAGATTCACTTCAATGAGTGCAGGCAAGAATCAGTCAGCCAACATCATAATCCACTGAAAAGACAAAGATGAATTTAAAATAGCAAAATTTTTTTAAATATGTTAAAACTTTTGTTTTTTTTAATAACAGTTTTCGTTTCATCATATAAAATCAGCCTAACGAGAGTGATTAATATTATTATTATAAGAAAACTTACAATCTTCACAATCTAATAAATAATTAAATGAATCTAATGAAAGTGATTATAATCATTATTGTAAGAAAACGTACAATCTTCACCAACTAATAAATAAAAAGTAAATGTACCATTTTGTTTTCAAAGTTTCAGCCACAGTTTTATCAAATTGAACAGGAAAACAACAAATATTTTATTTTGTTTTTCAATTCTACTTTTTTTTTTCATTCCTGAAACCAAAGCATAGGTTTGAGCAATCTGGGTTTAATTGTAAGCATGCATAAATTATAAACTAGTTATGGCTGTAATCTTTTATTTTTTTGGTTCTTTGCTTTGTCCTTCACATTTTCTAATTAACTCTATGTAAGCATTAAGGTAATCAATGAAAAAATACAGCTCTTGAAGGTTCAGTTTCCACAAAGTAAAGCCCACAACCAGAAAGGCAAGACCTTAAATTTGCAATTGTTAAATCTTTACATATCGAAGCACCCTTTTTTTTTTTTTCCTTACATTAGCACAATCAATTTAATACCCTGAAATTACGGCTTAACCATAAACACCAGATTACAACAAAATAAAACACATAACAGTAAAACATACAGCAACGAGGCTATTGTTATTGTTTTTGCTTCAACTGCTATAGAGTTTGCCTGGTAAACGTGGGGAAAGAAGAACCTCTACTGGGTTTGCTTTTGGTAGAGTTATACCAGTTCCCTCAGTCATGTCAACAGGCTGATCCATAGGGGTCGCCAAATCAAATGAATGAAGGAGTCTAGCAAGTGTAAAATGAAGAGCATGGAGCGCAAATGATGTACCTGGGCATGCTCGTCTACCAGAACCAAAAGGAAGTAGCTCAAAATTTTGACCTCTAACATCAACATTCACATGACTTGTTAGAAATCTCTCCGGTTGGAAGGACAGTGGATTGGTCCACAATTTGGGATCTCTTTGAATCTTCCATACATTTACCAGCAAACGAGTTCCAGCCTTTACATGATAACCAGCTATGGTGCAATCTTCTAGGGCTTCCCGGGGTCCTGAAAGTGGAGCGACAGGATATACCCGGAGGGTTTCCTTGACTATTGCTTGAAGAAATATGAGTTTTTTAAGATCTGATCCATCCACTTGACGTTCAACGCCCACGTGAAAATCTAATTCCTGTTGAGCCTTTTTTAATGCCCAGCGATGATTCATGAGTAATGAGATAGCCCATGTAAGCATCGTTGCCGTGGTGTCGGCGGCTGCAGCAATAACAGCCTGCAAGAAACTTGCAAGAAATTAGTATTCTTTAAACAATCCTAGATTGGTTCTACGCCTAATTGTTTATATTGTATTGACATACCAGAATGGTAGATTTGATAATAGTATTTGAATCATAAGGAAAATTGGAGAGTTGTCCTTCCTCCTCAAGCGTCAACATTACGTCAATAAAGTCTTGTTCACCTTCAGCCTTGAACTCTCCTGATCCTGAAGCAGCTCTCGTTCGGCGATGCTCATCCACCCAACCTTCAAGTATTGCATCAAAGTACTTGGCTGTATTCTTCATTGCCTTCTCATGTCCCTGCAAATCCAACCACCATAGAAATGGAACTGCATCTGAAATCACAAATACACCCATCAAGTGGAAGAACTCAGAAATAGTCTTTTGGCACCATCCGGCCTCACCGTCATCAGAGCCGCCAGCAAAACGTTTCCCAGCCACCATTCCAACAATCACATTAAGCGTCAGATCATCGAACCACTGGTTAATTTTGACAAGCAACGGAAGGCAAGTATTTTTAGCCCAAAGACCATAAAGCTTATTTATCCCCTTATCAACTTCAGAAGCCTGGACATTTTTTACTATCTCTAGTCTACGGTTTGAAAGAAGTTCAAGCACAACTATCTTTCGCATTTCACGCCAGTAAGTGCTATAGGGTGCAAACCCAAACACCGCATCATTATAGCACATGTGCTTTGTAGCTGATGTTGAAGGACGAGAAGCAAAAGCTCTGTCATAAATGGTGAAGCATTCCTCTGCCACTTCACTACTAGAAGCCACAAAAACAGGGCGATTGCCAAGGCGGATACTATAGGCTGGCCCATACTTATCGGCCATCATTCCGAGCTTTTGGTGAAGCAGCTGATCATCACCGCCTAATAGATGAAGATGGCCTATAATTGGCCATGCACCAGCTGGTTCTGGCGCTTGCCTGCAATTACTCCTGGTAATTCTTACCCTTGTAGCCAACGAAAAGCAGAGAAAAATTAAAGAAATGAACCCAACAATCACAATTAAGTGCAGATTCAAATCCATCTTTCAATATGAGATGTACAGGCGTGGGATTTCTGTCAATTTAGAAGATTTAACCGAAACTTTGCTCTGTTCTTAATGAAGCACGACAAAAGGAAAGAGACCATCAAATCAGTGCCCATTATCCTTCATCTGATTAGCTATATTTGTACTGTAGATGAAGAATAAACGGGCAAAGTCATCATTGGTAGGGGAGAAAAAATTAGAAAAGGTGTTTTGAGAACATGGATAAAAGAAAGGGCATTATAGACAATTTGATATGGTTGTGCCAGGCACAAAAGTCCAAAACTCTCAAAAGCTAAGAAGAGAAGTTGCACGCCTGATGGGACAAAATGGCTTCGGCCATTTAAAAGAAAAAGCCCATAATAGAGGAAAGCGCAACACTCTTAAAAGCCCAATGTTCTCAAAATTGAAGGCCTAGCATATATCTAAATACATGAGCCCAGACTGATCAAAATCCGACCGGACCAACATTTTTTTTTTTTGTTACAAGGACAAACACTTTTCAACTATAAGAGAAGTACGGAACAGAATTAAATTTGGTGTCCTCCTTTTGCTATGAGTCTACGAAATGCAAAAAGAAAAAAAGTGCAAGGGAAAGGGCTGCTGTTTATTTGTTTCAGCTTAAAAAAACTCAGAAAAGATGAATCCAAGTTAATTTGACAATACAACCTCCAAGGCTAAATTATATGACCCAATACAAAGTACAATCAAAAGTATAACCTGTTTCAATCAGCTCCAAAATCCATCCTCATTATTGCATCTCCAAACTTTAAACTTCAACAGCTGTAGAGTTCTGCAGGGAGACGAGGGGAAAGAAGAACATCTAAAGGGGTTGCTTTAGGTAAAGTTGTTCCCGGCGTCTCCGTCATGTCAACAGGCTTATCCATTGTGGTAGCCAAATCAAACGCATGAAGGAACCTAGCAAGCGTCAGGTGAAGAGCATGGAGCGCAAATGCTGCACCTGGGCATGATCGTCTGCCGGAGCCAAAAGGAATGAGCTCGTGGTGTTGACCTCTCACATCAACATTCGCATGGCTTGTGAGAAATCTCTCTGGTTGAAAGGCTGATGGGTTTGTCCAATACCTCGGATCCCTCTGAATCTTCCATGCATTTACTAATAATCGAGTGCCGGCCGGGACATGATACCCAGCTATGGTGCAATCTTTCGTAAATTCCCGGGGTATGAGAGGGGCAACAGGGTATAGACGAAGAGTTTCCTTGATTATGGCTTGAATGTACACAAGGCTTTTGAGGTCCGATTCATCAACTTGACGTTCAGGGCCAACATGGAGGTCCAATTCTTCTCGTGCCTTCTTTAATGCTGACTTATTATTCAAAAGCAACGAGATGGCCCATGTTAGTGTAGTTGTAGTTGTGTCACTGGCACCAGCAATAAGAGCCTGCAATTTACAAAAAGATAAGATTCATATCTGTAAATACAAAGGCCAATCACTAGATCCTTGAATGAATTTCAAGATCTTTAATAAAAAAGAAAATGCACATGTAAATGTGAATTGGACACACCAAACAGGTAGACTTGATACTTGTGTCCGCATCATATATAAAACCTGACAGATGGCCTTTCTCCTCAAGTGACAGCATAACGTCAATGAAATCCTGTTCACCCTCAGTCTTAGCCTCTCCTAAAACTGAAACTCTCTTTTGACGATGCTCTGTCAGCCAACCTTCAAGTACAGCATCCAAGTCCTTGGCTGTCTTCTTCATTGCCCTCTGATGCCCTTCCAGATCCAACCATTGAAGAAATGGAAGTGCATCTGAAACCACAAAAATACCCATCAAGTGAAAGAATTTAGAAATTGCATTCTGGCAACGTCTTGCACCATCATCATCAGAGGAACCAGTATAACGCTTTCCAGCCACCACTCGAACAATCACATTAAGTGTCAGATCCTCAAACCACTGTTTAAGCTCAACAAGCACTGGAAGGCAGTTATTTTCAGCCCACAGATGATAAAGCTTCTTTATCCCCAAGTTGACTTCAGAATTCTGGACATGCTTAACCATCTCAAGTCGCCGGTTTGAAAGAAGTTCAAGCATTACTATCTTTCGCATTTCACGCCAGTGAGAGCTGTGTGGTGCAAAACCAAACACAGCATGGTTATAGCACATGTGCTTCGTTGCTGCTGTAGTGGGACGCGAGGCAACATCTTTGTCATTTATAGTGAAGCATTCCTTCGCCAATTCGCTACTAGCAACCACAAAGGCGCAATGGCTGCCTATGCGAATATTGAATGCTGGCCCATACTTATCGGCCATTAATCCAAGTGTTTGGTGAAGAAGCTTATCAGCACCACCTAATAGGTGGAGGTGGCCAATGATTGGCCATGCGCCGGATGGTTCAGGAGCTTCTCTACTCTTGCTAAATTTGCTACTTTTTTTCCCTCGGAGACCCCCATTGCAGAGAAAGATGAGAGAAAAAAATAAAGCAATTGCAATTAATTGGAGAGAAGAATCCATAACTGAACTAGATTTACAAATATCAAACTGAAATCCCATCAATTTATAAGCCTAACCCAACAACATTTTAACCAAGTTTAGCATGAAGCATAACAGAGTCTGATGTTTTTGGCAAGGGCCATGCAATCCTTGTATATGCATGAACTATATATTTTGATATACAGAAAGATTTTAAATTTATTTCATTACGACAGAATTATTTATCCCATTTTCTATTAAGCTCTATACTCGTTCAATTTCTAAAATGGCACTTGAAATTAGTATTTTGAATCCGTCAATGTTCTTACCTGAATAATATAACAGTCACTGACTGCTGCTGACCTAGCAACATGAGAACAGTTCATAGCAAATTTTTGTTTGCTCATACATCATCCATTTCCGATGTATGGTGGCTAAGGAAGACATCTAGCACGCTTTTCTACACATTTAAATATCTTAACAGGATTATTATGAGTCAACCACAAACTGTCAAGGTGCTGCACATACAATTATATAGTTCAGGGTTGATTTATTATATACTGCTAAGTTGCTGCTAATACAATCCATCATACACACTGACAATAGAAGTGGATTGCAAGAAAACCATACCATAATTGCAATATTAATTTGCTCTTGCATAAACCAAAAAGAAAAGAATAGAAAAACCCAGAAATTGTTGCATCAAAGCACAAGATGCAATCACTGATGAAATGGCAGGCTCCTATTGATAATTCATAATACTTTGTCCTAAAAATTATAGAATAATTTAATTGTAAATATAGTTCAATATAAAAAGGGTGGAGTAAAGAAAGTACAATTCATATTCAAATGACTTCAGGGAATCCAGCATAGGCAGCTACCTGGGGAGTTAGAGATTCATGTGTAACATAACCAATGGCAAGGAACATGCCACAATGCCTTCTCATGGGTGTTTCCATGTTACATTTTACCATATACTGCATCACCTGCATCACCTAAATTAAACGAGTCCTTTTCTGATTCTGATGGTTTCAGCACGAGTTATGGCCAACAAAATTTATTTATGGCTTAATTTGACAGGGAGTAATCTTGCTATTTTTTTTTTATCAACCCCCCTCCTTCCCCTGAACATTTTCGCAGTTTCACTACAAATATTGATGTCTGCAAATTTTCTTACTTTAACCCCAGAAAAGTTCAAAATTTCCCTGCATCAAATGTAAGTATCCAATTTTTTGCTTCAATTCCATGTGAATATCCATCTGTTAGCACTCAAAAAGGCTTTCCATATTACACTTGTACAAGTTAAGCATATAATCAGTATCTAGTTGCTGAAGGAAACTGCGTTATAGCAACATTTACTCCTACTGGATTCAGTAAAATCTCAGATTTAAAATTCGTCTTCAATTCAAACTTAAACACAAGCTACCTGTTCAGAACAAGGCTTAAAGAGAATATAGTATACTAACAAATGTGCTTACAGAATTACAATTTGATTATCTGCTAGCAATTTTGAGCTTGGAGTGCTTATCTTACAAAACAAATTTAGATGTTCGACCCCTGAACTTTGGTTTCCAACTCCTTCATTAAATGAGAAGAAATGGACCATCTGGCACTGTCGCGAGTGACCAAAGGACATGTGACACATAATCTGTTATAATCCTCTTACCAAATTATCGAGCATCTGGACAAAGGAACAGAGAAGAAAATTATGAAATCCCTTAAGCACGAATGGAACTTGAAAATATGAGCGAATATTTGTGTGAAACATTAAGTACAATTATATATTAGTGGTCGACTGACCAACCCATGAATACCTAACCACACTTCTGGTTGACACAAATTGCTTTGTCAACCTGCGGTTTAACGGCCTTATAGTTTGAAAAGACAGCACATGATAAGGAGAACATCCTATTACAAGGAAAAAGAACATAATCCAAGTGACTGAGCAAGTTATATCTATTACAACATAAAAATTTATCTAGGAATACAGCTCGAACCCAATCAGTTCCATTGTCAGAATTTCGGAGTCAAGTAGTACGCAGAAAAGCAAACAAAAAGGGGTGATATTTCAATTTCAATTGCTAAAACAAAAAGAGTGAAATTTAAGTATGGAATTATATAATCATTGGATTTCATACATTATTAGTGATATCACATCACAATGTCAACTATAACACCAGATTAACACAAAGTACAATCATAACATAAACTGTTTATATCAACTTCACTTATTCAAAGCTCATCCTGTCTCATCAAATCTCCAAACTTTAAACATCAACAGGTATAGAGTTTTTCAGGGAGTCGCGGCGAGAGAAGAACCTCCAAAGGGGTTGCTTTTGGTGTATGGGTTCCTGGCGTCTCAGTCATGTCAACAGGCTTATCCATTGAGGTTCTCAAATCAAACATGTGAAGGAGCCTAGCCAGTGTCAAGTGAAGAGTATGGAGTGCAAAGGATGCACCTGGGCATGACCGTCTGCCTGAGCCAAAAGGAATTAGCTCAAAGTGATGACCTCGGACATCAATATTTGTGTGGTTTTCAAGAAACCTCTCTGGCTGAAAAGCTAATGGATTAGTCCAAAACTTCGGATCTCTTTGAATTTTCCCTACATTTACCAATAGGCGAGTCCCAGCTGGAACACGATAACCAGCTATGGAGCAGTCTTCCATGAATTCCCGGGGTATGAGAGGTGCAACGGGATATAGGCGAAGTGTTTCCTTGACTATTGCTTGAAGATACACAAGGTTTTTTATGTCTGATTCAACAACTTGGCGTTCAATGCCAACATGGAGGTCTAATTCTTCTTGTGCTTTCTTTAATGATGGTTGGTTATTCAGAAGCAATGACATGGCCCAAGTTAGTGTGGTTGTTATGGTGTCACCTGCACCAGCAATAAGAGCCTGCAAATAAAAACTTAAAAGAGTAAGGCTTTTGACTCACTCAAATTCAATATCACTTGTAAAAATAAAATGTATTTATTCCAAGAGTTTGTCCCTAATCAGTTATTTGTACATTATGTTCGCATACCAGACAGGTCGACTTGATGCTAGTATCCGCATCATATTGAAAACCTGACATGCGGCCTTTCTCCTCAAGTGACAACATCATATCAATGAAGTCTTTCTCACTCTTGACCTCTCCTGGAACAGAAATTCTCCTTTGACGATGCTTATTCAGCCAACCTGAAAGTATAACATCCAAGTCCTCGGCTGTCTTCTTCATTGCCTTCACATGCCCCTTCAAATCTAACCACCATAGAAATGGAAGTGCATCTGAAGCCACAAAAATGCCCATCAAGTGATAGAATTCAGAAATAGCTTTCCGGCACCGTTTTGACTCATCATCATTAGAGGAACCAGCATATTGCTTTCCAGCCACCACTCTAACAATCACATTAAGGGTCAAATCATCAAACCATCGGTTAAGTTCAAAAAGTAATGGAAGACAGCTATTTTTAGCCCACAGACCGTAAAGCTTCCTTATCCCCAAGTCCAGTTCAGTATGCTGGACTTGCTTGATCATCTCAAGACTCCGGTTTGAAAGAAGTTCAAGCATTACTATCTTTCGCATCTCACGCCAGTGGGGGCTGAATGGTGCAAAACCAAACACTGCATGGTTATAGCACATATGCTTCGTGGCTGCTGTAGTGGGACGGGAAGCAAGGATTTTATCATTTAGTGTGAAGCATTCCTTTGCTGATTCCACACTAGCAACCACAAGGGCACGGCGACTGCCTATCCTGATATTGAATACTGGCCCATATTTATCAACCATTGTTCCAAGTGTTTGGTGGAGAAGCTTATCTGCACCACCTAATAGGTGGAGGTGGCCAATGACTGGCAATCCACCAGCTGGTTCAGGGGCCTCTCTACCCTTGCTACCTTTGCTACTCTTTGTCCCTCGAAAGTATACATTGCAGAGAAAGATGAAGGAAAAAAATATAACAATTGCAGATAATTGGAGAGAAGAATCCATAATTGATTGAAATATTCATGCACATGAAACTTAAAACCCAGTTATTTATAAGCCTAATCCAACAATATTTTAATGCAATTTAGCATGAAGCATGACAAAGTCGGATAATTTCAGGCAAGGAACATGGCCTCCCTAATTATGCATGCATATGGAATACACATTCACATATATAGATAGCGGAAAGTTTTCAAATATAATTAATAATGATAGAGCTCTCTATTCCAGACACCCTGTTTTAATAAACCCTATATTCATTCAATTCTCAAATTGCACTTGGAATTAACATTTGTATCACTAATGTTCTAACAGAATAATTTAACAGTCACCTATTGTAGCTGAACCAGTGACATGAAGACAGTTAATAGCAAATATTTTTAGTACACATTCATCATTTAGATCCATCGTTTAGTGGCTGGGAAGTAGTCTAGGAGGCTTGTCAACCCACCAAATTATATCAGTAGGGTTTATATTTCACTAGACATTGATATGCCTCAACATCACGAAGCATGATTAACTTGTTAGATTCTGTATCTTCAATCTACCACACAAACCAATAGATGTGGGTTTCAAGATAACCTATCAAAATCACCACATTACATCCACTAATTGAATAAAAAACGCCCAACAACTGTTGCATCACAAAAACTACAAGCAATCACCAGTGACGGAGGTAATGTTTGATAAACGATTATAGAATAATAAATTACTGATATGTTTGATTAAAGAAACATAAATATGACGGAAGTACAGAATATTCGATTCATATTGACGAGAGTTGAGAATAATGCTTCAACGTATGCAGCTACCTGAATGGGGGCTTGATGTCAAAGCATGACAAATACGCAAGAACTGCGCCACTTGACCTTTTCATAATGTTTCCTCAACATACATTTCACACACTGCATGGTAAAAAGAAAAGTTTTTTTCTTCTCTCTCTCTCTCCACATTAGAGAACCTAATTAAGCAAGAACTTTTCTCATTACGATGATTTAAGCAATTATTTATAGCTTGATTTGTCAGACCGAATCTTCAGATAAATTTTATTTTTGCACAACTCCACCCCAAAAAAATTATTTTTAAAAAAATGCTTGCTTTGTAATGTAAATTAATGTTGGTGTGCACAAATTGTCTTGCTTGAATCACAGAAGTAAAAATTTCACTGCATCAAATGTAATTATCCAAATGGATGGCTTCAATTTTGTGCAATTATACTTCTGTCACCATCAAGAAATTTTTTTTAAGGAACAGGCAGGCAAAGCAACAACGGTCAGTTAGATCCACTGAAATTGAGTAAAACTTATCTTCAAATTCGAGTGAAATCTTGTAATATGATGATGACATAGCAATGCCCTAATACAAAACTTAGAATAAGTATGGCCTGCCCAAAACCCCTAAAATATCTTAATATATAGAGCTCCAAAAATGGTTATGAAGATATTATTTACATATATGATTGAGATAAAGAATTGAGCAAATTAATGGTGGGAGAAGTGGGACAAAGAGGATAGAGGGAGATAAAGACAGACGCGTAAGTTGTCTGAAAATCTAGCACAAGATATGATGTAATGATGGGCAATGTGGAAAAACATAACAGAGAATACATAAAATTCAGAAATGGTATGGGCAATTGAATTGTTGGTGCTCTGATAATCTGATCCAATTATTTTTCAAGAACAATCATAGCTGGACGATTCTAACAATTTCTTTCTTCTTCTTCTTCGTCGTCGTCAGTATCAGTAATTCAGCAGCACAATTGATTGGCATTTGCTGCGTTTTGCATCTGCATTTGTCGTTACTGTTTTGCAGCGCAAAAACCGGTCATTTGGGCCTGACGTTTTAAAAAGGCTTTTATAGCTCATGATTTAATTGGGCTGTGGAGCCGCCCGCTTCCATATTGTTCATTATTTATACGGACCTAATACAAATAATTCCTTGTTCTTATTATAATCAAATCTCATTTATTTTTAAAATACATCATTTTTTATTTTGGAATTTACTCTTTTTTTTTTTTTTTTTGAAATGGGAATATTTCTGAACATATACTTAAAAAAGTAATATGATATTAAGTGTTTACATAATATCATTGGAAATTTTGAAGGCAGGAACTATTAGGAGTTTCAGAGATACAATCCTAAATAACTACTGTTTGTTTGGTGGGAAAAAAAAAAAAATGAAAATAAGGGAAAGAGAGAAAGAAGAAACTCAAATTGATTAGAACTGTATTAATCTTTTACCGAAATGAATACAAATTTACCAGAGCAAAGCCTTTTCCGCAGCCAGTACAAAAATGATGACAGACACCACGCGTACAGATGAGCAATGACACCGTTTAGAGTTTTTGCCTGTCTGTACTGCATTTGTATCTGTTATTGTCAGCCATCAATTAACCGCAACTTAATCAAGTCTCAAAAAAACAACAAACACATGATTGACTTTTCATCAGTCATCCTCTGGAAAATTTTTACATTTTTCCCACCGGAAAATTTGGTTTAAATCCAGAACTAGTCATTGCAACTTGTAAAAGTTAAATCCAATGACTGTTTTGAAAACCAGTCTGAATATATATACTTGTCTTAACCGGTGAAACGGAAGCCAGCTTTAGTAATATCGGTTTGATTTTCTGTCTGGTGTTAAAGCATTGGTTAAAATCCTTGGATATATATGGAGCAAGTCACATGCAAGTTGAATCTTGAAAGGACATTACAGACGTCCATTTGATCATCCTGTTTGCTAACAGTATTCATCATTCGAAATTGGCAATGGCCTGTATAGTTCCTGCAAATATTCACTAATTTTATACTCTCTAGCTGAGTAGCTTGTCAATGGTCAAACATGCAAAATGGGTATATATATATAAACTAACAATCATTTCTGTGATTAAGAAGATGTTCCTGCTACTAGGGTGCAATTGATTGACGAACTAATAATAATAACCCAAGATTTTTAACATTATAACTTGACCCACCCTTTCCATGAATTAATCTGGACCCTCCATTTTCATGACCCCTTGCAAGGACAACATGCAGTCGAATCCATGGTCCCAAGCTCATTATCATCATGACAATTGCAGAATCATTACTAGCAATTTTCATAATTTTTCTCAGTTGTGAACGTGTCTTATCATATACTCTATAATTACTAATGTTACCAATTTTCAATTTTCACCTTTTTTCACAGCTGAGACAAAATTCCAATAACATGCATGAAAAATATTAGTAGATATTTTGGTCCATGCACGTTCACATACCAAAATATATATAATAAAAATGACAAAATTAATTAATGTGTTTGTTAGTGTTTTAACACTTGAGAAGGGTCAACTCATTTGATGACTCAGCATAGTCCATTTTCCAACTTGGCCTTCCAAGAGTGAACTCTAGGTTAACCAACATATCTGAAGATGACAAGGAGCTACGCTCCAATGTTTCTTTCACCCTATCAGACACTTGGAGGGCTTCCATGGATCCGTCTTCCTAATAAAAACATCATCATTAATCATAATTAGTCACAAGGATTTGGAAATATGCTATTGATTAATTATATTAAATCCAACATGTTACATGTTTGATTTTGTTTTTTATGACAAAATCTATATATATTAATTTTATATTTAAAATTCCAACATGTTACTGTTTGATTTTGGTTTTTCGTATGACAAAAGTCTATATAGTTATATATATATATATATTATATATATCCTTGGTCTCATGTGGTATTGAAATGGGAGGAATTATATGCCAATGCCTCAGTGTTTGCATTCTACTTTTTTTTGTCCTTTGTCTCCATTGATGATGACAGAGAACCTCTCGTTCACAAGAAAAATTACAAGTAATAATATACATCCTCAATACTGTTAATATTAGATTCCATTAAGAAAGGTATTCGAAATATGAGACGGGCATCGCGATTTCTTCTTCCTGCAACATGAAATTTATGAATGCTCAGATTAAGATAATTTCAGTATTGAAATTTGGCATCGTTCCAAAAAGCTCTGAAAAGGAACATAAATATAACTAGTATATGGTTGGAGAACCAAGTTAAACATCAATTTTTTGGTCTTTTTCTCTTCACTGTCCACCAGGTATAAGCCAACATATATATATATATACCTTGGTCTCATGTGTATTGAAATGAGAATTATATGCCAATGCCTCAGTGTTTGATCTATTTTTGTCCTTTGTCTCCATTGATGATGACCAAGAACCTCTGTTCACAGAAAATTACCAAGTAATAAATATAATCATCAATACTGTATATAAGATTCCATTAAGAAAGGTATTCGAATATAGAGACGCATGCATTTCTTCTTCTGCAACATGAAATTATGAATGCTCAGATAAGAACTAATTTCAGTATTGAAATTTGGCATCTTCAAAAAGCTCTAAAAGGAAATAAATATAAAATAGTATATGTGGAGAACAAGTTAAACTCAATCTTTTGGTTTTTTCTTCACTGTCCACAGGTATAAGCCAACAAAATCCAGCCAAACATTAATGGCTCGATCAACTAAAGGAATGACTACACTACTTGAGCAGTGGAAACCCAATTATGAATTACCCCTTGGATTAAAAAAGCCAAAATAAATATAGTAAAATAAATAAAATGAAGGCATTGAGATTTGGACCAAACCCTTGACTTCTAGCTTACATTGGGATCAAGGCATAATTAACAATATTAATCCAACGGATGTGGAATGTGAACTATTTTACATTATCATACAAAAATGCACGTAAATCATCAACGCTGTGAATAGAAACCCTAAGATCTATGTATGCACTAGAGACTCTTTCTAGTAATTAATTTAGCACAGACAGAACATATTGGAAAGAAAAGTCCATCACCAAGAAGCATTTGTGTATATGCGTGCATGTACGTTTTTCATTAATTTAATTTCATGCATAGAATTATTTTTCATTTTAAAATGCTGGGGAGGATAAACTAAGACGGATTAACCATAGGAGTTAGGAAAGAAAGCAAACAGCAAAAATAGAAGAGCTAGAAAGAAGCGCTCTTTTACCTTATTTGGGTTTTCTGTATGGTTGCTAGTGGTGATGTTGGTGGTGGGAGTGGTGGGTTGAGAGAAGAAGGGTTGGCTTCAGCTTTTAGAGCATCCACATCAGCAATCCCTGCTCTTTGCTTCAAACCCGTATTTGTCTGGCCTTGACCTGCAAATAGATAAAGCCGTTGGTCTTGCTTTATCAGACACCAACCGAAAATAATTCACATGGACTTCGAGTCCGTCCAATCCAAACTAATTTTTGTTTTAGTTGAAAACAGTAAATCAAATGATAAGAGCTTTTGGTCACATTTGAAACTAAGTGCTGTAGCTATCTCAAGCTAGCGAATATAAATATAATGGAAGAGAAAAAAAAAAATCTAGAGTAGTCCTTAGAAGGGTAATCTAATTTACCTGATCCTTTGTCAGTGCTCTTCACTGTTCTATACATCTGCATGAACACCCACAGCAAGAAAGAGAAAAAATGAGAAAAAAGAAATAAAAGTCCACATTCCTAAGATTACCCTCTGCCTCTCTAGATGCCCTTTTGTCTTTACCCTTTGTTCTTCATCCCCACTACATATGCGTGATTACAATATATATACAGAAAAAAACGACGATAAAAAGTGCAAGAACAACAATGGGAATATTGAAAACTATCTGCGCCTACACAATTATTCAAAGCATTGTAGATTGAACACAGTAACACCACCTGCAAGTGACTCTTCACGTGAGCTAGGGTTAGATCCTTCACATTCATCAACTCTAACACTGATTTTGGCGTTGCTCCTGTCACCATTTGTAGAAATACAAATTTAATAATAAGTGAACTTGAAATATAGGTATACATATAGAAACAAAATAAGTGAATGCAAGAATATCTTAATGAATTAGATCGTCTTGTATATAGTATTACTTTCATGGCCACCAAGAAGCTGGACCGCATGAACAAAATGAGCATGTAGAGTTGTGGTCCATCTCATTCTAGGAGCTCTAATGCTTCTTTTCACTCCACTAATCATTCTTCCATTTCTCTTGAACTCGCGGCCATAGATTTGAGGTTGGTGATGATGATGATGGTTATGAATGTGATTATTAAGATTTCTTGGTAGTGGCAGTGTTTTATGACTCAAATCAGTCATTTCAAAACCTAAGCTCAAAGTGGGTTCACTAGGGCCAAGATTATAACTCCTTTCTTGACTAAAGAAGCCATTTTCATGGCTCAAATCGCTTCCACTGCTGCCGGAATCTGTAGTTGAGCTCCTATCACTGTAAAGAGCTTTCCTTGATAATACTCCCTCATATGCCATTTTTTTAGCTTCACAATCAGAAGCTGATGGTGGGCTAATCTGCAAGGAGAGATCAGGCAAAGTTGATGCACTTCTCATTATCGGAGTTGAGCTTGAAAACATGAGGAGGATGACAGAGATCTAATTAATTATTTAATTTAGTCAAACTAGTAATTAGAAAGAGATAGAGAAAGAATGAGCAAAAAGTAAAAGGGATTAAAAATGAGAGACAAATAAGGAAAGTAGAATTAATAAAAAGGCAAGAACTTTAAAAGTCTACAACTTTGAAGAGAGAGCTATATCGATGGAGCTTTGATAGCTGAAAAGCAACGGAGTTGTGACCGATAACATGATTATATCATGAGTGGCTTATGATTTGCATGGGTGTTGAGAGAGAGAAAGAGATAGACGAAGAAGGTAAAGTAAAGTAAAGTAAAATAAAGGAGAAACAATAGGCTTTTCTTGATTAGTAGAATCAGTCTAGGGTTAATAGATATAGGGGATCAGAGAAAGGGAAAATTTTATATATATATATAAACAGAGATGAAGGGAATTGCAGAGAGCAGGGAGTACTAGTCAGATTAAAAAAATGCAAGAAAGGAGAAAGTAACAGAGGTTTTCTGGGGATGATGGTTTAAAAAGAAAGTTAGTAAAAAAGGGGAAGTTGTGTATTCAAGATTGCAGAGGGATCAGAGACATTTCTTCAGAGAGATAGGTAGATATAAAAGAGAAAGAGAGAGATGGTCTCTTTTCTCTTTATCCTTCTAGCGGAGAATGAAAAGGAGGTTCGCAGGGGATATAATGGCTGGGATTCGAGAAAACTAAAGGAGGTTACTGTTCAAAGGAATATTTGGAAGAGAATAGAGTTTTTTTTTTTTTTTCCTTTTTTCCTTTTTCTTTTTCCTTCTTACGCTTTATCTCTCCCCCTACCTCTCGCAATCTATCAACGTTTGATGGATTGCGACCCTTTTACATTCCTTAAACCTTTTTTTTTTTTTTTCCTAATTGTTGATCATAATTTCTTTATTTTTAATTGTGATTTTTATATCATTTACTAGCTAGGATTAAAGCATTTCCGTTTTTCCTATATATGTATAGCCAACGAGGATTGACTAGCAGGCCAAAATAAATATTATCCCTATCAAAGATGTTGTACCTGCTTTTTTTTCCGTTCTTCTTTTTAAAAATTGACTAGTTATTTTGCAAACCTCTACTTCTTGCATCTAATTAACTCTATACACACAATCAACAAGTCTTGAATCGTGTAGTTCCACACTTTTTTTCCTCAAATGAGGCCAGTTCGATCTATTCATGAATAAAGTAAATATTTGTTGAAAGCAATTCACCTCTTAATGAGCTGAAACTTGAATTATAAACTTACCATATGCATTTTATAGATTATGAACTTGAATTATTAAATGGTTAAATAAATTTAATTAATTGTATTGTAAACACTTCAATTAATTCATTGTACAGAAATTCAATTTCAAAAAATGACAATCTCAATCAAACGGAGAAATGGTCTGATATGTTGATTAATTTATCAATGGAAATTTCTTTTTTTAATGATTAGGTTTATGAATTTCTTTGACTAACTATACAGTCTAATTAATAAAAAAAAATCTGCATTTGTGATTAAACCCAATAATACAAAAATTAAGCTTAAATAGTTATTTTATTAGCAAAACACATATGAGGAAATAGCAAGTGGAGAAGTTCTGCAAGTTCCAGCACAACCTTAGCTCTTGTCCTAAACCGACCATTGCTATTGCCAGCTCTAGTCCAGTCAAGTAAGGGCAAGACTACCAAAGGAGGAAAATTCTCTATCTATAGTCTAGTCCAAGTAGTCTTTGGCACGCACGTAGCAATTAAATTTCCCATAAATATCGAGCTGTACACGTGCGACGCTCCACTATAAGAACTATAGCAGAAATATAAACAATACATACAACTACAAGGGATTAAATTTTGGTCCCGTGAAGAAGAATAAGGGAAAAAGAATAGGAATATAGAGTCTTATAAGAGAAGAAGTGTCAGATTGGGTGGGCTGTCCGGCGACACTCGGGTCACAGACCCACATGCAATTACTTCTTACCCACTCTCATTCTGATTTAACTTAAAGATTGATGCTGCCCCACGCGCTTTAATTTCTTCTCCCCCTCCAATTAATTCTATGCTCAAATTCAGGGAGATTCAAAAACAATTTCTGGCCCTATCTTAAAAGAGTCAAAGCTTGTTGATTTTTGCTATTTTTACACTTGTTCCAATGCCAATAGTGCAATAATTTTCATTAAATTGACTCTTTCTATCATTAATAGTTAAACAACACATTAATTGCATTTATAAACTAAGCAGTGACTCTCATTACGGAGTTTTAATTTTTTTTTTAAATGTTTTTTTGAATATTTTTTTTTAAAAAAAAAAAATGTTAGTGCACAAAAGAATTGAATTTTTTCTTTTTCTCAATTTATTAAGAATTAAATGACTGAAATAATATCATAGATTATAAAGTACGAAAACCTTTTCACTTCTATGAAATATGAAATAATCTTTTCAGTTGAATAATAGTTATCAATCAGTAAAATCTCTAATATATATGATCTATAGAAAAGATTTTATATCTGCAATCAATTAAACTATAACCGATTTGAAAAAAAAAAAAGTTTAATATTTATCACCAATGGGTTCTAAAGTACTAATAAAGTTTATAACTTAACTGGTAGAAATTCTTGAATATTAGTATATTATTAAGGCAGTAGTGAGACATGTGAGGAGGGGGGAGTAGGGAGAAAGCGCGTGGGAATTGGAAACGGAGTCGGAGCTCAACGTTAAATTGAACGAACGGGTAGTATTTGTCTAGTCTAAAATCTTGGTTTTGATCTCCAATATTCCCTCTCCGTGTCCAAATATTCCTTGGCTAAACCCAACTGTCGAGCCCCACCCGCGCGTGGAAACCCACAACAAATGCAAAAACAAAATCAAACCATATTCCTCGGCGTCAACATGGGGGTTCCATCACGTGACTTATGGACGTGACCTTGTCTAGGTTTATTCTATATAATTAGTCTCTTCTCTTGTTCTCTTCCTTTGTTCTTATTCTCTCTCTCCCGTTCAAATTGCTGCATTTCTTTATTTTAATTACGTTTATTCCTTTTGTTTATAAGCTGATTACAATGCCGACAATATGACTAGAAAATGATAATCATTTGTTAATACTTTTCGAAGCCGCGGTCAGCGCCTGATGCGCTCTAGATTCTCCGGGAAATTCAATTTCTTTTTCTCTATTAATTAAAAATTCTCTTTCGTTCTTTCTTTCTTTGGATTACTTAATTCTACACAGTTTGTAACTTTGTAGTATGGTAATATCCGGTCAACATGTCTCTCTATGGCTCACTTGCAATGTTGTCAAATGCTTTGGGCTATACATATTCCATATTCCATGTGTTTGTCTTATAACAACCACTTGTACATATTATACAATCTTTTTCCTTTTTCTTTTTTTTCTTTCCATTTAAAAATCTTGAAACATTAATTTTATATCATTCCCAAAAAAGGGTCTCCATTCTTTTTCACGTTAGCAACATGTAGTTGAATTTAGTTTAGTGGGTACTCATCATAATTAATTTTTATTATTCTTTATATATGACCATTTAGCACCAAAAATAATACTGTATATATAGTATAGAGCAAGCAAAGGACAGAGACAGCATGCTAGTTTTTGCTTATTACATAATCATCTACTTGTAAATGCATGTTGGTTATTTTAACTCTTCTCTACCAAACTGCTTCTCTTTCTTTTCTTTTTTTTTCCAGGTGCAAAATCACATGCAAGCAACAAGTTTTGAGTAAATCTTTTAACTTGATTGTATTTTAATTCGCCAATTAATTGAACTAATCAAATAAATATATAGTATAGCTTTGATTTGAAATCTCGTAACTTTATTGATGATGACTCTATGAGATCGGTATGGTAATTTGCTGTTTTGACTCTTAAAGTAGAAGATGTTCCAAAAACTTCCATTCTTCCGCTGCCCTAATTAAGCAGGATTTAGAGTTTTTGAGTAATTAATACTACACACTTTAATTAGGTTAGAGCAAAAATGGTGCGTGACTTGCAATTTAATTATATGCAAATCTCATCCACATCGATAAAAAAAAATTATGTATTAATCAGAAACTACAAATTATTTGAAAGGAAAGAAAAAAAAAAGGATACCCATTTGGAAGAATATTAGCTTCTTCATGGTGATTCGTGAGATCAGAATACTGGGCATGTGTTGCTTTGAAATATGGGTTTCTGTTCTACCTTCTCCCACTCCTAGTTTGAGTATTGAAGAGTAAGACAAAAAAGAAAGGAAGGAATCACCGAAATCAACGCCGTTTAGGCTGACGTGCACCGCGACATTACATCACATATTATAGTATATAGGTGTGCATGGTCTGGGGGTTTGGTTATTATATACTCACCCCTACTTACATCGTTTTGCTGGTTCAGTAGAATTTTCTTGTGTCGTTTTTGTGCGTGATATGAGACAGTTTTATCAGATCAAGACGAAGGAAAAGATACCCTTATAAAAAAGGAAACAGAATAAATTCTTCAAGGGTTTGGTGGTGCATCGTTTGATAATTAATCAGTAATCACAATCACAATAATGAGCTAATGAGTAATACTGTAATAGGGTAACGAATATATAAAACGGTCAAATCTCAGAACCCCAGTTGAGGGAAAAAGCTAGCTGCTTATAAAGGTTGGTTATTAATGGTGAGGATAGCTAAAATGGGCACTTTCGAACAAATGAGCTTGTATCATAAATTGGAAGCACCACACCGAACAGTGATCGAGATCTAATTGTTCCCACGCGCCACCGGGTGGAGGCCACTTGTCAGCTTCAGGAGCCAAAGCATCCATCCCTAAGCAAAAGTGGTCAGTTGTGATCAGACACAGAAGTCGTCATTTTACAAAGCAAGAATAAAAATTAAAGGCGAATGAAGTCAGACCCTACATGTATGTACATGCACAAACCCCACTTCTTGAATAATAAACCTTCTTTTTCCAATTTTACTAACCTAGGGATGTACCTAATTGGTATATCAATATCAAGAACCTCTTCATCCATTTAACAAACATAAACTTTAATTAATTAGCTTGGAGATTAGTTATCAAAACAAGAAAAAAAAAAAACAATTAAAAGATGTATAATTTATTTGCCGATATATGAAAATATTTTTAAAAATTAGACGAATGCAGAATGAAATTTATTGTTATTTATTTATTTGGTGGAAGTTCTGCAAATACCTACCATTGAAAATGAAATTTCGTTGGTGAGGTCAATACAACAGGGACAATTTACACCCCATGCGTAATTGACTAAGATGTTGAAAACCCTATCCTGATTACCGCCTGGCTGAGTGAACTGAAGGCGATGGATAGGTACCTAACTGCCTATCAGACATAGCCTCCTATCAACATTAATTTCTAAAATAACATCAATTTCTTGGAAATTTTAACAAGGAAGAAGGTACGATTTCTTGCATTTCTTCCAAGAAGTAAAAGTGGAGCCACGAAAATTAAATTTCACGGACCGTATGTTCTAAAAGTCTGAGAACCACTCTCCAGAAAAAAACAAAAAGTTATATACGTCTGGGGATTCTTCAACTTGTGTAGTGTAGGCTCTAGTGGTACAGGTTTAGCTTCTAAGCTGAGAAACCCGTTTCTTGATCCGTTGCTTTGATCAAGATTCGTAACAAATGTCACGGGACCCCACATCTACAGGCAGATCATGTGCCTGCTTTCAGAATGGCCACTATCACTTGATGATAACTTCGTAACTCTGGTCCTATTACAGTACAGCTGCTCTAGTTTACAAAAACTTTTAACCCAACCCAAATCTCTCAACTAATAATATAAAAGTTCCAGGTCCCCAGGTGGATCTCTTTAGATTTTATGTTTTGGAAAAAATGCATGTCAATTACCAGTTGTTCGTAGTATTCCATGGATAAAATTTTCACAACCAGTTGCTGATGAGATCGATAGCTGTAAATTTATCTGAGTCAAGTCATGTTGAGCTCAACATAAATCAGGCTCAATAAAAGTGTACTGGCGCTCAACTTATTTATAATTTATAATTAAAAGTAAAATAAAATTTACCCCTTTATAGACTCAAATTCGAGCTCAAATTCAACTCATTAAAATTGTAGGATGAAGTTTCTTCAAGCTGGACTTTAAGCAATTTATGAGTGGCTTTACAACCCAACCCAAACCTACATTTTACAAGCTTTTTGCTATTTTTGTTCCTTTTTTTTGTTTTCCATAACTAAGAGTATTATGAATCAATCTTCACACACCATAGCAAATTCACTTACTAATCAAGTTAATTCCTAAAAAACTTTTTACTATATATGCTTGTATTAATTATTCTAATATAAGGCTTTGAATTTTATTATATAGACATATATATTATTATTCAATTTGCTTAGATTTGGGCATATTTATGTATATATAAATAAAATTAAATTTGGTAAGAAGCTGAGAATTGTTTTAAATATTATCTCGTGACTCTGGCTCACTCTCATTTTCCAATAGTTGTCTGATGGACCACAAAATGTGTTGATTTTTCTATATAATTATTACATACATGTTTCCTACCTTGCCCTTTTCCTTTGACCCTTTCCAACATTTGCTACAAAAAATGGATTCCCTTTTTGGTTGTCAATTGTCAAGCTCTCCATTAATGGATGATGGAAGAAACTAAACCTCAAATGTCAACATCAGGAAAATAAATTCCTCCTTCCCCCATCCATTTCCTTTTCACCAAGGAATAAACTGCCTCCCATGGCGTGAACTGTGCTGCTGGTTTTCAACTTCACCTTAATATATTTACTTATTGTATTTTCTTTTTATCTCTTGTCATTAAGCACAATGTTAAAACAAAAAAATGGTTATGAAAATGATATCAACTTTGTTTCTAATGCTCATCTTTTCTTCTTGGGAATTAGCAGACTATGTTCCGGCAAGAAAAGAATGTCGACATGAAATTAAAAGATTGGATTAATCATTATTAGGTAATTAACACAAATTAATGAATATATATAATGCTATAATTAAGAAAAGGGGATTCGTTTTGAAGAAGAAGAAGAAATGTTGTACTATCTTAGGTAGGTTGTAGAAATATCCAGTGGTCATTTTGCTACAAGATAAGGTGATATATGTTGAAATGTACTTTGATTGTTTCCATTTGATGAGTTAAGAGAAAAACAAGCAGACAGGTTCAATTGGGAAATTGGGAACGCATGGCAGTATCACATATTAAGCAGAATATTACATGCAAGGGTAGCCTGCAAAGAGGGTGATAGCATATTCAGCTCCTTGTGAAATAATTATTGAGGGCATGTGAGGTCATGAAGAAAAAGGAATATATATACACACACGAATAGTCAAAGATGAAATTGATTCAAACAAAGATATAAAGAAGAATTGTACTGTAAAAGAGGGAGATAAGACATTCCTGGATTCTGATATTGCTTCTCATTTTAAACCAACAGGGTAAGCCTACTGTAGCTACTTGGCATTCTCATCAATTTCTAACGATGTGAGAATTTCCAATTATATTTGAAGCAGATTCTTGGATGAAATGGGAGTAAATTTTCTTTTTTTTCAGATCAGCAAAAAGAGAAGTAAAATTCATTATTAAGAAAAAGTAAACTGCAAGCAGTAAAAAACTCCGCATGCCCGGAAAACTATACCCAAGCCAGCAGGCTTTCCCCCAAACACCGAAAAATCCTAGACCTGGGCATGAAAAATAAAAACCTACTGTAATAACAAATTACAAATTAGATGAGTACCAACTTAACAAAATCAGCTTTGTTAAGATACATCATTTTAATTTGTCATTTTTATCATTAAATTTTTATTGTATTTCAATAGCTAAAATTCGGTAATCCAAATAATAATAATAATAATATGATATTGAAAATAAAATATTACTTGAAGAAAAAAAAAATTATTACGGAGAAATAAGAGGGGAAGAAGAATAACGTTACCAATATGATACTAATAATTATTTTTTTCCTGCTTATTTGGTTTAAAATCAAAGTAATATTGCCACATTTTTCCTGTTTTGAAACAATAATAATGGAATTCATCATCGCCTACACATACATAGGAATCATTTTTGCCTATGTTCTTTTTGACAAATTTGTTTTTGGTCGTATATACGATGAAAGGTCCAAAATTGTATCCTGTCGTTTTTTCTTTTTTGCTTTATGGGGAAGGTGTGGCGGGATTCATTGTCTGCATTTGTTTATTTTGCTTCAATTATCTACATTGAAATTTATTATAAATGGAAAATTTTGAAAATTATTATGCTATGGTGTTTAATCTTTATTAATACCATTCCAAAAGTTTGACCGTTTGTGAATGGAGACTCTCTACCAATTAATCCCCTTCCAACGTCATAGACCCAATGGGTCAAACCCAACGAAAAGGTCACTAGTATTGTTTTTTCTTTTTTTCTTTTTTTTTAATCTTTCTGTCTAATAACAAAGGTTAATTATATAAAAAGAGTTTTGACTTTTTTTTTATTTTTTTTAATTGAAACAGACTTTTGCAATTAACTCTTACATTTACTCTCAAAGGCAAAAAAAAAAAAAAAAAAAAAAAAAAAAAAAAACAGTCCATGGCGCGTACAGCATCATTAGGAAATCATCTTTTGCCTATGTCTTGTTTTTTGGACAAAATTTTGTTTTTTGGTCGTATATACGATTGAAAAGGTCCTCGCAGAAAATTGGATCCTGTCCGTTTTTTTACTTTTTTGCTTTATGGGGAAGGTGGTGGCGGGATTTGCATTGGTCTGCATTTGTTGTATTTTGCTTTCAAAGTTAGTCTACATTGAATTTTATGTATAAATGGAAGAATTTTTGAAAATATTATGCTATGGTGTTTAATCTTTATTAATACCGATTTGTGCCAAAAAGTTTGATACCGTTTGGATTGAATGGGACTCTGCTTAAACTAAACAATTTAATCCCCTTCCCAACGTCAGAATAGACCCGATGGGTCAAACCGCCCAACGATAAAGGTCACCTAGTATTGTTTTTTTCTTTTTCTTTTTTTTTTTAATCTTTCTGGTCTAGATATAGCAAAGGTTAATTATATAAAAAGAGGTTTTGCACTTTTTTTTTTATTTTTTTTAATTGAAAAGACTTTTGTGGCAATGTAACTTCTTACAGTTTACGTGCTCAAAGGCAAATGAAGAAAAAAAGAGAAAAAAAAAAGAATAAAAAAAAACTCTATATATCTTACTAATTTGTAAGAAAAAAAAAAAAAAAAAAAAAAAAAAAAAAAAAACTCTATATATCTTACTAATTTTAAGAGTGAAATACTTATAATTAGAACCGTTAAACTTATTTATGATCGATTTTAAGAAATTTCAATCTAAAAATTACATCGATCTATTTTTGTTTGGTTAATATGCATGAGATACATGAAATATAAAAATAAATGATACGGTTTTATCTTAATTTAAATATATTATTCATTTTCACTCAGTAATCTCGATAATACATTTATTCATGTTACATGTGAGAGTGAAGTCAAGGAAAATAATGTTATAGAAAATAAATTGGGTTTTCTTGATTAATGAAAAAGAACTTTTTACTTTTCTTGTGAAAATTATAAACGTTGCCTTTTTATAAGTTTATCTTTACAAAAAGCTTCATGGTAATTTTGGGCCGGTCTAATTCCAATTCTGTTCTTTATATTGGTGGACAGTTTTGTAAATGATAATGGGCTCATAGTTAGAGCCACTGAAGTGGTTTTAATCCACACCAATCCAAGCCCAATTTGCCTGCTCTTGATGGCCCAAAACTCAAATCGAACCGAATCTAAGTCTAGCTTTAACCTGCTTCTTCTTCCGTTCCTGCTTTGTTCGAACTTCTTTCTTCCTGGGATCTCGAAGTCACAGACTACTTCGAAGAGGAAAGAGTTAACAGAGAGAGAAGGCGGGATGACGGTGTTTCACTTCTTCAACTGTGCTATTCTCACTTTTGGTCCTCACGCCGTTTACTACTCCGCCACTCCCTTGTAAGTTGTCTTCTTCCTTACTCTGTCTATAACTCTTTTAAATGAGATTTTAAATAATCTTATCAGTTCTTCTATCTTGTATTAGTTCATCGATCTGTTTATCTAATCATAATTCTAACTTTAAGCCTATCTCGCATTCATAATTTACCAAAAATTCGCCTTCAATTAGACTTTGGAAAGTAAAAATAGCATCTAATTTTGAATGATTTCGACTTCGACGATCTACTGTTTAATTTCTGCCTATCAAAATGTAAAGGATCATTTTCAAAAATTTATCTGTGGATGAATTGCTCGGAAATGTTTACAGGTCCGAGTATGATACCCTTGGCACATCTGTTAAAGCTGCCCTGGTTTATCTAGGGACAACGCTAGTAAAGGTGAACAATGATGATTCATTTATGCTCTATCCATTTAGTGTTTTGCTCTTTCAAACTTATTAAACTTGTGCGATGGATGGTTTCTCCAATGTGTTGCAGCTTGTTTGTTTGGCTACTTTTCTCAAGGTGTCTGAGAATGATAGTTTTGATCCATATCAGGTAATTTTGATAATAAGTTCCAAGGTTGGCTCAATTTTTCACATTTTAAGAAGACCAGATGGTGCTTTTAAATGCAAACTCTAGTTTACACGATATTATGCATGCTTCAAAATAGCTTCTACTTGGTACTCAAGCATCACTTATGAACATGAACTTTAAAGCTGTTTAATGGCATTTTCAATGTGATAATGCATATACAGTTTATATATTCGCGTATCATATTTAACATTAGCTTCAGGTACCATTCCCATAAGTTTAATCTTGCGTTTTGTTTGTGTTTCACTGTCTTTCATTTATGACTTCAATTTGACCTAACCAATCAACACAATTATTCAAAACAAAGGTTTTTTTTTTTCTCTCATTACTGTGGGATACATTTGCATAAAATGTGCTGCTCTATTACTTGGTTCTGGTTTTGACTGTGAAACAAATGTTCCTTAAAACAACCGGAGGAGAAAGGAGATCGAACATTTCATGGCTTTACAATTCTTCTTCTTGTTTCTCCTTTAAAATTTGGCATTCGGTTGCTTTGTAGCTCTCTGAAATGCACATGGATCTTCATTGCATTCTTGCTATATATGCAGTTAGATGTTCATCATTTTCTCTTTCTTGCTAACTGATTGATGTGATCATAGATCTTTAACACGCTATATTTTCCAGGAGTTGTTGAAAGCACTAATTGGTTTCATAGATGTTGCTGGGCTGTACTTTGCCTTGACCCAGTTAACTCATCGGAATATCTCTCAAAATCATAAATTTCAAGCTGTTGGACTTGGTGAGTAAAGATTGACCAACTTGTTTCATTGAAATGAAAAGTGCATTTTAAATTTTAGTTTTTAGAACTGGATGAAATTGTTGCCTCATCAGCTTGATCTTTGAACTTTTCTCTAATATGTTTCATAAATTTCTTTCCATTTTTATCATTCAATTCCTAAGAAAATTGGTGACCTGAATTGCAATGGGATTTACATTACATTTTTGTGTAATCTCTACCCGTTTCCCTTTCTATGTGTATTGTTATCTGACAAAGTAGAAGAGCATGCGAGCTATTTGTGAATCCCTCAAAATGGTCTAGAAAATTTCTTGTCACTTGACCTTAATTACATATATTTTTAATCTCTGAAACACATTTTTCCCATTGCAGGGTGGGCTTTTGCAGATTCTATTTTACATAGACTGGCACCTCTTTGGGTGGGAGCTAGAGGACTAGAATTCACTTGGGATTACATTCTGCAAGGCCTTGAAGCAAATGCAAACCTGGTATATTTACTTTTTGGATCAATACAAGTTATTTTCTGTGACTGCTTTTGGGAAGAACAGTTCTTTTTAATTAGTAATAGACAAATAGTAGCAATTTGAAAGCCTAAATTTGTTAAATTTTGATGATTGGTTAATATTTAAAAGTGATATCATCTGTCTCCCTTCGTTGGTTTTTACATTCAGTCCTCTTGAAATTCAGGTTCTAAGTATATCCCTGGCTGCATTGGGATCTTTGATGTGGCTCCGAAAAAACAAACCCAAGACTTTAATTCCCATAATATATGCATGTGCAGGCATTGTGGCAACAATGCCATCAATCACAAGGTATGCTTCTCATCCTTATGCCCGGACATCATTCATTTTTTTTTTTTTTAAATGATCTAAGCCTTTTCATGATACACTAAAATTTGAAGTTATAGAAATGTTTCATTGTATCAAATGCTTTTTGAACACTGTACAAATCTGTTGCTATGTGCCTCCTTTGAATGTGAACAAATTGCCAGAATTTGATTAATAATCAACAAGATTACATTGCTAACGGAAAAAAAAAAGTATTTTCATTTTGTATGATTACATTTCTGTTCTTCCATGGCACACTAGTAACTTACTGGACAGCTGTGATTATATCATCTGTCTTATCAAATTATGGCTTTTGCAGCTATTTGAGAAGAGGATTGGGGTGGCATTTGCCAAAAGTGGTAGGCTTCGAACTGTTCACTTCTCTGGTGATGGCTTTTATTAGTTGGCAACTCTTTTCTGCTTGTCAAAGACCCTCGTCCTGAGAAAGTCCAGTGCCATCTCTAACACTAGATAGTGGGTTGAGGATAGATTTGGAGCATAATGAAACGAAGAAGTTTAGCTGTATGACTGTTAAATACCCCTTGGAGATTGTTGTAATGTTTTGTTTTAATCTTACAATATCCTTTACTTTGCTTTAAAAATTATCAATTTGTAACTTTCATTTTTCCTTTGATTTTTGGAGGCTTGAACAAAGAGCGTTCCTTTACCACTTAAGTTCTGCAATTAAAGAACTTATAGAAGATTTTGAATGAAAATGTTGGAATTAGGTCTTATATTTGGTGTTAAACTTAAACCGAGTGTTGTGGGCACTCTAGTTTGGCATGTTGATAGCCCTGAAATTACTTTTGAAATAAGATATAGAATTGAAGCCTTGGTCTTGACCTTTATGGAAACGAAGGATAAAATTTATTATTGATGATTCATTCCAAACAATTTCGTTCTACATAAAATACAAGATAGACAAAAACAAGAATGGTCTAGCCACATAATCCATGACCACCGATGAGGTACTTTCTTAGCTCTCAGATTCCTCAACATATGCTTCAATTCGAAGTAGTACAAATCCAATAGCTACTCCGACCAAAACAAGGCCATTCATAATGGCAGCAATCTGGAATATCTCACCAATCTTACTGCACTTAGAGGAGAGAGCACCTCCACCTCTTCCTTTCCCATTTGATGCTTTCAGTGAGCTAACCACGTTCGCAAAGCATTGTTCAGTGCAGACTGGCATGCCCAGAGACACCACTGTGTTGTGGGCTTTCAGACCGCCGTAAGCATTCAATCCTCTTATGTACACCGCTCCGTTCACTTTCTTCTGGGGCTTGCTGCCAATGCTCACAACTGCACCGGTGACTCTGGCAGGGGCGAAGGCGGCTGCTGTGGTTGCCATCTCTGTTTTATGCACAACGTAAAAGAAAACAAGAGAAAATGAAACAATTGTGCAGGAATTGAATTGCCAAGCGTAAAAGAGAATATCAGAAGATGAATTTAGAAAATGGAATTTGCTTGAAAAAGAGAGAATGGATTACCTGTTGTTTGGATTGGAAAACTTGAAAAGAAGAGGACGGGAGGCAAAGGCCACTTACAGTATTATTGGGGTGAAATTGGATAAGGTGAATAACGAAATGGTTGGCTAGCAATTCAATTAGATGGATGGTCGACCAAAGGGAAGAGTCGAGCCATACACACGCAGCTGCCTGCCTGCCCACGTAGACAGCCAAAAATAATTAAAAAAAAAAATAGTAGTTCATAATCCTAATTTGAGATATTATCCATTTAACCTCTCTCAAACTCTTGCAAAGAGTGTTTTTTCTCTTGTTCTTTTTAATTTCTTATACAGGAGGAACAGGACATGATAATAATAATAATAATAATAATAATAAGTGGTATTATACCATATATTCAATAATTTATAATAATTAAATATTTTATTTATGTATATTTTGCGATAATCAAATATATGACATGCTATGATGATTATGAAGGTATAACTATCATTTTTTTAATAATAAGAATTATGCAGGTAAAACATATTAATATTCTTTCTGGTAATTTCAACTGCTAATAGAGATAGAATCAACAATTGTTGAACAATTATCAAAAGCAATTTTCTTTCACCTTTCTTGCTTCGGAGTCAGGAATCAAATAAAGATGCTTATAAACTGACATTACACATTAAACAAGACATAATCTTCCATCTCCACACACAACGATTATAAATTAATTTTATAAGTAACACGAAAGATTAATCTGGACATAATCCTTCCATCTCTACAACCCACACATGGATGATCTCAGCTACTTGGAAACATTCCAAGCTCACTGCTCCGTGTCACAAAATATCCTCCATGTAGACCTTGACAATCTTGGAATGCAAAATATCAGTAATCTTCATGGAGAACACGAAAGATGTTAACGTCCAAGACAATAGCATCATTCACTGGGCTCGCAGGTTCAAAAACAAGCACATCAAATTCATTCAAGTCATTAGCTATGGCAAAATTCTTCCATCCAGAAGAAAGGCCACCGCTGTTTTTAGATCTCTGATAATAAAATTTGGTGTTCCATGTATTCTCTTTTACCCTTAGAATCACATCTTGTTTTTCCAGAGTGCTGAGATGTTTAGACATCCACGCGGAAGGTATTGACTGAAAGAAAAAGCCCCACAGACATAATAAATAACAATATATCATTCTTGATAATAGCAGCAGTTGACACAAAGAAATGCAACAAATTCGGAAATATAGTGCAAGGAGATGATGTATGTACCATGTAAAATCTCCTGTGCACGTGTGTGGGTTTCATAACTACCATGAAACCCTCCCTTGTTATTGCTGCTTGTGCCAGTTGCAATGCGTTCTGTTTCTCTTCATCTGTTACTAGCCTTCTACTTGATATATAGGGAACATCATGCACCACACTTGGACTGACATGTTCAATGTCTGAATCAGACGGAAAATCCATCAAGCACAGTACATATGTATCCAACAAAACAAAGATCCTCATTAACCATGAAAAAAGCTAATGTCTAATGCTGCTCATTATAGAACTTCAAGAAAATTATTAAAAAAAAAAAAAAAAAAAGGAATACAAAAATGAAGAGAAAGATGGATATTTCCAAAATAGAGTAGTTGTGCAAAGCAACATTCTGAAAAAGAATACCAGGTTTGACATCTATTTCCTCAGAAGTAGAAGGCTCTTCATGAACAGGATTGAACTCAATTTCCCTCCGAGTCTTTTTGGCAGTGGCTCGGAAAGTGACAGGTTGTCCTGATGGTGTAGTGTCAAAGTCATTATTTGCAGATTTCTCAGGTGGTGAGCCCCCAGCAATATCCTCAGGATAAGGAAGAGTACCTTCAGCAGAACTTTCCCCAATTTTTCTTTTTGTTTGGCAACTACTATCAGGTGTTCTGTGCCCACATTTTCTGACAAAATATGAAGCTGCCTTCTCACACAAGCTCTGGCCATCAAATATTAGAACATCAAAGCATGAATCCCCATTATACTTAAAGATCAACAGATCTTTCTCTTGCAGAAAATGGTCATTGACAAATTCTTGCCATCCATAAATGAAATACACAATATCATGAAATGTCATGAGTCCAACTTGCCATGTATTGCCACTAGGACCTTTAAGGGTTATTGTTTTAGGTAATTTCTTTCTCAAATTTTTCGTAAATTGTTCTGGGATTGCCTGCGATTCATGCACAAGAAGCAACAAACAAAATAAGAATTTGAGACAGCAAAAGGGTAAGGATCATTAATATATCAGCCGTGATCATACGGAAAAAAGTTAAGAGAACAGATAATTGTCAGGCCCCAACACTTTATATTCTTGGCAGAACTGGAAGAATGATACAATAAGATGCTTACAAGTGCTAAAGCTTTAAGAATTTAAAAAGCAGCGCTCATTTCACTTTGTTCATATACCACATTTATCTTTGTTCATGCCAAGTAAGCAAATGCAAAACTGAACTTCTAACCATGAGAGCACACTGTAGATGCATTAACAAATACCATACAAAATGTAATTAGGCTACGTTAAATGGATACATAGGAGAAGGTAGTCCAAATCAGAAAATAGAGAAGAAAATCCCAAAGAAACCAGAAAAAAATAGTCGTAGCTCAAAATAAATTTTGAGCGTGTTGAAGATAAAGCATTTCCAGTATGAAAATTTGAACCACATAACCTGATACCTAATGACCCAAATCAACTCATCATTATGCAGGATAACACAAGCTCCCAATTACCTAATAAACTCAATCAGCAAAAAAAAAAAAAAAAAAAAAAACCAATTACCTTAATAAACTCAATCAAGCAAAAAAAAAAAAAAAAAAAAAAAGGGGGAGAATAAGTAATAACAGTGAGTGCTTTCATTTTATAAATAAAACTGTTTATTTATTTCCGTACAGTTTTAAGAAATGGAACTAGAACGATTTGTTTCAGTTCAGTATAGTATTATACTTAAATAAATGTCAGTTTTAAGTTTTGAAAATTTCATAATTGGTGGATTCACAATTTAGTGGTCAAAATTCTCTCAACCGACCTAGACTGTGTAATACCCCTAAATAGAAGGATTCCATATAACCAAAAAAAAAAAAAAAAAAAAAAAAGGGGGAGATAAGTATAACAGTGAGTGCTTCATTTTAAATAAAACTGTTTATTTATTTCGTACAGTTTTAGAAATGGAACTAAACGATTTGTTTCAGTTCAGTATAGTATTATACTTAAATAATTCAGTTTAGTTTGAAAATTTCATAATTGGTGATTCACAATTTAGTGTCAAAATTCTCTCAAACCGACCTAGACTGTGTAATACCCCTAAATAGAAGGATTCCATATAACCAACACCAAACTATTCTAAGCTCAAATTACAGCAAAAAAATGTCAAAATAAAAATTTCAAGCATTTGTTGAAGATAGAGTATTTCCTTAGCAAAGGCTTTGTGATTGCTGTATCCAAAAGAAAAGTTTCTCCATTTCTTAACTATGCTAAGAATAAAAACGTAAACAAGCAGAAACTCCTGATACCTAATGACCTAAATTAACTCATTGCTAAAAAGGATGCCCAAAAAAATTTATACATTCTAAAGAAAAAAGAGCTATAGTTTGTAGAAAGGAACTCACAAGCTTCCGATCAAAACCAGCATGGAGAAACTGCGAGAAATGGAGGCACTGGAAATGGGTCCAATACATTTCCTCTTCCCAGCTTCTACAATCCCCGCATGCTTCTTCTCCCATTTCCAATAATATCAAAACTGGAAGACCAAAGAAACGAACTCAGTAGAAAGTTTCAAACTTGTTTGAAACGATGAGCATAAGAGCAAAAAATCCCCAAACCTAACAATTTTTAGGAGGAGAAAGAGAATAAGAAGAAGAAATGCCGATCAAAGACAAGAACCTCAATCGATTGAAAAACGACGGATTCCAAGAAGATAGATGGCAAAATCACTCAAAATTACATTGTTCGCTGCAAACATAAATAACAGAACGACAAGAAATCAATGCCTCCAGCAATCTTTTCTCAATAAAAGGATAAAATGAAAATAGAAACTTTCGAGCTGAAATTAAAAAAATTGCAAATCTTTGCTATCGAGTGGCATTACGAGAGAGAATCTTAGAAAAAAGATTGCTCGCTTGGCCATGAAATTGCTATCGGTGAAGAATGTCTGCTGTTACTAAGCTTCTTTCTCCTCCTCCTCCTCTACTGTTCACTCCACTTCCATTGTTGCTTACTTTTATGTGCATTCTGATTTTCTACGTTACTAATCTTTGCAGTGATTAAAATTGGATCCTAATAGTTTGCCACGTGTCTAATCGAACGGTCATTTGTACTTCAGCGGTTGGTGGGGATATTTATGATGGATCCTAGTCGCCGTAAGCCAACTACTGAATAAGATTAGAGAATGCCGTAAACGTATTGGATTTTGGCAGTTACAAGCCAAAAACGAATAAGAGTATTAGTTTAGGGATATCTAATTATTTAGGTTTAGGAATTAGGATGGTTAAGATTATTTTAAAATTTTATTTAATTCACACAATGAATTTTAACTTAGGTTTAATTAATGAAATCAATATTTAAAAAATAATTTCTCAAGTATAGACCAAATAAGATTTTTAATCTCAATTAACTCCAAAAACAAGAAAGTATTGTTATTAATTTTTTAATAAGGCACAAGAAAGTATTTTTAATAACTCAAAACACAAAACAAAAAACAAGACATACTACTACAGTTTTATAAGGTAGGTTATTTCAGAGCGATTATAAGTTTAGAAAAAAAAAATTTAACTTCATGATAAATATGCCAATTAAAAGAGCTAATACATGATTATGTGATAAATATATTGCCTCGCGATACATCTAAAATGTGCATTATAAAACACCAAAATACAATGTTCTTGTGCACAGTTTATTTACATCAGAACATTTTAACAGTAAGATTATACAACAACTAACATTTTAACCAGCATGATTTTCTACAACACCTTACAGAGGCACAACTCGAAAGATGTTAACATCAAGGATAATCTCTTTGTCGGTCAAGCTGCCTGGTTCAAACACACACACATCAGATTCATGTAGTTTGTTATCCACAACAAAATTCTTCCACCCTCCTGCAAGTCCTCCTCTCTGTCGATTTCGATCTTTCCGGTAACATAATAATCTCATAGTCCATGTTTTCTCTTTAATTCGAAGAGTCACAAGTTGTTTTTCTCGACAAGCGATATGTTTAGTGATCCATGCATAAGGTACATTCTGAATGAAGCAACAAAAAATTTAACGAAAAAATACAATGCTTTCTATGCAATCACAAAGGGAAAAGACATGCTTACCATAAAAAATTTTCTGGATACATGTGTGGGCTTCATGACTGCAATAAATCCCTCATGGGTTAATGTTGCCTGTGCTGCTTGCAACACTTTCTTCTTACGGTCAATGTCTACATTTTGGATGGAAGGGAAAAAAATTAAGAAATGCAATCAGACTTCATTAACAAGACCAGTACTAACAGCATATGCTTGTAGAAAAGGGCCTTGACAATGCAATAGCATAACAAGGTAGACAAATTCATTATGGCACAAGAAATTTTTCAACAAACAGACAATAGAAATGGCGAAAAGTAAAGAGAAGATTTATTAACAAAAAGGGTGGTCAAGAAGCTACCAGGTTTGACCTCTGCATCTTCAGTACTAGTATCAGTTCCCCTCATTCTTACAGTAGGCGAATTGAACTTAATTCCTCTTTGAGCTTTCTTATTAACAATCACAGGAGTATATATTTCCTTATTCCTTGGTTTCTTTGGCAGGGAACTTCCACTACCATCCCCAGGAGAAGTTATAACAACTTCAGCAGAATTTTGACTATTTTTTCTTTTTGTTTGGCATCCAATATCATGTTCTTCATGCTCCCGTTTTCTCAGGAAATAAGAAGCTGCATTCTCACACATGCTTTGTCCATTAAACACCAGAACATCAAAGCGAGACTCCCCATTGTACTTGAATACCAAGATATCATTTTCTTGAAGGGAATGGTCTTTGACAAATTCTTGCCAACCTTGATCAAAAAACAAGGTGTTTTCATTTGCTGTTAGGCTTACTTCCCATAGAGCGCCACAAGGGCTTTTAAGATTCACAGTATCAGGCAACTTGCTTTTCAAATTTCTAGCAAATTTTTCGGGTATAGCCTGCAATTCTATGCACTTATTAGAATTCAATCCACAAATGGATTAGAACATAATTATAGTTTCAATAGGACTAGAAAGGCACAAATTTGCAGATAAGCACAGAGCAAGAATCAAAATTTGATACTTGGGAACAATGATAATTTATGTAAAACTTTGAGCATAAACGTGTTTCCTAATCCACATAATATTCAAACTGTTTAGAAGTCTCTGTCCTGAAATTATACAAAGCGAGAAATTCCTGCACTGCACATAAACAAAATTCATAATCTCTAAATTGAAGAGGGTCAAAATTGATGCCAGTTCCTCTGAGGGCTAATTTTCAGACAAAATTATAGCACAGATGCATTACCCCTTAATTATGAAGCAACCCAAACCATAGAAATATAATTTCAAGAAGAATTATGATATATAGTCAGGAAAATAGAGGAGATTAACTTACCAACCGTTGTTCAAACCCAGCATGCAGAAACTGAGAGAAGTGAATGTACTGGAAGTGGGACCAATATATGTCCTCTTCCCAGCTTCTGCAATCCTTCCTTGGCTCTTCCCCCATTTCTATTCGCATGCAGCCCTCAGAACTAGCAGATCAACAAGCCACAACCGCGGATGAACACAAGAAGTAGTTCCCAAAATTCAACAAGATGAAAAAGGAAATATAAGGAAGCTGACTATTCTGGTATGCATTTTCTCCAGTCCATCTTTAGAAATGGCAGCAAATAGATACGGCAGAATAGGTAATTAGAGAATTATATCAAATTATGGAGAAAAAGAAAAAGAAATGAAATTCATTAAGGAGACTGAAGCTGAGCAAGAGAGTGGAGGAAACAAATTACTTGACCAAGGCGTGGAAATCATAGCAAAAGGTATAGTTAATAATTAAAGTGACAAGACAAGGATCTTGAAGGACGAGTCTCTGCCTAGACACCAACAAGCTTAGGCTTTGCAATGAAATGGAGAGCCCACCAAGATCCACTGTCGAGTATTTAGGGTGGAAGATGCTGTGTATTTGTTAAAAACGAGATTTTTCATAATACAAATCCATAAATGGTGATGTAGTGATTAAATATTCTCCACGCCACGTACTTCTGTGATTAAACAATTAATTTAAATTTTAATGGTTGTTCTGGGCGTAAAAAATTTAAATTTCTTAAATAAAAACTTAAGCGTTTGAAAAAAATATTTACTGAAAGTGCTCTCTTTATATTTCTTAAATAAAAATTAATATTTAAAAAAAAATTTCCACTAAAAGCGCTCTTCTTATGTATCCGACGAGCAGTTTACTCTAACAGAGTAATGACAATTGTGGCATAAAAAAAAACCGAACATTGTAATGCATTATTTGAGATATTAAAATGAGCATTATGAGGATCAAGGATGTCTCGCTCCTCATCTAATGAACCTCTTCCATTTGATCAGTGCTATGGCTTACTGTTATTGACTAATATTTGATTTGATCAGTTTAATTAGGCAACTTTTAATGCCTAATCTTTACAGTTCGTTGCCATTCATAGTGTCCAAAGTATTGTCTTTACTACATACTATTGCTAAGGATACAGGTGCAAGCCAAAACATGAATAAACCAACGAGAGATACAATGCATGTACAAGTGTTGGCTACTTGGTTAAGGCTTATTCAGACACGCTGTTGCACCGAGGAAGCTACCTTACAAATTCACAAAATCACATGGACAACTCATGATTCACCAAAACTGATAATCTGTCTCCGCTTCCACCACCAATATTTTCTTCATGCCTCATGAAGGACAGAACGCTTCGTCTCCAACTCCAGATATATGCACTAGCATTTCACACTTACTAACGAGTTCAAATATGCAGATATCTCCCATTTTAACATCATTCTCGCGAACAAAAGCCATCCATCCACCACAGAATGTATGCACTGCTCGCCCTTTTGAGTCTGGAACTGAATTTACTGTCCAGCGTTTCCCTTGTAAATTACGAAGGATAATTTCTGTTTTGCTATTGGGGAGATGTGCTGCAGAAAACTTGTGAGGTATTTTCTGTATGATGGTAATTTGTCAGTGATCAAGAAGACTTCTTTATTCCAAAGGTCAAGCAACTCGTGCTTTCTATGAGTTTATCTTATGAAAAGAAGAAGGAACCCTAGAGAGACTCAAGTGGCTTAACATGCTTGTCAAGGGAACGTGAGGAAATATCATTTATGTCATATAGCCCTACATCTAAACAAGTTTACAGAGAGCATATGAACCTGCAGACGGGGGTGTTTGTGTGCATATGAACCTGCAGAGAGCAGAAGTTCAAAAGATAATCCTCGGTGAAACTAACAATCACTTTAATATCATTTTGAATAAGCAAATGGAGTCGAGGCTTTTCAGAATCCAAGTTTGTAAGCAAAAAAAATAAATGAGTTGTGCCCTGACACAGTGAAACGGAGGATCAAAAGACAAGTCAGTCTTCTCATTATCAATCAAAACCAATGCGGGCAAAAACAGGGGAACATCAAGACTCCAGAGGATTAATGTTATTGTGTTGAGTTTAGCCAAGAAAGTCTATTAATATCAAATTATCCCTTCATGATTGTGATCTTATTAAGGTTTCTGGATCTAATTTGTTAGTATATGCACAGTATTTATCAAGCAATTAGAATGATGCACGATCATAAATCCTTCAATAAATCGGTCAGTAAAACAATTGAGGAAACAAATAAAATGAAATAACTCACCAAAGTATAAGAACCACTGACGTTGAACTTTCTCATGATTCTAACAAAATTAGGAAAAGCTGAGGTAAAAGACTTGGCTGCATCTTTTTCACCGAGTGCTACCATCATTTTCACACTAGCTCCAGCATGTGAACTCAGTTCAATATCTAAATTCTTTCCACTACGAATGGCCACATCTGTTTGTAATCAACAACCCAATTTATGTAACATGGAATTACTAGAACAAGTCCAATAGACTTAAAGTTACAAAGATGTTTCTTAAGATTGCACAAAAAACCATCATTAGTTTCCTTTAAATATGGTGAAAATCCAGAAGTGATGCACAAATACAACTGCTAGGAACACAATTTAAAAAACACTAGAAAAACAACAAAATTTTCAAATAAGATGCAAGGCAGAACATACAATTACAAGCAAATTCATAACTGAAAAACCTAGAACAAAAATTGGATCCCTTACCCAGCTTTTCATTGCCAAGTTTAGACTGAGTGCACAGTGCACCACTTGCAGAGACTTTTGTCGCTTTGTCATGTTTCCTTGTGTGATTGGAAAATGTTGCTTCTTGGCTCTTGTTAGACCCCTTTTTATCACATATTTCTACCTTACTGATGAGCCGTGAATGTAGCTTTAAAGCAGTCCTTCTCGATTTCTTTGGAAAACTTTCGATTTTGTGCGAAATGGCATTACACCCAACACTTACCCCATCAGAAGCCACTTTTCCACCTTGGTTTTCCAGGAATTCCCTTCCAACTCGAAGAATAAACACACGTAATTCATGTTTGCGTACAAGCTCAAAAATACAAACATCTCCCAGTTTGATGTCATTACTGCGGACAAAGGCCATCCATCCTCCACAGAAAGTATGACTTGTGTGTACTCTTGTTGTTGGCACAGAATTTACAGTCCAACATTCTCCTTTGATGGTACGAAGGACAATTTCCGTCTTGCAATCTGGAAGATGAGCCGTAGAAAATTGATATGGTATATTCTGCACCACAAAAAGTGAAAAACAGTAGACTATGTAAACACATAGCCAGAAAGCAAAAGAGGATTACAATAGGCACTCTGCTATGATCATTTCTTCAAGCCAACTTGACGATAAGGATTGCTAGCAGTGAACCAGTCTGCAATTGCCAAGGAAAATCCACAGGCTGCATGGACATCAAAAGTCTAAAAAAGAAAATAATAGGGATTCTGCTCACCAGAGTATATGAACCGCTGACGTTGAACCTTTTCATGATCCTCACAAAATAAGGAAAGCAAGAGATGAACGATTGTGCAACTCTTTTCTCACGCTCCGAGAAAATGGACCCATAGCCTCTGTCAGGCATATTCTTACCTTCTTTTCCAATTCTGTTTTGGATAGTTGCATCTGTTTTAAGATATAGAAGCCCATTTGATAAGGAAGTAGAAGGTGGGTATTTATTTGAGCCATACAAATAAAAGTTAAAATGATTGCAACAGAAGCCCTACGTTTCATAGAGAAAATTATTTCATGAATTATGCTTCTCTACAAAGAAATTGCAATACAAAAGAGAAGTACAATAGTAAACTATACATGTCGTGGAGGTGATAGCCTGCCATTAAAACTTCGATTCATACCACGGTTTAATAATAGAAATAGTTGAACGAATGACTATTTTGACAAGTGGATGAGCCACAAAAGATGGAACAAGCAACAAAAGCCTTCAGAAATCTAGAAGACCCTTTCTCCAGCTAAGAAAAAGCAGATTCATGCTGCAAAAATCCTAGGAATGGAAATTATCTTCCTCACCTGGAATTTCATTGCAATTTCCTTCATATTGCTTCATTTTGTGGGAGGAACTCTCCTCTTGGCATTTTCTAGTCGCAGCATCTACATGTTCTAAATGTTCAGAAGACTCCCCCTTAACTTTCTTTGTAACACATTCATCACTTTTATCTGAAGATGCAGCTTCCTCCTCCCTTTCTCTTTTCTGCCCAATACTTCTATAAAACTGGCTAGGGTCTTGACTGCATTTGGTATGAAATGCAGCTTCTTTCTCACATGCACTAAGATCAAATACTTGCACTGTAAAACACAATTCACCATCATATCTGAAAACCAAAACATCACCACATTCTATGAAATGATCTTTCAGAAAAGTCGGCCATCCATGATCAAGGAATATATTATCATTCTCCTGAATTAAGTTAACAGGCCAGATATTCCCACTAGGGCCAGTTAAAGAAACTGATCCAGACGTTCTTCCTTCCATATGTTTTGTGAATCTTGCAGGTATTCTCTGTCAAAGAACAGTTTAGATAGTTTTATTCATTTAAACTGTTACCAAGCAAACCCAATTTCTTCAAGCAAAGACTTGTTATTCATAGACTTCAATTGCTAATAATGGTGAAGTGATCTTGTTTTCTTGTTCTCTCATTATCTTCTCTATGGCATAAATTAGAATACTGTATTTTGATCAAATTAGCACCAAAAAGGAAAAGCATTTCTTGAATGAAATCTATCACCTTTAACTAATTAATCCAGTAAAATAACCATCACAATTGCAACATTTGCAATGATTCTAATTAATTGAAATTAAATTAATAAAAACAAGTGATCGAGCTTTTCCCTTTCCTCTAATGCTAAGAAATTTTCAAACAAAAGAAAAGCATTAAAATTTTGCAGTTCAAAACCTAATTATCTAAGAAACTTAATAAGAGAACGATTAGTAAAAATGAAAATGGAAGAAGAAAAGAAAATAACGAATGTACAATAAGACGAAAGAAGAGAAATTACCAGTCTTTCCGCAGTTAAATTAGAGGAAAAAATCTCTAAGAAACAAGGCCGTCTTGCACTTAGCATCTTCAATGGGTTCTCTTCTACCATTCAAACCAGTCCCAGTTGTTTCAATAAAAAAGGAGTTAATTTTGAGAATTTTCCAACCAAGAATTACATGGCAATACGAATTCAAAGAAAGGAATCGATAAATCGAATGGAATTTTAGAAATTTTTAGGTTCGAGGCGGGGCGAGTGTCATTTTTAGTTGCTTCATGCAGTGTGGCGTGGAGCTGACTGCAGGGAGGGGCATGGGCCTGTGTCGATCTGGACCCTGGAGGCTATGCCAATGAACCAATAAGCTCGTAGGACTCCTCAACAAAATTAACTGTACTATAAACAATAATAGTAGTAAACATTGCTGCATAAAAAACTACTACCTAATAAAACTGTAAACTGCTCAAAATTCAACTCGTAAAAGATTGTTAATAAACCTATTTATCGAGCTCAAGCTTCTGCATAAAGGTCGGAAATTTTTTTTTTTTTTTTTTTTTCTGCAACAAAATTAACTGTAGCTATAAACAATAATAGTATTAAACATTTGCTGCATAAAAAACTACTACCTAATAAAACTGTAAACTGCTCAAATTCAAACTCGTAAAAGATTGTTAAATAAACCTATTTATCGAGCTCAAGCTTCTGCATAAAAGGTCGGAAATTGGAAATTTTTTTTTTTTTTTTTTTTAAGTATAAATTACACAAGCCTCGAACTTGGTTTTTTAAGTAATCCAGCTTAGCCCTGAGGGCTGGCAGTAGGTTCTTCTTAAATGTTAATGGAATGTGATCACGTACAGTAAGGGCGCGTGGAGGGAGCACTGACATGGATGCCTAACCCACGGTTAATTAACGCTAATTTTTCTTATGTTGTTTTGATTTTTTGAACAACTTACCAGGAAGCTGAACCCTATGCATTTATTCTGTCACCTACCTAATGAACAGTGTGGATCCTTTAACATACCAATTTCATCAGGTTCTGAAGTAGAGCTTGCAAATCTTTTTTACTTATTTGAATACATTTGCTAATTATCTAGATTTTACACTTGGGACTTGCAACATTACAAAACAGAGCAGCTAACTAAATCCCAAGAACGCTCACAAAAAAGCAAAAAACCAAGAAAAAAAACAGAAGCATGTCTTTGCTAATCAGAAACAGATCAAACAAAAAAGAGAGTGCCAAGCAAGAAGTGGTTAGATCAGCAGTGGAAAAATTTGCACATCCATGATAAGAGCACGAGATGTTTCTTTTCTGCTGAGATCGAGCTCAAATAAGCAAACATCTCCTTCCTTCAACTTGTTGTCAACATAAAAATCAGCCCATCCTTTTTTCATTAATACCCTTGCGGCTTTACATTTGGAGTCCCTAATAGCAGAAAGCTTCACTGGCCATATTTTTCTTGAAGAGTTGCGGAGAATCAATATTGATGATCGAACAAGATTAATTGATTTTGCAAATTCTTCAGGGATATGCTGCCATCATATGGACACCCAAAAGAATAATTTTAACTAAATATAATACAATTATCTTATTGTTAGCAATAGCATTAACTGAAAATAAAATTAACTCACCAGATACGAACCAGCATCAGCTACATTAGATGCTTCTATAGTTGTTATGAAATGAGGAGTCTTTGGAGAACAGGATCTAGCAGCCTCCAGTGGGCTTTCTCCTGTGTGAAGATTATTAACCTTCTCCTTGTTTTTCTTCTTATTATTAGCCGAATTGTTGGAAATCAGAAATTCTTTCTCGCACGAACTCGAATCGAACACTAGAGCATCAAAAAACATGTTCCCTTTGTGCTCAAAAACCACAAAATCCTCAAAATTGATGTCATGATGCTTAACAAAATCTCCCCAGCCTTCTTCAAAGCAAAGCAACCCTTTGCTGCATTTGCCAACTTTAATATGCCATAACCCTTTAGAACTTCTCACTACTGCCTTCTCTCCCTTCAGCTGTCCACGGAGAGCCAGCGGTAGAGACTGTTTACCGAACGACGAAATTAAATTGAATAAAATAATGGAAAAGTATAATCGAAAATGAAAAAGAAAATAATTACCAGTTTAGTTCGGAAATCTCCCATCATAACCTTGAAGAAGTGCCTCCTAACTGGAAGCTTATGAATACCGGCCATTGAAGAAGACCACCGTTGGCTCCGCTTACCTGATAAGCTCTCTGTTGGCATATTGTATTGCAGTAATAGAGTCCAATTGTCAAATTCAAATACCTTTTATTTTGGGCCTAGGCCCATAATCCTCAATCTTCGTGGCACATGCGCAACTGAAATTGTCCGCATGGACAGACGTTGTCTAAGTCTTACTAAGGTACGTTGTCTCTGCAATTGGCAGGTGGATCTAGAGCTGTGAACTATATTTCAGGACCAACTTTATCTTTGGATCCAAACCTTAACTCACTTTTGAGAAAGTTGAAATACTTGTTAGATTTGTTGATTTTAATAAATAATAAATTATTTTTGTCTATTTTTATCCTCTTTACATGATTAATAATGATTGAATAATTTTTGTTCACATAATAAATTAAAAATAATATAGTTAATTCAATTAATAATTTATTATAATTTAAAAAAGTTAAATGATTTTTTAAGAGTTGGACACGTAGAAAGAACTTTTGAATTTAATCTTCACTAAACACATACGTAGTCGAACTAATTGTCTTTGGTAATTCGGTCAGGTACTCGTAGTTAAAAAAAATATATATCTTTTTTTAACGTTTAATTAAATTTAACTGTAACTTTTTGAACGCTACTTAATTTTCTAACAAAAGAGTCATTTAAATTGAAAAAAAAAATAAAAATTATCAAACTTAACATAAAGGACTCCATTAGTCGAGGAAAAATATGATAAATTTACTTTTTCAAAAAGGTCGTCTCTTGTTTATTTGTGGAGAAAATGTACATAATTACGTCGTTACTTGATGGGGAAACATGGTAAATTACTTTTCTTTTCCCATATCCTTATCCTGCCCCCTATTTTCAATGGTTTTCTATTCCAGTTAGGCACGAGTCAATGTTAATTTTTGGAAATGTCAACGGCAAAGGGCAAAAAAATTGGCCTTGTCCGCTTGATTTATGTTATATATAATGGAAGACAATAGTCAGCGAGTCAGTGTTAAAAAACCCTTTGTCTTTGAACACAAAGCAACCAAAGGACAAAAGCCCGATTAAAACATGGAAGTAGTCTAACGAATTCTGGGTTCATTTTAAAATGCATGCCATTGTCATCAAATAGACAAGGACAAAACAAACCGCCATTTTTCTTGGCAATATCATATGAACAGACAAAACTTCAGTCAGAAATTTCTCCAATGGTTGCTTGTTATTTTCTTTGGTAGCTAAACCTGCCCAGATACACCAAATATTTAACAAACAAAGTTTTCAAGGTCACTCCATTATTTACTGCCAATTTCACATCCAAAACATAGTATTTAGAGAAGCAGAAAGTGATAATGGTTGCAGCGATAAATATTGCAGAGCGGAAAAAAAAAATGAAAGAAAAGAGTTGCAAAATGCAAAAGAAATCCTCAGACACATCCCATTCTATTTTTAGTTCTGATAACTGCTGAACTGATATATGTTTATAGAACAAACTCTACACGAAACTGAATAAGAGTGATACAAAACATTACATTAGTTCCAATTAAGATAGAACAAGAAGAATGAACAAATTCATCTGCTCACAACTAAAGGATTAGACCTCAAAAACCATACTTTCGCAGTCTACCTTCATGTTCGCTTCCACATCTCTCGCATGATAAAAAGTCCCACATTTCAACTCAAGCATTGATCATGAGTATATCTTCCTTCATAGGACATGGCAAAAAGGCAATGGAGGGGTCCATGTTCCTTCAAAATGTAATAAAAATTCTTCGTGTAATTTTTCATATTTTATGATTCTGAATCCTCATGAACTATTGATAATTTGTCATCTTCAACAAACAATGGATTAAGAAACCCAGCAATAAATGCCCACATCTTATAAACATCTTCAAAGTTTGTTAGAAATCCAAGTGATGCAGTGACAACCTCCACTCGGTAGAACAAATTTTTTCCATCTTGCCGAGCACTAGCCATTGGCTTGCACAATGCCGTGTCTTCAAGGTCAAATCCTCCACAATTCTGTTTCGGGCTGTCAACTATCTTTACATGGTTCAAGATGCCAAGGCCTAGACAGATTCCGTTTTTCTCTGCCAACTTCTGGACAACTTCTGGATGAATTAGCTGTCCTTCGCTACACCTTCTCACATTGAAAGCTACAGCTGCACCTCTTTCATATTTGATTTTAGGGCCATAAATCTGTACAAGAGGTACACCAACTCCATCTGAAGAAGGAAACCGAAGCTGAAGTAAGGAAGTAACTAGCCAATTGACGAGATACCGAAGTCTGAGGGTAGTTTTGTTGAGGCCTAATAGATTGATGTGATCCAAATGCCGGCAGAATATCTCTGGCTCCCTCCTTTCCCAATCTTGTTCATCACCATACTCTCCATCACTCATGGACTCTTCATCACCAAGAGTGGTCAGAGAAATTTCCCCAGGCTCCAAGTAACTCAAGTGTTCTCTGCGGTTATCTTCCATGCTAAAAGATACGCGGTGACTCATGCTAGCAACTCGATCACTCTCTTCCAAGCCAAAGAACCTACCCCTTTCCCTCCTTCCCAACAATCTGAAGTCACCTTCTGTCTCTCTTCTGATAGCACTTTCTTTAGCTTCTTGGCTAATTTCATTGGTTGAGACACCTCCAAGGCTCTGATGTCTAAGGCAGGAAATATGGTTCTCGGGTCTGAACCCATTTGTAGAACTCAACTTAGAATCAACTAATATTGGCCCATCCTTGATTTCAATATCCTCTAGAATCTCTCCATTGCTAAAGGCATGTTCAGTTTCATCAAACTGTTCTTCTTCAGGGATTCCTTTAGCATGATAAATCTCCTGCGGAACTGATAATAGAGCTGCATCAAAAGACGCAACAGGATCTTCATCATAAATTGGGCTCTTAAATATTTTTGATGTGGGCTTTGTTGAGAGTCGGTTATGGTTCTTCTTGCTTGAAAACCAGGTAGGTGGTAAAGGCGAACCTGTTTTCAGCTTAGTCAATTGCCCAGAATTATCAGACGCTAATGGACTATGACCCAAATCAATCCAATAAGAATTATCTGATGACTCATCCTCACTGAAAACTGGACTTTTCATAACCTCCCCAACTGAAATGCTCTCAGCTTCCTCAAATATGGTACTCGCCCCATCCCTGTCTGAGCTATTATTGTCATGTTCCATCTCAGTCTCAAACACATCCCTGACCTGGTTGGAAGTGAATACACCAGAAAATGCAGGCATATGAGACCCACCATGCGTTTCAGGTACTGCATCTTCAATACCATTAATAGCATCATCCTCCATTCCAGCAAACATATCAAGACCATCCACAGAATCCCCCAAATACTGCGGCAAAACAGGGAGAATCCTCACCATTCCTGAGCCAGTACGGCCACTCTCATTCTGCAGGCTTGTCATAACAGATTTCTTGATCAAAAGACATCCAAAACCAGTTGGGTCATTTCCAAATACTCTATAGAATGATGTGATAATAAAATCTGGCCTGAACAAGGAAAGTCCTAGTGAATCCATATCCTTCGGACCTAAAGATCCAGCATCCAGCAACACATGCCAATTATTTTGCTGAGCAAGGGCCATCCACTGGTAAGAATACTTAGCTCCAGTGACTCTAGACTGAACAGGAAATACAAAAAGCCCAGTAGCAGAATCTTTCTTCCTCTTTTTCTTATTAGAAATCAGCTTCCTCAGCTCTCTAGAGCATAGTTTCAAAGTAGGCCACTTAAACCAGGCACTATAAGTCTTAGCACCTTTTTCCTTAGCACATTGAGCCATCCAATTCACAGACTGACTCTCATGATCAAACATGGTCAACAACTTCTTATTTGATTGAAATGGATAAGACTCAGCCAGCAATTTGAATGCAGAGCCTCTACTAACAGTAAAAACAAGACCATATTCATTTTCAGGGATGTTTAAATAATCCATAATCCTACTCTTAATATCATATTCTGCAGTTCCCTTTTCAGCACCTCCATATAAGGCCAGATTACTCAAATTTGCAGTTATTTCATGTAAAGTAAAAGCAGATGATTCCCAGTACTGCTGAGTTTGTACATAAGAAAACAACCCAAAGCCACAGTAATCAAGGCATACCTTTGATGAGGACTCAGATAGATGCTCATACTCATCAACTCTCAACTTATCAATCTTTTCTGTTGATTGGAACTTTGGATACATAGTGAGAAACTTGGAGAATGCATCATGGAGGTCAGGGATTGAGTCTTCAGTGCAAAAGATTCTCTCAGCAGCCAAAGCTGTAGCACGCAAGAATTCCCTCTGGGCGTGGAGTCTAGCAAGAGATCTCGACCTTCCGATGATCGTTCTTTCTTGATTTGGAAATGACTCAGCATCGATGTCTTGGGATTTCACAAGTGACCCATCTTCAGATGCTTCTTCAAGAGCCTCTCTTAGCTTGTTCTCTTGCAACTGACGGAGCATAGTCAAACCGCCAGAACGAGAACCAGACCCATCTCTTCTTCTGGTCTTCTTGTCCATTATCAAAGAAGCACAGTGAGTTATTGGCTTCCATATTGAGAGATGCATGAATGCCTACTCTCTCTCTCTCTCTCCCCGCAAAGACAATTGCTTACAGCGCCAAAGAAACAACCGGAGTTCAAATGAATAGTAAAGATGAGATTTTTGAAATATAAATTGTCAGTCAAGAGCAGGAACAGAGTGACATTCCAAACTTTGGTACTTTAAAACCTGGACGCATTCAAAAATAACAGAAACAGAATCTTTTTGTTAGGACTACACAGAACTTTTGTGAGATCAAGAAGATTGGTCATAAAGAAGAGGAAAGTTAAAGAAGGGAAAAAAAAAGGAAAAGAAATATCTGAATAGAATCAAACCTTTAACACTGATCAGAGAAACCGTAGCTTTAGCTTTCGTTTAAGGACCCATAATTTGCGGGTTCCAATTCAAATTCAACAACACCATATTGAAGAGTCATCAGATATTAAAGAGAGTCCAAGTATCAACCCCACCAAAGATACAAAACCCAGATTAAAAGCCATCTTCAACAACAGAATCACACATTAAAAAAAGAAAAATGGAGTGCGCAAAAAACCCCCCCAAAAGTCATTTTACCCAGGATCTTCCTCAGCATGTAAATGCTCTAACATGAACAAGAACCAGAATCCAAGAAAATACCCACAAGAGACAAGAGACAAGAGACGTAGAAGCAGAGGTCCAACAACTTCTCTTCCAATACCAGTACTCTCTCTCTCTCACCAACCGCTCTTCAATTTTTCTCTTGTTTTTTCTAGCTCACGCTGACACTCGGACTCCACCAGTTAGTGGCAACGAGAGGCAAAAATTAAAAGCAAAGCGAAAATGCTTTGTAACCCATCAATTTCACATTTACTAGTGCAGTTAATGCAAACATCTCTGCATTAAATGCTTCTGTTATCTCCCTTCCGCTTCTCGTTCTCCGCCATTATTACACCTCTCTTTGTTCCAAATTCCCACTTTACCCCTCTTCTTTTTTTTTTTTTTTAATTCAGGCACCGCTATTTGAGTATTCACCTATTTGTCTTCTCCGTTCATTAAAGTTGCAGAATGTCTTGTTGAAAGCTACTGGCCAAGACTGTCTTGTAAATCAAAAGATTCAAAACCAAAGTTGGCCAAAAGAAATTGTTGCTGGCATCTTTGACTTATGTCATTGTACGAGTTCTTTTGGAAAAATTATAACGAATTGACATGCGTGCCCATCTGGATAGTTTAGTAAATTACTAATTAATAAGTTTCTTTTTCAATATTAAATTGCTATGTGTTCCGTTCTAAAATATAAATTATTTAAAAAACTAAAAAAACTATTAACTCTCTTAAATTATAATAAAACTAAATGTAATTTCACTAAATTATCTTTTATCTAAAAAAATTAATAATTATGTATGATCATATTTATTGTATGATAAGGAAAACATTAAAAAAATGTCATTTATTACTTATTAAAATAACGAAAATGATTTATATTTTAAGACAGTATAAATAATTACTAAGTTATTAAAGAAAATAAAATTTGTTTTTATAATTTCAAAAGTCCATTTATTTTTTCTTTTTCAGTTTATCCTTATTAATTTACTAGTGTTCTATTCATAATATATTTGTCTCTCGATTGCTTCTTAATTTAATTAGAGAGCAAAATAAATATTTTATAAACAAATTTTTATAATTTAGACTATTAATTACATTTTCCAGAGATAAAAACGGCATTTATTTTGAAAGGGAAAAAAAATTTATTTTTTCACAAGCTTCCATAGACTATCAAAAATATTATAAATTTTTATAAACTACTAGAAATTCATTAACTTTCCATGTAGAAAAAAGCGTCAAGCGATATGTGTGATTGAGATGAAATAATATAATAAATACAAGTACATCTTCAATTAATAAAAAATAGTATAATATTGTCTTTTAAATAATATATACCATACATAAAGTACTTACCACTATGCAAAAGAGAGACAAAAATTACTACATGCAAGCGGTGAAAACTGAAAAGTGAAAAATCAATGGCAACTTATAATCAAGGGTAAAATTGACTTCTTATTTCAAGTGCAATACCTAATCTATCCACTAGGATTCGAAGAAAATGGAAAATTTGTTAATCTCCTCTGGTTGAGGTTGAGTTTATAATGGGATGCGTATCCAAAGACGAATGCATGGTGGAAGTCAATCATGGCCGTTGGGTTGACCGCATCCACATCATCAAACTGTTAGCCTCGTCGCCCTTATATTTATTTTCAATTAATTTTAAACTTAAACTAGTATTTTATTTGCCGATAGCAATAAAATTCGGGAGTCCTTTTTTAGTGAATACCATGCTTCATTTTCAGTTTCTGTAATTAACTATGAAATATAGAAATTAATTCAATAATTAATGTATTTTAATACGATCTTATCTACGAGATTAAGGATACAAAATTTGAAATCTCAAAATGTTATCTGAACATGTATCATAAAAGAAAATCACATGTTAAATATTAATATAAAGAATGTAATTCTTGAGAGAGAAGATGCACATATTTTCTTATCACAATCTGACCTCTACAACTTTTTTGTAATGTCAGAAACTGTTTTCAACTTCCAAAGTTAGATTGTTTTGTTCATTACCTTGTTGTTTGGATTTACTACCATTTATACAAAACAAAACACTCGTACTCTGTTTCGGATCCTTGTTGGCTACACAAAGGTATCTCATATTATATAGAGTCAACAATTTTATTTTGTCTTGTTTAATCCTTGTCATTAGTTCTAACATCCATTAATCAATTACTTAAAGATTTAATAATATTTTCTATATTTAATTGCATTAATCTGGAGCTTTTTTTATTTTTATTTTTTTATAGTGCAACAAAATGTAAGTAAATGTTTTATTATTTCAAGTTACAAAAATGCATCTAAGCATATGCTTATTTTTGACTCCATGGTCACCTATTATATATGTTTAAACTCCCTTTCTTTTTAAAATGCAAATTACTTATTTTTTTATTATTTGATTGTAATATTCTAATAAGTTTATATGAATATGAAAGATATTTTAAAAAGGAAAGTTTTTTTTTTTTAAATGATAATTTTTTTTATTAGGAAAATAAATTTTATATTTAAAAGGCATTGACTTGCAATAGGAAATTATTGACGGCTGAGATTGTATGTGATCATACGTTTATGTATATCAAACTGCAGATCTCCATTAAAATACAACACAATGACATGGCTCGATATCCGATGCCAAATGTCATGTAGTCTGTTCCTCACGTAGTATGGTACTAGTCCATAATGTCTCCCTACATCAATAGGGTTTTTCTTTTTCTTTTTTTTTTTTCTAATTTCTAAAATCGAGCTATTATATAATTAAATTTGAAAAATATAAGATCTTAATTAGCATATTTTGCGTATTACTGATTTTTTTAAGCTCTTTTTGCTTGTCACATAGCTAGCATCAATATTTATTAAATAATACTAATAATCATATTTTAATAATAATTAATGAAAAGTAAATAAAAATATTAAATAGTACAATGAAAATTGTTATACAAATAGTACTCCGTTGGTTCCAAAATATAAATTATTGTCAGTATTTTAAAGAATAATAAATAATATTTTTTTAATTTTATCATTAAATTACTTCTTTAATTTCTATATAAAAATTTTAAATTTTGAAGTAGTGTATTTCAATATAAATGAAGGATTTTTATTTCTATATAATTTGCATGTTTTTTTTAAAAATTTTTTTTTTTCCTTTTAGCATATAAAGTTCATCAATTTCTAAGAGAGAGCTTTGGTTAGTGTCGGGGCCCTACCCCAAAAGCTTGAGAACATCATCTTGCAATGTTTCTGGCTGATGTGTCTTTTCTTTATGGCTATAAGATTGCTATTGTTTGTTCGTTGATTACTGTTTAGTGATAAGTGAAAAGCTTTTTTGACCATTTGTCAAGCACAGCAACAAAATCATCACTCTTGCTGTCTTTTTTTAATCCAATGGATGATGGCATTGCTGGACTTAACTATCAATTGGCCCAGTTCAAAAATACATTACTAGTGATGGGCCTAATTAATGGGCCTTTGAAAAGACAAAACAAACCGACCGAACTAATAATTGTCCTTCTCATATCTACAACCACCCTTCTTATTTTAGACTCCATTTAGTATTTATAAATAAATTTTAATACCGTTGGTTTATGAATGAATTTTCATATTCGGTATGATTATTTTGAAATATATAATTGAATTGAATTCCTAAAATTATATATATATATATATATATATAATCTTAACTATCAATTGGCCCCAGTTTCAACAAAATACATTACTAGTGATGGCCTAATTTAATGGCCTTTGAAAGGACAAAAACAAAAGACCGACCGAACTAAAAATATTGTCCTTCTCATATCTACAACCACCTCTTCTTATTTTAGACCTCCATTTAGTATTTAATAAATAAATTTTTAAATACGGTTGGTTATGAATGAAATTTTCATATTCGGTATGGATTATTTTGAAATATATAATTAATTGAATTTTCCTAAAATTATATATATATATATATAATATATATATATATATATATATATAATTTTCATTTCAAACACGAAAATATGGATTTTTAAACAATGAGTTAGAGTTATGGACAGAGAAAAATAATAAGTAAAAACAATGCAAAAAACCTAAACTGTATTTCATCAAATTGAGCCCAACCTTAAGAGACTATAATTTCACATGGGAATTGTATAGGAATTTGTCGTAATTATCAAACATAGGAACCTTGATTGATGTGTTTGTTCGTAAAGGCAGAGGAAATGCCAAGAAAGTGAAGAGAAAATAGAAATAGAAGATAAAAAGAAAGAAGGGTTAAGAAAAGACAGAAAAGTGGAAAATGGATGAGAGAGAAAATATCCACACTTTTATTGAGTCATCACTTCTACAAAAATTACACGAATGATACATAATCGGTCGCTCAGTGAACATTTATTATAATTATTTCATAATATTTATTATCACATTTTTTTTAGAAAAATCAAACTATAATTTTATTAATTAAAAATTATATACAAATATAGATATAGATTAATATATTTTTATATTTTTGTATAGGAAACTTAACAATACGTTACTTATACAAAGAATAAAAAAAACACAATTTTGATTGAAAATATTTAATCGAGTTGGCAAAATATAATATTTATATCATAGGCAATCGCTTGCTGCACTCAGTGGCTATTCATAGCCACTGTTCAACTCTATGGTCTTTCTACAAGTCCGGTCTGATTACCTTTAAATTTTTTCCTCCTATTGGAGATGAGATTTACATTTTTTTTGCATAACTATCTAAATAATAAAAGACGTTAGACATAATCACTATAATAGTGACAACAATAATTCAGAACTAGATATGAGGACAAAATTTCAATATATGAGCAACAATAAATCCAATATATGAGCAATAATAACTTAGATCTGTAAACAGATCTGAGGATTATTTGAAAAAAAAAATATAAAAAAAAAACAAAACAAAAAGGAAAGGGGTGACCACTAGTGAGAGCTCACCGATGGTTGCCTGTAGAAGAAGAGAAGAGAAATAGGAACTTAATACTTACTATCACATTTGAAATTTCACATTCCTTGAAAAAATTATTAAATTTATTTAGAATATATTAAATTATTGAATAAATTGTCTATAATATCCTTAATTTGATATATCCAAACGCCAAATTAAATTTTAGACTTTTCAAATTCTCATATTTTGTTCAACCACAAAGAGGTAGGAGTAAATAAAGAGAGAAATTTTTTTTTTTGAAGAAATATAACAATAATTATTAAGCATATATAAAGGGTAAACATGAAAAAAAAAAATTATTACTCATCGAAATTACAAATATTATAAGTATTTTGAAACAAAATATTTTCTCACAAATATTATAGAACGGATATAGTAAAAACTTACTTACCTACCCCAAATATGGGATCACCATTCACCTATACAAATACATTAAGCGTATCAATGGTTATTACTATTTTTATTTTTATTTTTTTTTTCTAATAAATGATCACAAATATCATCATTTTTCTGATTTATTATTGTATAATCCCCGCTAAATTGATTATAATTTACTTGGTATATAAATGGTGACCCTATATTCATCTAATCCCAATAATTAAGCACACATGCAATTATATTTAAAAAATAAATAAAAATTATTATTTGTGATTAGTATAAGACTAATTGTTTAATAGGCGGAAGTAATTAGTTTCTCATTTAATTATTAAATGAGGGACAGAAAATGCCCTTACTAATTGAAAAAAAATAATAATAAGCAAAAAATAATCTCAGAACAAAATTAAATAAAAAAAAATTACTAGGCTTTATATGGGAAAAACCAGAATTTCCTTTTAAAGACAAAATGAAACGTTCTTCTAATGAAAAACCAGAATTTCCTTTTAATGCCACCGAACATACCATAAAAAACCTTAAATTATTTTTGCCAATTAAAGCAGTTGAACGCATATCCTACGTAAATTGGCAACCAGGAATAACAATTGTTGTTATTACCATTTTAATAATAATAATAATAATAATAATGTTTACAATTTTGGAAGACCAAGAATTTAGAAAGCTAAAATAGTAATATAAGAAAATGTGTATTCATGGACTTTGTTTCTATCTTATATGTGAGTATTTAATATTTTCTTATTTAAAATATAAGTGATGGTCCAGGGAAGGTCATGGATTTTCCATAATTTCATTTTATACCTCACAAATTTTATTCATATGTTTTGAATATATATTCACTCTTTAAAAAATTATATTTTATTTTTCATCTTCAAGGTTGAAACTGCATGTCTCTTATACCCTTATAGCCCAGACAAGATTCCCATTCCCAATCCCCTGTTTTATCCCAAACTCTTACGAGTTTGAGTTCATCCTTAATCTCACCCTTCCATGAATATTTTACTAAACGTCAAACAAGCATCACCTATGGCATGCCGAAATCCAAAAGCCAAATGAATATATAACATATGAATGTCTCTTCAATGAAATAAATAAATAAATAATAATTAAAAATTTTCTTCATTAATTAACTTTAATATACATAAATGGATGGGTACATTGGATGTCGTCCACACAAATCGTGATTCCAACGACGTTTATTTTTTGTTAGTAAAAGTTATAATATTGTTTTTATATTTTAAAAAATAGACAAAAATTTTTTTACTGTTTATTTTCAGATTATAAAATTCTTCTGTGCAATTTTTATATTTTTTCAAGTGGTTTACCAAATCTCTAAGTTATCACTCCAGTTTGTATTTTCCTTTCTGTCTTTATGTGAGACATCACCTCTATCCTTATATATATATATATATACACACACACACTAACCTCTGCGCTTCTGAAAAGCATAGGTTTTTTTACTCAGTTTGCTCTACTCCGATCACTAACTAGCTCCTATATATATTGGGTGTGGGGGAGAAGGATCTAGTATAAGAAAAAACAACTCCTCTCTCAATCTTTTTTGAGCAAAAGCAATGGATGTTATAACAACAACTATCCTCCCAAGTTTTCAAGCAATGCCGTATGCAACTCCCGTGGCTGTCGGTGGTTTGTTCTTCTCCATGTTCTTTATGAAGAAATTGATCAATGATCAAAAGAAAAGAAATTCTAAACTTCCTTCTGTGCCAGGTGTTGTATTTTTCTTTTCTTTTCTTTTCTATTCTTGTTTTGGTTATTAGAGATTCTAAAGAATCGAGTAACTTTCGATTATGAATTGATGCAGAGGTACCAGGATTGCCAGTGATAGGGAATTTGCTGCAACTGAAAGAGAAGAAACCCCACAAGACTTTTGCCAGATGGGCTGAGACTTATGGTCCTATTTATTCAATTAGAACTGGTGCTTCTACGGTTATTGTTATCAATTCAGCTGATGCTGCAAAAGAGGTGTGGTTTTTTGGTCTGTTCTTCTCTTTTTCTTTGTGGGTTATGGCTTAGACACTGATCTAATCTGATCGTGAACTTCAAAGTTCTAAACTTTACTCTCTGTTTCTTACCAGGCCATATCAAATGTGAAAGAGTACTTATTTCGTCTGGTGAAAATGACCAATTACTAAAGACAAAATAATTCTGATTTTTGATAATGAGGAAAAGTCCAACAATGTTGACTGTCTGTTTTTTGATAATTAGGAAAAGTCCAGTAATGTTGTTTGTCCGAGCCAAAGCCTGCCGGCTTCAATTTAACCTTTTTGCTGTTTGCTTCGTAGTTTCAGATTAAATATTTCTTTCCAGCCATTAACGAATTTATTAGACTACTGTAACTTTGTTGTTTTTAATACATCTAAGCTTGGGCTAAGTGAAGCAATTCAAATTTTATAGCAGGATCGGCAAGTCTATCAAGTAGCAACCTTGTTAATACGACCTGGGATAGAATCATGTTATTTGAGCAGTCAGCTATTTCAGATGTGTAAAATGTTAGTGTGTTTGAATCTTCTTGGCTGTTGTTCAAGCCATTTCTTTGGATGATACGTGTTTGTGAACAAAATGCTACAACATGTAAATCCTTTTTAATTCTCTTGGTGAATAAAATTGAATATTTTGATGTGATTTTCATTTTATTATCAAGTGGAAACAGCCAATTAGTTGAAACTCTGTTATTTCCTGTTTGTTTCAGGCCATGGTGACTAGATATTCATCCATCTCAACAAGGAAACTATCAAAAGCCTTGTCTGTGCTTACCCAGGATAAATGTATGGTTGCTACAAGTGATTATGATGAGTTTCACAAGAATGCAAAACGCTGTATACTTACGAATGTATTGGGACCAAATGCCCAGGTTAGATGCCACAAGTACTACCTTTCCCATAATTATTTGTGTCTTCAAATTACATTTGCTGTCAAAACAGAGCTGCTTAAATAATTTCCTATTTGATTTGCAGAGGCGACATCGACCCCACAGGGACACCCTGGTTGAAAATATTTCAACCCGGTTTCATGCCCATTTAAAGAGCTATCCTGAACAAGCAGTAAATTTCAGAGAAGTATTTGAGTCTGAACTTTTTGGGGTATCACTGAAAGAAGTGAGTTCTCCAGTTTCCAGTAAGGAAGATGTATTTTATTATATTATAATCTGATGGATAGAATTGAGGAAAATGGGATGAAATTTGCAGGCATTTGGAGAGGATGTGCAATCTGTTTATGTTGACGACTTGAGGACCACTTTAACAAGAGAGGAGATTTTCGAAATTTTAGTGCTTGATCCCATGCAGGGTGCAATTGATGTGGACTGGAGAGATTTTTTCCCATATTTAAGATGGATTCCTAATACAAACTGGGAAACGAAACTCCAGAAAATGCATTTACGCAGGCAGGCAGTAATGACTGCACTTATCGAGGAGCAAAAGAAACGATTTGCTTCAGGAGAGGTAGTCATTCTTTCGCATCAAATTGGAAGTGCAAATTCTATTGAAACTATTAGTAGTTTGTAACTTGGTTCAAATTTTTAACAGGAACGGAATTGCTTTCTTGACTTCTTATTATCCGAAGGCTTACTTACAGAGAAACAAATAAGCATGTTGGTTTGGGAGTTAATAATTGAGGCATCAGATACTACTCTGGTCTCCACAGAATGGGCAATATACGAACTTGCAAAGAATCCGAAGTACCAGGTTGTTTTAGTTCTAATCTACATTCTTCTTCTTCTTTTTTCCTTTTGTTTATTATATCTCTAGAATGTAGAAAATACTTGTTTGAACCTTATATTTATTTCCCCTTTACATGATAGGATCTGCTGTTTCACGAAATCCAAAATGTATGTGGATCTGAAAAGATCAAGGAGGAACACTTGTCTCAATTGCCATTCTTGAATGCTGTTTTCCATGAAACTATCAGGAAGTACAGCCCGGCTCCAGTTATACCTCTGCGATATGTGCATGAAGATACAGAAATAGGGAGTTACTACATTCCTGCTGGAAGTGAGGTGAGTCAGTTTAATCCAAGAAATTTCTCTGTCCACTAAAAGTTTGAATTAGCAAATTTGACATGAAAGTTTTACTGAATGCAGATTGCTATTAATATTTACGGATGCAACATGGACAAAAAGCACTGGGAGAATCCTGAAGAGTGGAAGCCAGAGAGATTTCTTAATGGAAAATACGATCTTGCTGAGTTACACAAAACGATGGCTTTTGGAGCTGGAAAGAGAGCATGTGCAGGTGCGCTTCAAGCATCGCTGATAGGAAGTACATCAATTGGCAGACTAGTACAAGATTTTGAATGGAGACTGCAAGATGGGGAGGAAGAAAACGTGGACATTGTTGGACTCACCACTCGCAAGCTTCAGCCTTTGCACGCCACCATAAAGCCAAGAAAAACTATATGAAGCTTGAGACTTTAATCTTTTAGATTATGTTAACATGGAGTAGGATGGGCTGAATCGATGGCCCATATGGGGTTTGGTTTGTGTGAATGGAAATACAAGTAGCAAGAGGACAAAGAGAAAATTCACGTAGCAAGAAGACAAAGAGCTTAATAAGTCATTTTCGTTTTAGCAGTTTTTAAATATGTGGGCGTTGTTGAAAATTTTCTTGAATCTGAAATCTCGAACTAAAATACACAGACCCAAAATTGTTCTGATAAGATAGTGAACCAGAAAATTGCTATTCATATTTTCTAAGATAGTGATATAAGATAAAAGGAAGCATGTCTGCTGTTTATTATTCTCAAGCATCTCAAACACGATATGCCATAGCTTCTTATGTATTGTAAAATTAATTTGTACAGGGGAAAAGGAAAAAGATCTCATGTCTTCTAGTCTTAGGAAGAAAATGAAATGAGGAGTTAGTTGGATTGGAAAAGGGAATTCGAGGGACCGTCAAATGGGTTTCATGTTTGGGTGGAGAGATTAGTGGACCCCCGCTCTGAACAGAGAAATGAGATAGAGAGTCACCAATTTCGGCTCACTGCAGATTCAGAACGTTGGCTTTGGCTGGAGCAGCTTGCGTGCTTGCGTAAGGAAATTACAGGTACAACCTGTCATTACTTGCCACGTGTTATGCATAAGCGGTCAATATTTCTTTAACCCTGAATCCTTCTTCTCTCCTCCGTCTCCACTAACCACTGAAGGCTCAGCCCTGCCTGCCACAGTCAGATCGCAGGATGCGACAACGCTACACATAGGCATAGCTTCCCCTCTCGCATTGATTTTTTATTCTTAAAAAAAAATAGTCATGGCATAAACGAGAGGATAACGTAGAGTAGAGAGCGTCTACAATGGATGAATGATGGATGGGAGAGAGAGGCGAAATCAAAGGAGCAGAGATCACGGCAACCGAGAAATCGGGGAAAGCGGTACTAAGAAGAGAATCTGAATATTGGTGGCAGTGGAGAGGAAGCTAAGCCAATTATTGATTCCCACGCTTCCCGACATTAATTATGTTGTCGGCCTATTTTATTTCAACCTTTTTTTCCTCTTCAAAGTACTAAGTATATAAATACATTGATAACGAGTTCATTAGGATAATACTAACAGATTTATTTAGAACATTAACAATATATGAATAATATTAATTTCTAAATTATTTTAGTTATAAATCATTCGCAGTGAGGTTTTTGTTTTTTGAGTTAAAATTATTTTTAAGCTTGAAAAGAAAAATTTTATACATCATCCTAGGATAACCCTCCAATAAATTTATTAAATTAGTGAAGAAAATTAAAGATTTTTCGTCGCGTAAGTTTAAACACCAGCCAAAACATAATTATTCCGCCAAATTATCAAAATATGTTGGATGGATACGGAACACTTTAACGATATAGTATTATTCTAATAACATACTTACTTTAGTGGGATTGGAGCTAGTGGCTAAGCAATTGAACCTTTTTTTTTATTATTATTACTAGTACAGTAGTACCAGTATTATTATTATTATTATTATTATTATTTAAGACAGAACGATAGTCCACTCAGAAATAGATTTAGTACAGTCAGTCAACAGAAACAGCAAACCAATTTGGAAACACAAACACTGAATCGTCCCTTTGGAGTAAAGCTTCAAGTAACTTAAGTATAATGGGGGTAGCCAAGCCAAGCCACGCGTCGAGCCGTCATATAACATTGAACAGAGCACAACCCACCGCCTGTGGAAGCTCCTCCTTTAAAAAATCTACACATTAGTATTATCTCTTTCCAACACAAACCCCAAACATAAAGTCCTCCTTTCCTTCGCTGCTTCCAGAATATTTCTCTTTCTCTCAGCCCCAACAAAAATGCCATCCGAATCCGGCGATAAGCGTCCAGCCCGATCACAGCTACAACCTCCAAAGTTGGCTGAGCCACTTCCTTGCCCTAGGTGCAGCTCCACCAACACCAAGTTCTGCTACTACAACAACTATAATCTTTCTCAGCCTCGTCATTTCTGCAAGGGTTGTCGCCGCTACTGGACCCACGGCGGAACACTTCGTAACGTCCCTGTTGGTGGTGGTACCCGCAAAAACTCCAAGCGCTCTCGCCCTTCCACTTGCTCTACATCCACTTCCTCTTCTTCCACCAATACCTCTACTTCTACGTTATCCACTCTGACCCATGAGCCCGACTCCTTACCCGTTACTACTAATCCTGACTCGGCGTTGCCTCATGTCCTGAAAAGTGAGAACTCGGATAATCTAAATCTGAATGAGAACCTCCCGCTCCCTGTAAATGAAAATGGAAACTTTATTTCGCTGCTTAACTCGCAGCAGGGACCAGGGTTCATGGGGATGGTAGGGTACGGAGCGGGTTTTGGATACGGGTTATGTGAAGTAGGAGTTGGTTTTGGAGGAAGAGGGAATTGGTCTTATCCTGGAATGGGTTATGTGAATGGAGGTAATGGCGGTGGTATGGAAGGAGGTAATCCTGGGTGCAACACGTGGCAGGTGAGTGATGTTGAAGGAGGTGGGTTGGTGGATGGAGAATGCTTTTGTTGGCCTGGTTTGGCAATTTCCACAGCAGGAAAGAGTTTGAAGTGATTGGGTTTTTTTTTTTCCATTTCGAGGGAAAGGAGTTCGACGAAAGCTTTTTCTGTTTTTTGTATGTCGTCTTTAGCTTTAATTGCAGGTTCTATGTCAGTTTCGGTTGTCGTTTTCTTTTGGGTTGGTATAGATAGGAATATAGAATAGAATATGACTCGGATCAAAATTTTCGGGTGGATTAGTGCTTTCTGTGTCTTTTTTTAGGGTTTTGCTGCTCTGATGGCTCTGTAAAGCTTTTGGGTTTTTGCTTGAACACACCTGTGGCAATGGAAGAAGAAAGAAAGAAAAAAGATTAAATTTTATTCTTTTATTTTTTTATTAATTATCACAAAATGGATATCTCTTGTATTTGATGCTTGAATCTTGTTTTTGCGTTATTAACCATGGCGTGATCCTATGTAAATGGGAAGAGGTAACAGAAAAATCAGATGAACGAGGTAGGAAAACTTATTAAAGATTGGATTTTCGAAGAATGTGTGGACCGAGTGGACTCGTGAGTCGTGACGCACTCATAGAGAGGTTGGGATGTTTGGTTTGGGTTGGTTGCGATTCACAACGTAGTATTTTTTCCTCCTTTTTTGTTTTTTGCTTTTTTTTTTTTCCTTGGAGTGAATGTTAAGCGGGCCTTTGAGCTCCCCTTGGCCCAGCATCTTATCTTCTAAGAAAGTAATCGTTTTTCTTTCTTTGGTGTACACAAGAAGAAGAGAAAAAGATAACAGCTTCACCGTCTTAAACACGTTATGCATGCAATAATAATGTCATGCGCTGGTCAAGAGAAGCTGGTAAATCCGAACCAGTAAAAGTATTATAATAATTGGTTGGATACCCTCTCCTTTGCCAGCTCCCAAATTTGTGATCAGAGCGGAAATTTTGGATATGTAAAGAAAACTAAAGGGTTCTTTACCGTTAGTGGTGCTTTGAGTACAATGTTCAAAATTTTTTGGATATACCAAACGGGAATTATTATTGTGGTCCCACATACTTTATTTTCGAGTAAACGTAATTCTAAAACTTGAAGAACACTCATAATATGACAGTCGCCTTAAATAATTATCCGTTGCGACATTATTAGTTTTGAACTTATGAACTTAAATATTAAGTAGCCTTTCTGGATTTGGTAATATATTGGCATTTCTCATTAGATTAGAAAACTACTAATCTTTACTTAATTACGTTTAATTATTCTTTTTGCATTTTGTTAACAAAGGCTCTACTTTTAACTTAAACTATCATGAAATATGATGAATCCAACCACTCTTGACCTAAAGTATCATATTGGAGTATTCAAAGTGCATTCGATGTTTCTTGGAAAAGGTACAATTTCCAGCAGTTTTTCCAGGTAAATTGTTATCTTCTTATGCATAAATCAAAGAAAGACAAAAATGCAGCTGTATAAGCTCATGATTAACTCCACAAATCTCCATAGCAAACTCCAATTACATTTCTTGAAGAAGACCAATTATATATAGTATTGAACTAAGACAACGCCAAAGATATGGATACAGGGAGTGTTTTGAGTTCTCAGCAACTGCAAATCAGCATATAATAATAAACCCACAAAATTCTGAAGATTGCTAACCAATCTCTAATTTGGCGGCTTGAAGAATTTTAACTTTAGTCCACTGTTCACCATACTCCAGACGCCTCCAATGGAAAATGCCAAGCTAAAAGCAATGCCCAACCAACCGAGGATCCAGTTGAAATACCAATTAAAGCTGTACTTGATAGGTTTTTTAATGAGAACCCACATGAAGCAAGGGTATGCAAATGTGACAGGCAAGGTAAGTCCTCCCAATAGCCCAGCAAGACTGGATAGGAAAGGAAGTGCGACACCTATGAAGAAAGATATGAATCCGTAGAAAACGCGAAATCCTGACCGAACCCAGATTGAGCATGGGCGGTTGGTACGGCTGGTGTAGCCAGCTTCAAAACTGTCAAAAACAGGCATTGAATATATCTGGAAACTGCTTAAGCAATTGAATACAACTAACAGAAAAGTCAATGCTAGAAGTCCTCGAGGAATATCATGGCTGTGGAAACCATATAAAGCATTGAGAATTCCTCCGGAAGGCATCTGAAACAGAGAGAAGAAACTTAAACCTTGTTATAAGATTACAAGGTACTCATGTGATAGAGAGAATAAAGCAGTACTCGGAAACTTACAAGATTTCCATAAGCCCAAAAGCCTCCGATGGCAACAGGGAATAAGCACATGGCAATGAAGAAATAAGCAACTTTGGCTCCTTTCCACATGGGTACATGAGCTGGGTGCTTAAATGTTGATGGCATTGTTGCCTGAGAAAAGCCAGATTAAATGAAATTATTAAGGCCTCAGAACATAGATTACATTACATGTTTCAGACACAGGAAGATATAACACTTCGAGAAAACAGAGTGCGTACCTGAATCTCCAGAGCTAGATTATGCCCTCTAAACGCAAAGGCTATAATTCCAAGCGCATTCATTACTGAAAAGATGGAAGCACCAAAGGATGGCAAAGAAAGGGGTTGGTAGGAGATAGAAGGTGGCCTTTGTTGACTAACAGAGAGCACCCACACCATGGTGGAATAAGTTATGGCTGTTATGGCACCAATAAGGGAAAGTCCTGCGATTGAATTAAGATTTGGGAGCTGGGACAATACAATGCACAGAGAAGTGAATACCAGATACCACTCTACTGTTGTTAGGGGATTAGAAGTACATAAAGGGCCACAAACTATTTGGAAGAAGAGTTTCATGGTCTCCCCTCCTATAAGAATCAAAGCTGTCGCAGTTCCAGCTGACAAGTAAACAGTTGGAAAGAGAGCAAGCCAAACACCTAATCTTTCCCCTGCAAATAAGAGAATACAGAATCATTGTTAATTTGTATATATTATCTTAACATTTGATTATTAAGCACTAAGCAGTTAAAACATCAAACGATCAGAAAAGAAATAGCAAGTGTTAATTCCGTATCCTCACCAAATGCTGCTTGTGCAAGCTCCACGTATCTGTTATACCTCTTCCCAGGAACTGCTTCATGTAGCTGAACTAGAATCCATAAAGTATAAAGTTGCCAGAAGTAAGCTATGGTCAAGGACAATATTCCCCAACTCCTGCAAACAAAAGCGAAGCCAACACATCAATTTCCTTCCATTAACCATTGTGACTATATTTTTCGACTCCGTTTTGTAAAGTTTGTAAGCCAACACATCAAGGTTCTCCGCTTCTCTAACAGCAAAAGATACAAGGGAGAGTTGCAATTGTAAGAAGTTTTACATAATTCTTTTCATATAGTTCAGACACAATTCTCCTCAATCACAAGAAATTTGATAAAAATTCTAGCTATCAGCCCCTTATTCCAAATCTTTCTGAGCATTTGTAACTATTGAGTGCGCATGAATGTAAAACACTTCAAGTATTTATATAAATGGTAAGAAGAAGGGGAAAAAAGAAGTTCCTAATTTATAACAATAGTATCAGTAAATTACTTTAAAAAATATGAACAGAAAAAGAAAATAAGCAACAATGTTAAATTCTGTAAACTATTACTTCTGAATTGCCATCAATAGCAAGAGAACTGTTTTGTGTATCATGATCATGATTCATGAAAGCCAAACAATTATAATAAATAATAATCAATTAATTAACTAGTGCCCCTCTGTCTGAAAGAAGCCAAAAGTAAAAACAGAATTATGAAGGGACCCATGCCAAAGATGGCATCTCTTCTCGAAAATAATAATTGAACTTCTACAAAAGCGAAAAAGAAGAAATGAAATTGCTTAAAGGGTAGCTTCGATTTGTATTCAAACCAAATCTGCAATAAAATTTTGAAAAAGATAAAGAAAGAAGATCATCAACTACTACTAGCTAGACACACACCCCATAAACTTTAATGAGATTCCCCTCACTATGCAATAGACCACAGTGGCTTTATTTTGGTGGATGTGCTGAATATGCATTTTTAAAAGCAGTGCACTGCGCAAAGTTACAATCTTTTGCAAGATTAAACTTGTTACTTTATTTTAACAGGGAAAACAAAAATATCTGGCAACTGCGAGAATTTGAACAGAGACCAAAAATCCCACCTTCATCGGACATGTCAAGAATATATAACAGGAGAGTATCAGAATTAAAAGCTTAACTATAACAAGTTAACTAAGAATGACATAGATTAGGGAAAAAAACAAAAGAAGGAGAAGAAAAAGTGATTAAAAAGACGAGTAAAAACAGAAACTAGAGGATAACAACTGCAAAACAAAATCCATAATTGCGTTTCGAGGATGTCAATGCACCCGAAAGGTATGCCTCGTGGATAACTGACAAAAGCTATATATCTAACTAAACATTAATAAAGATATCAAAAAAAAAAAAATGTAAAACAAATAAGCACTAAGCTAAGCTAAGCTAGAATTAGAAACAACATACCAGCCAAGGAAAGCGAAAGCAACAGGCAAGACCAGGGCCTGAAATCCAACACCAGCATTCAGATTATGAAACGCAGCGTAATGAGCATTTCCATTGCGAGACTCAGTGATAGGTAGCCAAGCATCTTGTGGGTTAAGCTTGGTGAGATGTCCCACCTCCTCCAAATACCCTTTCATATTTATCAAAACCCTCTTCATTGGTGTCCCTATAGGGCTCAAGAACCTCGGCGATATAAAGGACGTCGGAGTCCACGCATTTGAAGATTTCGCTTCCTTAGAAGGCGGCCTCGGCGATCTTTGACCTGAAGGAGTTAAAATCTCCGGCGTGGAAGCACGGGGAGTCGCCGGAATGGATATAAGCTCGGTCTCTGGTCTCTCCTCCATTTCTTTACTGTCTCTCGTTGCCTTAGTTGCTCAACTCACTCAAATGCTTGTCTCTGGCTAAAATAATGGACTTGGTCTGCCTTTTCTGTTTCTGTTTGTTGGTTTCTGGTTATTGGAGAGAGAAGGAGACGGTGGATATCTCTCTCTCATTGTCTGAAAACTGAAGAGGAATGTGAGATTGGTGTAGCAGTAAACATGAAAGTTCGCACACTTTTAATCACACCCGTTGATCTTGCATGGGGTTTGTACAACAAGAAGCTGGTTGGGTGGTGATGTGTGCCTCGACCATAAAAAAACGACTGAGCCGAAATCAGACGTTGGAAGTTGACTGCTTTGATTTTGATTGATAGGTCGGAGTAGCCTGTCCTATATATACATACAAGGAAGAGAGAAGGCAGTGGTTCTGTGGTGGAGGGTGTAGGAGAGCTTCCAGTGTGGGGTAAAATGTAGGTCAGGTCAAAGAGTTCTTCATCTATTATTTCTATCAGGTGTTTCATGGTGATCATTAATTTTCACGTGGGCCCTCAGATATGACTCCGGAATTTCCGTTGTCCGAAAACGGGTTAAGGGGTGACGACTTCAAAATCAAATTATCATGTGGATGATAGGCGCGTGACTTGAATAATCCATAAGCTCCAAAACGGCATCGTCTTGTTACCTGGTTATTTAATTAATATAAACATTAACTTAAAGTGCAAAAATTCATCAATATAAATATTTATGGTGAAGGTGATGAAAAAATAGGGACGACGGAGGCGCGTGGGGATTGTTTCTCGCACGCATGCTACTTATGGGCCTTTCTTTCAAAATGGTCCCACTATCATCAATTTCTGTAAGGCGGTGACTCTAGAAAAAGCTCGAAATAACAGAGGAGGTGAGAGCGAGAGTTGAGAGCATTGCCAGTTTTACCCGACACCAGCACGTGCCTTTCCTGTCTCGTGGGTTGCCTGTGCGATTATTTGACAGGCTCTGCTTAACCGCGCTTGCGGCTTTTTAGTCGTAATTCGTAAATAATCCTAAATAAAGGGTGTTAAGTGAAATTAAGGTGTCCTAATTACAGAACAGCATGCAAATTGAAATATAATGTTGTTGTTAAGGCGTGACTGTGAATGGATACAACAATGATTATTATTATTATTATTTTTTTTTTTAAAAGAAAATTAAGTAAATGGTCCACTGTATATTGAGTGCTTATCCGCCGAAAGTCGATCCAGCGCCTCTCCCTTTTTCTTCCATTCAGAATCTTCGTTTCGTTTCAGTCTATATAAATTACGATTATTCTTTTTCTTTTTTTTTTCTTTTTAATCTCACTAATACTTAAAACTGAAACCAACTACTTAGGCTTGTCCAAAAAAATATGGGCCTCTTACAGCCCACATTCCAACGGGCACTGGCAGCAGAGCTTGGGTCTGGTGTGGGTCTTATTCGAACTCTTTGTTGGGCCTCTTGATATTGATGGCTCGAGAATGTCTAAATGAGTAGTTGTTTATTAAACTACAGAAACCGTAGAGATTTTGGATTCTTCGTGTCCCTTAATTAATTAATTAAAATTACGTTTGACTGTCGGAATAAAGGATATTAGAAACGAAGAATCTCGCAGCTGGACCATTCCCTCCTCTTCTTTCACACTGCAGTTTCGTAAATAAGTGTGATACAATTAATCTAACACGTGTTTGGTTACTCAACGTTGACTCTTAATGCTGTCTATAACTATTTGACTGACTCAAAATTTATTCTTTTTTTAAAAATAATATGATGTTGAGATAATATTCAAAGCGTACTCTTTAATAATAAAATATGATTTTTATAGACTATTATTATAATTATAGAAAATTATTATATTTACACCCCTTTACAATAAATGAATTCAAAAAACTTTTATAAATTTTGTATTTATAATGAAAAAGTATAAATTTGAGTTCTATTAATTGAATTCCATAAAATTAAATATGTTTAATTCAAATTCTTGATGAAATTTTTAAATAAATTTCACGTGATTGAACTAAAAATCATTTCAATTTTTTAATTATAGTAACTAATAATATTCAATTTTTTTAATTGAATAATGAAAAAATAAAGAAAATAATAAATAATTTTTATTTTTATCGATCTGATGTGCAGACGAGACCATAATCTCGGTCTAAACATTTTCGTTGGCTGTTTGGATGAAAAAAAATTGAAACATGACATACATGGTGCAACTACCATTAACCCTCCAATTAATTAAATTTAAAATAAAAAGGGCAAAGCGGTCATCCAACCAACTGTGTTTGCTGATGCATGCGCTTCCGTCACTCGCTTCGTTAGTTGATTCAGTTAACTTGGCCATCTTTCTTTCCCGTTAATAATTTCATTATGAATGAAACTTTAAAAAAAAAAAAAAGATTTACTATAAGCACCCACGTGGAATTTTGATTTTCCTAACTTGTGATTTTGTATCCAATAAATTACAAAAGCTAATATTCTTATCCAACAATTGGTTTTCTATTTGCCAAATATATAGATTCCCTTTTATGCTACAATTTTGTAACAGTGTAATTTTTACAGGGATTTACAGTGGTACGAGTTTTGGTGAATTATATATTTTTTTACATTAATAACAATAATTTTTAAATAAATAAAGTATTCAATTGAATGATTTTTTTAATTAATGTGTTTAATATGTGAAATTTTATAAATTAAAATATTTACTAATAAGAAAAAAAATAGAAGTACAATAAATTATTTCAAACCAAAAACATAAATAAATTTTTGTATTTGGGCATTTTCTTATTTTAATAAATATTTTTTTGCATTGACATTTAAAATTTCTATTTAAAATCATCTCTTTATAGAAAGAATTATGGCAATTATAGTATCATGATGATATTAATTCAATTTCCAGAATAATAATAAATGCAGGTTTTTCACCAACTTAACTTTCTAAGACAAATCTCTCAATTATCCTTGGGGTTTGAGGCTGATATTCGTCTGAATGTACTACTGGCAATGGTATTTTAGTCTTCTCCTACGTTATCATATTGTAATATTTATCTTCCAGTCTGGCTGGCGGTGGGAGCGAAGATGGCAGGAAGGCAAACACTGTTGAGTCAAAGTCAACCAAAACTTTGGAGAAGCATGGAAATTGCAAATTACAAAGTATCTACAACATTGTAGCAAATTACGACTACTAACCTTTTGGGCCCCTACGATATCTGAAGGAACATGCAACTTCGGAAACGGAATATCAGTTTTTTTTTCTTTGACTTTTAATTTTTTATTTACTTTAACAAATTGAGATTTTTTTTTTTAATTTTCCTCTATATTTAGAGTTTTTTTTATGTTTTCTTAAAAAGAGTTTATTACTAAATAAACGTATAATATTATATAAGCTATTATTTTGCCATCCAAATCAATTAATGTACCAGTTGCTATCATTAATATTTATATATTTTATTAATATTATCTTTAAATAAAAAGATTTAATATTATATTTTATAATTTTAATTTTACTATTTAAAAGAAAATAAATTTACCAAAATTGTTAATAAAGTTATATATTTTAGCTATACGACTATCTACACTACTTGATATTAGTATTAATAAATTGTATTTTTTCAACAAAAAAAAACTGTATTAAAATTTTGCACTCAATAAAAGCCGAAAATTAAGTATTAGCTTACTACACTTGATTAATATTTTTCATACATGAAAAATCTAATGAATCAGAATAATATTGTGCGCTGCACAATATAAATAATTTAGATGTAGGAAAATCAATAAAAACACAACGGGTTGATTATATTTGGTGAGCAGTATTTTGATTCATTTGACAAGTTATTATAAATTTACAATTTATAATACTAAATTTACTCCCTTTGCTTCACTTCAAATGTCCAATTTAGTCTTTTTATTTACACTAATTTTCTTTTTATTCATAGCTTTTATCCATTTTGCACTCATTCATTGAATTCCTCTTATATTATTTTTAATAGAAGGGTTTTTAGGTAAATTGTGGTAAACTTTCTATAAAATTAAAGTGAATCAATTATTTTTAATACGTGTGCAAAAAGGCAAAAGTCAATAATTAAATTGGAAAGAAGATAATAAATAAAAATAATTTTTTAAATAATATTATTATATATACAAGGGGATGGATAACACTGCTTGCAAAGTCGATCAGAATAAATCAAAGGGCTTTTAATCAAATCAAATAAATATTATCATATCATAAATAAGATAAGTTTTATTAAGAATTCAGGACTGTTTAGTATTTTACCGCATCTCACTCGTCACATGAAAAACGTCAAACTCAACTGCCCCAACAAACAAACGTAGGCAATTCCGTAAATATCAAAGTAAACAAACCTATTTTCATGCCGCCGTGTATTTAAAAACCAAAACTGTCCAACTTCTCGGCGTTTTTGCTCTAGTAAACCATCGCCTGACGCCTCTTTTCTCTGGTGCCTTTTCGCTCCCTCCCCGCGCTGGGAGGCCCAAAAAAGCTCAGGAACTCGCTTCAGTCCCCTTCATACCTAATCCCTGATTATTTCACTGTCTGTAATCTTAGTTGCGCTCAATTTTGAATCTCTGATTTAGGTCAAAGTTTCAATTCCACCTTTACTTGAACGATTCGCTGATTTCTTTCTTAGAAATGGCAGTTATTTGCTTCTAGGGTTTCCTAGATTTTCTTTCTCACTTTCCGAAGCCAATATTTACCTAATCCTTATCAGGATTATCAGAATTGCTGATATGGCTATTCGCGTCACCTTCACCTACTCTGGCTATGTCGCCCAAAACATCGCCGCCTCCGCCGGGATCCGGGTTGGAAATTGCCGCTCTCTCCACGAATGTTGGGTTCGCTCACGCATCTTCTCTTCGCCCACTGTTCAGAATACCGATTACGAACCACCTGCAACGCGTACCCGTGATTTCCAATCCGATCACCGGCGCCCGAGCCAGAAGCCGAGTTCCTGGGCTAAGAGTTCGGCTTCGATGTACAGTACCATCGCCGGAGAAATCTTTGGGGATAACTATAAGAGTTCGCTCACAATCGGATTGATCTCGCTGATGAATTCAACTGCCGGTGTTTCAAATTCATCGTGCACTGGCGTTCTTGGCATTTCACCATTTAAAGCTGCTTCGATCCTTCCCTTTTTGCAGGGATCCAGGTGGCTTCCACGTAGTGAACCGGCTCCTGGCCCTAAGAGTTCCGAAATCGATAAAGGGGGAACGGTACAGTGCGTACGGAATGAGAGTATTAGCAATAATACTGCTACTGTGACGCTGGAGATTAATGGGAAGGAGTTTGACAAGAGTGGGGGCTGGTTATCGAGAGTGTTAAGTTTTTGTTCTGAGGATGCCAAGGCTCTTTTTACTGCTGCAACTGTTAGCTTCTTGTTCAAATCGGCTTTGGCGGAGCCTAGATCTATACCTTCCACTTCTATGTACCCTACCCTGGACGTGGGTGATCGCATTCTAGCAGAAAAGGTAAAAAGCTTGTCTATCTCAACTTATGACAATTTTAGTTCATTATCATAATCCAATTCCCACATCTATGGTATAAGTTGGAGTGTTTACCAACTACACTTGCAATCTTGAGATCATTGATATTTATATTTTATGGTTTAGGCGATTCTTATGTGGTTTGTCCTTCCTAGCATCATTGTATTTGTGTTGTTATTTTGGAAGCCTTATGCGTTTATTTTCGTTTATTCTTTGTTTTAATGTCGTTAATATTCTTTATTCCAGATCAAACATGTCAAATGCAATTTATACTACCCGGAAATTATTCTTTCCCTTTAGATGGTAGCTTCTTTATGCTTAGGTCATAAGTTATTCCTCCTTTTCAACGTTATAATGTTTGGTTAATTAGGTTATGCGTTGTTGCTTCTTGTTGGCAAAAAGAGCAAAGAAATATGTAATGTTGGAAATCTTTGGTTGTCCTGATGCTGATAAGATTTCCCCCTTCTCTGTTGTATCAGGTTTCATATATTTTTAGGAAGCCTGAAGTTTCAGATATTGTGATATTCAAGGCACCTCCAATCTTGCAGGTAATATATGGCTGCCTTTTCATGTGAACATAGTTAAGATTTTTTGCTCTGAATTTCAGTACTGACTGTTTGCTTGTGTTTTCTGTACAATTAGGAAATTGGTTATGGCTCTGGTGATGTATTCATAAAGAGGATTGTGGCAACAGCTGGAGACATAGTTGAGGTAAGGTTCTATATTCTGTTTAATGATCCTACTTGCTGCAAAGGTGTTTTGTTCGTTGCCATTTGCTACTTTCTTTTCCTTTGTCTTTAATTTATATTAGTTTGACAGTAATGATTAACTGCACAACTCCTGCCTAGTGATTGCCATTATGGATTGGGTTTGTGTTTTTGCAGGTTTGTGAGGGCAAGTTATATGTGAATGGAGTTGTTCAAGATGAGGATTTCATTCTAGAGCCACTTGCGTATGAAATGGAACCAGTGGTAATGCCTCCTGCTCTCCATTCTTCTCATCTTTCTGTTAATTTGATATTGTACTTGGCACCTTCAAATAAGCTTATTCCATAAGTTTGCTTTCTATTAACTAAGTAAATTGTTTCGGTTTTTGCAGCTTGTGCCAGAAGGTTATGTCTTTGTGATGGGAGACAATCGGAATAACAGCTTTGATTCCCATAACTGGTAATTCAAGGGTCTATGAGCTTAAGCTCCCATTCAATTTTTTGTTTGAGATCATTTTGGATTAGATTGGAAGAGGAAGAAAATGTAAACATATCTGAGAGTATTTAACCAGATAAAAATTGCGATATTTCTTGTTTGCACGCCCAATTTGCCTAATTTAGTCTTAGGTGTTGAGTAAGATCTATGTTGGAATTAGATAGTTCACATGTGAGCGATGTCAACATTTTTTGTTGACTTCTCATCATACATGGGCTAAATAATTCCACCACAAATCTCACTCAGACCAACACCAGGAAACATCGGAATTACCATAACTTCTATTATTAGTATTTGGTTGAATGAGATAGTTTGTTCAGTAACCATACTATGTTTTAAGACCTAGACATTTGTCTTCTAAATGTCCCAAATATGTCTTCATCAATTTCAGCAGAACTTGCAAAATTTTTATTGAAATTGATATTTATTTTTATAATGCACATTCTAACATGTGGTCTTTGTCATTTTCAGGGGTCCACTTCCTATCCAAAACATAGTTGGTAGGTCAGTTTTTCGCTACTGGCCTCCCTCTAAAGTATCAGACACCCTATATGATCCATACACACAAAAGAGTACTGCTGCGCCATCTTGATGCAGAGGAGGATGGAATTGGATATAACTCATTCTTCATATAGATGGTGATTTGATAAACTATTTTGCAATCTTCTGGCTCATAATGGAGTAACTGTGAATATGTTCTCTCATTTTCATTATGGTCATCCACCAGTTCATATATTTGTTGGTGGCATAGTTGTGACATTGATTCATCTTTTGCTGTAATCATCTATTCAAAACCTTGCAAAACAAGAAATTGGAAGAAAAAGGAGCTACCACAATAAGAGTTGTTCATTTGTGTTGTGAAGTTGAAATGTGGCCACAGGCTTGTAGATTTGAAGCATTGAGATCTATGGCTTAGCAACGGTTATCCAGAAGTCTGTTGAACTGGTCACCCTTGTGCCTTTGTTGCTGTTGATGAAATAGTAGAGGAAGCTTGTGAATTCATTTTGGTCTGCTGTTATTCAAGGCTCTACATCTTGAGATGCAATTGTTAGGGCTGAAGGTGAGGCTCATCTGTCATTGATTGCAGTCTTAACAATTTGGGTGGTCATCCTGTGCTCAATGACCCTGCCAACTAGCCTCGCACTCCTCGATCACCAGGAGCTATATGTATTCCTGCTCATAACATAAGGAAATTTGAGTTGTTCAATAAAGAAGACAAATTTATTTTTGTTGCTTCAACCTTTAATGTAATCCTTGAATGCTTAAACATTTCTGATGGTGTAGTCTCAACTATTTGGGTGCATTATGAGTTCATTTAACTTAGATTCGTTGACTTTCTGTTTAAAGTAAATCTGAAAGAGTGCAAGGAGTATAAATGTCTTTTTATTGTTTGCTCAATTGTCTTGTTGAACCAGTCTTTTATCTTGTTTATTTCCAGTATAATAGCATGTTTTACTAGCCAAGTTATCCTTAAATCAATTTTTTTTACAATAAAAATTAAAAGATTGTTTTTTTGAATGAATCGAAATAAATGATTTAAACAACTGGTTTTGTTCTTAAGTTTGGTGATTTAGTAATAAAATTATTTCTTGAACTATATTTATAACATAAAGTTTGAATAAAATCTCATAGAATTAGATTTTATAAATAAGTTTATTTCTATTTATTTTCAGAGGTGAACCAAACCATGGTTAGACTCTGATCCATTTAATCGGTGAGGATGCAGAACAAGAAAATAAAGACTGAAACCGGAAAAGAATAAGATGACCGTTAACCAGTACTGCACCTAAAATCAGCAATGCACACCGGTTAAAAAGTAAAAACAGAGAACAAAACAGTAACTCCAAGCTCCATTTGACTCTAGACACGTGGCAGATAAATGACACCTAATACTGCCACTGGGATTTGGGGCTACAATCGTCATTATGCACCACTGTCGTTCCAAAAGGAAAAGCAGGTCTCAGATCTCCAATTCGATTGCAGTACGCGCGAGTAAGCCTGTTGAATCAATGGCTACAAATCGTCGTCGTTTAGCCTTCTCTCTTCCCTTCCTCCTCTTCCAATTCCTTCAATTCCCAACTCTACCGCTAATTCTTGCATTTACTCTTCCGCACTCCAATGATACCCACGTCCTAGAGGTGAAATGAAATCCTCTTTAATATGTTTTTTTCTTATTAATTTCATGTTCTTGAACTTTCTTATTAAAAAATCAATTCGATTTAACAATAACAGGATGTTCTGAAGGAGTTATCGGAAACGCAAAATTGGGATTTTCAAGGAATTAGGACCTCCAAATTGCGAGTTACTAGGGTTAGGTTTGGTACTGCTCAGAAATATGAGTTCCGTATCCGATTTGGAAAGACTGACTTGGTTTTCAAATTCCCGGACGAAGTCGATTCCTGGAACAAATTCAACAAAGAAAGGAATGATTTTGCAGATTTTGTTGCAGAGATTGGTTCCACTGCTCTGCTGGACACCTTTAAAATCGAGGGTCCATTTGATTTGCGGGTCGGTAACCAAGACGAGCTCTCTTTGTCGTTGCCGGTAATTCCGATCTCTTTGTTATATGCCTTTTTTGTGTAGTCTCATATCTATGTTCGATGGTTAATGGTTATCTTTTGTATTGAATTGAAAATATACGGATCATATTAGCCAGGCAATTGGTGATCTTGTGTGTCTGTTCCATAAAATTTAGAAATTAGCCGTAGCCGAGTATTTTTATCTAACTGGTTACGATTAATTCCTGAGTTACTCCTTATATGATTTCTGGCAGCAGTAATCGCGATTATACCGTCCTGTATGCAGATATCTTTTTCTCATGGACTTTAAGCTCCTCTAACTCAAAAAAAAGTTTTTGTTTTTCCCAAGTTATGGCGATAAGATATTCTACAAGTTAAAATTAGGAGTTTGACTCATTGCTCCGTAGAACTCAAATGAAAGAGTTGATTCTGAGTATATCTGATGCCCTCTTTCTGTGCCGCAATTGATGTCCATTCCGTGGGAATTTAATGTTGAGTGATATTTTAGAGTATATGTCAATCTGTGTTCAGTTGCAAGTCCAATCAATTTCTTATGCTGCTGTTGCTTGTTATCAGCTGAACGCTTCACATACACGCTTGAAACGAGTACTGGTGGGTGAAGGCATCACGGTAGAAGTAAAAGGATCCCAGGAACTCTCTCTTCTTCATACTGTTGACCATAGTTTCACAGTGAACGGAAGTTTTGTAATTAGCAAGAGGAAAACTGGTTTCTGCGCTTTTTGGAAGCCATTGTGTATGCCGCTACATCCTATATACGTTAATGGGTCTGCTTCGCTGATTGCATACAGGACTAGGAATTCTGAAGCTCCTGTTGAAACAACTTTGTTATCAAAAGGAACAATTGAGTTACTTCCTGCCAAATGTTACACTAACAATGCCTACAAGAACCATGCTCAGCTTAATCCTTCCTTAAGTTTGAAGATCAATAGGCTGGGAAAATTATTGCGAAGCTTTCTTAGTGACACATTGAGGAAAAGTTGGAATTCGGGTTTTCTTAGGACAACTGTCAAAGCATCAACCATTTTTCGATTTCAGTTGGACTTAGAAAAGAATATTGGGAGCAATACAACTCTTGATGGTTTGTTGGAAGACTGGAGGACAAAGCCAACAGTTGAACGGGTTTGGTTTGAAATAATGGCTAGAGTTGAAGCTGGGAAGCTGAGGCTTATAACGGCTAAAAAGGTCAGACCTTTTGTTCAAGTAGATTCAGCTTCATGGAGTAATTTAATGTCTAATATTTCCTTTACAAAATTCCCGTCTATTCTTGTGCCTCCTGAAGCCCTGACGCTAGATGTGAAATGGTAGGGCGAAACTTTTGTAAATAGTTTTTATTTAGATTATTTACATATGAAAGCAATATGCTTGCCATTGACATGCTGTCCCTTGCTTAATGATGTCTGTATTTATATTGTACATAATGTTGCAAAATTTTTCAACAGGAATTTAATGAACTCTTTTATCTGCTATTAATGTGATGTCTAGGTAAGAGTTTGATTTCGGTCTTGTCCTCCCCCATAAAATGACAAGAAATTCTCGCGGGACTTTAAGCTCAATTGCAGCACAAGTAAATTGCCTTGTGATGTTTCATACGTGATAGAATGGAATATAATCTAATTAAATACATTATGCATTTCTTTTATACTGAAAATGAGATTTATTAGCAACTCAAATTAAGCAGGGATTTACATTCGTAAGTAGGACAATCCTGGAGAAGAGCAGAAAGAGCAGAAAGAAACAATGTAATACACAGAGAGAGCAGAAACAAACACTGAACTGACATCCCTGAAACCTATATTATCTAGACTGCAACTAATTCAAGCTTTCCTTTAGAATGAGCCACTAGGAATTTTTTAGTTCGACATTCTTATATCTATACCAGGATGCACATATCAAATAAAACCCAAAATTTACAACACTCATCCCTGCCAATAACCAGCAGAAGTAATTCAACTTACCCCTATTCAAATTGTTGTTAGCCAACCATCCACCACTCACTCGGTTCACTATCTCCACCACAAATGAGCGCAAAATGTATCCAAAAGCTGAAGAACACCCTGCGATTGGTGTGCTTATTGATTTCATACCAATTGAGCTCTCTGCATAAATAAATTCAAGCAGTCCCATCAAAGTAAACAAATCAGCCGCTCCAAATATTGAAAATTGTATCCCTAGCCAAAACACGCTCATTGGCAATGGCTTGGTAGAGTCTGCCATGTTATGCTCAGTCGCTACAGATTTCCAGTGAGTTTCACAATTCCGGCAACCCCCATTGAGAGAGCTGACAGGACTAGCCCTACTCCTATTCGCTGAAGGTGCCAAATTCCATGAGGAATTCCTGTTATCTTTCGAGCGAGCGGGACGAAAATGCAATCATAAATTGGGATTAGGATAAACATGAAAAGCAGAGGAATTACTGGAATTGAAGGGGCAGGTATGTGAAACCCGAACAAATTTGTGTCCATTGTTGTGCTTGTTGGATAGTGAAAGTTTGAAGTTGAGCTAAACATGTGTTAGGATAAACATGAAAAGCAGAGGAATTACTGGAATTGAAGGGGCAGGTATGTGAAACCCGAACAAATTTGTGTCCATTGTTGTGCTTGTTGGATAGTGAAAGTTTGAAGTTGAGCTAAACATGTGTTCAAGAACACTGTGCTAAGTATAATTGGAACCATGCGAATTAAGATTTTTGTTTCCTTCAATTTGTGTAACTGTGCATAACCTGCAGGGTCCAGGGGCTATTGATGTTGATGCACCCTTCGTGTCTGTTCTTAAAATTGCTGCCCTGTCCAAAAAACCTGAAATTTGGAAATATGTTAATTAGTTTATTTTAAGCCCTTTACCAATTAAGCACTTGATGTAACTTTTATAAAACCTGAATTGATCAGTCCTTTTGAGGATTTCATCTTGTTTCCCTATTTCCTTGTCGTGAATTTCATATAATTCCTCTGTCATGTCAGGGATTGGAAGGTTTCTGTTTCTAGTTGCAGCTAAAAATACCTGAAGTTATGAAAAAGAGGTGCAAGCCAGAAATTAAGCTTGTTAAGCATAGGCAGAGGAAGAACAATACATAAAAAATTTTCGCCTGAAAAAGAATCAATACCTGCATAAAGCGAAGGATAGTGCTTCCTTCAGGTACATTATTTTGATATAATGACTTTCCCGTAGACAAGAAGATTATAGAGCACAAAACAGCTGTAGTACAGATTACAAACGACCATTTCCAACCTTGATTTGTGCTTATCCAGACAATTGAAGTGACACCGATTATATTTCCAATGGTGAGGCTAAACAAGAACCAGTTGAAAAAACTAGACAACTGTGCTGCTTCCTTAGGATCTTTTTCATCAAAATGGTCAGCTCCTAGAGATGGCAGACCAGCTTTAACACCACTGGTACCTAATGCCAGAAGGTACAGACCAGTGAAAAGAACTGCTTCTTGGCCGCCGGTTGCGGCCTCGCATTGATTCTGCTTGTCCGGTGAAACTCCTTGGCATTGTGTTGGTCTCAGTTGATGAAAGCGTGCTTGAACTGTTAATATGTTGTAACCCTGCAAATGCATGCTTCAACCCGTAATTTCTTAGAGATGGATCAAATTATAATGAACTCAATACATCTATTGATAAGATTATTAAGTATTAAAAAGAAATTTGAATAATTTTACCATTTTAGAATAACCTTAACAATTTATATTTATGGATAGAGAAAGTAATATGCAATGGAAGATTAAAAAATGATATTTTTATTTTATTTATATTAAAATTTAACTAATGGTGAGTGACCCACTTGCCTCATTTGGGGTTGTCTCAACGATTATAGCAAGTTGAAACGGTCAAGGAAGCAGAAAAAGAAAGGAGGCCCTGAAATCAAATAAAGAAAAGTGACACTATCCCCTTTCCAATATAAATGGTTAAATATCTTTAAAATTGACAAATTCATTATATTTAATTGGCAAAGTGCAAATTCTCTTGCATCTTAAGAAAGTAACTTCTCTTCCACAAGAAAAATTTGATGTTCTATTACTCGAAAAGTAGAATTGATAATCCAAATCAAACGTTGACATCTAAAACTATATATACTCCCTTCATTCGTGTGTGTGTGTGTGTGTGTGTGTGTGCATGTAGTCTCACTTTCACATAGGTTAAGAAAGATTAGTTAATATAGTTATATTAATATTCTTATTCTCATATAACTATATCCTTACATTCATCAAGTGTGCAGAAGTAAAATACACATAAAGATCACAAACAAACACTAAACTGGTTTAATATAACATCCCCAAAACCCATCTTATCTAAATTTCAACTAACTCAAGCTTTCTTTTAGAATCAGCTTCACTAGAATTCATTAGTTCTACATTCTTGTATCTATACCAAGATGCACACACCAAATAAAACCCAAAATTTACAACACTCATCCCTGCCAATAACCAGTAGAAGTAATTCAACTTATCCCTATTCAAATTGTTGTTAGCCAACCATCCACCACTCACTCTGTTCACTATCTCCACCACAACTGAGCTCATAAAGAATCCAAAAGCTAGAGAACTCCATGAGATTGCTGTGCTTATTGATTTCATACCAGCTGAGCTTTCTGCATAAAAAAATTCAAGTACTCCAATCAAAGTAAACAGATCAGCCGCTCCAAATATTGAATATTGAATCCCTAGCCAAAACAAGCTCATTGGCAATGGCTCGGTAGAATCAATCATGTTGTGCTTAATTGCTACGGATTTCCGGCGAGTTTCCACAATTCCGGCAACCGCCATTGAGATGGCTGACAGAACCAGCCCTACTCCGATTCGCTGAAGGTATCGAATTCCGGTAGGAATTCCTGTTATCTTTCGAGCGAGCGGAACGAAAATGCGATCATAAATTGGGACTAGAACAAACACGAAAAGCAGAGGAATTACTGGAATCGAAGGGGCAGGTATGTGAAATCCGAAGAAATTTGTGTCCATTGTTGTGCCTTGTTGGATTGTGAAAGTTTGAAGTTGAGCTAAACATGTGTTCATGAAGACCGTGCTAAGTATAATTGGAACCATGCGAATTAGGATTTTTGTTTCTTCAATTTGTGTAACTGTGCATAATCTCCAGGGCCCAGGCGTTACTGAGGTTGAAGCACCATTATTATCTGTTCTTAAAATTGCTGCCCTGTCCAAAAACCTGAAATTTCGAAATTTGGTAATTAGTTTATTTTAAGCCCTATACCAATTAAGCACTTGATGTGACTTTTATAAAACCTGAATTGATCAGTCCTTTTGAGGATTTCATCCTGTTTCCCTATCTCCTTGTCGTGAATTTCATGTAATTCGTCTGTCATGTCTGGGATTGGAAGGTTTCTGTTTCTAATTGCAGCTACAAATACCTGAAGTTATGAAAAGAGGTGCAACGAGAAATTAAGCTTGTTAAGCATTGGCAGAAGAAGAACAATGCATTAAAGATTTTCGCCTGAAAAATAATTATTTACCTGCATAAATCGAATGATGGGGCTTCCTTTAGGTACATTTATTCGATATAATGACTTTCCCATACATAACAAGATTACAGAGAATAAGAGAGCCATAGTACAGATTGCGTATGACCATTCCCAACCTTGATTTGTGCTTATCCAGACAACAAAAGTGACACCGATTATATTTCCAACGGTGATGCTAAACAAGAACCAGTTGAAGTAACTAGACAGCTCTGCAGCTTCCTTAGGGTCATTTTCATCAAATTGGTCAGCTCCTAAGGATGGCAGACCAGCTTTAACACCGCCGGTACCTATTGCGACAAGGTACAGACCAGTGAAAAGAACTGCCTCTTGGCCACCGGTTGCGGCCTCGCATTGATTCGTCTTGTCCGGTGAAACTCCTTGGCATGGTGTTGGTCTCAGTTGATGAAAATGTGCTTGAACTGTTAATATGGCGTAACCCTGCAAATGCATACTTCAACCCGTAATTTCTTAGAGCTGGATCAAATTTTAAATTTTAAATTTAACAGTCACATTAATTTTTTAATTTATGAATGAATTTTTTTTTTAATCCGCATTTAGTTTATACTGACGTGGCTTCCTGAGTGCAGATTTTTATTAGATCATGTTAAATCACTACATATTAGTGTATAAAAATAATTAAATATTACTAATGGTACTCCATATTCTAGATTATTTGATATACTCCATTAACGATAGTATCAGCTCCACAACTAACACAATCATACGCTAAACAAATTCAAATATATATATATATATATATAGCGAAACAAATTCAATATTATATAATATATATATATATATATATATTATGATATTAGTGGTTTTCTTTCCTAGTCAAGTTATGATGATAGAATATTTATATAGTAGTAACAGTAAGAAAGATTTACCTACGTCTGTTCTGTGAATATCCATAGACCAGGACATATTTTTGACTATTCATTAGGAAAATAAATTAAAGTGGAAATTATTTTTAAAAAAGATTTGGTTCATGGGTAAATCTATAAACCGGATCTAAGTAAGTATTCTTCTGGTAAAACCATTGATGTTATTATAATTATATCAATGAAAAGTGTTAAAAATGTTGAAATTCAACTACTGTATATAAATTTTTTATTTTTTTTGAGAAGAGGTACTACTATATGGAAATTAAACGAGCATTAACATACCAATAGTTCAATGCATCCAAACAAGACGCTAGTCTTGAATCTTGACAAATAGGTATCAGAGATAAAACCTCCAAAGAGCGAGAGTAAAAATGAAGTTCCCAAGAAATTGGTAACTGAGGTAGCAGATCTTGTTAAGCTAAAGTTCATATACCCATAGAAGTAAGTTACAAGGCTTATGGAAATCGACAGAAATGCCATGTTCTCTAGTGCCTCCATAGCTGCATAAAAATCACATTATTCATCAATAATAAATAAACACAGTAAACATAAATTAAAATAATTCAAAAGAAATTAAGAAATATGAACTTCTAAAATACATTACCATATACAAAAAGTGCAGCTCTATTTCCACCTAGCTTTCTTTCTTGCTCAGGTCCGGTTTTAACAACTCCACATAACCACTGTTCCATGCATATCAATTTATACCAGTCAAAACACTTACCAATTAGTAAAAGGGTTCAAGAAAATTAGCATCACTCGTGATTAATCAAAAATAAGCATACCATTTTGTAACTGGGAGCTTATTCCTTGCTTCTACCTCTGACTGTCAGTTTCGGCAACAAAACAAAGAGAAAGAAGAAACCTACTGTATGGTTTTAACAAGGAAACCAGCTACTCTATATAGGGACATATGTAGTAAGAGAAATAGGAAGGTGTCGGAACTGTTTGGTTGAAGGGAGAAACCAAACACTGTATGGTTTTGTTTCTCACTTTCTTACGACACCTCTTGCTTTCTCTCTCTCTCTCTCTCAATCGATCAAGCTAGTTGACAAATAATAATCATTTTATCTTTATATACCAGAGCTGGATATATATGTTTAATTTAATGGTATAGAACAAAGTGCACTAATTAATATTGTTTTATATATAAATAAATATAAAGAATTAGAAGTGGATATGTGTATATATATATATATATATTTTTTTGTGTATGTATATATATATATATATTTTTTTTTTTTTTTTTTTTTTTTGATTGGTTCATTATTAACTTAAGATGGTAAAGCGTGTCTTAGCTCGGATCTGGAAATATTTTTTTTTTGATGGTTCATTATTAATTAAGATGGTAAAGCGTGTAGCTCGGATCTGGAAATATTAGGGATAAAAAATTAGCTGTTTTGAACTAATAATTCCCACTTAACATGTAATTTAGCTTGCAAATTAAGGATCTGCTTAAGTGAAGTCTACGGCATTCAAGATTTTTTATAATGATTTTTAAAACAAATATATATATAGAAAAATAATGCCCGTAAGTCCAACATATGTGCATGATTGTTTCTGATAAGTCTGCATACTGCAGCTTACACTTCTATTCCGCATATATAAATAATTTACAGGTTCTATTATTTGTAGATTAATTGGAATATGCTTAATTATGAATTTAGAGTTGTCTACCTCTAATTAGTAATTATTCAACCCAAATAAAGGTCCTTCATGATCATGTATTGCATGCCCATATTTCTGTATATATAGTATTAGGGGTGTGACGATGGATCGTGGCACGAGAACATGATTTGTTTAGCATGTAAATTAAATGAGTTACGGTTGAGTTTAAATGGGTTCCTTTCATAATCGGATGATCTCGATATGACACGGGTTTGAGTCATATTTTCTCATAATTATATTCTTATATTCATCAAGTGTACATCAATACAATACACGTAAAAGAACAAAAACAAACACTAAACTGTTTTAATCTAACATCCCTAAGACCTATCTTATCTAAACTGCAACTAATTCAAGCTTTTCTTTAGATTCAGCTTCACTAGAATTTATTAGTTCTACATTCTTATATCTGTACCAGGATGCACATACCAAATAAAACCCAAAATTTACAACACTCATCCCTGCCAATAACCAGTAGAAGTAACTCAACTTATCCCTATTCAAATTGTTATCGGCCAACCATCCACCGCTCACTTTGTTCACTACCTCCACCACGACTGAGCTCATAAAGTATCCAAAAGCTAAAGAACACCATGAGATTGCTGTACTTATTGATTTCATACCAGCAGAGCTTTCTGCATAAAAAAATTCAAGCAGTCCAACCAAAGTAAACAAATCAGCCGCTCCAAATATTGAATATTGAATCCCCAGCCAAAACAAGCTCATCGGCAATGGCTCGGTAGAATCGACCATGTTATGCTTAATTGCTACAGATTTCCGGTGAGTTTCCACAATTCCAGCAATCCCCATTGAGATAGCTGACAGAACTAGCCCTACTCCTATGCGCTGAAGGTGCCGAATTCCGGTAGGAATTCCTGTGATCTTTCGAGCGAACGGAACGAAAATGCGATCATAAATTGGTATTAGAATGAACATGAAAAGCAGAGGAATCACTGGAATTGAAGGGGCAGGTACGTGAAATCCGAACAAATTTGTATCCATTGTTGTGCCTTGTTGGATTGTGAAAGTTTGAAGTTGAGCTAAACATGTGTTCATGAACACTGTGCTTAGTATAATAGGAAGCATGCGAATTAGGATCTTTGTTTCTTCAATTTGTGTAACTGTGCATAATCTCCAGGGTCCAGGCGTTACTGAGGTTGATGCACCATTGCTATCCGTTCTTAAAATTGCTGCCCTGTCCAAAAACCTGAAATTTGGAAATATGGCAGTAATTAATTAGTTGAGTTGAAGCCCTGTACTAATTAAAATTAAGAAGTTGATATGACTTTTATAATACCTGAATTGATCAGTCCTTTTGAGGATTTCATCTTGTTTTGCTATTTCCTTTTCGTGAATTTCATGTAATTCCTCTGTCATATCTGGGATTGGATGGTTTCGATTTCTAATTGCAGCCACAAATACCTGAAGTTGTGAAAAAGGGGTACAAGCAAGAAACGAAACTTGTTAAGCATAGGCAGAGGAAGAACAAAACATTAAAAGATTTTCCCCCAAAAAAGAATTATTACCTGTATAAAGCGAAGGAAAGGGCTTCCTTTAGGTACATTATTTCGATATAATGACTTTCCCATGCACAAGAAGATTATAGAGAATAAGACAGCTATAGTACAGATCGCAAATGACCAGTCCCAACCTTGATTTGTGCTTATCCAGACAAGAAAAGTGACACCAATTATAGCTCCAGTGGTGAGGCTAAACAAGAACCAGTTGAAGAAACTAGACAACTGTGCTGCTCCCTTAGGGTCTTTTTCGTCAAATTGGTCAGCTCCTAAGGATGGCAAACCAGATTTAACACCACTGGTACCTAATGCAACAAGGTACAGACCAGTGAACAAAATTGCTTCTTGGCCACCGGTTGCGGCCTCGCATTGATTCGTATTGTCCGGTGCAACTCCTTGGCATGGTATTGGTCTTAGTTGATGAAGATGTGCTTGAACTGTTAATATGGCGTATCCCTGCAAATGCATGCACAAAGCCCATAATTTCTTGGAGCTGGATCAACTTAAAAATTTTAAATTACCGTCAATTATGTATGTAATTAGTATGCATCATGATACAAAATTATTTTATCCTGAGTTTTGGACCATGTAAGCACATATTGTTTGCCAATATTTTTAATTTCAACAGTGAAGGTGGACGATGGAAAATTTTTAATTCATATAATTGTTATATTAGATAAATGAAAAAAAAAATTACTTGTTTTCTAAAGAAATTAATTAAATTTTATTACAATTTAGAGAAATTAGTTGTTTTCTTAACCATAATGCAAAAATCTCAAACAGAGAAGAAGGTGCGAGGTGTGGTGTACAACACATTCTTAATTATTTGACATTCTCCTCTTCGACCATTAACGATAGTCTTCTTTATCTTTTGCATATATTATTATTAAGAGCTAATCAGCTCCAACAACTAACACAATTCTACACTAAACTAATTTAAATATAAAACAGATATTTTATTTTGATTAATTGGTAGTGGGTTTTTTTTTTTTTTTTTTTTTTTTTTTTTTTCTTAGTCAAGTTTTTAAATTTTTTTTTTTTTTTTTTTTTTTTTCTAGTCAAGTTTTAAAAATAATGTTGTTAAACAATTCTACGTACCAATAGTTCAATGCATCCAAACAAGACGCTAGTCTTGAATCTGGACAAATAGGTGTCTGAGATGAAACCTCCAAAGAGAGTGAGTAAAAAAGAAGTTCCCATGAAATTGGTAAGTGAGGTGGCTGATTTTGTTAAGCTAAAGTTCATATACCCGTAGAAATAAGTCACAAGGCTTATGGCATTTGCCACAAATGCCATGTTCTCTAGTCCCTCCATAGCTGCACAAAAATCATCGATACTATATATAAAAACACACTAAACATAAATTAAGATAACTTAAAAGAGATTAAGAAATATGAACTTCTAAAATAAAAGAAATTACCATATACAAAAAGTGCAGCTCTATTTCCACCTAGCTTTCTTTCTTGCTCGGGTCCGGTTTTAACATCTCTACATAAACCCTGTTCCATCCATGTTAATTTATATCAATCAAACATACATTTATCAATCGTAATAAAAGGGTTCAAGAAACTAGCAACGCACCAGATTAATTGAGTATACCATTTTGTAATTGGAAGATTATTTCTTGCCTCTCTGTGATTGTAAGCAACGATACAAAGAGAATGAGAAACCCTACTGCATGGTTTTAACAAGGAAATCTGCTTCTATATATAGAAAGAGAAATAGAAAGGTATCAAATGGCATCTAATTGTTTGGAAGACTTCTTGAATGGGTTTTGTTTCTTATGACAACCCTCTTTCTCTTTCTCTCTCTCTCTCTCTCTCTCTCTATCGAGCTAGTTGACGATTAATAATAATAAATTTTTTTATGTTTATATATATATATTAACTAATAATAAATTTTTTTAATGTTTCTTATAGTACTATAATAATATATAGAGCTACTTATATATATATATATATATATAATAAGAAAATACAAAGAACCAGAGCTGGAATTTATATATAAATACAAAGAACCAGAGCTGGATACGTTAAATGCTCCATGCATTTGATTGGCTTGTTCATGTAGGTGATACATATTGTCACTAACTAATAAATTAACAAGTTAAAAATATTATCAGACATGATGTAATGGTCGTACGAAAATTTAAATTTTAATTATTTCTTTGTGAAAATGGTGTAGAAAATGTGCATTAATTAGTTTGGTGAAGCGTATAGCTTGGATCTAAAGCTGTTTTGAACTAATCAATAATGCCTTGTTCTTAATTAACATCTAAATGTAATTTAACTTGCAAATTAAGGACTGCTTAAGTAACGGCTAAGACATTCTTTAAAATGATAAATTATGTCTTTAAAAGTCCAACATGCATTTGTATTGTTGCAGCTAATTACCCTTCTAACCCTAATTTTTGCACATTAATTGAAACATGCTTAATTATGAATTAAGGGTTACCACCTCTAAGGTTAAAAAAATTATATCTTTGACTACTGGATAGAAGATGAAACATTGAAGATTATAGTAAGATCAATTAACATTACTGACGTTGGATGGAGATTACAGGATAGAGAGATTCTATATGTAGAGAAGATAACGAGAAGAAAAGTTTCAGAAATGCATAATTGACAACTGAGTTTAGAAAAATTCAACAATTCTAGATTGAAATTAAAAATGAAATTTAGGTCTTTTATTATTCAATTGAAAAAAAAAAATATATATATATATAAAAAAAAAAATATATAAAATAATATATAATCATATACTATAATATGTGTAATTAACACAAGGGGTCGCTGTCATTACCAGCTCTTCATGAAATTAAAGGTTACTTGAAAATGAAATGTTTTTGGGATTTTTCAAATTGGAGAAATCTTGAAAAACGTGAGGATCCAGATATATATGTGTATATACACAAGGGGTCCTGTCCATTACCCTCTTCATGAAATTAAAGGTTACTTGAAAATGAAATGTTGGGATTTTTCAATTGGAAAATCTTGAAAAACGTGGGATCCAGAATAAGGGTTTTGGTGTCATGTTTTTGGGAGGTATATTCATCTCTTTCCTAGTCATTTATTTGTCACTTTGATAATGGATTTTTACAATGAATTCTTAGTTTTTAGCAGTATATAGTAGAGAAGAGAAACCCAGTAGGATGATTTTTTCAAACTTTCAATATCTTTTGAATAACTATAGCTGTCTTTTTCTTTAAGTTACGCAAGATTTGTCTTTGCCCCTTCAAATCAAAACATTAACAACATAATGGTGTGGTCTATTCTAGGAGTTGGTAAGATGCTTTCAGTTGCACATAAATTCAGCTTGCCAGAAATTAATTAAGGTAGCCAATCTAACACAACCACAAACGCAATAGGCTACAAAATTGAAAAGAACTCAATGAATAAACTACTCCGTTTGCAATAGGCTACAAAATTGAAAAGAACTCAATTAGCAAACTACTCTGTCGGTAAACTCAAAATAATGCGATCTAGTGATCGAAGTACATTAGATTTTATGCTGGTGATTACAAGATCGAGTCATGGTGTCAGCATTTTGGAGAGGGCTTTTAACATATTCGCTCTTAGCAAAAAAAAAATTTCTTATCGAATTATTAAGGATACAGTTGGTAAATAGCAGTCACTGTCGTTTAGTTTTAATTTAAGTGGTCACTGTCCTTTAGTTTTAGCTCTTACTGTATATTGAGAAAGAATGGTCAAACTTCTATCATATGAACTTACCATCAAAATAACAAAGAATCTATTTTTTAATGCTATTTGGACGTTAGAGATTTCAACTTCTTCATATTCAATTAAATTTTGTTATAAAATTTTTTCATGGTCAATAGATTAAGCAATCCACAACTTTAAATTAATCTCCATAAATCCCTTTAAAACCTAACTACAAATAGAACATGTATATATTTATATTACAATACAAAGTTCTCTCAGTCTCAGGTGAGTACATGCAATGCATACATTTTGGGTAAGAGTTTGAGCCCAACATCAGACAAAGTTAGGACCATTGGCGCTGTTTTAAACAATTGAACGCAGGCCCAATCCTCTATTAACTCGGACAAAAATTTTCGCGTCTTTTGTCGGTTGTCTTGACTCTTGAGCTTGACTCTTGAGCGTAGTTTCAACGCAAATAAATTGTCGCTTGGGGAAAACCCTTGTCGGTTCTTCCACTTTTTAGAAAATAACAGTTAACTGGTCAGAAATTCACACCACCGCAAGAAGAATGGACCTCCGGGAGTCGATCAGGAACCAAATCGACGTCGGTTTAGGCATTGCCAAGCATCTGCTCTTAACCGAAGCCCAGAGCTCTAATTCAGTCTTCTCGCCGCAGTCCATCCAGGTGGTGCTCAGCCTTATTGCGGCCGGGTCCAAGGGTGCCACCCTCGATCAGTTGCTTTCTTTCCTCAAGTCAAAGTCAAATGATCAATTGAATTCCTTGTCGTCCGAGCTCGTTGCTGTGGTTTTCGCGGACGGCAGCTCAAGCGGTGGGCCACGTTTGTCGTTTGCCAATGGCGTTTGGGTGGATAAGTCTCTTTCTCTCAAGCCTTCCTTCAAACAAGTTGTGAATAGTGTATACAGGGCTGCTTCTAGTCAAGCTAATTTCCAAACAAAGGTATATTTAATTACATGCTAACTTGTAGGATAGGTGATCTTATTATTCTATTTGCAATGACCAAAAATATATACAGTACTTTGATCGACAAAGCTTAAATAGTTGTTCTTGATTAGTCTCCTTTTACTTGAGGTGGGATTAACTCTCACGGCCTACCAAAACCATGTCCCACATCCCCTCTCACATAACATCAAGCATCATTAACAGAAGACTTTAGTAATGAGTGTAAATATGACTTATTGAAGATGTCCATGCTTACAATCTGAGGAAATTATGTTGACAATTTGAACTGAACGATAGCAGACATAGCTTGCTTGATTGTGTGAGAGTGTGTACTTTTGAGCTACTCTGCAATGGATGAATGGAAAAACCATAAGAGTCGCTAACCAATATGTATTATTAGTATTCCACTTAGGAACTGTCATTGTGATGTTGTGCAGAGAGTAATTTCTAGTGAAATTTGATCAAGTTTCTAGTAAGATCAATATACATGACATTTTAAACCACACATGAGCCAATCATGAACTGAAATGGTGAGACTTCTCCACTGCTGCAAGTTATCCAAGAACATAGGATATTCTTTGCAGGTTGATCTGAGTGAAGTTGTGCAATAAGAACATAGGATATGATTCCATTTTTTGTTTCCTTAGGCTTATGTATCAAAATGAGTCCAGTACGTTGCTCATAGCTTTCTTTTGTTACAATGATAGAAGGTGCAACTAATTCAAGTATTAGTAATTTAAAATCTTCTAACTTCCCCCCTATTTTTGGTGTGCCGAAAATCGATGTTGTCTCTAATTAAAGGATACCATAAAACATAATGCTCAATTCTCTTATTTCATTGTGGTACTTCAATAAGCCATTAGATATCGCAGACTGATTCAGTTTCCTTCAAAGCATAAATGACAATGGAGTTGGGTATCCTATATTTTAATCGTGTTATATATTCATTCATTTATCTGTTGGCTCTGTTGTCTTTACTACTGATGTTCTATATTGATGCTAATGCCTTAAATGTTAATATTTATGATGGTGATGAAGCCTGATGAAGTGACTAATGAAGTAAATGCATGGGCTGTAAAAGAGACAAATGGCCTTGTCAAAGAGGTTCTTCCCTCTGGGTCGGTTGACCATACAACCAGGCTCATATTTGCAAATGCACTATATTTCAAAGGAGCTTGGAATGAAAAATTTGATGCATCAACTACAAAAGACTATGATTTTTACCTTTTGAATGGAAGCTCAGTTCATGCACCCTTTATGTCTAGCACAAATAAGCAACTTATTAGTGCCTTTGATGGGTTCAAAGTCCTGGGACTTCCTTATAAACAAGGTGAAGATAAACGCCAATTTTCCATGTACGTCTTCCTTCCAGATGCAAAAGATGGGCTGCCTTCTTTGGTGGAGAAAGTGGGTTTGTCAGGGTTTGTGGATCAACACCTTCCACAGAAAAAAGCGGAAGTGGGTGATTTCAGGATTCCAAAGTTTAAGATTTCCTTTGGATTTGAAGCTTCCAAAACTCTCAAGGGATTAGGACTGGTGTTGCCATTCTCTGGTGAAGGAGATTTGACAGAGATGGTAGAGTCTTCTGTTGGTAAGGATCTATATGTTTCAAGCATATACCATAAATCCTTCATCGAAGTAAATGAGGAAGGCACAGAAGCTGCAGCTGCATCTGCTAGTGTCATAAGTGACAGGAGTCTGGATATTCCTCATAAGATTGACTTTGTAGCTGACCATCCATTCTTGTTCCTGATCAGAGAAAACATGACTGGAGTGGTGCTGTTCATTGGCCACATTCTTGATCCCTCGCAGACCAAGTGAATCTTCTTCACTGGAGAACACGTGTAAGTAGATCAAGCCCAACGTAAAACCTTTTTTAATGACTAGTAATGTATGGCTGATGTGTTGTATTTCGCTTCTTATGGTGTCTAGCGGAGTTGTTTAATGCCAGGCGTGAACTTTTGTGTCAATGTATTTGCCTCAACACATTTAAAATAAAAAGGAAAATAAACTTCAGGTGAAGGAAAATCAAAAGAGAAAAAGAGTTTATTCAAATTAAAATGGATAGGCCATCATTTTACCAGTTAAGATATATGCAAAAGATGACTTTAGCTGCAAATATATATATATATATATATATAATAGTGAGAGATTGATATGAGCTGAATGTGGTTGATAGTTTTCGCTTCTTATATGGTGTGCCTAGCGGAGTTGTTTAGATGCTCATAAGGGCGTGAACTTTTATTGACTGTCAATGAGCGTAATCTTGCTCTCAACACATTTAAAATAAAAAGTGAAAATAAACTTCAGGATGAAGGAAATCTAAAAGCGAAAAAGAAGTTTTATGTTCAAATGTAAAAATGGAGTAGACGCCCCTCATTTTGTAGCGCAGTTGAAGATATTTATAGTTGTCAGAAAGACATGATGACTAGTTAGCTGCAAAATATAGTAGTTACTATATATATATAATATAGTAATGTTTTATATAAATTAACTCATAATTTTTAATTTTAAGTATTCTTTATTATTTTTGGTTTAAGCTATGATCATTCCAGGCTTTTTCAACTGCATATTATGATTCGATGAAGGAATAGGAGAATTAAGTAGTTAGCATTTCACTCAAAATTAATTTGATCTTAGTGTATAATTTTATATATATATATATATATATATTTTGGTTAACTATGATATCCTTTTTCAACTGCATATTAATATAGAATAAAATTAAAGTTAAGATTTCATCTCAAAATTAATTTTGTATAATTTAATCTCAAATGTTTTTGATTTAACAATGTTGAACTGATTGAAAATGGAAGTAAAATTTTTATCTTGAAAATTAGAAGCAAATGTACTGAAAATAAGAAGAGAAAAGGAAAGAACACTCACCATCTTAACTTCTCGTTCGTTTTCAACTTGTAGTAAATCAATCACCATACTTGATTAACCGAGTTCTTAATAAATTTTGTGTGATTTGGACTGAAGTATTAAGAGACATGAAGAACCATATATATTAAAATAGTATTCAAATTCGTTTGTAATCTAAGATTGTGGGTTCGAAACTAATTAATATCTTATTTAATAATAATAATAATAATTACATAAAGCATTTATATGGTTAGAGATATTGAATATTCATTTTCATTTAAGGAACGTGAATACCTATAATAAGTATTTGGAAATAGACGAAAGAACCTCAAGAGTTCTTGTGTTCAATTTTAGAAATTAGAGGTTATTTTAAAGAGCTATTAAGTGTAAAATTCATGGAAGCCATGAATTAAAGAGAAATTTCTTTCAAAAATCTTCAATTTATTTCTTAAAATTGAAAATCAAGTACTCAAAATTTAGAAAGTGACACGTCAACATCCAAAGGATCTCCATGATATAATGATTTCAAGGACATTCCTGTAAATAACGATACGGGAACGGGGAAACCGTGGTCGGTTATTCCACTTCTGCAAATAGTGGCAGTGGACCGGTCAGGAATCAGATCATGCACCGTCTCTGCAATTCACAACACCACAAGAGGAATGGACATCCGCGAATCCATCAGGAATCAAAACGACGTCGCTTTGGGCCTTGCCAAGCATGTGCTCTTAACCGAAGCCAAAAGCTCTAATTCAGTCTTCTCGCCGCAGTCGATCCAGGTGGTGCTCAGCCTTATTGCCGCCGGGTCCAATGGTGCCACCCTCGACCAGTTGCTTTCTTTCCTCAAATCAAAGTCAAATTATCACTTGAATTCCTTGTCGTCCGAGCTCGTTCCTGTGATTTTCGGAGACGGCAGCTCCAGCGGTGGGCCACGCTTGTCCTTTGCCAACGGTGTTTGGGTGGATAAGTCTCTCTCTCTCAAGCCTTATTTCAAACAAGTGTTGGATAATGCATACAGAGTTGCTTCTAATCAAGCTGATTTCCAGACAAAGGTATATTTAGTAGTATATAATAACACGTTCAGTTGTGCGGTTTATTATTCTACTATTTGCAACGTGTTCTTACTTTCTATGGATAGATAAACATTTCATCCATAAACATTTCATCAGCTAAAAAAATAGGCCTAATGACCAAAAATAGATAAATATAATGCAGTAATTTGATCAAGAAGCTTAAACTATTGGGCTATATTCTGTTTTGAATGGTTGTTCTTAATTATTTCCTTTTGGTTGATGTGGGATTAACTCACATGGCCCACCGAAAAACATATCCCATATCCCCTCTCACATGCAAGTTCCAACAACATCAAGAACATCATTCATTTTGAACAGAAGACTTTTAGTAATGAGTCTCAATATGGCTTATAGAGACGACCATGCTTACAACCTGAGAAATTTATCTTGACAATTTGAACTCCAACGATGGCAGATACAGCCTGGCTTGATTGTGTGAGAGTGTGTACATTTGAACTACTCTGCCATGGATGATTGGAAAAAACCATCGGAGTTGCTAACCAATATGTATTATTAGTGTTGCACCTATGAAGTCTTACTGTGATATGCTGCCCTGAGTAAGTTTTAGGGAAATTTGCACAAGTTTCTGATACGATCAATGTACATGACATTTTACACAGGCTTTTGCAATGAAAAGATATGGTGAGAACTGACCATGAATTGAATCATAATGGAAAGAAGTATTCTTGAAGATTAATTTCTGTTTCATTGGATTTTGTTATACGGCTGCAAGTTATCCAAGTGGAAAAGTCTTTGTCCAGAGTCTTCATATCTTTTGCAGTTGATCTTGATCCGTGTATAGGATGTCTTTCCATTTATTATCTCCGTAGGCTTCTGTGAGCATCAAATGGAGTCTACTTCATTGCTCCTAGCTTTCTTTAATTATGACCATAGAAGGTGTGCTAATTTAAGTATTAGTAACTTAAAACCTTCTAACTTTCCTTTAATTTTTGGTGTGCTAAATAGCAATATTGTCTCTGATTAAAGGATACTATAAAACATAATGCTTAAATATCTGTTTTATTGATGGTATTTCAGCCGTTAGTATAATCATTATGCTCAAATCATTTCAAAATATCATGTACTGATTCAATTTTCTTTAAAGCATAAATGACAATGGATTTGGTGATGCTATATTTTAAACACGATTACATATTCATTGATTTTTTTTTTTTGGTACTGTTGTCTTTACTACTGATGTTCTATATTGATGCTAATGCCTTAAATGTTGATATGTATGCTGGTGATGAAGGCTGTTGAGGTGACTAATGAAGTAAACGAATGGGCTGAAAAAGAGACCAATGGTCTTATCAAAGAGGTTCTTCCCTCTGGGTCAGTTGACCACACAACTAGGCTCCTATTTGCAAATGCACTTTATTTCAAAGGGGCTTGGAATGAAAAATTTGATGTGTCAACTACAAAGGACTATGATTTTTACCTTTTTAATGGAAGCTCAGTTCGGGCACCCTTTATGTCTAGCATAAAGAAGCAATTTATTAGCGCCTTTGATGGTTTCAAAGTCCTGGGACTCCCTTATAAACAAGGTGAAGATAAACGCCAGTTTTCCATGTACATCTTCCTCCCAGATGCAAAAGATGGGCTTCCTTCTTTGGTGGAGAAAGTGGATTCTGAGTCTGGGTTTGTGGATCACCACCTTCCGAAGGAAAAAGTAGAAGTGGGTGATTTCAGGATTCCAAAGTTTAAGCTTTCCTTTGGGTTTGAAGCTTCCAAATCTCTCAAGGGATTAGGACTGGTGCTGCCATTCTCTGGTGAAGGAGATTTGACAGAGATGGTGGACTCCTTTGTTGGTCAGAATCTATATGTTTCAAGTATATATCATAAATCCTTCATCGAAGTAAATGAAGAAGGCACGGAAGCTGCTGCTGCTTCTGCTGGTGTTGTAAATGTTATGAGTCTGGCTATCCCTCCTGAGTTGGACTTTGTAGCTGACCATCCATTCTTATTCCTGATCAGAGAAGACATGACCGGAGTGGTGCTTTTCATCGGCCAAATTCTTGATCCCTCACAGGCGAATTAAATCTTCCGTACTGGAGAACCCGTGTAAGTAGATCAAGCTTGACTTAAAATCAGTTAATAATTCACACGAAAACCTTTTTTTTTTTTTCATATGTTTTATGATTATATTCACCAATTCAGGTACAAAGGTGAGAAACTGAGCTAATTATGTTTAGTGAGTCTAAATGAAATTTAATGTAATATAATCAAATGCTTACATTATATTTTTTTACGACTTATCAAACATAGCCAAATATTGCATAGAAATTTTCTAAAGATCTCACGATTGTGGTGATGTATGCAAAATTTTAAACAACTAATTAATGTATTATTTTACAGAAATAAAAAGAAGGGAAAAATGGGAGCTTGTGAGGCACTTCAGCTTGTGTACTGTATGCAGCACTTCAGGAAAAGCCAAAAATTACAGAACTGTGTTGTTCTGAGTTGACTAAGTAGTTATGGGTTATTGAAATATAACATGCGAACTTGTGAGGCACATGGTTCTGATCTACATTTCAGGCACAATTTTCATCTTCTATTACTTTTTGTACTTGTTAATAATTGTTTAAGAAAAGCTATTAATATTAAATGGGATTTATAAGCATAACATGCATTAGATTTAGATCTTATGCAGCATGATACATGAACTGGATATTGCAAAGAGTTTCTTTTTTCTTCTTGTTTTATTTCTATTTACTCCTATTGAAAATTACACTTTTCAGGCTTTGGTCTTGTTTGGAACAGCTTTTTATTTATGTAATATTTAGTAACTGTAATGTTATACTAGTACTTTTATTATATAATAAAATGCTAATTACACGGCTGAAAGCTATTAGAAAAATTAACATTTTGCTTTCCTTCTGCTGACGGGAAGATTTATAGATTTAGATCGATGGTGTTGTCTGTATCTTCCAAAATATAATATAAAATAGCTATGAAGAACTCGACTATATCTATGCTTCCGAGTTTGAACTGTACTGGAAAATAATAGAATAATACCAGACTTGTCCCACACACCATATGGGTTTCACATGCCTGGCGCGAAATTTTAATTCTTTCAACGGTAATATCTATCTCTTTAAATTAGTTGTATAGCCACTTATACCCCTGTTTTCACTCTCAAATTCCAATTTGTACCTTTGTCCTCAGATTTTGAACCATGGAAATCATTTTATAGCTGGATATACATCGGCAAAAGCAAATGTAATTACTATTTTGACCTTTTGCATTATTACAGTAAGATTCTTAGCTTGTGTGGTGGGACATAATTTTCATGTACTAATATTGGAGGGTCGGTCGGATGTGACATTGGCATGACCCCATCCTTGGACATGAATCTTTAAGATAGGGTGCCCTATTTAGCATCTTTATGAAAAGGTTGGTTGTCTTGTTCTTTTGTGCTGTTCAGTAATCTAGTTGTAAGCAAAGTCCCGTCATTTTTTGAATGCTAATGAATCAGATAAGATAATAATCATAATTAGGGTAATGAATTTAGAGCTCTTATGAGGAAGCAAGGATGGTATATCTTGATTCTTGAAGCTTCTTCCATGGGAATATTGGTGATATAATTAAAGAAACAGCCAAAAATAGAATTGCCTTTAATGATATATCTTTGGTTAAGAGCAATTATGGGAGATCGAATGTTTTCAAATTTTGAATTAGGAAAATTGAAACGAAAACGACATTACATAACAATAGTGAAACGGCAAACATAAACTCGAGAACGGAGCGAGGTCAAAATAGTGAATAAAAAGAAATTGAAAGGTAAATGGTTGTGTACAAGTCCTCGAAAGAACTGAAGGCCCACGCGTTATTCTGCCCATACGTTATCAAATGACTGTTTATGTTTATAATTTTTTTATTATGCTCCTCAGTATACGACAACCTTAAAGCAGAAACAAAGTTTAGTTTAGTTTCTTTTTAGCTAGTAGTATAGTAATTATAATTATAATGCTCTAATTAATATTTTCTTCTCTTCTAATTTAATTAAAATATATGTTCATTCGGAGTTAATGAATGACCTCAACTCTTTAATCTAATTTCCTTTTCGCTCTCTTTCTGGTAATTTATTCATTTTCCTTCCTTGGAAGATTTTCAGGGGACTTTCTTTCTTTTCTTTCTTTTTTCTATCTTTATTATTATATATTTGGTTCTTCTCTGTTCTTCCTTTTTCTGGTTTTAGTTTCTTGCTATCTCTTGTTTCTGTCTGTCGATGATTCGGAGCTTTTAAGTTGATAGACAAAGATACACGAAACCAGTGACAGAGGATCTTTTAAGTTGCTACTGTAGTAGAATAGGTTGTCTAAGTGTAGCAGAGGAAGAGTAACTGCTGAAAAAGATGGGGGAAACAGCCAACAATTACCAGCAGCCACCTCCACCACAAGCAGCTGCGCCACCGCCTCCTCCACCATCTCTTGCTCTTTCAAGGGGTCCTACTTGGACTCCAGCTGAGCAACTCTCGCAGCTCCAGTATTGCATCCATTCCAACCCTTCTTGGCGTTAGTCCCTTTTATCATTCTGTCACTGTCTTTTCTGCTTTAAGATTTTTCCTCTTTGTAGCTCAACAAATTTATGCATGTCTATTTGGCATTTGAATCCAAAGAGAAAGAAAAGAAAAGTAAAAAAAGAAAGGAAAAAGCTGTGTAAAGCTCAGGCTTTATCCAAAAGGAGGATGCTTTTTTATCCAGTTGCACAGAATAAGAATATTATAGTTTTTGCATGCCTCAATCTTTATGATGGGATGGAATTCAGACTTACAAGATTGATCTTGAAATTTATTATCTCATATGTTCTATTTATCGGATTTTTCAGTGATACTTATCCACTGGATTCTGATTCTCTTTTGAATTTTCCAAACCTTACTGCTCTGTCTGCCATTGGTATATGTATAGTTAGATCCCATAACAGATTCCTAGGATTTTCTATACTAAAGTAAGAATTATCAATTGGAGTATGGAAAAAATTTTTAAAATGCACTTTAATGGACGTTTCTCCAATTAAATTATTGCCTTTCGAGTGCTATTTTAATTTTTTAAAAACATTTTGGACTTAATTCTTTAGTATATTCAATGTTCTTCTGCAAATAATCCCAAGTGAGCTATTGAAATTTGCAGCCGAGACAGCTCTTCTGGCTTTTCAACACTATATTGTAATGCTTGGAACTATAGTCTTAATTGCCAGTAATCTTGTCCCTCGAATGGGTGGAGACCATGTAAGTTTTAGACACCATATAAATAGTTCTTAGCAACTTGTATTGATGGATCATGGGAATATCTGTTTTCTGAAGTTGGTATTACTATGAGCAGGGCGATAAAGCTCGTGTGATTCAAACATTGCTCTTTATGGGGGGTGTGAATACACTGATCCAGACATTCATTGGCACAAGGCTTCCGACTGTGATGACTGCATCAGTTGCATTTACCATACCGGTGTTGTCAATTATCAAGGATTTATCTGACGAAAATTTTGCAGATGAGCATGATGTATGCACCAAACTTAAACATAACTGATAATAAACCAAAAATTCATTCTTGCACTATTCGCAAGAGTTGACAAATTAAGTTTGGGTCAGCTTCCCTTTTTGCTTTTCTTCAACCATTGCCTTGATGTTGTTGATTGTTCTCCAAATATGTGATCAGATTAATATGTTGGTTGCAGAGATTTACTCACACTATAAGAACCATTCAGGGGTCACTGATTGTTTCTTCCTTCGTCAACATCATCCTTGGGTTTAGTTTTGCATGGGGCAATTTGACAAGGTAACCTAACAATCAGGTTATGAATTTATTTCATTAATCTTCTTTAATTCTTATAATGCCAAATCTTCCAGAGATAGATATTGAGAGCCAGGCTAGAAAATATCAGGTTTCTCTTTTTTTCTTTCTTTCATAAAATAGAACATCCTTATTTATTTAGTTTTTTTGCTTTTATCTTCCAGGTTATTTACTCCCATTGTTATAGTACCCGTGGTTAGTTTGGTGGGTCTTGGTCTGTTTATGAGGGGATTCCCACTGGTAATTTCTTCCTGACAAGATTATAATTCTTGTTCTGGTTACAGTTAATGATAAGAATCACTTTTCACACTACATATCCTATGTAGCTTGCTAACTGTGTGGAGATTGGCCTGCCTATGCTGTTAATCCTAGTCATTTGTCAGGTAATGCCTCTTCAAAATTAAGTTCACTCCTACAAACTGCTGTTGCATGTAAAGGTAACAAACCCTGTATTTGCTGTAGTATTTGAAGCATCTCAATCCAAGGGCCCGCCCTATACTTGAGAGGTTTAGCTTACTTTTCTGCATAGGAATCATCTGGGCTTTTGCTGCTATTCTCACCGTTGCTGGTGCTTACAACAATGTTCGAGAACAAACTAAAATGAGTTGTCGCACAGATCGATCCTTTCTTATACAATCTGCTCCATGGTATTGTCCACATGATCTGTCTCTCGACTGGTTTATTTAATTAGATATAACCTATTGGTTTGTCTCACAATTTTAATAATGTACTATTTATTTCCTTTTAAGGGTTAGAGTCCCATACCCTTTTCAGTGGGGTGCTCCCATATTTAGAGCAAGCCATGTCTTCGGGATGATGGGGGCAGCACTCGTTTCATCTGCAGAGGTTCAATTACCACCCCAAAAAACTTTTAGTTTTTATCAATCTAGATGCATTTTGAAATTCTAACTGATGGCCCCTTTGCTGCAAATTACCCAAGTTTTGATTAGACTCAAATGACTTTTTTTTTCTCAATGTTGGAGACAATTTCTGCCCTCTGCATCATTTCTTAGATGGAGCAAAAACTGTCAAAAGTTTATTCTTCTGATGTAAACTTTCTGATGCAGTCCACTGGAACATATTTTGCCGCAGCAAGGCTTGCAGGTGCTACGCACCCTCCAGCACATATTCTGACGAGAAGTATTGGTCTGCAGGTTAAGTTTTTGGATAACTATACAATTTATGTCCTCTATAATTATTCGTGTATGCCTCCTGCACCAATTTATGCAATGGAGTCCTGTTATCCTTTTGTTACTTTAGAAATTGAGGATATGATTGTGTTGTTTTTACAATGTAGGGCATTGGCATGTTGATTGAAGGAATCTTTGGTGCGATTGTTGGCAACACTGCATCTGTGTAAGAAAGCAATGTTTTTTCATCTTTTTTTTTGGTGCTTTTAGTTACAATGCCACAGGTCCTGCAGCCCATGCTTGCACTAGGCAGCTATTTCCAATATTCCATTTCTAGCCCATTCACACTTCTGCACAGCCTTAGGTTTTTTTCCCTCGCTTTTATTTTACCATTTTGAAAGAACCAAATATCATGTGAGGTTGTCAAGCCTACTAACAACAAACTTAAGCGGCACACTTAGTTTAATTTATTTTACTTAGTAGATTAAATACCACCTCAGAGAGTGAACTTTTGCTAAGCTTTCACCACAATGGTTTTGATTTTCAAGATCCCTCAATGGAAAATCTCTTCAGAATTAGCTTGTCTTATTGGTTTCTGCTAACAAAGAAGGGAATCATATAATTTGAAACTTATAAATCGAGAACTAGTTATATTATTAGTAGAGTGGTGGCTACGCTGGAAAAAAAAAACATTGATGGATGCTATATGAGTGCAGAAACTTGTCTTTATTGCGGTATTTGATGATATTGCAGTGAAAATGTTGGACTTCTTGGACTAACGCATATTGGGAGCCGAAGAGTAGTGCAGATATCAACAGCTTTCATGATCTTTTTCTCCATATTTGGTTTGTTTCTGTACATCCATCATTAATTCCATAGATATTTGACTTTGAACCGAGTTTGAAATCTTATGTTTTGGACCCTCGTGAACTTCCATATTGCAGGGAAGTTTGGTGCCTTGTTTGCATCTATTCCTCTGCCAATATTTGCTGCCATATATTGTGTTTTATTTGGGATTGTTGGTGAGTGCTTCAGTCTTCATTCCTTTGTATATACACATTCTTAATTTATTTTAAATTATCTTGTTCTTATACATAAACACTTTTTAATGTGAATTAGTTCTCTGTTTTCCTCCGTACAGCTGCTATTGGAATTTCCTTCATACAGTTCTCGAACAATAACTCGATGAGAAATCACTACATCTTGGGCTTATCTTTGTTCCTTGGTTTATCAATATCTCAATATTTCATGACTAACGCCACCCCGCAAGGGAATGGACCAGTTAAAACAGATGGTGGATGGGTAAGTTGCTTATCAGTTGACTGCTTTTTGCTAGTCATCCACTACATACTGTCTTGTATTTGTCAATAATCGTAGTCCGATCCCCCTTTTCTCCGCAGTAAAAAACAAAAAAAGCAACCATGAAAAAAATGGATTTTACAAACATTTTCTCATTCTGATGTGCATGTTTTCGTAAATCTGCAGTTCAATGACATATTGAACACGATTTTCTCATCACCTCCAACTGTGGCAATGATCATTGGAACGCTACTGGATAACACATTGGACGCAAGGCATACCATCAACGACAGAGGAATCCCATGGTGGAAACCTTTCCAGCACCGGAAAGGCGATGTTAGAACTGAAGAGTTTTACAGTCTCCCCCTCAGGATTAATGAATGGTTACCCTCTAGATTTCTCTGAGTACACTTTTACCTACAGTTGTTGTATAGTAGCCATACAATACAACGCAGCGAATTTCATGTTAATATGCATGATGAGGCCTGTTCTTAATAAGTTTGTAACCGTTAGAGATTGTTTATCATAGTTCATTATCCTCTGGTAATTAATTTGGAAGTTAGTTTCTTTCTAGAAAAGAATGAAAGTAGAAATTAGTTCTTTTTAGAGAAGTATGAAAAGTAGAAACTTTGGAAAGGAAAAAATTGAGATTTCTGAATTCTCATTAAAAAAATTTTGTGGATCCTTCAACTTTGAAAATCAAATTATGGTATTTGCATGTTAGCCATGGAGCTCCTTGAATTTCATTTTCTCTAACAATATGCAGAGTGAAAAGTAAATCTGCTTCAAAGGCCACTAGTGAAATTTCAGAGGGTCATAAATACATTTGCTATTTTTCTAAAGTGATTTGTAATAGCGATTTTTTTTTTTTTTAAAGAAGTGTTTTTGTTTTTATAAAAATTGAATATGACATAACAAATACACAAATGACTTGGAAGTGATTTGGTTTTATGATTTGTTGAATTTGTGTTTTTTTTTTTTTTTTTTTTTTTTTTTTGTTTTTTATTAAAATATGAACTATGACATACACACATACACCAACATGCATTGCGAAGTGACTCTTGGCTTTTTTATGCGTTTGTTGAATTTTGTGGGTTTCTTTTTTTTTTTTTCTTTTTTTTTTTCGCCGCATTCTTGATCAATTGTGCGTATGAGCACTCAGACATCTACTTCGGATTGGACTGAAAAACCCAATGGCTTGACGATGAGAGAGATATTTTATCTAAAAGTGTTACGGACTACTGGAAATGTGAACTCTGCTTTAAATTTTCACTCATTACAATGAGCAAGGGTTCAATAGTAGAGGTTGGACCAATAAAAAGCACTTGACCCCGGTAATTCTCGGGTGGGATCCCACGTTTCTCCTATCCTCTTTCCGCGCTTTACTTGTTCCTGTGAATACTAACAGAGAGATAGGAAAAGGAGTGGAAGAATTAAGACGGCTCTCTCAGTAAATGGCTTATCTAGATTTGGGGCCACGGTATGGAGACCTGTGAGAGAGGTGCCTTTAAGGCTAGATAGAGACATGACGTGTTTCATACTATCTATGCAATCATCCCAAAAATATCCTAGTTCAAGGATGCTCGCCATTATTATTCTAATAATATTATATATATATTTTTTTTTTTTTTTTTTTTTTTTTTCGCGCAATTCCTTGCAATCAATTGTGCGTAAATGAGAATCAGACATCTACTTGGATTGGACTGAAAAAACAAATGGTTAAAGACGATGAGAGAGATATTTTTATCTAACAAAGTCGTACGGACTATGGAAATGTGAACTCTGTTTAAATTTTCAACTATCACAATGAGCAAGGTACATCAATCAGTAGAGTTGACCAATAAAAAAGCACCTTGACCCCCGGTATTCTCCGGGTGGGATCCACACGTTTCTCCCTATCTCTTTCCGCGCTTTCTTGTTCCTGTGAAATACTAAAAAGAAACATAGAAAACTACAAACCGGCTCTCTCAAGCTTATCTAAGATTGGGCCCACGGATTCACGAAAATGGACTTGCTCGATCGAGATGACGTGTCCATATATCTATGCAATCATCCAAAAATATCAGTTCTAACTCCCAACTTTTTAAATTTTTAATTAAAAGTAGTCCACTGAGGATGGCTGATTCGGGACTTGAGATAGGACTGGATCCTTTGTCTTCTCATGATCCCTGGCCGCCTGTCACTCATTTACTCTTTTTTGTGGGCTCCACTCTTTCTTATTCTTCTTTTACCTGGGTCCCGCCCCCCAATTCGATTCCCTTTCTGAAAATGATGCAGCTGATTTGGAATATTTGCCAATGTACACAATTACCCTAAGCTTTGATGCTGGTTGCAACCAAACTCTAGTTTATTTTCAATTCCTTGATAATAACACACTAAAATATAATTTTGAGAATAATTGCATTCTAAACTCATATTAGGATTAAGATTTTAAATAAAACAACATACTTTTTTGTAAAAAAAAAAAAAATTGATGAACTTGGGTTAGAGTGACTTAACAAATTAAGGAAATTCTTGAGCAACATTAATTCTAGCAAAAAAAGCAATTAAATTAATTAAACATAAAGTGCAATTGAAACAACTTGCAAAATTTTAGAATATTTCTGAAATACTTGATTTACCAAAATGCTAATTAGTTATGAAATTTTGAAATTTGTTAATAGCTGAAACGAAATCCTAATTCGCAAATTTGAATAATGTAATTAGGCAAAAATAATTATAATTCAAATAACTTAAGGCTTATAAAGTCTAGATTAGGAAATAACAGAAAAATTTGGAATTTTTGGCTTAAAAACCAAAATTAAAGAATGATTTACACTAATTTCTACCAGTATCAACAGGGTATAGGCTACTTATTATTATTCATCAAGCCAATCAAGATTGAACTGTTCCTCTGCAACCTGGACATGGATATTCATCTTCCTAGCATCCTTCCACAAATAAGAAACCTCCTCATCACAAATTACACTGCGCAAAGACTCTAATGACTCAACAGACTTTGGTAAATTCCAAATTTGTGAGCATTCCCTCATGTCAATCTTCTCCAACCTTGATAATCTACCAATTCTCTCTGGAAGATGTTTTAAATTAATACATTGAGAAATGTCAAGGTATTTCAAAAAGACTAGATCACATAAGCTTGATGGAAGCTTCTTCAAAGTTGGACAAGCATACAACCTCAGAATTTGTAGAGATCTCAGGTTTCCCAAATCAGCAGGGATTTCTCGAAGACTGTGGCAATTGGTGATGCTAAGACTCTTCAGGTAGTGCATTTTACAAATGCTAGAAGGCAATGTGAACAAATCATCACAGTGATCGATAGTAAGCTCTGTCAGAGAAGGGAAGATTTGGGGTAGGTCTGTAACAGACTGATCAAGGCTGTTATTGATCTTGCATAGTACGAGAGAGATTTTTTGCAATCTTTTCAAGGGGATTGTAGATTCTGTCAATTGCGCAATAGATACCTTTTCAAGCCAAAGGCTCCTTAAGGTGCCCAAATTAGAAAAAACTGAAAAGTTGCTTAGTGTTGCATTTTGTGTACTATAATTTATCACTATCAGTGCCCTAAGCTTCGGCATGTCATAAATGAAGGGAGGCAAGAAGTACTCATTCGCGGAGAAGTTTAAGACCAGCGCTTCTGCCTTTGGGAACTCCATCCGCAGCCAGTCCATTTCTCTCATCTCATCTGCATATCAGAATTAAGAGAAAAAAACGACTTAGAAAATTAGAGGCAGAATCTCATTTGAACCGCATAGCTTTTAACATTGATTCAAGCAAAATAACCGCAAATAATGAAGTAGATACCTGTATGAATTGAAACAATTTGAGCATTGAAGGGCATATCAGCATTTCTATCCCATTCTTTTGGAACCTCAGGTTCTCTTCTCGGCATGATTAACCGCTTGCGTTCATTTACATCTCCACGGTTTGCCAAATGGATAGCCAGATCCCGCAACACATCATGCTGGGTAACAGAGATCTCATAGTAACTGCTATATAGATCCCCAGCTCTGCAAATAAACCAATCAAAAATAATTTAATAAGCAACATCTCCACTAAATAACAGAAACCTAGTTTACTTAGTTCGATGAACATACCGTGCATCCTTCACCAGGGTAAGAAGATTCTTGTCTGAAAGCTCAACAAGGATAGCAAAAGCATCTTCCTCCTCAAGGTCATGTATCTCTACCCACAAGTTGATGAGAACATCTAGAGGGATCTTCTTGTCTTCAGGAAAGCATCCTAAATCCAAGAAGCATTCCCGAACCTTTTTAGACAAGAACTGAACACTTATAGCCATCCTATCAAGCAACTTGTTTTCATGGGACTCGCAAATAGGTTCACCCCTTGACAATCTCTTCCTCGCACTTGCCCAGTACATTTCAGGTTGATCTCTTAGCGAAGCTCCAATCACTTTGAGAGCCAAGGGAAGTCCTTTACATTCATTTACAATCTATCAGACAATATATGCATATATACATGTGTATCAGCAAAATTTAACCTCGCGAAGGGCAAATATATACACAAACTGAGAAGCAATGATATTACCTGATTGACCAAATTGACATCAGCAGCAAGAGGGATAGATTTCTGTCCAAAAGCAGAAAGGCAGAACAGGGAGATTGCTTCATCTCCCTTCAATAATTCAACTTCATAAGTAGCATTTAGAACTTTTGAGAATTTGAATCGTGAAACAACAAGCGTTTTACATCCAGGTACTCTACAAATTAGCTGCTCAAGTACAGAAAGTGACCATACATCATCCAAAACAACCAACATTCGGGTTCTCCCTCCGAATGGTAGATTCCATTTAGGGATCAGATCATTCACACAGTCAACCATACCATCATTTCCTGAAATAAATTCCAAAATTTTTGCCCTCAACTGCTCTACATTTGGAGACTGTGATACTGTCAGGAACAAAATTCTTTTCTGGAAGTGACCTGGATATCATGATAAAGAGCGTTAATGAGCAAATTCTATGCCACTGTAAATGAATTATCATCCATTGACAACTAATTAATTCAAAAACAAAATAATCTAATTTAATAAGCTAAAGCTTCTTAAAGTAATTGATAAGCTCTGTCTCCAATAGATTTTATAATTTGATAATTTTATCAATTATGACCATAACTTACTTATAACTTGATCATCCCTGCATACTTCAGAAGCCAAAGTAGTCTTCCCTGAGCCACCAATTCCACAGATCCCAACAACCCCTAACTCCTCTCTCCCAATCACCATGTCCTTCACCTTCTTCTTTCCCATTTCCATGCCTACGCCTAATAAATTTACTAAATTGCTCTCCTCCTCCACTTCCATTCTCTTCACAGCCTCCTCCATCCACCCTCCACTCCCTACCCCAATTTTCATAGCCCCAAGCTTTTGCTCCAATCGCTTGGCTGAACCTTCAAGCCTATCAAATCTCTCCGCAGTTTCAAATCTCATATGATGAACGTCAGCTAATAAGTGTGCTTGCATAGGTCCATTAAGGAACCTCGAGATATTCTTTTCAAGCCTTTCCATTTTTTTAGCAAGCTGAAGATTTTTGTAGACATTCCAGCGGTTAGAGCCGAGGACCTTGCGGGACAGCTCGAGACCATCGCGGAGAGTCTCCGAGAGGCGGTCGAGTTGGGCTTGACGAAAAGCGGGGAGTTCGACGCCGGAGAATTTGATTTCTTGAATGATAGGTAGGAGGTCATTTATGCTCATTATGAGGGAATCGGCTGTCGTTTTGCACAAAAGAGATTTGCGCGATATTGTTATTAGCATCTTGAGGAGCTCGGTGGCTATCTCACCGGCGAAGAAGTCGGTGACACCCATCGCCGGAGCGCAGAGTTTTGGGTTAATAAAATGGCGGCTGAGTTTATTTTGTGTTGCTCAGAGCCGAGGAAATGTGCAAGTTCGAAAGTGCGTTTTATTATTATTTATATCGTTGCGGGGTTTATATCGTGCAAATTCGAAATTGCTATATTAATTAATATATGCATATACTCTCACATAATTTTATTTTTTTAATTTACAAGTTTAATTTCATGCTCAAACTAAAATAGCATTCTCTTTAAATAATAACGACTTTAATTTTATAGACATCGTTAACCTAAATAGAACTTATTTTATTTTTTAATCCTCTAGTTGATATGATACTCCAATTTAGGTGAAGCAAAGTTGAAATCCTTTTACCTCCTACTCTAAAAGTCCTTACTACTTATTACATTTGACAAATTTGGACTGCCTGATAATTAATAGTACTATGATGTTAATTTAAATTAAAAAAATCAAATTTGTAAGTAATCGCCTACCCACGTGGCAGCACTGTAGCTAGCCACCGCAGCCAATCGTATACTGGTGACCTTAGACTGCCCTTGACTTTTGCTTTTCAGCAACAGAACCTCCTAACTTCCAACGACTCACATTTTTATAGTATTTTATTAATTATATCGCTGGTGTCATTATTTTATAAGGATAATAATAATTAAGGGGTAACTATGCATTACAAGAAAATCTTGTCCAAATATATGAATTTCATATTTTCTTTATTTTTATTTTCCCCTAACAAACAAACTGTAAATTGCTCACTGACCTCAGAAAACTGCAAAAATAGATGAGGGTCATGCTTCTTCAAAAGTGGCGACGAAGGCCCATTGACTTGGTAAATGACCATTACACCCTCACGACTAGAATAGAATGTAGTCAAAATAACCTACTGGTAAAAATCAAGCGAGTTTACTAAATTATCAGCGTAAATACTTAGCCTATCTGCTTAGGTAATTTTACACCATTTAAGAGTGGCACTGGACTGGAGTAGACCCAATCCACAAAGTAGTCCCATAGATTGCGTTGGGTCTAAATGAGTTCATATTGACTTGGCAAATTCCTTTCTCTCTTCACTATTTAGACACACACTCTCTTTTCACCGATCCAAAACCGAAGACTTCCTCATGCAAATTCATAGTGGAGAAAAGAATTAGACCTGCTCGTGTTTCCAGCCGCAGGCTTCAATTTATGAATAAAAGTGCAGATTCAGCATTTGACATTTTCTAAGCCCAAACCTATCCTATGAACAGATACAATGAGAATCTACACTTTAATCAGTAGTTCAATATAATGTAAAGGCTACAGCACATGAAAACATCACATAAAGTCTCTGTGCATACGGCAAAGCTATGTAATGTTAAAGAAATAGTAAAGTCTAATCATCCCAAGTAGAATCAAATTCCTTGCTACGTTGCGCATCGGTGTTTGCACTAGGGAAAAACCTGCAGATAATTGGATTCTTAGAGATTTAGCTTAATAGCAACCAAGTTGAACAAGAGCGTCAGGTTTCTAAACTCCTTTTAGGTCTATGCATATATGGTCATGAGGGTTCCAAAAGAGAGAGAGGAGAGGACAACTTGCCTTGAAAAAGACAATTCTGTTTCAAATTCCACCATGCATGGATGGCTTCATTGTACTATTTTATACGACAATCTCAATCTATATGTCAATGTTTAATGTACATCAATTTCAAAGATATTTGTTGGTCTTGTCCTAAGCATAATGAGCTATGAGTGAGCTGTTAAACTGTGTATTCAGTAAATATACACCAGCAAATAGGAGGTAGATTAAGCAAAAAGGAAATGCAAGCACGTATCTATACTGTATTATAACCCCATTAACACTATATGTTCCACTTTTAAGTCCTCAAGACTAGTTCCTAGTCATCAAGCCTCCACTGGGAGACATGAGAACAAGAACCTATGCTTTCCCCTTGGCATTGCTCTGTCAATGAATCTAGAAATTGAAGCTGTCGTTTTATCCATGGGGGATCATCTGGTCTCAACCAAAGAGCTTCACCAGTGTCCTTATGTTTAAAATCTGGTGCCCGTGAGTTTCTCTTATCTTTCCTGTTATCCCACCATTCCTGTGGGTTGTTGAAAAACACTTGCCACAAGTGATGCCTGTCCATATTAGTTTCACCAATGCCTTGTGCAGTCCTCTGTTTGGCTATTTCCATATCAAGCAATTGGAGTTGTTGTTTGACCCATGGTGGGTCATCTGGCTTCAGCCAAAGTTTTTCACCAGTGAACTTGTGCTTAAAATCTGGTGCAGATGAATTTTGTTTATTTTTCCTCTTATCCCACCATTCATGTGGCTTACAAAAAAACATTTGCCACAAGTAAAAGCGGTCTGTGCAACTTTCCATGCCAGTTTCACCTAAATTTGTTGCAAGAGACATATATAAATAAGAATGGAAGAATGGAAAGAACTGAGAACAATAAAGGAGAGTTTAGTCCATATTACAAACAATGTCAAAAAAACTGTCATAATAATACAGAAAAAGCTTGATCCTCATAGGCTCACTCAGGCAATTCGTCATAATCTGTCCTTATATAGTTAAATAAATAAATGAGAAAATTTCTTAACATTTTAAGTCACAAATTCTTCTAAGAGTACACCAAGCGCAAACATTTCGGGCAGGAACAACTTTAGAGCAAAGGATTTATATGGTCGTATTCACAAAAATCAATGCAGCATGAATCACAAAATAAGTACAACGATCAGCTCCTTATTGTCTATTTCAATATTTCATCTATACTCAGCAACACAAAACATACATTGGTAATTCACTCCATCTAAAGTTTTCCCCTATTTTAGTTGAACTGCAACTATTTTCTAACTTGAAAAACCAGTAATTGCTTCATCAAAGATAGGCAAAAAAGAGAAACACAAACTACAGTTATTTTATAATATACTTCAATAAACATTTAAGGAAAAAAAAAAAAAAAAAAACCTTGGATTTATACTGGTCGTATTCACAAAAATTCAATGCAGCTGAAATACAAATAAGTAAAGATAGCCTCTTATTGTCTCATTTCAATATTTCACTCTATACAATCGCAACACAAACATCTTGGTAATTACTCCATCTAAGTTTTCCCTATTTTAGTTGAACTGCAACTATTTTTCTAACTTGAAAAACAGTAATTGCTTATCAAAGATAAGGCAAACAAAGAGAAGACCAAACTACAGTTATTTTATAATATTTCATAAACAGAAAAAAAAAAAAAAAAAAAACCTTCTCCAGATTGTGGTTTCTCTGAATTTTTTCTGGCATTTGATTGTGACTCCTCTGATTTTCGGAAGGCTTTTAACTGTGATTCATCAGATTTTTGGAAATTTGAGCCTTGCTCATGTTGGGCAACATAATTCAATTCCTTAACAATAATCTACAAAAACACGTGAAATCATCATATGGAATCATAGTACAGATGGAAAAGTAAGTCAGAAAACGTGTTCACTCGACATCTGTCTTTCTGTTTGTATGGTAGGATAGAAGTCCATGGTGCAGTACCCACCTCTTCACAAACATATAAAAGGATAAGAATCCCACCCAATGTTATGTAGGATCTCAAGTTGAATTGACTGTATATATGGTAATCAAATATCAAAAGATCTTTAAGCAAAGTTATGGAGGCCAAGTTCCCTAAAACATGAAAATGGTTGTTCTCTTAAATTATTCAGGGTATATCTAATCTTCGATTTTACCTCATCCTCTATTACCTCGATCTTGACACAGGCCTGAGTTAAGTCAACAAAATCTTACAACCCAGCGTCTAGCCTAAAATATTTAATGATGATCTGAAAACATTTGGTGGAAATCACGCAAAGACATCTAAGCAAAAAAAAAAAAAAAAAAAAAAAAAAAAAAAAAAAAAAAAAAAACAAACAGATGATTGATAGGAAATGAAATAAATTCACCTTATAAAGTGATCTGAGATTTCCATTCTGATCGGCCTTCTTTTCAGACCTTAAATGGCCTGAAACATAAATAGTATCATTTTGCTTCAGATATTGGAGACCCGTTTTTGCCATATCGCCCCACATATCCATTTTTATCCTGCTCATAAGTTCTAAAATATTAGTTCACCAAGAGTAAAAAAACCGCAATTGATTGGTACAAAACTAAACACGTCCAAACTCAAATAACAAAAATCATTTTAAGTTCAGTCGAAGCTAACCTGAACGTGCAATTTGACATACTGGGGTTTCCCACATTTATAAAGGTATAAGCCCCAAAGCTGTCGCTCTTCGTCTTGTAAAGCTCAGGAAGCCGATCAACGCGTCCGATAAAGCTGACAGAATTCTCCAGTTGAGGTTGCCATACTATGGTGGTTGGCCGCTGGCGTCGGAGAACATGTCGATAAATAGAATAGCCACCTTCTTCGACTTCATCTTCATAGGCAGTGAAGTTCGGTGATTTAGGGTTTGCAGCAGAATGATAGCAGGAGGAAGCGCGTCTTTGAAGTGAACTACGGGGAACGTTCCTAATTAGGAATTCGAGTCGACACGCCTTGTTCATGCACTCAAAGTTCAATCGCGTGGGCTTCGGTAGCTGGGGAATTTCACGGCTTATGGTGATTTGATTTCTGGCGGGAATTCAGGCGAGGTTTTCTAACAGTCCGGTTAGGAACGTAATATATTGTTTAACGCTAGTTTAGCACGGTAAAGGAAAGGAGATCAGGATTTTAAGGGCTTTGGAATTGGGATAAATTGCATATTGGGTTTAGGCCCAGCTTTTGACGAGTTGGTATTCGAGAATAATTTAAATTTAGACACTTACGATGCGTCGTTTTCCTTCTAAACATATGTGAAGGCTGAATTATCCAGCTGGAGGTTTGTGAGCCATTTGTTGCTATGTGATGTGAACATTAGATTCTAGCATATGAGCCCATAATTATACGCAGGAAATTCAAGCCTAGTTCCCGACCCATTTTGATTTTCATATAGATTAAAAAAATTAATTAATATAATAAATTATACATTTTATTTAATTTTTTTAAATACTCATATATATAATTGAAAATATAAATGATTAGATGTATATTAAAAAAAGAAATAGGACAATATTTTAGAATAAATAAAAAAAGAAAAGTGAGCAGTCGAGAACCTAGGATTGAACATAAGGAGCGCAAATTCTTTTTTTTTTTTTCAAAATTAAAAATTTTAAAATTTTAGAGGTAAACTTTTGCAAAAATTTGTTGTTGAGAGTGCAAGGGCTCCATCTAGAAAGAGACTACATGTAGGGATGATTGTTTTCTTTTTTTTAGTATTGAAAGAGGGAGATTCGAACTCAGATTTATCGTCAATATCATATATGCACTTACCACTAAACTATGCTTTTGATGTGCACATGTAGAGATTAATTTTTAATCAATTGCTTAATCTCCTACTCAAACATTTTCCATGCTTCTTTCTCGTTAATAATAGTAATTTTATTGCATATCAAGACTTTCATGGAGAGTAAGTAATAACCTCAAACAAAACTATACGTGTCTTAGAATGTGATAATACTCATGAAAATACCGGGAAAAATAATAAAAAAAGGAAAGGGGGAAAAAATGCAAAATTTCAGTCCCTTGCGAAAGAAGGAAAATTTTCCTTGAATTCTTGTGGATGAAGCAATTGGAAGGGTCTCCATGTCAACAAATATATTGGAAACTTTTTACATTCAACTTTCAGTAATTATTTAAATTTTTATCCAGATGGTCAATGGTACTATTAAATATTTTACCTTCTCCGTAAATATGTTCACTCATATTCTTGTAGAACACAGAGAATCAATCAAACACGATCTATTTTAAATTAATTGTTATTTTTATCCTTTTATTCATTTTCACCTCTATCAATAATCATGTTTAATAAAATTTACTTTATTTCAGAAATAATTTCTAATAACCATAAGCCCATGCTTTGTAATTATTCACTACGACGTTATATGAAACGACCATTCTTCAAAAAACGAAGACCAGCCCGAACGAAAAGGAAAAAACCAATTAAGCCCCTAATCCTAAACGACATGGTTAACCAACACATCTACTGCACCTGAAATATTTTAGTTGAATTATTTTTCGCATGCAAAATATCAAAATAGTAATAATGTAATATCTAACTATCATAATCCCAAGATTAAACAATTATAGAAATATCTATGGCAGTTGAATTTTAAATTCCATATTTATACATAACTTTAACATTATCACTGGATAAAAGCAACCTATCAACCGATCCAATAATGGTTTTGACAAATAAATTAAGAACCATGCGTTGGAAAAAATGTTTTCCATCTATAACCTAACACTTAGGTGGCCTATTATAAAATAAATTAAAAATTACCCTAAGAGTGGAATCAAAGGGAGAAATCATTTTTGTATTAATGAGAAGTCTCGAGCTTGTATTTAAAATCATTTATGTTCATAAAGTCTGTAGTCCAACTCCCTACTACAAAGTTGAGAGTTCACACCGGCGGGACGGCTGTAAATAACCTTCTTTGGCTTTGACGTTAAAATCTCTACCTACTATGCATGCTGATAAAACGACAACCATCTGCTCTACTGCTACGAGGTACCAAGTAGTATCTTCCTCGTCGATTAGCTGTAACCAGCACTAACAGGAATCAGCTATCGACAAGATTATGACAAATATGTTTGAATTAGCTTCACGCGCTCAACTGTTTGAAAAATTCAATGTAGTGGAAAAAAAATGATACGGCAAGTGTTGGTAGTTTAGTTTGGTATCCGACTCTGTAAAACGTACTTCTGCCGTACGTACACGGCGCGTAGTAAAAAATAGTCAACCTTGACTTTTTATTTCCTGATAAGTTATTTATCTCCCCTCTGCAACAATAAACAAAGTCTCTTCCTATTGCGTTGCGTGGGTCACGAATTGACCTGCAGGTTAAGAGAGGGGCGTCGTGTTTCTGACTCCGATTTCTACAACAATGGCCGCTTTTTGCTAAATTTTTTGGTATTTGATTGTTGGGGTTGGGCTTAGGTTGAGAAGACTCGTTAAGAGGTCAGATTCTAAAGTCCTCAAATCCCAATCCTCACTATTGACTAAACAAATTCAAAACTTGGAAAATTTTTATTTTTCAAGTAAGCGAAGCAAGAACTGAGAAGTAACCGAGGTGTTTCCTATGGCTAATAATCAACAAGTATCACTAATCACAAAATCTTTCTCATGAAGCCTTCAACAAGTCTGTTTTCCTTTCTTTCCTAATCTATCAAATGCCTTTCTTTCAAAAAACCGCTTCCACTGCATCTTCTTCCTCTCCGTCCTCTTTGCCATCGTCTCCCTCTGTTTCTTCAAACGAAAGCAGTGGCAATGCTGGTGATTTCGTAAAAAATCGCGGCCAATCCTTTATGCACAGGAGGCTTACGAGGCAGAGGAAGCTCAGGCACGTAACTGATCGAGACCTTGGCTTACAGTTGACCGATCAGTTGAATTTGTCTCCCGGTTCACCGGATTCCGCTACAAAGCCGAAGTCTCTGGGATGCTCGGATCGCTGGTTTTCATATGGGGTGCCGCAACCGTTGCCGCTCCCCGAATTGGCCTTGCCTTTGCCTTCGCGTTCGCGTTCGAATTTTCCGGGATCACCGGAAGAAGGACCGACCTCTCGGTTGAGAAGGTAACAAAAAGATCCTTTTTTTACCTTTTGTTGCCCAATCTGTAATATTTCTTCAAGTCTGTCAAAGCAAAGTATGACCCCAAAATCCCTGCCTACATTAATAACTACGACTTTAGAAGACATATATTCATTGATAACGAATAGATGAAATCAAAACATGCTATGTGCATTTTTATGGCAGGTCAACCTTACTTCATTAAACTATTTATAGCTGATTTAAACATGAAACTCGTAAACGCGTTTTTATGTGATCGAATTCTGTATATGAATTACTTTCCATATTTATATGGCGCCTACGGCGATCTTTTATGCTGCAAACTTTGTAATGACTGGCTATAGACTTGCATAGCATACAAATTAGGCCTAATTGTATACATCTGTATATGTATCTATGTGGATCTATATTGATATGCCATTGTCACTTGCCTCTGTGAACAGTGCAGTTCGCGTTGTCACGAAATCTGCTTTGTGTTCAAGAGATCTTAATAGATTCTCTCAAGATGCTGATTTTCACTGTACTGATGTCGACTTAAGACTGAACATTTCTGCACGAAGTGCTCCAACAAGTGGGTTCTCAAGTCCTATGGCTAGTCCTCGGAAGTCAAATGCAGGAGAGTTCTCTCCTCCCTGCAATACTACAGATTCAACTAAATGTTCAAGCAATCATTGCATGGGACAGTCTGATGATCTAAATATTGAAACTGTTAATTACAAGTGGAATCGGATTGCATCACCCAGGAGTGCTCCAACTAGCAGTGTTTCAAGTCCTGCTGTTAGTCCACAAAGATCATACACTGGAGACTTTTTACCATCTTTCGTGGCTTCACAAGCATTTCAGACTTCATCAGCTTTGGAGATTCCAGACTTAGGTAGGCTTAATGGCCATACTTCACAAGGGTCACTGGTAAAAACTGTGGATAGTACAGATTGTTCTCCATTTCATAGCCCATCACTGCAAAGTCCCTGCCGCAACCCTAAAAGTCCCTGGAAATTTTCATTTGCATTGCATGGAAAATTGCTTCCAGGGAGATCTAAGGAGTGGCCTGAGAGTAATAATCATTTCAGTGCCCACCCATTACCCCTTCCTCCTGGTGCTGCACCACCACAATCATTAATGCCGCCACCATCAAATACATCATTTAAAAAAACATTGTGGCAGAAAGGAAAACTCATTGGACGTGGAACATATGGAAGTGTTTATGTTGGAACCAACAGGTATGCATCTTTCCGAGACTCTAATTTTTGCTTCTTTTTTATTCTATTTTTTCAGCAGTGAATGATACTTGGTTGCTTTCACTTCACAGAGAGACTGGAGCTCTGTGTGCGATGAAGGAAGTTGATATCATCCCTGATGATAGTAAATCTGCTGAATGCATAAAGCAGCTGGAGCAGGTAGGAATACCTCATTAGGCATTTACACCTTTTTGTGATAACCTGGAAGCAAAGAGATGTGAGGAAAAGATTGAACTTTTTTTGGTACTAGCTGAGGAGTATAAAATCATGCACAATGCTCCAACTACGTGTACTCTGAACTTTTTGACAAATGCTTCTTATAGGTCCGAAAATTATGATATTATTTGCCAAAAAAATTTCCCAAGTTTGTTGGTCAATCTACTTTTTATGTGCATGACTATAGTGGTATTATTTACTTATTCCCTTACTTTGATGCTTTTATGTCTTAAGAGAACAGTAAAGCATGACTTGACTCTAACAATCAGATTGATTGTAATTCTTAATGCATCAAATAATCTAATGTTCGAATGCCACCAAAGAACCTTTTTCTTTCCCAGGAAAAGAAAAATACTATTTTCTGACTGTTTATGAATAGCTATTTTTTGACTATTTTATCAATCTTAATGTTGCTCAGTGGTTTCTGTTTGTGTTCTTATCTTTTTAATTGCTACATCAAGGAAAATGCATATGCCATATAGATTGTGTTGATTGGGTATTTGATTGGCATCATAATGAATTTATTATTTACTGTCTTTTGCATAGGAAATTAGACTTCTCCAACATCTAAAGCACCCAAATATAGTACAGTATTATGGCTGTGAGATAGTAAGTATTCCTTCAGTGTCTCTAATTTGTTGGATCTAACTGCTTATAAATTATTTCAATTTAGTTGATTTAAGAAGCATTGTATTGTATCAGGTTGATGATCACTTTTACATATATTTGGAGTATGTTTATCCTGGATCAATCAGCAAATTTATCCGAGAACATTGTGGTGGCCATATGACAGAGTCTATAGTCCGTAACTTCACCCGCCATATTCTCTCTGGTTTGGCTTATTTGCATAGCAAAAAGACAGTCCACAGGTAATTGACATGTGATGAAGGAAGGAAAAAAAAAAAAAAATCTCTAATAAGAGGAAGTTGTTGTCTTATTTTGAATCTTTCAGTAAATAATCGAAAAACAGGATATTGTAAAAAGTTAGCAGTATCATCAGTGGGTTTGTTGCAAAAGAGATGAGGGTATCTGTTGTTTCACACCATCCCAGTTGGTTGATTTAAGAACATAGTTTGGAAACTTGATGCATTTATTTGTTACGAAGTCTATCATTTTCTGGCAATTTGGAGCTTAACCAATTCGAATAACTGTCTTTCACAGGGACATTAAAGGAGCAAATCTGCTTGTTGATTCATCAGGCATTGTTAAACTAGCAGATTTTGGGTTGGCAAAACATGTGAGTTTTGGATGTTTGAACACCTTATTGAATCCTTTTGAAAAGAAAATTTCTGCTGTTATTTTGTGTGTGTGAATTTTTAATTTTCATATATTTTAACTTTGTTTATGCTCAGCTTACTGGACCAGCATATGAATTGTCTTTGAAAGGCAGTCCACACTGGATGGCTCCAGAGGTACTTCATGTTAAGATATTTGTAAATCGTCTGATGACCTATTGCTACACCTTTTTTAAACTGGTAATGTTTTCACAGGTCATGAAAGCTAAGATGCAGAAAGATGCCAATCCCGATCTTGCTTTGGCTGTTGATATATGGAGCTTGGGTTGTACCATCATTGAGATGTTTACTGGTAAACCTCCCTGGGGAGAGCTTCAAGGGGTGAGCTTATAACTAAATATTCTCATTTATTTATAACCTAGGAAAATTGTTTGCTGGTTGAGTTTCTTTTGTTTGCACCTAGCCATTTGTTTAATCTATTCTCTTCCCAAAAGGACTGCATTTGCATCACGACTCAAAGTTGTCCTGAATTTATGATGTCTGAGTTTGTTAGCCACTTCGCCAGCATGCATTCTGGGTTTTAGATTGGATTGCAGATCCTACTAACAAATTGGCTGATTGCTGGGAATAAAAAATGTGTTTCCATTTTACAGTCCTAATAATTGGGGAAAAGCATCTTCTTGCTTAGTGTTATTGACTTTATCCTCAACGATGAACCTTAAAAGAACAAGTTTTTTTACTTTGCATGATAATGTAGGATTATTAGTTGATTCTCGATTCATTTTTATTTTCTTAAATCACTGAGTGGACATAGAGGTTTTGTGCATTTTCCTTCATATTTACCTCTCTCTATATATGTTTCTGATAGGAAATTCGATTGTATGTATGCTTATGGGTCTTCTATTTCGTCCATTTAATTATCTAGTTATCTTCTGCATATCAGCCTCAAGCAATGTTCAAGGTTTTGAACAAAACTCCACCTATACCAGAAGCATTGTCTCCAGAGGGAAAAGATTTTCTCTGCTGTTGCTTCCGAAGGAATCCTGCTGAGCGATCATCGGCTAATATGCTGCTTGAGCATCCTTTTGTGCAAAATTCAACTGAACTCAATGTGTTGACCTACAGACAGGTATTATCAACTACGAACCTCATGACCAGTATCGAATAATAAACAGCACTGCATACTCAGCCTGCAGAGAGGCATTCTTTCTGCAATTTATGAGGTCCAAAGTGATTCATTTTTACTCTGAGAAATGCACATTATTGATGCACTCATTATTGCACGACCTTTTTGTAGGATAAATCATACAATGCTAGAGATTCTGCTAAGCAAAAAATTGATTTGACACCAACATCTCCGGGAACGCAGATTATGAATGATAAACTGCATTGCAAGAGGTACATATATCCACATGCACAGAGGCAACTAATCATACTTTTTACTTGACTACCTTATCTTTTTTATTTATTATAATTATTTTTATTTGTGTTTTTTTCTCCATAGTGAAACCAATCAACAAAATTGTGCCAAAACATTCAACTCTGCTGCAATTTCTCATCGCTCTCCTTGTTCCCCAGTTGATGTTCTACCTAATGTATCTACAACGCAACTGGTTTATGGTTCACATAATTTCAGCTCTTCATCAAATGTTTCCAGCAATATGTCACTTAGTGCTGTGAATAACCATCCGTTGGCTCTTTTAAGGAGTCATGGAAGGGAAGTTCCACATATCTGAAATATGCATTAATTGTCATGAGTTGATCTGGAAGCAAGTTCCTTTTGTGTACAGCTTGGTAAAAGCTAGAAATTGGCTAGACAGGACGTAGTGGAGGTTCTCGCGTTGCTGCCTCATGAATCATGAGTTTAGAGGTTCTGTTGACCATTTGTACGCTCTTCATAACACAGATGGTTTCTTAACTTGGAAATCTCGGCTGGAATCAGTGTGCTGATTATTTCCATAATTCATCATCATGGCTAGGGTTAGGGCTTTTAAGTAATGATTTGACAAAGATCGAAAAAGTGGGAAGGAGAGGAGATATTTATTCTGTTTGTTATAAAGAAAAAACGTGGTGCTCTAGATAGGTCTGTAAATACAGGAATCTTCCCCAACCCCTAATTTGATTTATTTCTAATAACAGAGAAAGTATTATTTCAGCTGGTTGTTTTTTTAGATCAGCTGTGTTATTGCAGTTTCTACTGCTGTTGAAGAAAAAAAGAGCATTTTTAGAAAATGAAAGCATGAAAGTTTGTTTTGTTTTTAAAGTCGTTAAAAGGTTGAAATTGAAATTTTTAATCGTCCCATGGTGCCCACACCCCACGCTGATAAACTCGACCCAAATGTACAGCCCATAGAAAGCATTTAAAAGCCCCATTTCCCGCTTTCTTCTTCTTCACTTTCTATGTTGCTCTGGTCTTTAAAGTGGAACTGTTCAGTTCATCAACTCATCAGTCTAGCTGAACGCTGAAGATATATTTACCCATGAAATTATAGCGACATGGAAGAAGATGTAAAGCTACTCACAATCTTAGAGCTGGTCCGCCGTGGTCAGCCCGTCACAGCAACAGCCTCTCTCAACTCCTCTCGTAGTCGTTCTGTAACTCCTTTATCTGCTAAAACTAAGTCAATATCGGATTACAAGTTAGGATCGAAAGCACCAGACGCTCCACCTACCGCCAACTCAAATCCTAACCATAAAATCCTTGCTCCTTTGGGTTACCCAGCGATCCTCATAGGAACACTGACTCTCCCAACTGAAAACCTAAAGTGCCCGAACAGGAGTTGCTTTCAGTTCTCGGACGATTCATCCACCATTTGCTGCGATATTCTCGACTTTAATGTCCGTGTAATCGGGAACAAGATTCAGGTCTCCGCTTGGAATTTCATTCCTCTAAAACATTCTGGTGGCGGGTTTTTAGAGATTATCAAATGGAGTTTCACAGATTCAAATAGTGTTTCCCTTTCTACTTGTTTGAGTATAGACTCGATTCCTATGGTTTCCGGTACTTCTTCTCCTGTTCCTCCTAACGGAGACAAATCCAAGGATCGTTACGGTATTCATGGCCCAATTGAATCAGTAAGCCCCATTTTGCTTATTCCATGTTCGATTGGTGCTAGCAAGTCAAACAATCTTCGGGGATTTATTGTACAAACTATGGTCTGTGAATGTAAGTTATGTAATCCTAAGAAGTCCATTACAGATTTGCATTGCTTAGCTCAAGGACAGCATCCGCATTCTTTTATGAAGCCTTTATTTATATATTTCTGTGGTTCTTCTTCGAATTGGCACCCTGCGATCACGAAGCTTGTAGGGAATGTGGTCACGTTGTCTGGGTTGAAAAAGAAGTTGGTTTTTATAGGTAAAGAGGAGTCTCAACTGATGTTTGTTACTACGGAAAACTCTGTTTTGCATTTACTTAGGTCATCTAAGAAATGGTCATCGTATATGAGAAATGTTGTCGGGAAAGGGGAATGTGGTGCTTATACTGGTGTTGTCAAGGGTGTATACATGCAAGGCATGGTAGTTGAGCTACACAAAGAAGTATGGCTTTTACTAACTGATCAGCTACTCTCTCCACCGCACAGTCTTAGAGTGGGCGCCATTGTAAGTTAATTACATTTGCTACCTTATTCAGTTAAAGAAAAATAACTTATGTACAATTTTATTGTGAAATTTCAAATATGTGTCTGCTACACAACATTTTTCTTTGGCTTTTGTTATAGATTTCTCTGAGGAATGTGCATTTTGTTAATCCAAAATTCGTTTGGACGGAAATGCTCATACTTGGGGCTTGCTTCAAGACTAGCATTATTATAGAGTCATTCTCACCCTTGGAAACTGGGTATGCATTTTGCTAAAATTTTCATGTAAATCTCTCAATTTCCCTGGAGAAATGGAATGATTATTTCAAAAAAAAAGGATTCAAAGTGGTAGCATTCTAATTTTGGTTAATGGCTTATAAAGGCCTTATTTTAAGTGATTATTTGTCCCTCACTGTGCTGACAAGGATTCCAAAAGCATAAAAGCTATTCAAATCTATTCAAATTTCTTTTGGACATCTAAACATGCCCAGCAGGTATGAAAGAGATCCAATTCTATGCTGCAGGTGTCATATAGTTTCACAATCGCAAAGTCTGTTGGGGAAGTTTATTGAGTCCTTGGCTTTTTCTGCCAGACTATGGTATGGAACGTGCTTCTTGGGCATTTGATTATGTTCGAGATGAGTGGCATATATAATATTCTCAACTTGTTTGCTTGATATAATGCAGGGCACTACTTATCATTTCATGTTTCCGCAAGAAATTTGCTGGGATTTTATCAGAGAAGGAGATTTTGGGATCAAAACATGTAATTTTACTTGCTTTGGGTCTTGCTAGTGGATAGGAACTCTGCAGAGTTACTTGTGTTACTTAAAAGCCATTTCCACAGCTGTGCTTTTGTACTTCTCTGCTAACTTAATGTGGATGGTGGCATGGTGTAACCAGAAGGAAGGACTGGCTCAGATGTTTAGTAGGTCACTTATACCTCCATCAGTTATTCGAGCCCGGGTAAATTGGTAAATTCATTGGTAAATGTACTGATTCTATTGCTTTGATTGTTTTCTAAAGGGAGATTCTTTTTGCAGCATGGAATGCTTACAGAATTATGCAAGCATGATTCCTTGGGTTGTGGTAGTGAACCATATTGCGTTAATCTGAAATTGGTCAGTTCAGAAACGAGTGTGACATGCATAATCATACTTATAATAGCTTGCTTCACCTGTCAAAGTGCATATTTAAGTAGACCGATAAAATTGTCACATGTTTGCATAGCTAGATGAGATGAAATGAAATTTAGAGAATTATTAATACTCTGTATTACTCTTAGGTGGTGACTATCTCTTCTTTTCTCCGTCGTTGTGAGGCCATGTGGAGGAGAGTGCTGTTGCAGAACAACTGTCACATCTCACATGGCAGCACTCAATGTGAAGGAAGATCTCATAGTCAGCCATTGAGGAGAATGTTTCAAGGTGAAGCTTTAGGTGTCTCTCTGCTTGGAAGTCTTAAGGTTGGTGTGTGTGCTTGTCAAATATGAATAGTTTATGCATAAGCAGCAGTCAATCGAACAGTTTACCTTCTTTTTTTTTTTTTTTTTTTTTTTTTTTTTTTTTTTTTTTTTTTTTTTGTCTTGTTTGTAGTTGTATGATGGGTTCTATTTTTTTTTTTTTTTTTTTTTTTTGTCTTGTTTGTAGTTGTATGATGGGTTTCTAGTAGGATTCCTTGTTCTCTGCAGTGTGCTCTTCTTTTTCCCTTCTCAAATAACTTTTTTCCTACTCTGCTTCTGAAATTTTTTTAGTCGCTAATCCTGTGGTTTATTGGTTCATGACAACTTGGGTGAAATCTTGTTATCTGAATTAATCAAGGGTTTGTATTGGTCATTCAGATTTCTCCATCATCTGGAAGGTTACAGTTAGTTGATGCTACTGGAAGCATTGATGTCATAATACCCGACCTTCCATCCACTTGGAAGTCCAGTGGCATGTTTGAGGTTATATTCAATTATGACTCAAGACTTATCATCTTCTTGTCCTAAGCTGCTTGAATGTGTGAAAAGTTTTATGCATCTTCAAAACACATTTTTAAGTCTCTACAGATGCTTTTCAGGTTGTTAACTATAGTCTAATTATTGAAGGCACACCTGACCTTGAGGATCATCCAGGATTGCTGGACTATGAGTCATTCTCATGCAGGCATATCTTTCGTAATACCCCGTGGGCAAGAGAGATGCACTTGACAATTTACATTTATTTTCACTTAAGCAATGCAACTTCCAAAAATCTTCCCTTTTATCCTTGTGCGGTCTGGAATAATGGATTTAAGGAACTTCAAGGTGGAAGATTGCATCTGATTTGGGTAACGCACAAATATCCTGCGCTAGAAAAGGTATAGTTGCATCTCCATAAGTAGTTTCTGTGAAATTTCTTTTTACAGTTAGTAATCTTCCATATTTATTTCTGCAGTTTCAAGGTGAGCCGGTGATATCAGACATTTCTTCCACTTTTGCTGAGGCCATTATCTTGCCGTGGGATCTGTTTCTTACTGGGAAAGATGGAACTACACTTCCAGTTGAGGTTTCAGGGGATCAGCTTAATGAACCATTGGCGTTTTATCCCTGTGAAATTTTACAGGATCATCTGCCCACTAAGAAGCATAAAGTTGATAAGACTTCTGGCCAGGATTTTAAGGGATCTGCTGAGAGCAAATGTGGAAACTTGTGTTCTTCTGAAATTCCATGCTCAGTCAATGTCAAAACTGCTGAAGGTTACCATTCAGTTGGCTCTGGAAAACTGTGCTTCACAAATTGCAAGATCACTGCTGATTTTAAGCAGAGTGCGAAAAAGGTCTTGCTAGAATTCAACTCTGAAAATTTTTTCAAATATCAGGTGTGCTAGATGTATCTTTTTTTATTTTTTATTTTATTTTTAAATCCCTTTTCAGTCTAATTGGAATTAACTTGGACAATGGTAGTGAAATAGTGCAGTTCTTTAGTTCATTGACAATGTCGGGAAAGTACTCACTTTAAGATAAATTCCAGTTATTGCAGATTGGCAGTTTTTACATCATAGAACACCATCCAGAAGAATCATTTTGTAGTATTAAGGACTATAGTGATGTCAATGGTGTTAAAGTTTTTATTACTTCCAGAACACATTTGTGGAGCCTCTCTTTCTCTTCTGACGAGGCAGTCACAAATAATGGATTGTCAAATAATCCGTCTAAGGATGATTCTTCTTTCAGCAGTAGAGAAGTTTTGATAAGTAATCAAGTTGAACAATGCTTGAGTCTGACTTGCAATTTTCCAAAGTCTTATTCAGATGTTTGTCTTTATCTCTCTGCCAATGCAATGCGTTTTTTGGAAGTAGAACTTAGTGAAATAAAAGTTAATATGTCACCAGAAGGGACTTCCAATGTTTCTCCTGACATTTTGACCTCAGTACCTTCATCTGGTTTCTCTTCTGGATCTCTTGAGTTTACTTCTCTTTTTCCTGAGGGAAATTTAACGTCCATTCGCGGATGTGTGGTTGGCATTCATAGTTTAGATGGCAATTCAGCGAATGTCCACCTAGCCGGTGAAAGATCAGGTGGTGTTCCTCACATGAGATTCTTTCAGGAGAGCACTGGTAGTACTTGTATTCAGGTTTTGGTGAATAATCAAATGGTAATTTCCTATTACTCTATGTGTGCATAAAGTCACGCATTTCTTTGTTTCCATTCTTTTGTTTGTTATTTGAACTTAATTGTTTCATCTTATTGCATCTTTTTAATGCATTAGGTCAATATTTTCAGTTCTCTGAGCAAATATGCATATCCTGTTGGATTTGGACCTGGTGCAGATGCAACATTTCATCGTGTTCTAAAATTAAGGTAAAAAATCAATAAAAGACAGTTAAACTCTAATATGCAAATTGAAGTTGTCTTGCAATGCATGCCTGTCTCATATTTTCTTTTAATCTGTTGTAGAAATTGCTGCATTTTTTTTAGGTTCTGGTATTACATTTTCCAATTTGAAATCTCATCATCACTTTGTAATAAATTAGTGCCACAGTTCTTCTTGACTTTGAGGTAGGAGAGATGCTTAATATTTTAGCAAAAATTATATATCCTTCCTAGTAAGAAAACGAGAACAGTTCTTCTTTGAAACTTCCAAGAGACTGTCATTACAGAATTTGAATGGAGCATTAAATTTGCAGGCATAGGGTAAGTTGCATGCTTTTTGGATGTATGAAGATTGAACTGTGATTCATAGAATGGTTTGAACAATAAAATGCTATTCATTAGGCAACTACATTATGGGTCTTAAAATTTACATTTGCATAATCTACAAGCCAGTAGTTAGAGCTTAGGAGTTTTAGTTTAAAGGCCTTTAGGATTCAAAGCACCAAATGGTTGAAAACGTTGATTTGGGAATGGAGTATTAGCTATTGTGTAGCCCAGCTATTGGATCTTGGACTAATGTGATAATGCTCAATAACTGATGTTTGAGTTTTGCACTAGGATATTCTGTGTGTACATGCTGTCGTTTATGTTTTGTCTGATTTATCCTTGTATATATTGATCAATGTGAGAAACTGCTCAGAACTATGATATTAGTTTGAGTTTGGGGACCACCCGCAATATTAAATGTCTGCAAAAACTGCTCCTAGGCTTATTCCTTTATGGTCTACTAAGGTGTTACAACATATATGCTAATATAAATGGCCAATTCTTATTTTCCAGGGGAACTAATAAATTGAAGCTTATTCTTGTATCATTTATTGTTTTGAACTCCATAAGAGTTGCGAATGAACCATGCGGTGATGAGCCTTTTAAAATCCAGTCTAAGTCATATGCTTCACCTTCTATATCCTTGGAAAATGCTTCTTCTGGCATGATTTCTGAATTGATTCAGTGCTCAGGTTGCAAGCCTATGCAGTTTAATTGCAGGGTAAGTTGTGTAAGATCTATTAATTTACAGGCTTCCAAAGCAGGCCAAATTCATTCATAGTTTTATTTTCTTTACGACTAGTGTTCTCCATGGCTAGCAAATTTGATAATGTGAAAGATGATAACTTCAGTTTACCTTTTCTGGTTGTGATAGGTAATCGCTGTTCATGTCTTGGTTCTGGATAAAAGTAGAAAGTATCATGATTTACATCCAGAAGTTCAGTCCAAGGCACAGTTTGTGGACATTCCACTTGTGGGTTTTGTATTGGGTGAGTAATTTTTAATGCATTTAAAGCCTGCCGCTAATATCATGTTAGCACATGTGGGGTGCTACCATTGAACTTCCACAATGATGGCTACTTCATGCTAACCGCTTGACATGCAGAACTTGCATTGGTTTTATCAGATGCATGCTATAGGTGATGGTTTGCTTTTGTGTAATGCTTTTGCCCCTCTTTATTGGCATGTGTATCTTGATAGATTGAAATGGATTTTGGTTTTCCAGTTTAAGGAGTTCTCTCTTGCACTATAAGAAGCGATAGAATAGTATAACCATGGATCTGCAGGCTGACGCCATATTTCACAAATTTCTCCCTATAAATTATTTGTATGACTATATCTCAGTATCCATCTAAAAGTGTGATGGTGCTATTTTTTATGAAATAAATGTAGTTTGTTTTGCCATAACTTCGGGGTCAAAGGTTCTGGAAACCGTTTACTTATGTTAATAGTCATGAATGGTATGATGATGGCCCATGAATATGCATTGACACTTTTCACAGCAATACTGTGGTGGCTGCCATTATCTCTACTTAGCGTAAACTCTCAGTTGCTAGTGATTTCAGTTTCACGTCCAACTGTCCATTTGTCTGAGAAGATTGTTTTCCTGATTCTCAAGTTCTAGTCTCATTTTTCCCCCTCATTGGCTTGCATAGATGATGGATCATTCACATGTTGTTGCTGGGCTAATGCTGAAAGAGCGGCAACTTTGCTAAGGCTGCATGAAGAACTTCCACCTAGAGCTTTTGAAAGCAGTGGGTGCACATTAAAGTGGGTGGGGATAAACAAGAGTTGCTGGAAGAGCACTATGTTTCATCTTGACAGAATTCTGAGGAAGCATGGCAGAATTACTGTGAGAAATTATGGATCAATAATCGAGTCTTCTTATCAAGATTTGAAAGTTTCTGTTAGTTCAGAGAATTCCCTCAGCAGCTCAGATGAGAATCTTCTGAAATTCATAGTCCTAAATGCTTGTTTTGGCACATTTTGGGTGAGTAAAAATTGTAAAAGGAACATATTCATGTAGAAAACACTATGCAATAGCCCTAAAGAAGTAATATGAATATACCTATCTGGATTCTGAATCATGAGAAGAAAATAATGAGTTCGTAAAAGTTTTTTTTGAACCTCCTATGTAATTAAATTAAAATAACTTGTATATCTAATTTGATATCAATTCCTGCTGATGCTATTTATATCTTCATTTGTTACATTGGCAGACTGTTGTTGCTACCATGATGGATTCAAATGCTGTTCAACAGTTGGAGAAAGAGCATCTTACACAAATGGATGTGAAAGTGCTTCCGATGCAGAATGTGTGGGCTGCGGAAGTTCAGTACCTGAATACTCTCACCGAGGCCAGAAACATAATTAAAGAACTGCTAGACAGTTAAATTATTCATGCTGCTAAATTTGCAAGAATGGATGTTGCTTACTTTGGGAAACCCAGGTAAAAATGCAATATGATGTGCGTGATTTTTATGTACATATTGTCTCTGCCAGTACCAACACAATATGGTGAAATAAACTTGCTGGAAGTGGCACCTGCTAACTGCTGTTGCATTTTTATGATGTATTGGCCTGAAAAGCAGCCTTCCCTTCCACATCCATTAATTCTCGCAGCTGGGCTTTTACATTCTTTGCAAAAATTTGAATATCAACATCTTGGAATTTGTATACGCTTTAATGTAATATACATATTTCTTTTTTTTTTTTTTTTTTTACTTTAAGATGATGTATTGGCCTGACACAGAGGCAGGCACTCTTCCTCCACATCCCTCATAATTCTCCCAGGCTGGGCTTTATTATTAACATATTCATGTCTGCAAAAAATTTGAATTATCACAGTTCTTGGGCAATTTGTGATACGCTCTAAGGTGGCACATATCACATATGTTCTTTTTTTTTTTGGTTTATTTTTTTCTTGGCCTCTACAAGCAAAGATGAAGTGCTGATCCAGCCTAACCCAACTCTTAGGAACCGAGCGTTTAGTTTGAGTTGACGTGTCATAAATTATTGATCGTTTATATACCATCGTATCCACGCACAGGTGCATTTTGAAATATAATTAGCCTTAGCTAACGGCTATGAGATAATTTACAGAAAACACGGAGTTTTGTTAAAAGGTACAGCCTATTTATTTTTTTTTTTTTTTTTTTTTTTTTGCCCTAAACAAAGATGAAAGGTGATCAGCCAACCTCAACTCTTTAGGAACCGAGGTTTAGTTGAGTTGATGTCATAATTATTGATCGTTTATATACACGTTACGATGCATTTGCAATATAATAGCCTTAGCTAACGCCTATGAGATAATTACAAAAACACGGGAGCTTTTTGTTAAATAGGTACAGCATTATTAGGGGGACCATAATATTAATTTCCTGGGGAGAATGTATGAGAATTGTCAATTTTGTGGACACTATTTTCCAGCTGTAGTTTGTGTTGCACTGTGGTCTACAGGGACTGAGCTTCCGTTGCTAAAAACCTTATTGGTGTCTAATTCTCACCTGTCATTTTAGATGTTATTGAGTTTTGTGGACATTTTATAGCATACTATTACTAACGATCATTATTTCCATAGGAAGACTGTAGGATATGAGGTTTCCCCGGTGGGGGAAGGGAAGGGAAGGGAAGGGCAGGGCGACTCGTTGCTATCCGACTGATGATCTGACATTATCATCAACGAGGTTGGTCAAATTTTAATGAAAGGGAATAAAGCTTACTTTATTTTGTGATACAATCCACCTACTATGAATTCCATAGTGTTTGTTACACATGCCTGAGGTAATTCTTGCAAGAAAGTAAAAGAATTCCCAGATTATCAAATTAAATTCCAAATTTCCAGCTACTGTTGGTAGCTGCTTTGATAAATTAGTTCGTTAGTTATTCTTTACGCGTTAGACGACATCTTGGTAATGACAGCAGCAGCCGCACGCTTTTTTTTTTTTTAATATTAATAAAATCTGTAATTTTCACTTCATATGAAAATAAAAAAAAAAATTGGTAATTTCAACAATAAAAAGAACCATCTCCTAAAACATTTTCGCGATGTAAGAAAAAGATTAATAAGAAAAGGGCTAGGAATGGTACCAAAAGGAGATTTATTACTCCCTCTGTTCCATGCAAAGTCGTTTTTCACAATAATTAAGGAAGTAGGTTTTTTTTTTATTTATTTACCTCAACACATCAATAAATTAGTTTGCACAATTAATGCATTTAAAAAAAAAAAAAAAAGAAAAAGACTAAATGGACTTTGCACTTTAGGCAAAATTCATTTTAAGTAAGTTTGTCCAAGTAATGTAACGCCCAAAATAAAAATTTTGCCAATATCAATGGAACTGAGGGTGTATTTATTTAAACCGATACATTAATTTAAAAAATGTTGTGTTTGATCATTAGGATAAAAACAATCAAAGTAAGTTTTAAAATTGAAAATGGTTAAGGTTGTTTTCCATGTTATCTTTTACAGTGGCAGAGAAGTCCTGCAAAAGCTCGTATGCGTTTTCGAAAAGAGCTTTCTCTATGAAAGGTTTTGGACTTTTTAGTCGGTCCTTTTAGATTCCCTTAATTTTCTGATTGCTTTTTTTGTTTTATTTTTATTTTTATTTTTTTATCTTTCCTTTCACTCCTTTTTACTGTCCTTTGGTTCTTCGTTGAATAATTATACTAATTATTAAAATAAGGAAACCTCAGTAGCCTTTACCTAGTGGGCAGTGGCTGCTGCTTCTCAGTTCTCAGTTCTATCTCCCTAGTCTCTACCATCTCTCAACTCACTTGCTACTTTTTTCAATTCTTTACAGTTTACAAACACCTCTCTCTCTCTCTCTTTATCTTCCTCTGCAAATTTATTGTTGTGCCAGTTACAATTTCATGCTGCCCTTTTTGTACTTCCTTCTTAATCTACAGAATTTTCATCTTCCTCTCCTCACTCACACACGCACTCTTATTATAGCCATCTCCGGGTTTTTACTGCAGAAAATTTGAAATGCTTTGGCTTTTGTTTCTTTTCAAGTTTCCCCAATAGCTAAAAGTACTCATCTAAACCTCATCTTGTTGCTTTCTACTCTGTATTCTTCTTTATCAAGGCTAAAATGTCAATGCCACTAAGCCAGCAACCACCGGCAGTGACTGTAGGACAGGAACCCTTCCACACTCTCTCAACCCACACCACAATTGGCCCTGTTATTGCAGTACTTATAGTTATAATGATTTTAGGCATAGTTGCAGTTATGATTGGGAGGATTTGCTCAGGAAGGAGAATCTTGGGTTATGGACAGTATGATATAGAGAGTTGGGCAGAGACAAAATGCTCTTCTTGCATTGATGGAAGGATAAGCCCTTCACTCCCGAGGCCGCCTAATGTGTTTGCAACCTCTGCTCCATCATCATCAATGCCTGCCCAAACCAATCAAGAAGAAACCAAGCAGGACGACCAATCTCCTCACCACCCACCTGAAAATCTTGATTCTTGAACATGGGTCCGCTTTTTTTATTTATTTTTGGGATTTATTGGCCCTCTTTTACTTCCATAGTTGCTCACCATTCTTGTGGAACCAGTGTTGCTTGCTAGTGTATTGGGCCACTGTTGCCGACGTGAATTTTTAGATGCAAGTTCTAATGGGTGTTTTTCAGGTGATAACTGCAAGCTGAATTGCCTTGGATTTTCAGTTCATTTTTAATTTCTTTTGAAGAATTACTTTTGTAACGCATTCAAATTCATAAAATCAACTTATTATAAGTATTGAAAATGAAAGCAGTTGATTTTATGGCATGATAATTGATAAGAAACAATTTACTAAGTTTTTTTTTTTTTTTTTTTTTTACTAAGTTTTTTTTTTTTTTTTTTTTGTCAAAAGTCAGCCTCCCTTTCGAATCAACCAGAGAGTCATAGTGGCAAGAGAGGTTTTACGTGCCCCAGCAATTTTCCAATTGTGGGGCTAAGCCTGACTTTCCCAAATAAAGCCAGAAAATCCCCCAGAATTCGCGCTGGGACTATTCTTTCGTCGCTCATGCACAGTTCTCAAAATTGAATTGGTCCTTTCAACATTAACAACTATTTGATTCCAGCTTAGAAAATAAAAATGCAAAGCGTAACTATTGAGCAACAAAATATAAAAATAGATTTCAAGCACAGTGCCTAAGTTTTTTTTTTTTTTTTTTTGTCAAAAGTCAGCCTCCCTTTTCGAATCAACCAGAGAGTCATAGTTGCAGAGAGGTTTTACGTGCCCCAGCAATTTCAATTGTGGGGCATAAGGCCTGGCCTTTCCCAAATAAAGCAGAAAATCAGAATTGGCTGACTATTCTCGTGCTCATGCACAGTTCTCAAAATGAATGGTCCAACATTTACTATTTGATTCCAGCTAGAAAATAAAAGGAAAGCGTACATGAGCAACAAAATATAAAATAGATTCAAGCACAGAGGGGGGATTTTTGTTCTCCAGTATGCAGCTCTATTAAGCGTTCTTCTAATTGGGGTTGATTGAGCATTTATATACAGAAAGTGCCAATCTAAAAGAGATTGTACCTCATTATGTACACTTCCATTGCACAAGAAAACAACGGATAAATACACAATGTATCACATCTTAGCCTATTACCAGCTCATGCCCATCAATCGATGAACTTTTCCAGGAAGAATAAAATCTCTATCAATAAGCTAAGCCAGGCTTTTTATTTACAGAATCGAAAGATGAGGAAGGTGATTTAGATATGAGAAGAAAAGAAAATCCCAACTGAGCCAAAAAGCTCTACTAGATCAATTTCTTAAAACTGTCAATTTGGATACAATAAATCATATTCTCATTGTCAGTTTCTTGCACAAACTTATGATGCTACATACACAATATAGGCTACCGATTATTACTCTGAGGGCGCTTCAATTTGAGAAGATGTGATAGACCTGCAACTACATGTAGCCGACTGCTTGGAACACCCGTCTTTGCCAGTGCCTTCCCATTTTTGTCCAACAGCACAAAGCAAGGAACATATCTTATGTCATAATGGAGTAGCTGCAAACAACCAATATCAATTGTGAACCAACGCACCACAGACATTTTAAGAACATATATAGATAACATACGCTCACTGCATGATGGCAAATGTTTTAATAATTTTACTGAATAGCTGCAGCTCTCACTCATTTCCAGCCTCCAAGAGAACAATAATCACCTTACATTTTCAATTTGCCGTGAATCTATTACATATTGCTAACTGAATCTTGGGTTTCATATCACTTCCACAACTTGTAAAATGAATCCCATGTTTTGATACAAAAATAATAATAGTAATAATAATACAGTAAGCATGCAAAGATACCTCTACAGGCATCTTCAGCATAAGAAATGGATGTTATAGCTAGCATAATTCCCCAAATGTATCTTTTGCATAAACTTGATCATCATGCTGCAAACTCAATACTAAAAATGTGATATTATAGATGAAAGAAGTAGCTGCCAAAATTCCACATTAAAGGAACAGCCAACATCTTGGTATTTGCAATCTCCAGTGAGTAACTTTTTACATCTAATAGTTAATATGCCAGGAACCCAGAAATAACAAGAAACACCACTGAAATTTTGTAACCAGATTTTTACTTGTGTTCATTGACATCTATGGTAAAAAATTGCACCAGTAAAAAATTCCCAATTTCACAATTAAAATTTACAAACTCCAACAACTTGCGTGAACAAAATTGAGTGAGTAGAATACCTCAGGCAGCCATTTATCATTCTCCGCATCTCCCATGACAATATTTAGCCAATCTGAATTCCTATTCTCAAGCTCCAAGACAAAATTAAGCAAAGAATTACACAACCTGCATTTGGGTGAGTAGAATTCAAGCACAGTAGCTTCTTTCCCACTAGCTAGTGCAGATGCAAATGCTCTTTGCTCTGCCTCTCCTTGCTCTTCAGGAGTGAAGACCTTCTTTCGGGACTTTATGCTTTTACTTTGGCTGGTTCCGACATCCAATTTGATGGGATTAAAGGTATGAATCAAAGAATTTGAGGATTTGGAAATTGAATTAAAGGAATTGAAAGCAATTGATCCAAGAGTATGCAATGATTTGAATAGCCAAGGAGTCTCAAAGCTGCAACCATTGGAATTTTTAGGATGATGTTCAATATCCCATGGCCATTTCAAGCAGAATAAAGGTTGTTTAGGAGAAGGATCAATCTTCATCTGCAATTTATACTCCAAAAGCAACACAAATTTAGCTATTAGCCAACACAGTGAAATTGATTTCAGAGCTACAAGTTAAAACATTTCCTAGGAAGGCTTCTAAATTACTTTGAAATGTAGAAACCCCAGATAAACCCTAAGCTAAAATATAGACAGTATCCCTTTTATTTCATATAAAGGAAATAAAGATTAGAATTTTGAACTGATTTCATGAAATGTATGTACTCACCTTCCGTACTTGCAATTAGCTTCAAACGGCGCAAGACTCTGTAAGAGAGTGAAAGACTGCAGATCAGACACCCAATTGAGACGTCCGAATTTAAGTGACGGCAACCGGAGAAAACCAAGACGAGCAACAGGGCAGCCGAACTAGAAATCTCAGGACCCAAGACCGTGCGTAAATTCGCCGGAATTTAATAAAACGGCAAGCATTTTAAGCGTGCCGTCCAACGACAGATCGTCGGGTTTAGAACATCTTTAAATGGGCCTTAAAGTAAACGTTAATACTGAATTGGGTTACGTAATTCGGTTACGCCATGACAGAATATGGGTTTCTCTCTCGTTCAGCCCAAAATTTTATCAACCTTTCATTCCCAACCAACAGACATCATCTCTCCGTACACAAATAACTGTTAAGCGAAACTACTGTTTGCATGAATGAGTCACATTTATGGATTGAAATTTTTTTTTTTTTTTTCCCTTTGCAAATGACAAACATTAATGGATATAGTTTTCAAAAATCTTTCCCTAGTTATTGTAAATAAGGATAATATAATCAATTTATTCAATAATTAATCGTAAATTAAATAAATTAAATAATTTTTTTAAAGGACGAGAAAAATATGACAGTTGTTTGTGGACAAAGAAAGTATAACAATTACTGAAAGGAAAATTGAAGTGGTTGGTAGCTAATCAATAATGGTTATGGTTGCACCCTATTGATAAACAAATGTGCACTGCTTTTTTCTTAAAAAAAAAAAAATCAATGGACAGCAATCCCTTTCCATTACTATAATGTAAAAATTTTTTATTGTGATCGACAACCGCTTTTTAAGTAGCTTTTAAAATATTTTTAAATTAATTTTTAGAGATTAGGATGATGTTTTGTGAAATGTTGACTTATGCAACGTTTAACTTTTAACATTTTATAAAAAAGTTATTTAAACAACTAACAGCTACTAAAACGGCTAATTTTACCGAACAGATCCTTTAACATTTTAAATAAATGTATTTTTTATAATGTCAATTTTCCATCTCGTTAGCCATTAAAATTTAAAATTATACTTACTTCAATATAAATAATAACTGTATTTATCTAAATATGGCAAAATCGTCATATAATGTTGAATAAATAGATATTACTTCAATAATAATATTATCTCTGACTTTCTATAAGTTGCTCTTCTCGCACAGTGTTAGTGTGTATATATATATATATATAATTTTATTTAATAATAAATTTATGTAAATTGCTTTTTTAAAGAGTTCAGCGAAGTGAGTGGTCGCTCGTACAGCTCCTACTATAGTAGAGCAGTTTATCTTATATCTAATCTAGAAAAGCAAAGTTCTGCATTAGCTTAATGTATTCCAGCTTTTACATTGAAAAGGAAAAAAAAAAAAAAAAATCTTAAAATCAATTTTGTATCATGATTATTAAATTGAAGTTAAACCATTTCATCAACAACTATTTTTCCATATACCAAAACAAACAGATGACAATCTTTCCATAGTTAGATCAACTCATCAGTCATCCCTCAACTACTATGTTGGGCAAAGAATATTAGGCATTGATGAGATAACAAGTTTGATTTACATTTACCCATACGAATCTTGTTTCCCAATGAATTTTTGTTAAATGAAATTTTAATTCTATAAAGTATTTTATGACTTCAAATTCTCAATTAAATAAAATAAAAAAGAGTTTGTTCAAATCATTAATTAAAATTTTTATTTTTAAAACCAATAAGAATAGAAAATTATGAATTACCGATCCATATTATATGCATTTAATTCCGAGTTTCTATCATCGACAGGCTGTAAGACCGAGCAAAATTTGCCCAATCCCTCGAGTTGCGTTCGGGTTCGGGCACACTTCATCATCTTACATTCGAATTTTGAACTTAGGAAAACAAATACTCCATTAATAAGAAAATTAATGGTAATTACTTAAGATCATCGTATTAACACCATCAAGTTAATCAAACCAAATAACAACAACACCAGCCATTGTTCTTCTTTTATTTTTGCTAATGGAAACCCGAAGCAGTACTCTCATTAATACTTGAACTCATAAATTCTCTCACTTCTCTAGCAATCACATCTCTCATCACATCCCAAAACTCAGCTGGCAAACTTTCCGCTGCCTTCTCCGCCGCCAATCCACCATCACCACTGCAACTACCCCCATTAACACCAACCCCCGGCGGCGCAAGAGTCAAAGCGGTCAGCGCATCTTCCTTCTCTTCTTCTACTACCACCTGCGAAGTAGATCTTGATGCAACAGCAACAGTAACCTCTTCTACTATATTGTTACTTATATTATCAAAATTACCCTCCATTATCATTTGATGCTGCTGTTCTCTTGCTCTTCTCTTCAAAGTAGAGTTCCAGTGATTCTTCACCGCATTATCGGTTCGACCAGGCAGCAATCGGGCGATGGTGGCCCACCGGTTACCGTACGTAGCATGAGCGGCCAAGATTGTCTCGTCTTCAGCTGGAGAAAATGGACGGTGCTCCACATTTGGGCTAAGTTGATTGCACCATCTAAGCCTGCATGATTTACCAGAACGCCCTTTAATATATCGACTAATTAAGGACCAATTTCTAGGTCCGTGTCGTTCGACAAGTCGGGTCAAAATCCGGTCTTCCTCAGCACTCCACGGACCTTTGATCCGCTCCGGTTTGTTAGTATTTCTTGGCGTATGGTTACCATTAAAAGAAGACTCCGAAGAGGAAGATTCTGAAGAAGAAGTGGAGTACACGTTCATTGCTTCCATTAAAATAAAAAAAGTGTGCTTTTGGAAAACAAAAGAAAAAAAAAGGACAAATAGAAAGAGTACTGAAGGGTTTGGCTTCGAGTGAGAAAGAGAAGTGCAATATACAATAGAATCAAGAAGATGAACTGATATGTATGTATCTATATGAGTGGAAAGAGAGAAAGAGAGAGGTGCATGAACTTGGCTGAGCGTCCAATAGGATGTTGGTTTTTTTTAAGTAGAGAGAGAGAGAGAGAGAGAAAGAGAGGCTGAAAGGTTTCTTCCAGGAAACTGGCTTTCGTAAAGTTGGTGGGGAGTCTAAACCAGAATGGGTGCATAGGTGCGCACCCCTTGCCCCCTTGGGCTAGTTATTGTTAATACTTTAATACGACTATAATATTCTTTGTCGTTTGACCCTGAAGACGTGTATTCTATCTTTATATATATGTATACATAATTGTCATTTATGTGTTGGATTGTAGGTTATTGAATATGAATTAGTATTACTCATTATGGTTAAAATATTTAAAAAAACGAAAAGGCTAATAAAGAAAAATGATTGTGACGGGGACAAAAGTGGAAATAAGGGATCCGTAGACGGAAAACATGAATAATAAAAAATTAAAAGTCATTCTCGTACTCTCACAATGCTTATCAAATATCAAGTGCGTTTAAAACATGACAGGAAAGGCAGAGCTGTTTAACACAAAACAAACGTTTCCAAACCTGAAAGTGGGGCCAATACCTTTTTGACTATTCGGCCAGATTTACAGCTGTAAGTCCAAATCCATAGCCTCAGTCACTCTAATCAACGGCTGCAATCAACCGTCTCAAAACTAAAGAGTGGCTCCGTTAAAAGGGTAGCCCTTAAAATAACTGTATCGCTTCAACCTCTACCACGTAGGAAGGCCCCACTCCCAGCCTGTACGAATCTCACGTGATTCGAGTTGAATCCGTTTGACTTTTCTGTGTCATCCGCTCACCTTACTTCTCATTTAGGAGCGTGTGTTTCACAAACCCCAACCACATTATTGCTGGCAACTCCTTTTATTTTTCCCCCCCTTCTTTCCACCCTTTCTTTTGTCATTTCATTCTCTTTAGGTTTAATTAAGTGAATAATCAAAAATCAATTTTATTAGTAAATAATCATAATTTATGATTAAATTATGTGATTAATTTTATTGTACTATTTCCAAAAAGAGATCACCCTAAGGTTAAGAATAATTATTAGAAATTTAAAATTTAAACTTCATTATTACATCCTTCTTTCCAATTTTTTTTAATAAATTTTTCTCAAATAACATATCTTTCTCTCTCTCTCTCTCTCTCTCTATACCCCAACCACATTTATTTGGCTGGCACAACTTCCTTTTATTTTTCAACACCTGGCCCCTTCTTTCCCCTTTCCTCTTGATTCATTTCATTCTCTTTAGGTTTAATTAAGTGAATAATAAAATAATCAACTTTTCCATTAGGTAAAAATAATCATTAATTTATGATTAATATGATGTGATTCAAATTTTATCGTATGTACATATTTCCAAAAACCGTAGATCACGCCTAAGGTTAAGAATAAATTATTAGATCACAATTTATAACTAAAGAATTTTTAAACATCTCATTATTACATCCTATACTTTCACAATTTTTTAAATAAATTCTTTCTCACAATAACAATATCTTTTCTCTCTCTCTCTCTCATACTCTTCTTGCTACTATTAGTTTATATTATTTTCGACCTTTTATAGTTAAAGTATTCATCTTAATAATGATTCAAATATGCACTTCTCTTCCTAAGCATGATGAACGAAAGATATGGTTTAGAGAGGAGTGTGTGGAAAAATTATCTGTAATGAAAAGAAAGAACCAAAAACGAAATAATATATATATATATATATATATATAAGCATCATCTTATTAATGATTCAAATATGCATTTTTCCTAAGCATGAAAGAAAGTAGTTTAAAGAGTTGGGAAAAATATCTGATGAAAAAGACAAAAGGAAATTGAAATCCAAGCATGAAAAAAATTGAGCTGTAAATTTAATTGAAATGGAAATTTTTATGCTCCATCCTACAAAGATACATTTATTTTAAATTATAATTTATTTTTCTTTTTAAAAATATAATTAATTTCTTAATTCTCTAATATACTCATATTTAATATCTTGTTATCAATAATGTTCTTTCGGCCGATTAAGCCTCTCTGAATAAAAAAATAATTTTTATTTAATTTTTTCTAAAAACTAGAAAGTTATGTTTAATATTAATAAAGAAATATATAAGAGAAAATATAGATAAAATGGTTTGCTCAAACTACAACTAACTAATGTTTTTTTAAATTCATGTGAAAATGTAAATAAGTTTATTTTTATGGACCGAAATTTGTAACAACGCAATAAAATAATTTTATTAGCAAACACATTAACATTTTAAAGTAAAAATATATAAATATGTAAAAGAAAAAACTTGATTAAAATTTATTCTAAAATTTGATGTGGATTAAATAAAAATTATAATATTTAATTTTATAAAATATTTATTCATCCTTCGTTTATAATAATTGTAGGAAAATGTTAAAATTGTATATGCAAAAAAATTCTATCCATTTCTTTAGCTAACATTTTTCTTTCTTATTCCTTCTATTTCATGCAAGCAGTTACATGGTGATGCAAGTACTGCAGTATACGCGCTTTAAAATGGCAGGGGTCTACAGTCCTACAATCTAAAACGAATAAGCACATGATTACATCGTAGCCGCCCACGTGGCAATATTTATGGGATTTTGGAGTCATCTAGTGAGCTTGTGATGTAACTTCAGCGAGAAGCAGTTGGGCAGTTGATACTACAGCTGGCATAAAAAACCCTTAACTCACCGACTTAGTTGTATCGTTCTCCAACAGGCAACAGAACAAGCCAATGGTAAAAATAAGGAATAGCGTCTCTTTCCTCTCGGACTTCAATAATTGTCTACTGGCAGTTCCACGGTGGGACCTCAAATTTCGATCTCTGATCAAGATAAATTTAGCCACTCGATTTGTAGTAATCAGTGGGGTCCTTCCTGTTGCCTTCCAACCTTATTGCCGGTGGGTTCGGTCCTGCCAGTGTCATTGGCTTGTGGCTCAATGCCGCGTGGGATTGGACTGTTTGTCCTTTTGTTGAACCGGTCAACCATTCCCTTCTCTGCTCTTTGTTTGCCATTTCTTTCACTTTTCCATGTGATAAACATGAAGCATTTAACTCTAACTGTTTTTTGACACAACAGTTTTACTGTTCACACCTTCCTGGATTATCTTAAAAAAAAGGAAGAAAACACGTGTCATTTAATCGAGATCTTGTAATATAAATTTGATATAAGCCTTTTGTAATAATAATAAAAAAAAACATTTTTCCCCGTGTTCTGATTGGTATTTTTGTTTATATGAAAATGAAAAGCCTCGATTTCAAATTCTCTTAAATATAAATGTTTCACTAATTTGGTGAGTTTAAGAAAATACGATTCTATTATATAGTTCATAATATCATTTCGACCCATTAAAATCTCTGCTAAAAAAAGAAAACATATTATGAATTTGCATATGCACTTCTAAGGCAATGAATAGTGTAAGTTATCCTAATAAAAATTAATAAATATGCTTAAGTAATTGGTATTCAATGCTAAGCTAAAAATTGGTAGTGAACATGACGTCATGCTACTAAAAATATAAGGACAACCATTAGTCCAATAAATTCAACCGAGTCGGACGAAAATTGACTATTGATAAATGTTGATATGATCTTTATTTTTTGTGTGGACTGCACTAATATTATCCATTTTTGAGCCATCTGAATACCTCAACTGATTATATTTTTATGCATGTTTTTGGGGAAAAAAAAAAAAAAATTCACAAAGAGTGGCTATATGTGGTTGCCAACTTGTCAAGTACGTTATTATAATTTTGTTTCCTTCCCTCTCAATTTTACTATATCAACTTTTCAACTTTTTGCTTACCTCACTTCTCAATTTGTTGAAGATGAACACTGTATATTGCAAGTATGTTTAACTTAATAATTTATTGAATGGTTGAATTTTTATGTTAATACAAAAATTTAAAATTTAAAATTTTTATGCTACTATAGAGGGGGACTGAGGAAGCCCCAAACTCCAAATTTTTTTTTTTTTTAAGGTTGTCTTATAAAAATTATCATAACGGTGATAATAATAACTTAAAACTAGATTTGAAGACAAAATCCTAATATATGAGCAATAATAGATCTTAATATATGGGCGATAATAATTCAAATATGCAAATAGATTAGAGAATTATTTATAAAAAATTAAATAAAAAAGAAAGAGAGGTGATTATCGATGAGAGTTTATCGGTGGCTGTCCTTAGAAGAAAATAAGAGAGATTTTAGATTTTCAAAATTTAGCTCTTATTCTCATTACGTTGTCATTGAGATTTAGCTCGTTAAATTATTTAGACATTTCATTTAAAAGGAGTTAGTTTTTAACTATTTAGTCCTCTTTATATTTATTTAATTGTATGGTTGACAAAAAGACAGCAACATCTTAAGTACGGGCGTCTGGTTGGATATATTTTTAATTTGATTATTATACTTTTATAGTTCTGTGGTCTGTCTGCAACCGGTTGGATACTGTTGGGTATAACTGGAACATTCCTGATTGGGCTAACGGGTCGCATTAAAGTGGGCCTTCTCTTCTTAAGTATAGCATAATTTGGGCTGGACTGCATGTAAAACCCATTCCAGTAGTTACTCTTTATGGGCTTTTTGTTACGTTCTGAATTCACTGTCATGACTTTAGTTACCAATTGCCAAACAAAGACCATAACCCATCTGGAAATTAGTACCAAGTACCAAACAAATATAACATCAGGTGGATCGATTTTTTTTTTTCCTATATTTTTTCTTTTATTTCTTCTTACATTTTTTTAAAATATAAAAATCATTTGCTGTAGGTAAGGTACCTGAACTCAAGCATGAGAAATTGAAAAAATCCATTATTTTATAGGTAAATACAAAGTTTTTTTATATTTTATAAAATAAATTTTTGAAAATTTAAAAAATAGGGACGAGACTACTGCTAGCCACCTTCTAGTTAAGCGGTTGGTAGGTGGTTTTATGATATTAGCCAATTTAAAGTGTATGAACAGAAATGTACTTGGTCACTGTACAGGTGACCATCAAGAAAAAGCAAGTAATAAAACAGTGGTCCATATTGCATAATCTCGTTGTCTAGGATGGTGACCATTTTGCAACCTCCATTAATCCAGATAAGGGCAACTACTGTTTTATTTATTTATTTCAAAAAAATTCCAATCCGAATCCCATCCACAAATCTTGATATTGAATAAACTACTGTCTGCTCTTTGCCAATTCAAGAAATTCTACACTATGTTCCCATCATCTCTATAGAGATTTTAAGAAACATACTTCGTCAGATTGAAAGATATTAAAACCAAATTCATTTAACAATCAAAATTTGTTTGTTTGTTTGACAGGAAAAACTTTCCAGGTTGTAGAATTCAACAGGAAACTTTTTCGCCTAAGAAATCCAAGAATCAACAAAGAAGAGATGATTTTTCAGTTACGTATCCTCTGTTTTTAGAATTGCATAGTTTTGACAAGCCTCTCATGTATATATTACATGTCCTCTGTTTTTGAACTGTATAGCTTTGAAAAGCTTCTGATGCACATATATCTGCTCAGATATGATTATATATATTTCTGAAAGGAAAACAATTTCCAGGAAACTGGGTAGGCAATTATACATGTTAATTTGATTAATTAACACTAAAAATACCTACGAAACTCTAAAAAGAAAAAAAAAAAAAAGATTAAACTGCAGAATTTCAAAACCACACAAATTTCTTTCCTCTTAGGAATAAACAAGCAATCAAAGTCAAGTTTAGATATATATATATATAGCCAATAATTAAGTAATCTAATGAGCCCTTACAAAGAAAAGACTCAATTCAGGGCCAGCTGCACCATCTGGATTAATCATGTAGAAAGATTCAGAATCTTTAGATCCCACAACTCTTTCAAACCTTGCTCTTATATACGTCAATTCACCATCGGCCGTTTCCTTTTCATTTGGACTTGGAAGCACCCCTGCACCCATCGAAACGCCCCTCAGTAGCTGCATAACATGAAGCTCATCATCGGACATTTGCTTCCTTCTAATACAATACCCTATCTTTCTTCCATTGCAATACACAGCCCATACAAATTCTTCCATTAATTTCTTCTTATGAGTCTTCGTCTCGCTCTCTAATGCAAGTCTTACTATATCCGACGCCATTTCTTTATGAAACAATGTCGTATGTATTGGTAACTCTATAACAAACATAGGCACGCAGTGAGGATCCTCTTGTATGGCTAGACTCACTCTCCCTTTGCGATAACCAAAAAGTGTTCCTGTAGTAGCATTATCTTTTAGTAAAGGTTTTCTAGGCCTACCTAAAAGTGCAACCATTTTGCAACCTGAAGTTAACATAGGGAAGAGCTTGAACATTTTAAGAAGTCCACCAGAGCTAGATTTCGAACGTTTCTCGCTGGCGGTTTGCCGGAGTAAGGATATAATGGCCGGATTATCCATTTGGAAATAAGGGCTAGAGTGCACCGGTGGCATTGTTCTTGAAATTTGAACAAATGTGAAGATGGGTATTATTTCTTGAACTTAGTAGTACTAATGACAAATTCTGTGGGATAGATATAGAGGAAGTTAAGACTTATAGGAAGGAAGGAGAAGAGGAAGGTGGTTGGTCACTAATTAGGCTGGAGCTGAATTGTCCTTTGGAATCTTTTTGGAGTGGGAAAGGAGAAGGAGAGACCCCTCCTCCAAGTTGGTTGAGAGAAAAAGAAAAAATGCGAAGTAATGGTTTGATGTGACCAAGTTTAGTGATCAAAACAAAGACATGTTAAGAGATAGGATAGGACCATGTAATGTGGAGAAAGGGATTGGTCATTGCCAAACAAATTTGCTTCAATCTTATTGAGTAAAAAGTGTTTTTAAACTTACTTAGAGAAGCCTCATTTAATCTGAAACTACCTTTAACTACAAAAAATGAAAAAGAAGCTTAAGGGGGAAAAAATAAAATAAAAAAGATGAGAAAAGAGAGACTGGTAATGTTGGGCTGGGCATGTGCCTCTCTGATCATTACTTAGGGCATCAACGTCACCTGCTTTTGTGCTTTTTTCCTCCAAGCTCCCTAATTATTGAGGTGCAGCTCATCTTTCACACAATACAGTTTCTCCTTGGAAAAATTTTTTTGCTTTTGCTTGTGGGTGACTCTCTCCTAATTTCTTTTGGCTGTCTCTCTCATTTTAGTACTATGCAGTGTCATATTTTTCCAACAGGGAAATTGAAAATTTCCAGTTCACTATATAGTGTTAACTGTCAGTTGATAATTCCATATGAAATTACCTTTACTGTAATGAGAGTTAGGAAATTTCTCATCTTTCGTTAAAACAAGTTTATCTTTACTTTTCAAGTAATCGCCACCCACATGTCCATGTTTAGCATAGACATCCAAACAAAACAAGACATGATCGAGTTTCAAAAGATGGGTCCTTATTTGACACAGACTAATTGAATAAAAAGAGGAAGAAGCTTTGTCGGTATCGCCATGGTGCAATTAAACATTTAATTTTGACAAATACTAAACTAATGAAAATTCATTATTCAACTAGAAATCTTTTTTATAATTTTTCTATGCATGTAGACAAGTTAATTTAAAAGGAAAAAGGAAAATTAAATTAAAGCCGCAATATAAGGTTAAAGTGCCTCTCAATCATAAATATAATTTCAACTGAAATCAAAGGTTGCCAGACAGCCTGATCAAGGATTCAAAATCTGGAGTGGCCACATTTTTTTTTTCTGCAGTGAATTACAGGATCACCTTTGCCTCAAAATGATCATCTATCTATGAAAGTGGGTGGAATTGTGGCACTTTTTTTCTTCTGAAAGTAATTGTATGGGCCATTTGAAGTTAGTGGTACTCTGCATTAAGCACGACAATGATAAATGATTGATAATAACATGGTTAAAAAATTGGATGGTATTGTCTAGAAATGGTATAATCATCCTCAACATTCTAATTTCATAAACTGGCCCCCCTTTCTGAACTCACCAAGTCATAAAGCACATGGAGTGATTGGACGAAAGGTTTCATTTACACGATCATATTTGGCGTGTAAGACCTGCTAAAGAAAAGGGTTCCATATCAAGGATTTAAACCCTCACAATTCTTCTTTATTTATGAAATTTTCAACATTGAAGAGAATATTTTGATAAAAGAAGTCTAAATCACTGATGCAACATAAAGCTGCAGGAACCAATGATCAGATGACTTAAAACTATACTAAAGCCTAACTTTTTTTTTTTATACGTATTGTTTCTGTTGAGGATAAATCACCAATCAAGGTCACTTTAGTGTCACCTAACACTGTTGAATTAGCAAGTTTGGAAGATGGAAAATTGATATATTTGGCTTGGAAGATCTTCTTTTCATCACTTCAACAGCTTTTAATCTATCATTGCTTTTAGAGTCAATGAGTTGTAACTTTATTTGAGAAATGCATGTTATGAAACAGCCTCCAAATGGATTTGAACTGATCCAAAATGATTCTATAATCTAAGCTGCCTTTGTCGTTTGCCTTGTAATTATTTTTGCCTTTGATGGGATTGCTTTTGATTGATCTTCTGTCACTTATCTTGGAGTTCAATCTATTTGACGTATAACTGCTATTGATTGTATGCAATTAATGGGTTTTAATTAATTCGTGCAATCTTGTTTAGTTCTTGGATCATGATTTATGAATTATGACCCACAAAGACAATATCAAAAAAATTTCTGGCTTGAAAAAGAAGTATAATTTATGCAAATTACAATCAGGGTGAAGCCAAAAATTTAAGATGGGGGACAAACATTTAGACAACTAATTGAGAGGTAGGAAAATAGTTAAGAGGGAGTTTTAGAAAGCTACAGGTGTTTGGTTTGAACCACAGAAACCCTATTATGAACAGAAACAAACAAGCACAGATGAATATTTTAGTAGAAGAAGGCGAGAAAATAGTTAGGATTTAATAAAAACAGTAAGAAAAGAAATAAAGCACCCATATATCTTTAGAAGAAGCTTATTTATCAGACATTTTAAGTGGGTTCTGCTGCTGTCTACTGGTCCACAACTTCACCATTAGATAACCTCAACCTGTGCTGTTAGTGTTATAGTTTTCTTTTGCGAGTATTTTAGTTAGAAAATATTGGCTGGAATTAGAAATTCTTATAAGAAAGGAGACTGGTGGAAAAGCCTCTGATTGTATGTCACTAAGGATACTTTCTGGTTTAAACAACATCCTTAAAGTTAATACTATGAATCTATAATCATTTTGCTTTGCCAATAATTAAAAGTTGACAATTTTAGTGCTTTTATGCCCCAATTTGGATGATGTTCAATTTACAATTTATGTTTTCCAGTATCCACTATAATACTGTGAACACCCTTCTGTGGCAGAGCTGGGGGCTACCATTTTTTTTTTTTTAATTTTTATTTCACCAATAACTAATAAGGAAATTTGCAAAAATGGAGCAGCATGTCCCCAAATTAAATTAGCATGGAGGTTCAGGGATTACCATATATACTCTCCACCTCCAGATATTATTCCTTGGTTAATTAATGATTCGGTTGGCGTTTCTTATTCTCGTTTAAATGTGTGTGCTGTAGTTGAATTTTTTTTTTTTTTTCTTTTATGCATGAAAATGAGGTTGAGTATAGCCCGATTAAAGGGTCCGATTATACAAACAAATGAATTTTTTCTTCATATAGGATTTACATGTTCATATCATTTGTTTCTTAATTTGAAAAAATAATTTAATTTTTTTTTTGAGCTAATTGATTAAAAAGATTGATTTGTGGTATTATTTTTCAAGCAATAGCTTTTTAATTCATTCTATCTTTCATCTTTTTCTGATAAATATACATATAATATAAATATAGAATGATAGAATTAAAAGCTAAGGAAAAACCTATCTATGTTGTGTAGTCCGTAGTGTTATTTGAGCCCATAAAAGTCTCCAATAAAATTAAAAAAAAAAACATGAAATTCCTGTCCTACATTTAGTTTTTTATTTTTTGAAAACATAAGTCCTACATATAGTTAGCTACTTATGAAATCTTTTTTTTTTTTTTTTTTTTTTTGCTAAATGACACTTGACAGTCTACGCCAGAAATTACTATTATGGGCTGTTATCGTTGCGTTATGCTGTTACGGGCTTTACTTGGAGTTTTTTTTTTTTTTTTTTTTTGTTGCTAAATGACACTTGACAGTCTACGCCAGAAATACTATTATGGGCTGTATCGTTGCGTTATGCTGTTACGGGCTTTACTTGGATAACGAGTCTTCGGCCCAATTCAAACCCTTTGTTGAGCACGGGCACGGCCCAGTAATTGGCTACCAATTTGAATGGAGTATCATTGCTGAACGTCTTCCTCAATCCTTCACTCGGTTTTAGTTTTAGAGCCTACATCGAAGAAAGGAATATCTGGAATTATTAAAGTAGATAGGAGACTACTGATTCTGCATGCGGCATCGTATTATCCCCCAGTCATGTCTGTATTTTAGTGGCTGTTGAAGTCAAACTCGATGATTTTCTCAGTTCCAACTGCTCTCACTCGCTTGTTTGCTCTTTCTGATTCTCATTTTTATTGTCTCTTCAAACCTAGCCATATTCGTATAATTAACAGTACCTTCTCACTCAAGAGGTATCGACGTCGTATTTATAGTACTATGGCGTCTTCAGCCCAACCAGTAGAGTCTGCTGCTGGACAAGAGAAAGTCACTGCTCCTTACGGCTCTTGGAAGTCCCCAATCACTGCCGATATTGTCTCTGGCGCCTGTAAGCGACTCGGTGGTACTGCCGTTGACGGTCACGGCCGCCTCTTCTGGCTCGAGTCTCGCCCTACTGAAGCAGGGTATGTAGTATTTTCTGTCTTCTCCCTGTGACTTTAAACTATCGGATCTTTTATTGATTCTGGACTTTGGTAATTTTTCTTAGACGAACGGTCCTTGTTAAAGAAGCAGAGAAACCAGGAGAGGAACCTGTTGATATTACTCCGAAAGAATTTTCCGTCCGAACAACGGCCCAGGAGTATGGAGGTGGTGCATTTACGATATCAGAGGATTCAGTCATCTTCGCTAATTATAAGGACCAAAGGCTTTTCAAACAATCTACTGATTCCACAGGTGAAAGTTTTCTTCATTTTTGTTTGCTTTTCTGATAAATACTTGACAGTAGTTTGCTGATGTCCTTTTACTTCGCGTGGTATCAGATTCTTCCCCTGTTCCATTGACGCCTGATTATGGCTCACCAGTAGTCTCCTACGCTGATGGAGTCTTTGATTCACGCTTTAACCGTTTTGTCACTGTGATGGAAGGTAGACCATCATGAATATTTCTGTTTGGACTGGGAATTTCTTGCCATGTAGTATTTCTTTACGAGTTTGATATTTTTTCCCTATCTGGATAGATCGTCGTGTAAGCAGTATAAATGCAATTACAACGATTGTAGGAGTCAGTCTCAATGATGAGAATATCCAAGGTATACTCTTGCTGGAAATGAATGCGCTACTTCTCTCATTGTCCTTTTCTTTTCATTCCAGTTCTTTTGCTGATCTTTTAAGAATAGACCTACGTTTTGCAAGGGTTTTTAGAATTGTCTTGGTCATGTTGTTATTTGATTCTTCACTTTATGTCGAGGAACTGACATGGTTCATGTTTGCTTCCTTTTGGGTACTTTGGTCAGAACCAAAAGTATTAATCAGTGGCAATGACTTCTATGCATTCCCACGTATTGACCCCAAAGGTGAACGCATAGCGTGGATAGAATGGGCTCACCCTAACATGCCATGGGATAAAGCTGAACTCTGGGTCGGCTATATTTCTGAGAATGGGTAAGCAATATTTAAAATTTGTGTTTCAATAGATCTTTGGCACTATTCTTGGATATCACCCTGCGCAGTTGGAACATTGTCGTATAATATCTTCTTTGAATATGAGCCATGATCTCAATGATCATCTTGGAGGAAAGACCTTAATTTGCTAATTGTTTTTTCCCTTAATTTCTTGGGTGGGTGGTGTTAATTTTCTTGATCTTGTCATGCAGAGATATCTATAAACGCACATGTGTTGCTGGTTATGATAGTGAACTTGTTGAATCTCCAACTGAACCCAAGTGGTCCGCCACAGGTACTGTTTATTCATTCGATTGTGAATAAATGAACTTTATGTAAATGCTGCTGTAAAATGTATCACCTTTGCGACTGTGATCAAACATATAGCATATATGACTCGGGCAAATCGTCCGGTGCCTTTATCATTTTAGATATGTTATATCTGCATGAGTTTCACCAAAACGCCAAAACGCATATTATATACTGAAAGTAGCAATTAGATGAACACCCTTCACATTAAGGCCCACATTTTGTTCTAAGACAAATTCATGGAACCTAGTGTGGCTCCTGAACCTTTTGTTTGATTTTACTGGAAGCTGTTTACCTTGCTTCATTTATTTAACAATTATTATTAGCATACGTGCAAAATGTCCAGCTATTATATAATTGGAACTCTTTTGGTAGCTTAATGTTATTCCATATGGTAATTCTTTTATGTAAATTCATTCAGGGGAGCTATTCTTTATCACTGATGGAAAAAGTGGATTTTGGAATCTCTACAAATGGGTAAGGTCTATATTTGGAAATTTTGCAATTCGATACATGGTTTTTGCTTTTGCCTTTTCCTTTCACAAATCCGATGAAAGTGCACCAATTAATCATATACGCTCAGTTAAGCTGTTGTAGTTTATGCAATAGGTTAACATCTATACTGAAGCTTTCACTTGTCATACATCATCCTTTACGCTGCAGTCCGTTAATTCATATTTCATAGTTTTCTCATGATATCCTCATATTGTCAATTGGATTTTTTAATGTCCTCTTCTTTTCAATCTCATTTTTTAACTTCCTCTTCTTTTCAATCTCTATAAATTAGTGGAGTAGAGCTTTGCACTTTAGATTTTGTTGAAAGTTACATATTTAAGTGCTATAAAATTTTTATTCTACTACAGTTGCATGTTCTTCTGACACCATTTTAAAATATCACATGATTATGGCAATGGTAATGATGAGGGATTATAGCACCTTACTTGGAAATGCCATAAAGTGTCTGTCTTTTATTTTAGAAAGAGAACCTTAACATACGGAAGATTATGAAATTTCATTTTTTATTTTGAAGATCAGGGGATTATCTTACCAATTGTGTCAGTTAGACACAGTTGTCTGGTCAGTCATTAAATATTCAGCTTCTTATGAATTGATTATTTGTAATATTTTGATTTTTGATGACAGAATGAATCTGTAAATGATGTTCAAGTACTCTATTCAATGGATGCTGAGTTCTCCAGACCCTTATGGGTTTTTGGCATAAACTCTTATGAGCTTATTCAGAGCAATGAAGGAAAGAACTTAATTGCTTGCAGCTATAGGTAACCTGAAACTGCTACTTTCTTTGCATTCTCTATGTACGTGCATTTTCAAATTTGTTTCCTTGCTTATTTTTGGTGAATACTCAAACAATCAATTCCTGAATGTACTGAATGAAGTTTTTGTTGCTTGCTTTCAGGCTGAAGGGAAGATCATACCTTGGTATTCTGGAGTCCGCTCAAAGCTCATTGTCTCTGCTCGATATTCCTTTCACTGACATAGATAACATTGTACTTTCTGAAGCCTTTTTGTTTCTAAGCTCCAGCACGAAGAATTAGAAAGCCATCAAGTAGGTTTTTGCTGATAATTTTCTGAGATGTGTATCTTTTCTCATACAGACTTCAGGGAAGCATTGCCTATATATTGAAGGAGCATCTGCAGTTCATCCGTCATCTGTGGCTAAGGTGCTGTGGACTGCTATTTTTGTTAATTGCGCTCCTTTGCCACTTGTTGTCATTCTAATTCTAGTAGGTTGTAATAGTCAATATTATCAATCTGTTTTCTGTATTTTCAGGTGAATTTGGATGACCAAGGCTCCAAAGTAGTTGATTTCAAGTTCGTTTGGTCATCATCTCCTGATAGTTTAAAGTACGCATCCTATTTCAGCTTCCCACAGTTTATTGAATTCCCAACAGATGTTCCTGGCCAAAAAGCATATGCATACTTTTACCCACCTTCAAATCCCAGTTACCAAGCTAGTGCAGAAGAAAAACCTCCAATAGTATTGAAAAGTCACGGTATGTTGCTTATTCACCTCCTCTTAGATTTGACATTGTGGGTGTACATGGCTAGTTCGCATAGTTTATACATATCTAAGGGATCAGATGGGGAGTGGCTACTAGTTAGCCAACTCTCTGATTCATCATTTCCAATGGTGATATAGCTTTCATAAAAGAAGTTAGGTTTTATTTTATAGAACTAATTAATTGCAATATGGTATCTTTTGGTTTTATGATGCAGGAGCATCCAAATTAAATTAGTTTTAGAAAGAATTAACCTTGTCATTTCTAAGACACAAAATTGGTAGACCAAAAAAAGAGGAGAAGAGAAAACAGATATCAATTGACTTGAAGTGAAGTTTTGTATTTTAAGTGATCACTAAGAAATGGAATACATCAGAGTTTCTGAAGAATGATTTCAGGGGGAGATTCAGTATTAGCATATGTTTATGCTGTTACCATTTGTACCTCACAATTGGGGTTCTAAGGTTTACTACATGCAAATCTTTGCCTGCCTTTTAGTTTTTGTTTTCTATCGAATAAATGAGTAAATTTCTTTACTATTTATCCAAGGCATGTAACTGCAGGAGGGCCTACAAGTGAAACCCGTGGGAGTTTAAACCTAAGCATCCAGTATTGGACCAGTCGAGGTTGGGGTTTTGTGGATGTCAATTATGGTGGAAGCACTGGTTTGTCCTTCTTGTCTGACTTATATCTAAATTCATTTTCTATAGGAAGTCAACAATAGAAAAGATGAATTGGGAAAAATTTCATCTTCATTGATCTGATACATTGAACTTATCACTCAACAGAAGATAATGTTGTTTCACCAATACTTTTGGCCCTGCTGCACTTTTTCTTTCTGAATGAATTTACCGAAGAAAAAGAGAAGTGGGAATATTATGGTCACATCTGTCTAAAAGTTGCGTGGGTATTGTTTTGAAGGTTATGGTAGAGAATATCGAGAACGTTTATTAGGAAACTGGGGAATTGTTGATGTTAATGACTGTTGTAGTTGTGCTAAATTTTTGGTAAGCATTTATGCTTTCAGTACTTCCTGTGTTGTGCTGGATGTACATGGAATAACATTTTCATATGATGTACCATTTTTCATTAAGGTGGACAGTGGAAAGGCAGACGGGAAGCGACTCTGTATAACTGGAGGATCAGCTGGTGGTTATACAACCTTAGCTGCCCTTGCTTTTAAAGAAACATTTAAGGCTGGAGCTTCATTGTATGGTGTGAGTGCTCGATTTTATCCTTATTTCTAGATTAGTAGCATGGTTGATGATATTGCTAGAAGCATTTGGTTGTTCTCTTGGTTACTGTATGCAGCTCAATGTGTGGATTTATCTGAAAGAGGGTTCAAGAAATTAAAGTAGCTCTTGTAATGGTGCCTGCATTTATGTTTTTATCCAAATTTCCACTGTTATTAGTTGTGAAAAAAAGTTGTGGTGTATTTTTAGTGAATGAAGCTGCCTTGAGTTTCTTATATAAAAGAAGTGGCATGTGATATTTCTGCTGAGATCATTTGTAGATTAAGACAGAAGGTGGCATGCCTTTTAGTTTTGATGAATCAACTAACACCCACTTTTCATTGGTGTTGCTTGACTCGGCCTCTTTTTTGGTTTTTAATGGCAATTTGGAATTATGGTTGTCATCTTATGCAAGTCCAATTGAGAATTAAATTTCAGCTTCTACTGAAGCTACAAGCATGAGATGACGAACTCAAGAAACCTGGTTTCAACTTGCATATATACTTCTGATCATTCGATAATCTCGGTTTCGAGCATTTGATAGGTCCATTTTCTGAATGGTTCTACAACTATCTGAAGCATGCAAATAACAATAAAAGATTTGTGTATGATAATTGTTATTGATTTTTTGTGGCAATTTAGGAATATCTTTGAACTTTCTTGTTAATTCTTCTGTAAATTCCAAGTGTTTCCTTATCCTTGTCCTCGAAGTACAGAACTGGTTTTTCTTTGTTCTTTAGTAAGATATTGGTTTTGCATAATGATATGAAGTTTTTATGTTGTGTTGGTTTATGAACAGGTAGCTGACTTAAGCATGTTGAGAGCAGAAACTCACAAGTTTGAGTCTCATTACCTTGACAATCTTGTTGGTAATTCAATAGAAATTCCATAATCATGCAGTTGCTTGTTTATGTGCCATTTACTTTATAGTGCTGAGCGATCCTTAATTGAATGCAGGTGATGAAAAGGCTTACTTTGAGAGGTCCCCGATCAATTTTGTTGTTAGATTTTCTTGCCCTATAATTCTTTTTCAAGGCTTAGAAGATAAGGTACAAAAACTATTTTTTATTTGCTATTTTTCTGTATGTGAAAATGATGGTGAAGGGTATTAATAATCTTGGAATCAGAAACCAAAGATGTTGTACTGGAGTTGTTAGATAGTTTGTGACAGTTTGTTATGCATTCAGAAAGTGATTTTGTTACATTAAAAAAATGTTGGTTGTTTCCCAACCAAACCTTGCATATGGGTTAGTTGCTATTGTCTTTGTTAGTATTCCAGTTAGAGCTGAGCCCTCAGAATTATGAGGACATCCATCTGTAACACCGTTACAGTTAAATTGTCATGCTTGAATGATTTTGTTTTCTTTTTTTAAAGAATTGGTCTATCAGAAATTTTGCAGAAATAAATGTACTTCATGCTTCTTATTTTGGCTGTTGATCATTTTGTTTTAACGCGAAAGTAGGATTTCACATTTCGATTGATCCGTGAAAAAGTAAAACATGCAAATCGAATTGCTGCAACACATTGAGTTAACATCCTGTATTTATAATTTTCACAGTGAGTTAACATATCTTCTCTACATCTACAGGTTGTACCCCCTGACCAAGCTCGTAAAATATACCAGGCATTGAAGAAGAAGGGATTGCCAGTTGCTCTTGTTGAATATGAAGGAGAACAGCATGGCTTCCGCAAGGTATTGTACAAATTTTATATGTCATCTAACCACTAAGATTTTTATTTGCAAGGGAGTATTTCAGCATGATCTCTGATCATTTACAGGCTGAGAACATCAAATTTACTCTGGAACAACAAATGGTATTTTTCGCACGTTTAGTTGGGCAGTTCGATGTTGCAGATGATATCACTCCAATCAAAATTGACAACTTTGACTAAACCTGCGGTATCAAGGTATCTGGTTCCTGGGATTCTGGTATCTGATTTCTTGTGAATATTGTCTGCCATTGGCAAAGATTGATTTCTGTCATCTTTCAGAGCAATCAGATTGCTAGTGATCAGGAACTGGGGGGAACTTGTCTTCTAATTGGAAATTAAATGAGTTTGATAAGCTGTATGTCCATGGAATGGCAACAAGTTTACCAGGAATTAAAAAAAAAAAAAAAAAAAAAAAAATCTTTCAGAGCATATCAGATTGCTAGTGATCAGGAAACTGGGGCGGAACTTGTCTTCTAATTGGAAATTAAATGAGTTTGAATAAGCTGTATCGTCCATTGGAATGGCAACAAGTTTACCAGGAATTAAAAAAAAAAAAAAAAAAAAAAAAAGAACGTCTGAAGCCCTTAAAAAAAAAAAAAAAAAAAAAAAAGAACTCTGGACAGCCCTTTGTGTTCTGTTGCCAGTAACCAGATTAGACTTACTTCCAGTCAATAATTTTTGATATTTACCAGAAAAGTCCTTTGTGACATGAGAATATTCTTAACTGAATGCTGTTTTTGCTTGTGGTTAGCCATAAAGCTTATTGTGAGTTTTCTATGTAGCTGAGGAATCATAAATTTAAATCTAATATCTATTATACGAATTAAATGGTTAGTTCTGATATTATCATGGTTGGTTGGGAGTTGCATTTCTGTTTGAGCTTTTCTTCTGGCTGCTTTGTCAATTTTCAACTTTCCTGGGGCACTCATCGATCATGCAGATAACGTGAACAGTGTCCTTTTGATTTGATACGTATGTCGTCCTTTTGCCAGGTGTCCCAGTTCGTAGCTTTAAAGTTTTAGTTTGCATGGCACGTAATTATCCAATACTAGGACAGGTGGCATTTTACCATCTCAAATTTACTAATTTTGCCCATTATAGGGTCATGACGTTTCCCTTCTTCTAGAAGTTGACAATGCTCGTTCGTGTTCAGACTCAGACTCATTATTTGTATTTTATATAATTCAGTCTGAACAGTTGGTCCGGTTGTTACCGCAGTAGGCTCCGTAAGAAATGGTCAATAATAATTATTCCTATAAAGGCAAAACAGATGTCCTGTTTTTGGTTATTGACTTTGGCTGTTTGAAACTAGCCTCACCAGCACTTTTGACTGATTGCCGAAGCACCATTATTTATATCAACTTACATTTCTTAATTACTAATTATTTAGTAGTAATCTCCTGCTGCATAAAAATAGATTCACTTGTCTTAGATTATAGTTTTATTTTCTTTTTTTAGAGAAAAATATTTTTTACAATGTTGTATTCTATCTCTTTAATGTCTATCTCTATCAATAAGTATAAGTTTTAACTTGATCAGTCTTTTTTTTTTTTGTTGTAAATTCTGTTCTGCATTTTTCAAATGTAAACATGTTATTTACTCATATAGCTTTTAAATAAAATTTATTTAGTTTACAATTCATATACTATAAAGGTTCATATATCATAAATTTATAACTTTTTAATTTGTAAATTGGAATCTAGAATTTGTACTTAATATATTTTTACAAGTTTCTTAATTAAAAGAAATATATGCATATAATAATTACTTTTATTATTTAATTTATAAATTTTGAGATTCTAATTTACTTATAATTAAAGTTCTGCTTGAAATTAAATTTTTATTTTATATATTTCACGCCCTTCACATAATTTAATCTGGTTATATAATCTAATATTTATAGATTATGTATATTTATGCAACTTGCCATAGTATGTAATAGAAGAGTTTGGTAGTTAATAAAGAATTTATTAATTATGTATGATAGTAAAAACTATCAAATTATTTATATATGTAAAAACTGCTCTAATATAATAATTTATATGCATTAATTTTATTAAAAAAAAAAAACATAAATACTAGAAAACAAATTCTAGAAATGTATCAATTAAAGAGCATTATGTATCAATACAAAATTCTTGCTATCTGCACATCAGTGGAAGCCTTTATATGGATAGATTTTGTTTCCTTAGATTTCGTTTATATAGAATAATATGAATGCTGTATATATTCATTTGTTTCCATGTAATAAATATAATTGTATTTACGAAAAATGGAGAAGCAATTGACAAACAACTAATGATATTAATAATATATATTCACTAATGATGATTTTGCGTATCTTTTAGTGCAGAAAGTCATAATGAAATATAAAACATTTCAAACTTGCTTTGCTACTTTTAGCCACGAATTACTTATATTGACATTGTCTTTATATTAAAATTAAATGACAAGTTTATAATTTTTTTTAATATTTAATCCATTTTGTAATGTGGAGAACAATTATGTTAAAAGTTTTTTTTCCTGAAATATTGACTTTATAATTTAATTATGTGATCATGAGATTCATATCGACTTTATAATTCGATTATGTAATCACCAAAACGAACTTCGTGTGCTTTAACGATCCAGCTATATTCAGTTTATCAATTTTTATTACGTTAATAAAAATTTAAAAGTCATTGTTTTAATTTTATTAATGCGCCTATTTGAGTTGGATCTATTTGATTCAAATTGTAGTTATTTTGAAAAAAAAAAAAAAATCAACTATATTAAATATATATTTTGACGGAATAAAACAATAAAAAAGGAAAAAGGAAAACAAGAACTGAAAAAAAATGCATGGTTCCCAAAAGAAAATCTTTTATGTATTGGTAAAAGAGATGAGTAGACAAGAAGGGAACTGAACTGACAATATACAAAAGTGAATGAAATGATATATAACCGTAGGTATATCTGAGCTTTGATGCTATATCAGATATGGGTACAACAATATTTACCATCCTTTTACAATTTCAAGTAAAACAAAAGAATTTCTTAGAGCTCTACAACATTTTTCGTCGACATCAATGAAAAAATTCCATATTGATGGATACCAACTCCATGATTGGTTAACGGGAAAGATTCCCGAAGCCATTTACATGACCGGGATTGAAGGCAAATCTCCCTAGAATACCTTGCTTATATGGCAGGAAAGTTTTCTTCTTCAAATCTTCCGACGCAGCTTTATTCGTCGTGTAATGCAATTCGTGAGCCGAGACGCGTCCCTTTCTTCTTGATCCGGTACTATCCGTGGATCGGAAACTAGTGTTCTTTGTATCTTCAGGTTTCCTGAAGAAAGATGGATACTTAGACCTGAAAGGATCTTTATCCGAGGCTCTTCCTTCAGATGCGCTTCTAAAAAGCAGAAAATCCCTCAATCTCCACTTTCTTGAAGAACTTTTTGTTGTGGTAGAAACCGAAGACGAAGACGAAGACGAAGAAGAATTAGATGAAAGCATTGAACCTTTTGAATTTGGAGCTGCTGTTTGTTGTTTAGCGAGTTCCTGTAACCGTCTTTCGTCTTCTTCCCATGGATATTCAGAAACTCTATATGGAGATAGCGATCTTGCTCCTTTACGGCTTGAACTGTATCCTAATCCTGGAGTTCTCTCTCTTCCTCTATCATCTTCAGTTTTCTTTCGAGTATTCGCAGCTGCTAAAGCAAACGGATCTGATACTTTCTTCTTTCTGGGGGAAAAAACTTCTCTAATAATCTTTTTTCCTTGAGCTATTGGTGATCTAGGTGACCTCGGCGAAGAAAGCGGACTCCTCTCATCTACCTGTAATCGTGGCGGAGGCTTTAATGGCCTGATTTTACCTCCGTCGAAAAGCTCTTCGGCGGTCAGAGAATTCTCCACTAATTCCGACTTGAAATCAAAAGCGAAATCAAAATTATCTCCCATATTTGGAGATTTAGGTGTAGGAGGAATTGAGTCCCAGGCATCATCAAAACGATTATAGAATTCCGCCATACGCGAAGGACTGGTAGGAGCACTGAGAGAAAAATCGCCAAAACGTTTGGGAGTAGATGGAGCACTCAAAAATGGCAGAGGTCGAGCATCGTCGAAGTCGAAATCCATTGTCGGTGGAGGTACAGCCACTTCCATTTTTAACATGTTGAAGTAAGTTTATTTGGTGTTGATGATTGATTGATTTGGAATAGGAGGGAGAGGGAAAGACAGGTTGGGGTTGGCGGGGAAGCAAATAAATATAGAGAGAAGTAGGAAAGAAAAGAGAAGGAGCGCTCAGTGTTATTTGTTGACCATCAAGTCATATAAGATAGGAGCTACCCCCCGCCGCCTTCTAATACTTTACAAACTATTTTTTTATTTTATTTTATTTTATTTTTATTTCACATGAGGAAGAATATGTTTTAAATAATAATAAGAGGGATTTTGAAATTTTTTTTTTTTTTTTTTTTTTTATTCACATGAGGAAATATGTTTTGTAAATTAATAATAAGAGGATTTGGAAATTTTTCTTTTTTTTTTTTTTTTTAATTTTTTTTTTTTTTTTTTTTTTTAAGTTGGTGAGGTGAGGATTGAGTGTTAACCAATGGGTGAATTTACCTTGAAGGGCAAGAAGAAGATGATGGTGACATATTTAATTAGGTCATAATATATGAGATTAAGAGATTTTAAACGTCATTTTCTTTTTTATTAGTATTAACTTGGCTTACAAAACGTGGAGCAAAATGGTAAAAGAAAGGCAGATTTCTTGAAATGATTGGTAAAGGTAAGGAAAAGTAAATCGCAAAGTGTAGTACGTAAAGGTCAGGATTTTTACTATCATTGCCCAGAAGAATGGGACGCACGGCACAGGTACTGCTCTTCTAGAGATGGTCAACATCTGTAACCTTTTACGCCTAAATTTATAAACGAGTATTCTCTTCTGAAATAATTTAATCTTTAGCTCAATAATTATTTTACCGTACTTTGGTTGATGAATAAATTATTATTATTAAAAACTTTTTTACCACAGAAAAGAACACGTGTTAATTAAATTATAAGTTAGATTAATATATTATTCTAGATTATTAGACTTTGCACACACGTGACTCCAATTTTTATGACAAATTTATTTTGGGTTCTCACTTAAACACATCAAATACGTAGAGCTTCAGGCATCCATCTATGGGAGAAGGAAAATTTTGCTAAAACTATATAATTTTTGCACAAGTTGGAGCCTCTTTGTTTGATTTTAACACAGTCAAGACTAAAGTATCTTTAGTTTGTTACAACACTTTTTTTTCTATTCTTCATCTCGACAATTTTCTCCTTTGATTTCGGATCATAGACTTTGATGAAATGATGACACATTTAAAAGAAAACGACATGTAGCATATGCCCAGCTTCGGCCTACTACTTGGCGTTTAAACATGCAATAAAAAATTTATATATATATATATAAATATATATATATATATAAATAATGATGGCAGAAGAAGAATAAATAATAGCCGGCCTTTCCCTTTCTCTCTCTCTCTCTCTCTCTCTCTCTGGTCTACAAAGTTCAGTTACGTTTGTTGTTAAGAACAGGACATGAGAACACGTTGTGCACACTATTCCAAATATCCATTTCTTGCTCTTTTTTTTTTTTTTATGTCATAATTAATTTCCTCTGTTAGGTTTTACACAATATGCTAAAACCGTCTATTCTCAAGATATAATAATATAACAGTATTAAGGATTAAAATAATTAAGCGTCCTTATCAATTATGCACGCACGTTAATTAGTTCACTGCTATCCAAAATATATATATACATATATATAATTAGTTAATTGCTTCAATTTATTTGCTACCCAAAATCCATTTAGACTCTTCTGTTGGATTTTTGTAGGGTTACTGTATTATACTCAGAAAAAAAAAAGACCATCTAGAAGTGAGTTATAACAAGACATATTCCAAGAAAATTATTTTATTGTTCGTAGTGATAGATTTTAAATTAAACCATATTTAAAAAAAAAAAAAAGAAAAAAGAAGACTGTTGATTGAACAAGTGATTGATTAGGGTTTATGCATTTTCAATTGAATTAATTTATAATTCCAATATTTGATTTTGATATGTGCACAATAAGTCTAAATTTGGGGTAGGTTGTTCCTTCCCTGGTCATCTATTAAGTATAATTAAATTCAAGATCCACCCTTTAATTTTCAATTATTTCAACATCACCTAGGTATGATTTTGAATTCAGTCTTTTGCAATAAATACGGCTTGCTCACACAGATAAGCTCTATATGTTTTTTTTTTTTTCTTCTTCTTTTTTTGGATCAGAATTAGCACATCATGCATCCATCTAAAACGGAAGTTGTAAAATGCAAAAATTCATTTATATTAATTCATCAATTCTCATATTTTAAAATTTCTTATAAGTACTACACTAAGACATGTTATAGTGATAAGTATATTCCGACTTAGTAATAGATCTAGGTTCAAATCCACTCTTCCCCGATATTCAAAAAAAAAGAAAAAAAAAATCTTGCAAGTAGCCGAATTTTAATTTTTATGTATATATATTGTTTAAGAATTAAAAACCACTTCAAAGTCAATGATTTTTCACCAATTCAATTGAATTTCAAAGATCTGAGTTGAATTCAATCGTATGATTTTGTTTTGGATTTACATAATTTGTAACTGAGTTGAACATGGTTTGGCTAATGGGCCCTGAATTTTCTTTTGCCATTAACTTAGCTTGTTATACGTCAATCATCCGTGATATGATTGGTCTTTATATCTCTCATAAAAGATGTAGGAAGTAAGAAGTTTCGAGTTCGAGTCTTTTTCACCACAAATGTTATCGCTAACTTGGTGAATGTTATTCAAAGGGGAGAGCTGGTCTGCTGTGTAACCCACAATATTATTTCGACTCGTTAAACTTCCATGTATAAAAAAAAAAAAAAAAAAAAAAAAAAAAACTTAGCTTATTAGGTGACCTGGTCAAAATTCAGCAACTGATTTAATTCTTTTTGTAATTCCTAATGAATTTATATGTAATTTTGGAAAAAAAAAATATTTTCCTTTTGTTTGGGCCACTAGTAGCAAAACTATGGATATATTCTTTATGTCCCTTGAGCTCATTACCCCTAGGCCCAATCTTGGATTACATGAGAAATTTGTTTTGGGCTCTCCATAGTCCAAATGATTAATTAATGGCCTGATGAAACAACTTGAAAAAGAAAATTGTCCTTGTGGCAGGCTGGCTTATTGGTTTATCGTTGGCGGAGACAGGGAAAAGTTTCCTTCCATGTGCAAAAGAGAGGAAACGTCCCATGTTATCTACAGAAATCTCGAGTGAAACAAACAAGGCGCTCCTTAGTCTGCTATCCAGACAATACTTTTATACTTTTTAGGTATTGGGATTACAATCTTCACTCTTACTATAGATTAACAAATTACAAGTTCATCAGGTAATTATTAACTCAAAAATAGTACAAACAAACACATTGATTATTGCTAATTTTTTTACTTTTTGGAGATCTGAAGCCAATCATTTTTGCCCTCTTCTATATTATGAGTCAATTCCTTGGAATACAGACCAATTAGGTTTAACCCAATTTAGCACTACCCTATTAATTTCCAGATCTAAGATATTAGACTCAATTTATTCTTTAGAACTTAATTTTAAATATTTTCTATACATGCCTTTTTTTTTTTTTTTTTTTTTTTTTTTTTTTTTTTTTAATTATTGGGAAGAAATCCAGAATACTATCTATCCTATCAACTCTATCTATAGTCACTGGCCAGAAACGGCTCCAAGCCAATCCTCTTTTATCATAATGAAAGATCAGCAGTGGGTAATTTGACAGTACAGTTACCACGTTCAGGCTTTAGCTTTTGTGGTTGTGAGCTTCTGCGACTGGTGAATAGTGACCCCTTCACTTTGGAAAAAGCCTTTTGTTCTTTGCTTCAATATGGCTGGTTCAGTGAAAGCCCCATTTTCTTCAGAATGGGACAAAGTTTATATTCCATCAAACCCATTAGACAGTTCTCACCAAATACTTGGTCCCACTTCCAATTGTCAGTAACTGTGGGTGCTATGCTCTCCTCCATACGGTCTCTTACTTACGATTCAACAGTTGCAAGAAAAATATAATGGTTCATAGATTAATGTGAAAGCTGCTTCAAAAAGAGCACCAACTTGTCCCAAAAATGGGTCATAAATGGTTAGTTGGGACTTCAAATGGGAATGAAATTAATTGGATGACTGCTTAGTTATTCTTTAACATGTCATACAGAGAAATTTGCAGTATAACTATTTACAGCCAACATTACTTGAATGAAACTGCCATTAAATTTGGAATTTCATTATTGTTTCCATTTTTTAATGTGAATACAGCTGGAAAACCAATTACAGGAAAAAAGTTGTCAGATTCTATAATTTTTAAGTGTTGTCAGATCAAATAACTTAACTAACCAGTAACCACTAATCAAAAACTTCAACATCATCTTTTTCAAGTTGCAGAAAGTTACACTTTTGTCTTGTTTCTACTCCACATAGGAATACAGTACTGCACTGAAAACAAGTAATCATGATAATAATACAAGACTATTTGCAGCATTAAACACCAAGTGGTTAGACCTTTGCATAAGATGTAGATCAGTCGATGGCAAGAAAGATGTCTCAACTCAAGAATACACCACTTTATGACTTGTTTAGTTTCACTTTTAGTGGAAGAGTACATTCTTTTCTTTTCTTTTTTCCCCCTCCATTTTTTACAAATACTTACAAGCAGATGAAATTATACATTTATATTTGATATTTATATTATCCTATAGCTGTGTACAAAATTGAGACTCCAACTTCTTCAAAATCATGTAAACCAAAATGGTAACGAAATTTATTGTGTGCACAAAAGGTACCTAAATCTAAATTCATATGGCATAATTTGGACAAACTGAGAATGGGGCTCGCTTTTACCTCTCTCAAGGCACTTGATTGCTTCTTTCCCTAGTTCACTTGGTAACTGAAGGCAAATCCAGTCAAGCAATGACTCTACATCCTTTGCAAAATCAAGTAAATACCAATCCAACAACTTTGGGATTGCTAACTTTCTTGTTGAAATTCCAATTGCAGCCTGCAAATACTCTCTTTTTGCCACATCCAGTTCATTTTCAACCTGAGATGCAGTGTACACTCTCACCTTCATTTGAAAAGGTTTATTAATCAGTAATTGCACAATTTGATTGAACGAACATATAGATACTCATGGCTGATAGTAGAAGAGAGATTTTATAATTTTAAGAACAAATGTGGGGGCTGAAGTAGGCAGTAGATCACACCAATGAACTTTATGATAAACTTACTGCTGGTGAGGACCAGCTTCCACATGATAGGGCAAATGTGACCAATGGTTCAGATAACTCCAATCCGAATTTGCTCCTTGCTGTCATTTCATCATTTTTTGCTCCCTTTGGAAATGTCTGATGGTAATTCAAGAATGAGAATTAAAAAGTCTTTATTTACAGGATAAGTTTGCTAAGAAGTTGAAATGAGCACCACTTACATATTTTGAGTGATAAGGCAGTCTAAGGATGAAATGTTCAATAGTTATTGCATTTAACAAGTGCCCCCCAACATTTATTGTTGCCTAAGTATTAAGAAACGGAATGGGAAAATACATCAGCTATATGTAAAAAATGTTTGCAAATATTTCTTTCAATTTACATATTTATTTAGAGGCCAAAAATCAGCAAATGCAAATCATTTATAGCTATCAAAAATGGTTATTGAATAGTCCATACCTTTTGCATTAGTGCCACAACAATTTCAGGACTTTCTGGTATTCCATGTTCTAGAAATGCCTGAGCAAGACAGTATAGCAAGTGGCCCTTTCAATCAGTACATGATAAAGATACAGAATTGAACGTGGATGGACATCCAAATATAGAACTTGATATATAACAAACGAGCCCTTAAATTATACAAAGAGAGGAATCACATACATTCATCATACAAGAATTGTAAATGTTTATCCAGAATGCAACCTTCTCCTGATGGGTGAGGTTCTGTAAGTTGACAGAGGCAAGTTTCACCAGTAGAAGTCTGAGAATTCAGAAATTGATTGATCATAAGTACAAGTTTCGAATATAATAGAAAGAATGCAAGAAATCAACCAAATTTCAATATAGGAAAACTTACTTTCGCCTATGAAGTAGAAATAAAGAGTTTGATGTTCGGTTGGTATTAATTGTGCCAGTTTCTATAGCAAAGAAATGCTTATATGGACCAATATCTCTCTTTTCAAATTCTGCACATATACCATAAGGATCACAGCATCTAATTTCTTCACCATTTTCTTGAGATACTAATGTCGATAAGAAAGGTAAACTCTCTGCAGCGCGCCTACTCTTCATTGGGCTCATCCTTAAGAAAATGCTTGATAAGCATTTCACAATGTCCTCAGAAATCTTGTTTGGGTTGTTATTGTCTCCTAATGAGCTTTCATCTGCAGTAGTAACAGTTCTCGCTTCTGCATTTTCTTGACCTATTGTTCTACATTCTAGCTGGATATTCATAGAGTTCTTGTTAATTTATGAGCAACAAAATAGTTAAATTAAAAACATTGTTGTTTGCCACTAACCGGCAATTTCTGAGGATCTAAATGCTTCTCAACTGGTTTATTGTCAACGGGAGGTCTTTTCGCTGGAGTTCTGCTTGTTTGAGCTTTATGGATTGAGGAACTCTTGTTATTCTTCATAGAATTAATACACAACTGATTTTCTTTGCCTTGTCCATCCTCTGAGAAAATACCAGCAAATGGATAAGAAATAAGGTAATTTTGCAGTTCCTGTATCGGCAACGAAATACACATTATCAATGTATCAATGTCTGATAATGTCAAACCTGCTACTTACCAGGAAGAGATGGCAAATGCCTAATTGCGGATGTAGCGGATTCACCTAAATTCCGAGCTATGGTCTTGGGATTTTCTGGTTTGGAATTTTTATTCAAGCACAGATCATACAGATCAGCAAAACTTTCCACATTTTTTTTGGAGCTCGAAATGTAGACAGCTTCTTGGTACAAGTCCTGCCTAAAATGCACAACTTGTTCTTCGAGCCGAACAACCTCCTCTTCCAAAACAGCTACTTCTGCAAGAAGCTCTAGCGTCTACAAAAACTAAAATCCAGAATCAGAATTTATGTTTGAATAATATGCATTTGATAAACGAATAAAGAAAAGAAAAGTATTTGTTAGCTTAAAATTTCATGTTGGCCAATAAATACCAATTGAAACTTGTGGGTCACTTGCTCTTTTTCTCTACACATATCTCCCCATTTGGTTCTTCCATTCTCACGATTCAGTTCCAATCGTCAAATTACTATTTTCTGGTAATTTTAAAATATGTGCAAATGGGTTCCACTTACAGATGATTATTTTTCCCTTGTAGTCTATATTTTAAAAAGAAAGAAAAAGAGAGAGAGAGAGAGAAAGAAAAGGACAAGGAAGAAAACGAAATCTGAGCTAGAGAAAAGGGGGGTTATGAATCACTTACAGCTGCAGGCAGATAAGGAGGAAGGCGAGGTAGAGCGCCCAAAGGTCTGTTGAAAGCTCGCTCTAAAGCTCTGTGAACATTCTCTTCGTACCTGAGCTTCTTCTTTAATTTATCGACCTGCACAATTAGAATTCCAAACACTTTTTTAATCAATAGAAAGATACAGAATTATTCTGATGAATCTAGAATTGAGGCAGGAAGGATAATATCATACATCTTGTTGCAATGCCATTTTCCTCTCTCTGCTTGAGGCTTGTCTATTTATTTTTGCTGCTTTTATGGCATCACTCTGTTCGTTCCCCTGTATTTTTTCAACCTTCCCCTTCATAGCAACAGAGATTGATAAAAATAAGAAAATCATAATAATGCAATCACAATTCACAACTAGCTCAATAAGTAAAGTAAGTGGAAAAAGGAAATCATAACCAGAGAAGGGTGAATAATCAAGGAAATAACAAAAAATTAAAAGAAAGATTATTCAAACAAATCATTATCACAAGGAAAAAATTTGGTGAGTGCAGGGATCATTATGTCCAATTAGAAATCTACATTAGAAAATAAAGTAAAAATATTAAACCAAAGTTTCTTATTCTATTTTAGAGATTTAACGGAAAACCCGTTTTGAATTCTCGTCAGAATTGCCTACTTTATCAGGATTTCCAGGACCCTTCAGCTTCTGGATCGTCCTCATTGTAACGGAAGCCATAGTAAAAAAAACTAAAGAGTTGGACTTCATCGTTTGTAACTTTGGATAGATAGAAACTGTTTTTAAAAACATATAGTAATAATGACAGTAGTAATAGTATATAAAACAAAACTATTGAAAGAATCACACTATTTAGGCATTGATTAAAGTAAGATAAGTTAGCTTACTTTTTCTGGAACTTTGATTGATTTAGTCCTGACTCTTGTATTCATCTTATACTAATATATTTTTCAGGCCCTGTAAATCTGCAGGTCGGATAAAAATAAGAAACCCAATTGGAATAGCTTCTTATAGAATTATAGAACAGAAAAGAAACAGAATTGGAGAACACTATTCCATGCTGAATAGCATTTAAGAAGATAACAGAGCAGATTCATGTTTATACCTTTAACAGAAAGTTCATTCCTTTGAAAAACCCAAGAAACTTCAATGCCTAAAGGTTAACAGTAAACTCAGCAGCATCCGGAAATCAATCCAAGTTTAAAAAAGGAATTCAGTGCTCTCATGTGACATATATATATATATATATATATATAAAATCAATCCCAAGTTTAAAAAAGAATTCAGTGCTCTTTTCATTGACATATATATATATATATATATATGATATATATACAGGACCCAAGAATCAAAATCTAGAGGGATTAACTTGAAAGTCAGTTTCCACTGCTGTATCTTGTTGCTTTATTACCGAGTTGGAAATATATTAAAGGAGGAGTTGCTATGAAATGGGGAGGTTGGCTAAATTGCCAGAGAAAAGGCAAAGATGGGCATCTGGCGCAATATTGGCGCATATATATATATATATATATATACAGAACCCAAGAATCAAAATCTAGAGGGATAACTTGAAAGTCAGTTTCCACTGCTGTATCTTGTTGTTTATACCGAGTTGGAAGATTATATAAAGGAGAGAGTTGCTATGAAATGGGCAGGTTGGCTATGCCAGAGAAAAGGCAAAATGGGCATCTGGGCGCAATATGGCGCCGTACGCTAGCTCCTAAACGCAAACACGCTCTGTTACTTCTCTCTCTGCGTCATCATGAAATAACGTGCACCTTCTCCTTTAAACATTCTTTGATCGCTCTTTTTTTGTTTAGTTCCCATAATGCCCTTGTATAATATCACTTTATCACGAAAACGCCCGTACACGGTACATCTTTATTGAAAATGGCCATACTTTGAGAATAGTAAAAGATAAAATAGTTACTTAGAAAATAATTATTATACATGTTAAATCATTATATATTTAAAAAATTAATTAACATTTAATTCATTAAAAATAATTTATATTATATTTAAATATAAAAAAATATTAAATATAATAATTCTACATTGCCCTCTTTTTGTGTCGCATAATTTTGTTAATCAAACCAGGCCTGAAAGGGAAAGAGAGAGAGATAAACCGGGACCAGAATTTGATTGGCTAAATCCGGAATTGGCTGGTTGCGAAATGTGAACCACCGGGACCGTATTAGAAGGCAAAAGCTGCTTCACTCACATGTTTGCCAACTAAACGTTTTCTTTCTTTCTTTTTCTTCATTTTTTTTTTTTTAAATTTGGGTTCTGAAAAGTTTAATATAAAGGAGGTCCAAGACTTAATACTCCTTATTTAATATGTTGTTTTATTAATCATTTGCTCTTTTTTTTTTTTTTTTGGTTAATTGCATTGTGAATTTCTTCTATATCCTTCTTTTATGATTGAATTTATCTTTTCCATTCATACATTGGTAAATTATTTATATTAACACAAAGAAATTATAAGATGATATTCAAATAAAATTCTTCTAATAATGGTAATTTCAAAATTTTTAAATTTCATTTATACCGATTTAATCTTTTGTTGATTGATTTTTTAAGGAAATTTTTAATTTTTGATGAATGCCTTTCTAGTACACTTTGTTTAACCTAACTTTCAAGTACATTGCTCATAAAAAGACATTCTTGAAATTTATACATGTGATATGTGGTACTCAAAAATAGTTAAATCATTTTATTTTCTTAAAAAAATGCAATTAATGCACACCCAAAATCATGGAAACTGCATTGACAAAATTCTATAAATGTACAAATACATAATTGGAGTGGACAAAAACAAAGGTGAAGCTCAAGATTGGAATCTAAGTACTGTGAAAACCCTGCAAGTAGCTGCAATTTCTACTATCTTGCGTCCTCGTTAAGCTTTTGCCTATCTACCTCTTATCCATTCTTAAAAATCTATCTATATGTAATGTACACTAGCTAGCCTTTTTAATTATACCTAAAGGAAAAAAAAAAAATCTTGTAATTAAAAAAAAAAACAACAACAGTGTGAATATGTGACGTGAGTGGGAGTGATTGAAAAAGATGTATATGTATACTGTAATTCAATGGGTTTTGTAATCATCAATATTTAGTGTACATTTCTATTTGTTTGAAAGGGAAATAGAAAAGAATTCGGATGGGTAGTTAATTGGCAAAGAGCATTTACAGGATTGAACACACCATGACTTAGGTTATATATTCGATTCATTGCAACGTAATCTTTTTCCAGACTAGTTCATTTGTTTCTGAGGGTGGGTGAACGATAATCGGACTTATCATTGACTGTAAAAATAGATACGGCTCTGAACATCGGGTGGAAGTATATATGTATATGTAAAAAAAAGGAAATTTGAAATGATATGCACACATGAAATGGGTTAATGGCAATTGGTGATGTTATGTGTGTCTGTTGTTGGTGGGGAGATGTTATCATGATGGAAACTGGATTTTCAACTACAAATTGCAATGAATTCAGCGTCCACAGCCACGTGACAAGTGACTCTTAAATTATGATATACAGTGTATTAAATCAAATAATCAGTATTAGCTGTTATGATTTGGCCACTATTACTTCTCTAATTATTTTTTTAAGGGTAAGACAACCCAAATCACCTAGATTTGGACAAATAATTTTGCCAAGATTTTTAAGTTATTGTTGGGATTAATGAATGGTACTACTAGTTTATCTAATTATTATCAATAGATTACGCCAACTGATACCGACTAATTGCTTCATTAGTTTAAGAAATTCTAATAAATGGAATTATGGGTACTCCCTCCGCCGAAACATTACAAAAATTAAAATGATTATTTATTATATGTGTCTCTTCGCTTAAATTATAAATGGTACTCTTGACAATAGCAATTCTAGAAAAATTAAATTATAAAATTAATATTTTTGTGCAACTAAAATATTTGGAACCTAGGGAGTAATTTAATTACAATTAGTTAGCGATTTTTAAGTTTAATTAATGATAAATCTTAAATTTAAAGTGTTTATATAATCGGGCAAAGGTGATCTATCATGGTTATGAGTTTATATTAAGGAAAAAGAAGGAAAGGGTCCATGTACACGCTAACACGACATTAATTGCAAGCTGGATTGAAAGACAATGCTAATCGGACAAGTCTTTGTTTCTGAATATATAAATGAAACAAACTTGTGGATGTAGACATAAATCTTACAAAGCCCTAATGTATACTATTATTTATTTATTTATTTTTGCTTAATCTATATGAGATTCTTTCCTTCTTCCATTAATTAAATACTAATGTTTGACCAATCACATTAAGGAAAAAAATCGTAATAAAGAAAATGTAAGAGATTGTTTAAATGCTGGATGCAGCAGAGTCGACATTGAGAGTAAAGACACGTTTCTTTGATATTTATATTTATGTTGTCGTTTAATTTTGTTATTTTTGCATTCATATGATATTCTCCAATAATACAACAATAATGAAACAAGAAAATAGTATATATTAATCATATAATTATTAGCTAGCTAATTATAAATTGTTTTTACTTAATTATACTATATCACCACCAAATTTCAAGATTAATTAAGGAGAAAAAAAAAATAGTGCTATCAAACATTCTTGTGATGTACACAAAATTGAATTAGTACAAATAATTCGGGGCAGGGAAGTTTCATTAAAATGGCAACAAATCAGCAATAAATGCATAGAGTCTTTTGCATGATAGTAATTACGATTTGCTTACAAGGATGATGGAGGGTTCAGATATGGACGAGGCAGTCCATTTTCTCTCAATCAGGATATTAAATTCGAGTTTCGAATATATAATTTTTTTAAATATATGGGACGAAACATTTTGCCTCTTTTCATATTTATATTTATGTTTAACGTAACTTCAAATTAATCGAATAAATATAATTCAAATACCGAATGATTTAAAATAAAAAAATATTTAGGATATGAAATTTAGTTGGATTTATACTATTAGAGTTACAAGATTGTTGAAAGTGCTGGTTCGTGTGATGTTAATTAGTAGGGAATTTTTGTAGAGTAGATTTCTAAATTTGGACATAATGATAACTACAAGTCAAGTCCCCTCTGTAACAGTAACATACGTGTCTCGCATACTATAATACTCCACCACAAAAGGCATCGTTCAACTTTCTTCATCCGCACTGTCTTGTTATATGTACCGCATCCTGAGGCAGCATCTGTGGGGAATCTTCTTCTTCTTCTTCTTCTTCTTCTTCTTTAATGAGAAATATTTATTTAAAATTTTGGACATATTACACAAATAATCATTCATTTGATTCCATATATCATTTTTTTTCTTTTTTTTTTTTTAATTAAGAAACAAAAAATGGAAATGTGTTGTTTACATTATATTATCTTTTCATTATGGTTTCCAAATATAGCTTCAATGAGTATGAGTATAATCAATCCGCTGTTATTATAGTAAATAGAGTATTATATGAAACTTAAATAAGACTTGTCTACTCATACATCCGGCTATTTCATAAAGAGTATTTTAAAAAATTATTACTATTTTATCATTTGTTTTTTCTATAAATGATCAGAAATACATTTATTTGAATTAAAAGTTATTTTTGATTCATTTATATATGGATTCGTGGTGGAGTCTTAATGATATATGTTTAAATGAAAATTTAAAGAATGTATCTAAAATTACATGTTTTAAATAGGTAAATCAACTAATTTCCTTTTATCTTCTGTTTCGAAATTGACAATATCCTGTAGTGTTGAAGACAGCCGTGCAATTACGATCCCAATCCATGGATGGTAACTATTTCCTTCCCATTTGTTGAAGTTAGCAACAAAATCCACAGCCTCTTCTGGACCACTCTGCCACCATTTTCATTACAGAACAAGACATTAGGTCCTACTATAGTACCGACATTAATTTCCATTTTCCTGTTACTAGCTTATGTTAATTACCTAAGCTAACATAAAAATATATTTTTCAAAATAAAAATAGTGAATAAAGCAAAATATATATTTTTAGAAAGTAACGGGCAAACTCAATAACCCAAATGTCCTCTACCAAAAATCAATTATATTTTCGTATAAGAGCTTAAAATGGGGATTTCACCTTTTCAATTTTTGATTGCTTAGGTGCAAGACAACTAGCAAATTTGATTAAGAAGCTGTTATGATGATGCTCCGGATTCTTTAAGGACTATACCCCACCGTAAGTCATCCCTACACTTTCTCTTGTAGAAAAACACCTACTCATTTATCTATATGCATGTCTTCCTAAAAAAAAAAAAAACATATATGTAACGTATAATATTTGTGCTTTCGAAGCTTTTTAGTGTCGGGACTTAGAAGATGAGTTGGAGGTGATGGTCATGCTACTAAAATGATTGTACTGCTTTTTTACCTAAAGCTTATCTATTCCTCTCAGTTAATCTTTTTTCTCTTCTTTTTTCTATTTTATGCTTATATTCTTGATTTGTTCAGTAATATAAAATGTTCAGAGGACAATCTTCAATGCACATGCAATTAAGTTAATCTTGCTAATTTGAATTTAACAAAAGTACAATATATTGATGATAAAGGATTTCTTAATTTGTGTACTGAGGTTATGCGAGTCATATCTGTTCTGTTCCATTTCTTTCATTTCAGGTGTCCTGTCGATGAGATGAGAATAAAATTAATGCGTCAAATGGAATAATTATAGTTCTATCTGTTAAAAGGACAAGGAATCGGCTACACAGAATTCTCAAACAGAGACATAATCATTGAAATAACAATTAATTTCATACATTAACTGCATTAAAAAATTGGGGATAACCATTATCTGTAGAGCAAATAATGGCTGAAAAATCTAGGACATACATAATTCCAGTAGAAATAATCATGGGAAAGTCAAAGGGGGATTGGGTTGGAAGGGGTCCTACTGTTATCTTTTGAAGCTCCTCTCTCTGCATGGGTTTCTGGTGTCTCAACTTTATATGGGCATGAGGCCAAAATAGAACAAGAAAGGGTAAGGGAAAAGAAAAAGTCACTACAGCAAAAAGTCTCTTTTCATCTTCAGATTAAGCTTTAAAACCCACTTTAACTTTGGGGACCTGGGATTATTAGTTTCTGTTTGAAGAGACCTGCAAATCTCCATTATTGAAGAATAAAGCTTAATCTTAAAAGCTGCTTTAGTGTAAATCTGATTTATGACCCAATCAAAATGGAGCAAACAAGTTGGTATTATTTTCCCTAGCTAGGGTAAAATAGCTCACTTTAATTTGCTGTTGCCAGCTGGCATTTCTAGGGTTCATTCTTTCTAAATGGGTTTGTCTTCTAATCACTAGACAGGACTATAACTACAGAGATATAGAATCCATGCCAGTAACTGTTACATGTGCATTTTATAAGCAGACATAGTAACTTCCATTATCATTATATTTAGAATAGTTATGGAGTTATGGCATCCTGTGTTTAGATAATAAAATAGGTGAAATTCTGAAATCTCTAACTTAATTTGTATGCACTTGTTGTTCAAGAGACCAGATTGTCCAAAATAGAATAAAAAAGAAATGGGAAGAATATAGCAAAACCAAAAGTCATTAAATTTGCATACCATTGACTAGTTATCTGGTTCTCAAAATTTCACACTTCCATGGACTTAATGAAGATTTATGGCAGAAAACAAGCAACGAGACAAAAGTACAGGTAAAATCAGATTTATAAATCTGGAAAGCTGGATCAGTTGTATATAAAAACAATCAGTGTCGGTTCTTTCTCTGTTTAGGTTCAGCCAACAGTACTTCCTCAGGATTTGGTAGGTAGATCTTCTCCATTCCACACTTGAACTACAAGAATTTGAGAGTATCTTTCTCTTTAATGTAGTCCATGTGCATCTGTTGAAAAATTACTAAATAATCAAATATTTTTCCCTTTTCTTTTAAGGAAAAAATTATGATGAACTGGGAATTTATAGAGTGAAAAAAATTTTTTTTTTGAGGCATGCCTCTGCACCTGCAGGTTCAATTGATTGTATTTTCCTGTAACCAACCAGGGATGGAATGATGTAGCAACTAGCAAGAAAATTATTATTGTTATAGCAAAGTGTGGGTGCCTTCAAATTTTATGAAGTATGACAAAGACTTGAGCGTGGGAGGGCCATCTCCTACTAACCTCTCCTTTAAGAGCTATTAGACTACTATCATCCTCAACTTAATTTGTAGCAGAAACACAGAATTAAAGGTTCTTGGAATGATGATTCACAAATGGGTTTCAGTTCACAGTTAAGAACTGTAAGTTGAAGAATATTTAATATCATAATTACCATGGGAAATGCAAGAAATTATCATTGAACTCAATCATATAATGTCCAATTTGATACCTTCTTAGCCTTTTAAGACTTGCCACTTTCATAAGATGTGCTAGAAAAGAGGAACTGTAGCAGAAAGATACCAGTAAAAGCCACCCATCAGAAAAAAAAAAAAAATTTAATAAAGTGGTCACTTGCTTTTGAACAAACGAACAGTTTCAGTTCTTGCATAAAGAAAATAACAACACAAGGTTCAAAATTGAGCTCTCATTTTATCATAAAACAGTTAGCTATTTCAACAAATACCCCATTAGAATGGCGTAAGAGAATCTCAGTTCTTTCAAGAGTCACAGATAAAGGGCAGAAAATGAAGTCTGTCTTCTGGGCTCAGTTTGCACAAGTTTAACGATGCAAGTTCTGAGAAATATGTCACACACGTGTTACATTTACAGCTTCTCAGAAAAGTAAAGTTGGTGAGGACCTAAGAGGAAAAGAAGAAAGTAAAAGGGCAAGAAAAGTGTCCTGTGGAAAAATTGAAGTGGGGAAATATGGTAAAGAAAGTAGAATCCACACACAGAACAAATCCATGGAGGAGACATAAAAATCCATAGCAAAAGCTAGATTAATGTCCTGATGGGAGAGCTCTCATCTTTTTGTAATAAGGGTTTCAATCCTGCTGCCCTCACCGACACATACATAAAAGTTACATTTAAGTTCATCTAACTTTCAATCTCTACTCGTTCAGATTAAAATAAAATAAAATTTGCAATCTCTTAAAGATAGATAAAAAAAAAAGCAATACTTAACTGACCCAAAATGATTAGTTCATGTGCTTAGGATTTTTGAAAATTATGCTTATTTGGGTCTAAGCTGGTTGTGGCCTGTGGGCTTTGAAAGTAGATCTGATTATGGACATTAAGCCTAGCTTTGTACGGTCTATAATTTTAAAGACCAAATAGGCCAGCCCACCTGTATTCCTTCTCTGCTCTCTTGAACTGTCGATTCTATGAATGCATCTCAGCTCCATAGAGAACTAGTGATTTTCCAACTCTACACAGAACGTCATATTCCGGATATACGGGTGGTTTCTCCGGTGATGAGATGGATAGAAGTACTGAGCTGTTGGAGGGCATTATTGGTTTTACAGGAATCACTCTTAGTCAAATTGGGACCAAAAGGTACTTTCGGTAGGCCAATCGCCAACCAGTACATATGATATCCGAGTTTGAGCCGACCCGGTCGATAAACGACCAAGAAAAAAATGTTAGAAATGATCGGTCATTTTCTGTAAATGCAACGGTTGTCGTTTATCTACAAAAAGTAGAAAAGTCGATCCACCGTTGTCTAGCTGACCTGTTGCTCGATGCCAGCGAGTAAACGACTGAAAACTACGATTGGGGTTTTGCGTTTTGTCATACCGTGACATAATGGGCTTTCGACTGCCCCTGACCCAATATGAGGACCGTAAGTTGGTAGAAAAGTTAAATGCCAAAATGCGGTGAGCGTGGATCAAACACGCGACCTTCAGATCTTCAGTCTGACGCTCTCCCAACTGAGCTATCCCCGCTAAATGGTAAAGTTAGAAGGATGGCTAGTATTTGAGATTAATGCATGCACACACCAGTTAATGAAGTGCTTTTAAAATTTAATACTGTTTTGCCTTTCTTTTTTCTTAATGAATCATAAAAATACCATTGTTACAAACTTACAATCGAAAATTTATTTATGATCAGTTTGATGTATGCGTAGACCTACACCAGGAGTAGTTAATTTTTCCTTAGAGCTTGCTACTTCCTCTAATTTTTAGAATATAAAGGAATTATCTCATAGAATTTATAAGATAATCACTGGTTGTAATTTTATTAATCTTGTTTAAGATAAAAAAAATTTGCAGTATGTAACTAATATAATATTTTACTTCACAAATTCTAGCAGTTAAAAAGATGGTTCATACTCTTTTTCCCACTTGTTTTGGCTATTAATCTATGGAAAAAAAAAAAAAAACGGAAGATGAAATAAGACTGAAACAGAAAAGATAGAAAAGCATAAGCAAAGAAAATATTCTTCTTAACTTTATACGTGAAAATGTCAGCTTTGTGAAATCCAAAACCAATTTGCCCTTTCTGCAAATTTTTTGGGAAAAAGTTAAACCCTGTTAGAAAATTTATTCTCCCATCATATCTTTTACAGTTAACATGAAGGAACTCTCCTTAATGATTAACAGAACCAATGGATATTTTGATTTTGTTTGACAGGACCATATATTCGTCCTTACAGCTTGTTCAATGAAAATTTCAGTTTACATTTTAAACAGATTCTGTAACTACCAAAAGCACCAATTCCGTTTTATGAGAACATTATGTGATATATTATTGTGTTTGGAACTATGGGTGTTGATTTGCATTCTTTTTGGATTAATTAAAGAACCAAAAAAAAAAGCCATTTCCTTTTTCAAATTCAGACATAACAACTTCAAATATATAATGCAATAACATGTTCCTTGTATTACCAAACAAGAATCCATTGCTGTCGTGAAACAGAATCCCTTTGTATTAGTACTTTTAACTTTCTGGCAACAAGAAAATGAAAACAATAAATCTCAAATCATTCTTGCTATTGCTGCTTCTCTCTTTCCACGTTCCAAGCAATGCTAACCAGATCAATACGTTCCGCAAATTTATTAGATCTCATAAACGCAATGCTGCTGATTTACACACTGAGACATGGAATGAAGAAGCGTATTGGCTGTCATCGTCTGTATGTGTAGGACGGCAAGATGGATTAATGAAAGCCGACAAGATTGATAGTTTGCCAGGACAGCCTCAAAGGGTGAATTTTGATCAGTATGCAGGCTATGTTACTGTTGATCCTAAGAATGGAAGAGCACTGTTCTATTACTTCGTTGAGTCACCTCACAATTCTTCCACAAAACCACTAGTTTTATGGCTTAGTGGAGGTAACAGAATAGCATACACAACAATTTTATTTTTCTTTTTTTCTTTCTTTGAATAGCAATTATGGACCATTAGAAAGAACTCATTTCTGTTTTCTTAGTGAGCCAAAGACAACATTTAATTGTATGCTAATAAATTTAATTACCAATATATTTAAGACGTCGTTCTATTACTGTTTTTTTTTTTTTTTTTTTTCTTCACAAACCACTAGTTTTATGGGCTAGTGGACCTCGAAGGTCAACAGTAATAGGCTACACAACTCAATTTTTTTATTTTTCTTTTTTTATTTCTTTGAATAGCAATTATGGACCATTAGAAAAGAGCTATTTCTGTTTTCTTAGCTGAGCCAAAGACACACATCTGTAATTGTTTAGTTATGGCTAATTAAATTTACATTACCCATGATTATTATGACGTGACGTGATCTCATTACGCGATTACTGTTATTCTTTTTTTTTTTTTTTTCTTTTCGTTAAGGATTATATAATAGGCTGCCAGGATGCTCATCTCTCGGATATGGAGGCCCATGGAAGACATTGGGACCTTTCGAGTCAAACCAGTGATTGAACAGACCAGCTGTATAGCAGAAATGAGGTCAGCATGCATGGACCCAACCGGTAATCAATATTTAAAAAGCGCCTATTGTTCCATTAATTTTCGTAATTTCAGATGTCACTCAATATTTTACGTATTACATCTGGGGTGGGGGCCCCCCCTTTTTTTTTTTTTTTTTTTTTGTAAAATTATATAGGGCCAGGATGCTCATCTCTCGGATATGGAGCCATGGAAGAATTGGGACCTTTCAGAGTCAACAGTGATGGAAAGACACTGTACAGAAATGAGTATGCATGGAACAACGGTAATCAATATTTAAAAAACGCCTATTATCTTAATTTTGTATTTCATCAAATTTACTATACATCTGCAATTAATGAATGACAAAATTTGACAGTTGCAAATATTATCTTTTTGGAATCTCCTGCCGGAGTTGGGTTCTCGCATTCAAATACTTCCTCGGATTACATCACCGGCGATAAGAAAACAGCCGAGGATTCTTACACTTTCCTGGTGAACTGGCTAGAGAGATATCCACAATATAAAAATCGTGACTTTTACATAACAGGAGAAAGCTACGCTGGACATTATGCGCCTCAGCTTGCTTAAACAATTCTCTTCAATAATAATAACTCGAATCAAACTAAAATCAACCTCAAAGGCATTGCCGTGAGTTTAATTAAATTCCATGTAAATTAAGTGCCTCCCTACAAATAATCATTCTTTGCTTAAATCTTACCTAAGAAACTGAGCTATTTCCACAGATTGGAAATGCATGGATAGATGAGAAGACGGGCATAAAGGGAACATTTGATTATTACTGGACACATGCTCTGAATTCTGACAAAACCCATGCAGGCATAAACAAGTATTGTGATTTTGTTACTGGAAATTTCTCAAACATCTGTCATCAATATCAGAACTTAGGTGACGGAGAAATTGGCAATATTGACAATTACAACATTTACGCACCACTCTGAGATCAATCTGAACAAAATTCTGGATCAACCGGTGCTGTAAGTATTTCATGAACTTTATACAATCAAAGCTGCAGCGGAAAAATAATCCTGGATTTTTTTTCATTAGGCCAAAGGTTTTGATCCATGCTCCGATAACTATGTATACTCGTATCTTAATCTTGATGAGGTGCAAACGGCTCTTCATGCAAAGCCCACAAGATGGGAATCCTGCTCGTATGCACTGAACTTCCTCATATTTATGAACTGTTTCTTTCAGCCGTATGCTTGTAAAGGACTAAATTGGTTTGCACCTGGTATTTAGGGGTCTTGTAAATTTTACAGATAGCCTACCAACAATTTTACCTACGATAAAGCAGCTAATGGCCAGTGGAATTAGGCTCTGGATATACAGGTTAGCTAGTCAGCCCTTTACAAGTTCTTTTAAGAATTATTTTCTCAGAAAAAAGCAGACAACTGAACAATGAAGCTCCATTTTGTTTCGTACAGCGGGGACATAGATTCAGTAGTATCAGTAACGTCATCTAGGTATGCCATAAACACCTTCAAACTTCCAATTCATACAGCTTGGCGCCCATGGTACACCAGTGAGGTAATATTTGATATTTGAAGCTCATTCATCATTAGAACCCAAAGCAATAACTAGTTCGTATCTCTTAGTATAATTACTTTATGATGATGATGGCAGGTTGGAGGATATGTTGAGGAGTACAAAGGACTTACATTTATCACAGTTAGAGGAGCTGGTCATGAAGTTCCAAGCCACCAACCAGAGCGGGCACTAGCCATGATCTCATCTTTCCTTCAGGGAAAACTTCCCTCAGAAAACCATTGAAAGCCATTCCTCATATAGGCCATAACAGTTATAGTTTAGAACTTCAGATTCTGTCGTTGGATTTCAAATAACTCTGCTTTAAATCCTGCTAAAGTAACGAAAATATGAAGACATATGTATTACAATTAGAACAAAATTTACAAGCTGTGAGTGAAATAATCAAACTAGCCAATTTTTGTGAATTGTATAATTAAGAATTATTGATTCGATGAAAGCATATCAAATGCCATAGGAAACGAGTATTTTCCAACGTAAACGAACACCACTTTTCTGAACATATGAACTGTTTTTCAGGTGCGCAAACAAGGTTTTTCTTTTTTTTTTTTTTTTTATGATGAGACGGAGAAGAGAGAAAGTAATGAGCTTTCATCGGGTATTACTGGTTTTACAGGATTTACACAGTCAGTCAAATGGTGGTAGAAAGGTACTTCCGCTATGTCAGAGCCATCAATTATATCCGTGTTTTAGCTGACCTGTCGTTCAATGATTAAGACAAAATGCCGGTCATTTTTTGTAAACACAAAGTTTGTCGTTTAACTACAAAAAGTAGAAAAGCCGATCGACTGTTTGGACAGCGAGCAAACGACTAAATTCTCATTTTTTATTAGTTTAGCGTTTTGCCAAAGCGCGAAATCCTAGGCCTTTCGTGATAAAGTGGGCTTTGGACTGCCTATGGCCCAATATGAGTATATATCCTATTTAAACTGGCCCAATATGGGTATATATCCTAGGCCATAACAGTTTTATATTTATATATGTAGTGACCTACTCCTTATTTAAACTGGCGCCGCCAATTCGCGGCTATATCTCCTAGGCTCATAACTCAGTTCTTTAGCTACTTTATATATAGCTAGTATATATATATTATATATAACTGCAATATATATATATATATATATATATATATAACTGCAATATGTAATTAATATTGTACTTTACAAATTCTAGCGGTAAGGTTAAGATAAGATGGTGCGAACAGCTTCACCTACTCGTTTTGGCTCTTACTGATGGATTTTGGCCAAAATAGGAAGATGATTCAGTACAAGACTGAAACAGAAAAGATAGAAAAGCAGGAGCAAAGAACATATTCTTTCAATAATATTTGGGAAGCTATGGGGGAAAAATTACACCCTGATAGAAAATTTATTCTCCCGTTAATTATATCTTTTATACAGTTAAGAGGAAGGAAAGGAGCTATGCTTATTGATTAACCTAAAAGGATTGACTGGTATTAGAAACAAGGTGGCGGATGAGAAAATTGATTTATTTGTAATGATTTAAACGTTTGTAAGCAATCGAAAACTGCCCATTGCCAAGTGACTTAAACGATAGGCAAAAGATGGATAAGACTTAAAAGAGAGATAAAAGATAGATAAAAGTTAAAAGAGTGCTTTTGCTTGAATCCATTAATATCTTTTGCTTGGATCATGTTGGTTTTATATGATAGCAACTGGTGTTTCTGCTCAAAGTTCTTCACGTCAAAGAAAAGAATATTATATATACACTTAAATCTTAATACCAATAAATGGAGGGATATTTTGATTTGTTTGACACATGAAACTTTCAATTTTTACCTGTTAAAACAGATTCTTCAACTACCAAAAGCAAGATGAGATGTATTATGTATGGATTTTCTTTTGCCAAGCTTGTTAGATTAAAAGTAAAGAACTAAAATAAGTTCCTTTTCTTTTTGAACATTCAACTAGTATATCCAAACAAAAGAGATGACAAATTCAGGCATACCAACTTCAAATATATAATAATAATATGTTCCTTGTACGACCAAACAAGAAAGAGAAGCCGGCTCAATAAGACATAGGTAATTGCTAGAAATTGGAACTGAATCCAGTAGTAGTAGTGTCTCAGTACCGATATATAAATAGCATTGCTCTCTAACTTTCTGGCAACAAGAAAATGGAATTAATAACTCTCAAATCATTCTTGCTATTGCTGCTTCTCTCTTTCCACGTTCCAAGCGATGCTAACCAGATCAACACCCTCCGCAAATTTATTAGATCTCATAAACGCCATGTTTCTTTACACACTGAGCCCTGGAACGAAGAAGCTTACAGGTTGCGGTCATCGGTATATGTAGGACGTCAAGATGGATTAATGAAAGCCGATAAGATTGGTAGTTTGCCAGGACAGCCTCAAGGAGTGGATTTTGATCAATATGCAGGCTATGTTACAGTTGATCCTGAGAATGGAAGAGCACTGTTCTATTATTTCGTTGAGTCACCTTACAATTCTTCCACAAAACCATTGGTGTTATGGCTGAATGGAGGTAACAGAATTCTTTTTTTCTTAATTTGAATAGCAGTTATAGACCATTAGAAAGAATGATCTTGTTTTGTTAATGAGAGATGAAGGTAATATTTAATCCTTGCTATTATATTTATGACAAATCGGCGGCTCTATTGTTTTTTGGAAAAAAAAAAAAAAAAAAAAATTGGAATGTGCGAAGGCGTAAACCAGGAATTTTCTTTTTTTTTCTTAAATTTGAAATGCCAGTTACTAGACCATTAGAAGGAAATGATCTTGTTTGTTAATGGAGAGATGAGGTGAATATTTTATATCGTTGCTATTTATATTTTATGGACAATCGGGCGGCTCTATTGTTTTTTGGAAAAAAAAAAAAAAAACAGGGCCAGGCCAATGCTCTGCGTTTTGGATATGGAAGCATGGAGGAATTGGTGACCTTTCAGAGTCAACAAAGTGATGGAAAGTCACTGTATCAGAATACAAATCATGAAAAAAAAAAAAAAAAAACAGGGCCAGGATGCTCATCTTTTGGATATGGAGCCATGGAGGAATTGGGACCTTTCAGAGTCAACAGTGATGGAAAGACACTGTACAGAAATAAATATGCGTGGAACAACGGTAGAGTAACAAAACCAACATCTTAAAAGTGCGTACTGTCTTAATCTTCTTGTTATCTCTAATGAATGACAAATTTGTTAGTTGCAAATGTTATCTTCTTGGAATCCCCTGCCGGAGTTGGGTTCTCGTATTCAAACACTTCCTCGGATTATATCACTGGCGACAAGAAAACAGCAGAGGATTCTTACACTTTCCTGGTGAACTGGCTAGAGAGATATCCACAATACAAAACTCGCGACTTTTACATAACAGGAGAAAGCTATGCTGGACATTATGCACCTCAGCTTGCTTACACAATTCTCTCCAACAACAATAACTCGAATCATACTAAAATTAACCTCAAAGGCATAGCGGTGAGTTCAAATTACGTATAAATTAAGTGTTACGCATAATCATTCCTTTTCTTAAATAATTAAGAAGCTGATCTATTGACTGCACAGATTGGAAATGCATGGATAGATCAGAACACCGGCTTAAAGGGAACATATGATTATTACTGGACACATGCTCTGAATTCTGATGAAACCCATGCAGGCATAACTAAGTATTGTGATTTTGTTACTGGAAATTTCTCAAACATTTGTTATCAATATCAGGACTTGGGCGACAGAGAAATTGGCGTTATTGACAATTACAACATTTATGCACCGCTCTGCGATCAATCTAAACTAAATTCTGTATCAACAGCTTCTGTAAGTATTTCAGGAACTTTTTACACTCAAAGCTGAACCCCAAAAAATAATTCTGGATTTTGTATCATTAGGTCAAAGATTTTGATCCCTGCTCCAGTAACTATGTACACTCGTATCTAAATCTTACTGAGGTGCAAAAGGTCCTTCACGCAAAGCCTACAGAATGGGATTCTTGCTCGTATGCACTAAACTTCTTCATGTTTATGAACTCTTTTTGCCGTATGCATATAAAGGACTAAATTCGTTTCCACCTGGTGACTAGGGTTGTTCTAGATTATACAGACATCCCTCCAACAGTTTTACCTACGGTAAAGCAGCTGATAGCCAGTGGAATTAGGATCTGGATATACAGGTCAGTGAGTCAGCTCTTTACATTTTTTTTTTTTCTGAGAAAAAACTGCCGACCAAAAAATAAGCTCATGTAAAAATGCTATTTCATGAAAGAACATATTCATAAATTTGAAAAATGTTTGTTACATATAATAAATTATTATATATCCAATATTCCAAATACAATTTCAATTTATAATTTGTTGACGCTGAAGAAGAATTCATATGGAATAATTATTTACTGTCCTTATATTTGCCAATATTTCAAGAGCCGAAGAAGAATTCATATGGAATAATTATTTACTGTGCTTATATTTAATACTATTTCAAGAACCAAACAACACACTAACTAATACCTAACCATGAACTTGAAAATGAGTCATGCAGCGGGGACACAGACTCAGTAGTATCAGTAACATCATCTAGGTACGCCATAAACAACTTCAAACTTCCAATTCATACAGCTTGGCGACACAATGAATTGAAAGATAGAGTTCAAAATGCAGCGGGGACACAGACTCAGTTGTATCAGTTAACATCATACTAGGTACGCATTACAAAACAACTTCAAATTCCAATTCATACATCAAGAATTCATATGGAATAATTATTTACTGTGCTTATATTTAATACTATTTCAAGAACCAAACAACACACTAACTAATACCTAACCATGAACTTGAAAATGAGTCATGCAGCGGGGACACAGACTCAGTAGTATCAGTAACATCATCTAGGTACGCCATAAACAACTTCAAACTTCCAATTCATACAGCTTGGCGCCCATGGTACACTAGCAGTGAGGTAATATTTGATATTCGAAGCTCGTTCATGATTAGTACCCAAAGCAATAACTAGTTCGTATCTCCTAGTATAATTACTTTATGATGATGATGGCAGGTTGGAGGATATCTTGAGGAGTACGAAGGAATTACACTTATCACTGTTAGAGGAGCTGGTCACACAGTTCCTAGCTACCAACCAGAGAGGGCCCTAACCATGATCTCATCTTTCCTCCAAGGAAAACTTCCCCATAAAACCATTGAAAGCCATTCCTCATAGCAGTTATAGTTTAGCATTTCAGATTCTGCTTTAAATCCTGCTAAATAAAAAAAAAATTATAAAGATATCTGCATTGCAACTAGAATTAAATTTACAAGCTTTGCGTGAAGCAACCTAATTAGCTGAAGAGATCGGCCAATTTTTTTTTTTTTTAATTTCATATTTAAGAATAAATCCACGGTAGCATTATCAATACAAATTAATACAAAATCCAATATCCTTGTGAGATTTTGAATTGCAAATATAAATTCACATTATACATCATACTTGAGACATGTAAATAAACATTTTAAGGTGTTGCCCTGGGCATAGACAACAGAGCTTGGCAACGTAAAATATCATGACATAAAACATTAAAAACACGATATCAAAGCATTGCAAGTCTTCGAAATATTCAATGGGATGTTATTTATTATAAGGATATAAGTGAACAAAAACAATGTTCATAACCTCAACCCTATTAAAATCTCACTTGGAATCAGCAGCTCAAGAGTGGAAACTTTTTGCAAGTGTTAACAAATATACACTGATTGATATGGAATTCTAGCTAAAATGATAATAAATAAATAAATATATACTACAAGTCGAGAGGCTTCCTTTCCAGCAATTTCATCAGAATAGCTTTCTTTGCAGCAACAATCTTTAACGATTTTCAGACTGACCTTCAAAGAGAGCTCCTACTAACACGAGCTCTCTTAATATTAAAACATTGTGCCCCTATCTGCTTGCTGTTTGCAATGATTTCATCCTGTGCCATGCAACCACTTTTTGCAGAGCTTAACATTTTCAGGAAGTGCATCAATCTCATGCCTTGTGGCTCCTTGTCAACCTGTCGGAGAGTGGATGCAAACTAAAGAGAAAGAGTACAATGATTAACGATACTAAAAAGGCAAAATGGGAAGAAAGAAAGAGCGAAAGAAACAGCAGCTACCTGAGAAACTTCAACTTCTAGGATTCATCGTGCGTGGATGTTCCCTCCAAGGCTTCAAGGATGCTACCTACCCACCTACCAAGGAAAAAATTAAGGGTGTCACAAATTAGTCTAGCATCCCACTTGGAAGATACCAGGTACCAATATTCTAGAAAGATTAGCACGAGAAAAAAACAGGTAAAAGAGTGAGGAATACCCTTCCAAACTAGGATGCACTGGAAAGTATACATTTTTCAAGCCCAACCTTCTTGCCGCTGAAGCAGTTGTCTCACCAATGCATGCCACTGAATTGTTCCACTGCTCTGATTCTGAAATAAGGTTGACCCAGGCACTGTGCAATTGAGGCATATGAACTAAGTACATAGCATAGAACCCTTGACTTATCTAGGCAGCTCAAATTGTAGGAGATAGGGGTGGATTGCCATAAATCTCTATGGAGCAAAGGTTTATGGCAGAAAGGGCCCGCAAGTTGAATCCAAGCAATCCTCAGCAACAGGGGAAACCAGGAAAAGGAAGGTAATTTCAATTAACTCTTAGGGAACTAATTCCTTCCCCATTCCCACCCTTCCCACTAAGGCAGGTGCCACCCAGGGAGCTCAAGTCAACCTAATTATCAAGTTTGTAAAAAAGGCCACTAACTACTTACCGAACTGCAGAAGGAGAAGCGACAGCAACAACAGGGCAAGAAAGTGCCTGCTTCAAGACCATTTGGTCAACGTGATCAACAGGTACCTGTCAGATAAAATTACAAATGATGGGGCTGATGAAAGATCGTTCATTTATCCATGTCAGTCCAATTTAATAAAGTGCATGTGAGGTCTTAGCTAACCTAGGAACATAGCAGATAAAGACGAGCATAAGAAAGCTAATCTCTTAAAAACAACAAGGTAAGGTGACAATATGGAACTCAGAGGCTAAAGACCACTAAAAATATGCTGCTAACCCTCATGAGGATTGAACTTGCCCAACAGAAAACATTCAGTTATACTGTATATGCCCAATATAATTTAATTAATTTTTAGGTTCTTAAGGCAGTTTATTGAAAAAGTGGATCTTAACTTAAAAAGTGAAAGAAACACCCTTGAAACAAAAGAGCTTAACTCACTCTTGTGTTAGTACCTTTCTCAAGTTTGAGAAATATTGGCAAATGAAGTCATGAGAAACATTAAAATTTTGATGCCTAGCATACTAATAAAGTTTTCTGAGAAGTCAGTAACTGGCCACGCATCAATTAATTACCAACACTATTTCAGATAAAAAGAACACATTAGATAAAACAAAAAATAAAATTACTTATATCATATCATAATGCACATATTTCCAAGTACTAAAGTAGAATAACTTTATGCCAAGTCAGAGCAAAATGATCCACCAAAGTTGAAATACTTACTGTTGTGTATGTGTTTAGCCTTACTACCTCAAATCCACGATTAGACAGGCCTTCCTCTGAAACATAGTCAAGTGAAATGTTCTAAATAATAATTTTGCAGCTTCTCACATATTCACATCATATATGAGGCATGTAAAGGCTGCAAGTCAACATACGACATGCTAAGTACGTAAAACTGATATGATTCTAGCTAAATCTAATTTCATTAATAAGATCAATCATGATATAAAATCACCCGGGATAAAAAGTCAAATGTTTGTGAAAATATTTATGATAAATCTTAAAACGTTGAAGACCGAGAAGGTTAGCTAGGAGCCCAGTAATGAGATAACTTTGGCACCATAAATTACAATTTAGTATTCAGCAATTGAACTAGAGAAGAAGCTCCTATTATATGCAGAGCAGCAAAGAAATACTAAAACCAGTAAACTCTAACAGTTTCCAAAACTAAATAGATACTATTAGTAATCATGCCAACAATGACTTCAATATAAATGCTACTTATCAAGAAAGCGAGGGAGACCTCTATTCTGAAAAACATTAGAGCTTTTTGATCAGCTAAACTCTAAGTTTGATCTGCCTAGAGCTATTCACAGATGACCACCACAACACTGCCTTCGATGGTTATAACTTGAATATCTCACAGTCCTTTTTAGCTATAACATAAATTACAAAGCGCCAAATGGAAAGTATTATTTGCAGTTGCATTTCAGAATATAATCAATTCTCACGGGTGCTCTATTTTCTTTTCCTATTAGGACAGCTTGGTAGTTAAAGCAACAGAAGTAACCAACCTAATTTGCAAGATGCATACTACCACCTAGTAAATGCATGTTCCATTGATCATAAATACAGACTTCAACTATTAGTTATATGCTTGAGCAAATCATATCAAATATAAACAATACTGAAAAAAGTAAACATGTTAAAGAGAGCAAACAAAAATGAGTTCATGCTTACAAGCCAGAAGAAAAGGCCTATATGTTGATTTTAAAGCATATAACAAGAAGGATCATACATACCAATCTCATTACTTGCTTTGGCAGAAGCTGGATACAACACAGTACATGTTTTGTTCTCACTCTTCGGAAGTTCAGATGCCAAAACCTTACCTGTAGCTGAATATGGAAGAATAGAGGAAAACAGGAAACGTGAGACATAATACAATGCAAATGAACCAATATATACATAAAAAATGCTTAGTATCTGGTGAAGCATAACAAGAAAAAGCCCAATGCAGGCATAAATTTATGTGATGGACTGCATATTTATACATCTGTGAATACCTTTAGATGGTGTAAAGGAAATATCAAGAACTTGCCCTGATGATTGCATTACTTCATTAAAAATGCTCGCCGTACCAGCTCCTACAACCCCAATATTAACATTTGGGGATCCAGCTGCCCTAAGGAACAAGTTAACGACAGATTAATTATTATATTAACATTTTTCAGGGTCATAAGATAAAAAGGAAGATATTATTTACTTAAGAAAAGAATGCAATGATAGATTTAGTCAATGTCATTCAGACACCCTAATCAATCAACAGCGTGTAACGTCCTGCAGAACTAGTATATAGCTGTTTCTGCAAACTGTGCACAGTTACCTGAGAAGCATACAAATGATGCTTGGCCTAACTGAAAATATAAGATCCTGAATGATGAAAGTCAGTTGCAATTTTTTTTTTTTTTTTTTCGCTTTTTCAAAGAGAGGGAGACCCACAATACCAGGGAATAAAGCATAGGGAAATTTAACATAAGGGAGAAATTAATAGTGTAGCGTCTTATTGCTAGTAAAGTATTAACCCAAAATTAACTACAAGCTAAATTCACTGAGTCTACACATCAAAAAATACATCCTTGGATAAAAACTAATAGTTGCATATAAATCAGATAAACTATTGAACTGCAAAAGACAAGGGACAGATGTCATTCAAAGTTATATATGTGCATCACAGATTTCAATACTAAGAGATGAGCACCATTAGATCTTTGAGGAAAAATTTGAGGAACTGCTTAACACACAACAGGGACACAATCTTGTCAAGAACTTCAAGATACATACTTCCATGCCTCTAGAAACACAGAGCCAGCTTCAGGGGAGGTTATAACAATCCAGTCGAATGAAGTATCTGCTGAAAGATTATAACCAAATAAGAAGAAAGCAAAAGAAACCAGTAAAATTTCTTTTCAGAGTAGGGAAAGCCTAACTGTAATTCAAAACATGCAACAAACTTAAAATTTTATATCTATCTCTGAAAAATCACAGCATAATAAGAGTACCACAAACATGCACAAGAAATTTCATTACTTGGCATTTAGAAGAACTGACAATCAGCGTTCCATAACCAAATAGGGAGGAGCATAGATGGGAAAATATGAAAAGCAACGTAACTATCTAGAAAACAACCGGTTTATACATATAAAATCTTGCATCAGAATCAGCAAGGTTGAGATCAGTCAGGACCCCTCAGTCTCAGAGCCACACTGAGTCTGAGAAAAGTCTCCATTCTGATATAAAATGATTCTTTCAAGGGCCCAACTAGAAACATATTTACATGCAACAAGTTAGCACGTAAAGGATATAATAATATGTAAATGTTTTAGACAGCTAAAGCTAATCTAACGAGTTAGAGAGATTACTACTTAGTACAGAAGGGAGTTTATCCGAATCAGGTCCCCGAGTATGCTGGATCAGAGGAAGCTCCAGGCAATTGATCCCATGTTTGGCCTAAAGAGAAAAAGAAGAATAAGAAGAAAAAATTCCATATTCTGTCAAACATCTGCAACAAGGTATCAATCTCATTGCATCAAAGAATAAACTTATGCCCATGAGAGATGTACTAAGTGTTTTATAATGCACTAGCACTGCAAACAGCATCCCCAAACTCCTTTCCCCATTCAAAAGATCAGCACTATGATTAGTGTAAAGCTTAGAGAATGATACACAATCAGTTATGGCTATACTGTCAGAAACAGAGACTCACCAACCCAAAACATATTATGAAAATAAAAGCGTAAAAGATTTTTACATATTCTTTAGCTACTAACATATCTACCCATCTGACTGATACAAAAAACCATATGGTGCACAGTTGAAACACTCCTGATATTTCATTGCTAAAACAAATGAAAACATTTGAGCATGGATGACTATAACACCAGTGCCTAGTCATAAGTGAGATGTCATGGTGAAAGTGGTAAGGCAACTACAGCCTTATGGTCGAAGAAAACGTCAGAATTGGCTATTGTTGTGAAGGTATGACAGTGAGTCAAAGCCAGGTGGTTATCATATGACAAATGAGTAACAATAGAAATTAATTAACAACTGCTTATTTCGAAATTGATTTCACGACAAAAAAAGACATGCCATTATGCAAGTTCTTACAGTGAATAGGTCCAATAATAAAATGTCAACCTTACCAACCCATATATTGTTTTCTCTGATAGAAAACCAGTGAACAAAATAGAAATGCAGTGCTGGCCCCCAACAGCTGCGATCCCATTGCTTCAGTTTTCACTTATACTAAGCGGTGGATAAATTTCTAGGAAATTTATTCAAGAAGCAATATCAAGAATAACTGGCGTTTGCTTTACTATTACATTCAGTTATCAAACAGGTAAGCCATATCTCAATAAAATAGTGATTATTCTAAATGATCCAAACATGAGTGTCTACTTTGAACATTAAAAACATAAACAGACTCAACTGAAATCAACTAAAATCTTTAGTCGTAAATGAGTTTGGAGTCTGGCCATATGGATCTTTCCCACTGACCTCTATCTAGGGAATCACAAAACCTTGACCTCTATCTGAAATCTCTTGAAGTGTTGAAGGTGGCTAATCTCTATCTTTTGGCTAATCTCTATTTACAGCAATGGTCATGCAACATTAGATTACAGAGGTAAAATGCTGAAAACGCAGCGTGTCTCTTCCGCATTTAATCAAATACATGACTTGAGAGAAATCCAATATCCAAAGCAAATCCGACAAAGTTCAGACTCCAAATTGCAGTAAAACGACATAATGCAATGTAATAAAATAAACCAAAAAAAAAAAAAAAAAAAAGCTAAACACACCGGACAATGATGCAATGTAATAATATAACAATTAAATATATAGAAAAAAAACAAAACTCGCTGATCTATAGAGTACCACTTATAATAAATTATCAAGGGATAAACGATAGAATTTCTGGATAAGTACATAGCAGAAATAAGGTAAAAAGTATGGAGAAAGAGAGAAGAATAGCTCTCGAATGAGGCTATCGAAGAAGCGGTTAGATGAGCTATCGTTCACGTTTTTGCCACGTTCTCTATGGTGCTCTAACAATTTCTGGTGATTCCAAACTAGGAAAAAGTAACGACGAAGACTTCACGAAGAGAAGCTCTAATTAGTGAAGTAGGCGTAATTAAATTCGGTGCGTGAAGATTGCAGACAAGGAGCAGAAGAAAGCTTGTTTGGAGGAAGAGGAGCGGTAGACAGAAGTGACGGATAGAACAGGTTATCGACGACGTATGGTATGTGGCTAAGAGCTAGAAGGCTCAGTGGCTAGGAATGTTTACAAATCTCATAGCAACACAAAAAAAACAAAAAAAAAAAAAAAAAACTCGCGCTAATAGACCTAAAATTTCAAAAAACACAAAATGCTCCTGGAATAGAGAGACAGAATAAGTAAAATAGGAAGAAAGAGAGAGAAAACGGCACCAGAGCGTTAATGAGCTTGCCGTTTTTGCCACGTTCTCTGGTGACCACAACTTTCGGCTTCAAACTGGAAAAAGAAGACGAAGACGACGACGAAGAAGAAGCTCTAATTGAAGAAGGCGGAAAATAAATTCGTCCGTGAAGATGCAGACAAGGAGCAGAAGAAGCTGTAGGAGGAAGAGGAGCGAGACAGAAGTGAGAGACTCGGGCCATCGACGACGTGTTGGGCAAAGAGCAGAAGCTCAGTGGCCAGCTGTTAACAAATTAAGCACCCGACCCCTCTAAATTATTATTATCTTAACCAAAATATCCAACACAAAGGCGAAAAAGAAAGCATAGTTAAAAATTAAAGTAATGCAATCTGGCCGTTAACGAAAACTTTTGGATGTAAGTACACCTGTAGAAGTTGCTCGAAGCCACGTGGACGCTGCGTAGTAACGTAGCCAATGAGGAGTTGACACAGTAGCGTCTTCCCCTCATGGGCTTATCATTTGTAACCAATGTAGCCATCATTTTTGGCAAATCTAATCGAACCTATCATGTGCTTCCCCTGTTGGAGGCTATGATACAACCTAAGCCCTAAGGTCTAGACACTCCTAACTTATTAATGATTATTTTGTATTAATGATTTTTTTAATAACTTATTTATGACTTAATTGCAATTTAATATTTGCGTTTTTTAATAAGTTTAAGCCTCTTTTACCATTAAATTTTTAACATTTAAAATTATTATAAAATATTTTTTAATCTATTAAAATATTGTAGTCGTTAATGATAGTTTAAAAATTAAAAATAATATTTTGGGACTAAAAATAAAACAAACTAAAGATAATTATTGATGATTTTTTAAGATAAAATCTCAAAGATAATTATTTTATTAATGAATTTTTTTTATACAAATGGCATCTCTTAAGATTTCTTTTTTGAAAATTGCATCTCTTAATATTTTAGTATGACGTACATAAAGCAAATACTTAATGTTAGTTTAAAAATTGAGGTGCTTTGTATCCCAATTAGCATACCCAGCCATGGCGTGCTGCGCGCCCCATGAGCCCAACACTTTATGAAAACTGAGCTAGGTTGCAGGCGCATCATTCCTCGAGGAAGGCTTCATCAGTACCGTAGATGTTGTTGACTTGACTTTTGATGATTAAATACGTACGGGCGGTGATCTGAAAGAAGCATTTCGAAATTGTGCACCACGTGCAGGGGACCGGAGGCCTGAAGTTGATAGATTAAGCTGTGTCCTTTCTCACACTAGAAGAGTACAAAGCAGAAACCCTTCGCTCTGTCGTAGGGTTACAACTTACAAGTACTTAAGAAGCTCTCAAATAATAACAATAATAATAAAAACGATGATAATGATGGGCTATGCATCGGGAGGGTTAGCCATTGGTTGGAATCCCTTCTATGATGCACGGACGTCAAAATGGGAAAATACGGAAATAAATACGGAAAAGTATCGGAATAAATATAAAAATAATTTAAAAAGAGGACATTTAAAATTTTTAAAAGACAATCAATTCATAATTTCCGTATTTAATAAAGGAAAAAAAATAAAATATTCAAATGTTAAAATGAAAAAAGATAATAAATTTCTGTTAAATTTGAAATTTGAATGTTGAAATTAAAAGTAAAATTATTCCTATTTTTTCAAATAAGATTTGCAAATTATCCATATTTGATTTGGATTTGAAATCTGATTTTTTTTTTTAATGCAAGAAACTTTTCTGAAAGGGAAACGAGTGTTTGATTTTCATTATTTATGGAAATGGATCCGACACGTTTTTTAATGTTTTTGTTTTTGAAACGCGAAAACGGTAAACCTCTCATGTGTTCGCGTGTCCGTGCATCACAGAATCCCTTTACATGCACTATTTGAATTTGAATCCAATTATAATTTAGGTTTTCGACTTAGAATTAAGTTTTAAAAAAAATATTCAACAATGTGAATATTCGGATCGAGGTGAATATTCAAATGGAATGAATTTTATCCCGTTTCGTACGGATGGAGGTGAATATTCAATAATGTGAAGTAAAATTGTCATCCCCAAGCCCGCAAAGGCTCACTCACAAACACAAAATCCTTGGGTATTAAAAGCTTTTGTAGTATCAGCCCATACTCGGGCTAACCAAGTCGATCAGCTCTAAAATCGGATATGTTGAAAAAATATTTCCCAAAAATTAATTTCAGTAATTACGTAAATATGATTCGTATTTACGTCATACTTGTATAAATATTTTCACAAATTTTGTGAAACTCACTTCCAAAAATGTTACTACTCTGGCAAACTGTTTTGTGCTATGATAACCATCATATGCATACAAAGGTGTGATCATGTGACCATCATGCGTGGGCAATAATAATTTTGATGTGATTTTTGGCTCTCTAAGTGTGGGCGGTAGAAATTGAAACCAGCGGTTCAAAATTTTTAAAATATGAACTTTAATTAGTCTTGAATCGCTAATTTCAGTCTGGTTCCGATAAACCGATAGTTCCGCTCACGGTTTTTGGCTATATTTTTTTTTTTCAAAAAAAAAAAACCATTCTAATGTTACATATTTCTTTCAAAAATATTAATATGAATTTAAAAAATATTGATAAATTTATTTTAAATAAATTTAAAATACTCATACTCATATAAGAATAAAATTAATTAATTTTACAAAATAATTAAATAAATTATCACTTTATTTGGTCTAAACGTTATTAATTAAATAAATTATTAGAAAATTTTGAAAAACGCTTCAAAAGAATGTAATTTTGAACTTAGTAAACAATTTAAAAGGAAAAAAAAAGTTAAAATAATTATCATTAGGGAGATATAGAATTTAAAAAAAAATATTTGATATATATCTTTACTTTTAAATAAATTCTCAAAATATTTTCTCATACTCATGGGCCATAGAGAATCCACTGGGAAATTAATTAATCTTTTACAAAAAATAAATGTAAATAAATTATCCTTTACTGTTATATTTGGAGTCGTAAAGAACGGTCAATTTTTAACCTTAAAAATAAATTATTTAGAGATATATTTAGATAAAGAGAACGCAGTCAAAAGAATGTAATTTAAGTGAAGCTTAGTAAACAAATTTAAAAAGGAAAAAAAAGTTAAATATAATATAAATTGCTTTAATAGACTATAATATTGTCTCACCATATTTGTGAGTTCTTAGATAGCCTGTATAATTGTCTTTCATTTTTTTCAGTATCTCTTTAAACTTTTAAAAAGATTAAGACACTATATTATTTTTTGTTTCAATAATAAAGACGAGAAAAAAATTTCTTTAATGGAGCTAAAATAAAGGAAATCAATATTTGATTGAGGATTTTCTTCATGTAGGGCGAGTTGATGCCACAATAAATATTGATTTATTTGGGGAATTTAACTATATGGGCTTTTAGTTTAGGGGCCCAAAAAAAGATTGGATTTGGCTCAAGGACGAAAAATCACGGTGCTGTGAATGATGACCTCCTATCTCTTGAAAAACAAAATCATGAGAAAGTAATTTAATCCTAGATCCACTAAAATGCGAGAATATACATAAAATTCGTTCACGAGATATATATTAATCGGGAATCTCGGTCGGTCCACAAAGATCGATTGATTATTAATGTGCTGCTTTTGGTTTAAGCGTTCCTATATCGAATTACAGATTTAAACAGAATGTTACATATAAACGCTTAAACTTGGCCCTTGATTCGCAATTTTGTGCATTTCTAATTTGCGAACACAAAAACATTTGAATCCTGTTGAGGCAATTTGCAAATGTCATGAATTTCAGAAGAGAGATTGCATGGGCTAGCTATGTATGGCTTGCCGTTTACTTTGGTTTCCAATTAATGAACCGCCGTAAAGAGAAGCTTGTAATGTTTAGCTTTTCATGGAGGAACATTTTATCCCAGTGCGTAACCTAGATATTTGCGGATTTCTCAAATTTTGAGCCATCATTTGGCAAGATCAAAAAAGAAAATAAAAAAACGCCCTTAATGATAAATTCTGATGTCTAAATGTTGTAAAAGGCATCCGCATCTTAGCATATATTGTGCCGAAGAGGAGAAGATATGAATTCGATGTAATTTTACATATGGATAAGTATGAACAAAGCATGGATGCAACATATAGTAGGAGCAACGTACTGTTTTTAACCTTTCGATTTGGCAAAAGAAGCAACAGGGGTGATCAGAAATATCTTATGAGCCCAGGCTTTTGTAGCAACACCACTCACATTATGTAATTATTTGGGCTTAAGCAGGGATTTGTTTGAAATTAAGGCGATTATTTCATACGAGCCCCCATCATGCCGCTTATTAAATTAACAAGGTGTTTTGGAAGCCAAGATATTGTCGACAGATTTAGGGCACTTATACTCCGCGATATGATTAATTAATCGGGTCATTTAAGCCTCAGGATCTTTAATTTAATTGAGGTCAAATTTTTGCCCATACTTGCGACATTTCATTAAGCATTTCTCTAGATGGCGCAAAAAGTAGAATTCATATTTCAGGCATACACTGTAGTAAGTATTAGAATTATTATTAGCGTAAACGTACAAGATTCACGAAAAGAGCAAACAATAAAGTATTAATTAAATGCCCTAAGAGTTGCAAAAAGACTAAACCACTTAAATTCAGGAGGTCCGCACTCAAAATGCGTTCAAGTCCGGTCTAACACCTACTGTACCGATTTAATGCATCGACGTCTTGCTTTCTTTAACTTGTCCAGGTCTCACATTGCGGACTGGGATTTAATCATCAGAATTGCTCTTAATACATGTATATCTCTCTAGGAATGTAATGTATTTAATTTGGAAGCTGCAACTAGAATACAGGATAAACCGAAGTTATCTGAGACGAAAAATTAGGTATATATTGCCAAAACTCAGAAATTACCATATAATACATTGGATCTAATGCCCTGCTCGTGATCAACACAACATATCAGCAATTCGTGCTGGAGGAGAGGCCGAGGGATGAGCTGAAATAAGGAGAGTAGAATCTTTCAGTTGTTTTTTTACGTTTTAGATAGGGTTTTGCTGTTTCCGCAAGTGGTTTATTTCTTATTTTCAGTTCTATTTACTTGTCGTGTTTGTTTGTGCGCTGTCCAATATACTCTTGGGGTCAATCTATCACGGGTATAGAAGTTCCATATTTAAGCGAATTGTCAAGCACTCAGCAATTTGCAGTGACTAATAGCATAGAGACGCTTGGATTCATTTAGGGGTTGCCGTGGCCTCATGAGCATCTCCCGACTCTAGCCCGTTCCATGATGCACTTCTTAAACGAGGCAGGTTAACTCGTCTGGCTCTCCATATGTATGGCTGCCCAAAAAAAAAGTTAAAAATAATATAAATTTAGACTAAATATTTCTCTATTTTTTTTACCATTTTATTTTTTAGATTTTTAACTTTTAAAGTAAAATATATTTTCAAAAAAAAAATCTTTAAGTATATCATGCAGTAAAATATTATTGAGACTTTTAGAGGGGTGCAGAATAGGCTGAATGATTATCATTTTGAAAACAAAAATAGAAAATTTCTAGTCTAAAACAGACTAAAATCGTCGATTAACCGCTGGTTCAGATTCAGATTTTAACATTCAAATAAACCTTAACTGGCCCTTGCATTTCAATTCAAAACTTTGAACCGACAATTCAAGTCTGATTTCGATTCATCTACAGTATGGCTCGGTTCTGGTTCAAAATGAACCGGCGGTGAAGCTTGTATTTTTAGCTTCAAGACATCTCTAAGAATCATTTCAATTTTGAGCATTTGCAAGATCAAAAGAAAACCCTAATTTCTTGATCAACATCCATCTTATAAAATATATGAATCTAGAAGTAGAACAAGCAGATGCAACATATAGTAGAGCACATGTTTTATTCATGAAGCACTGCCACACATTCACAAATTCATGCATTCCAATAAATAAGTTCTATCTCAGCTACTGTAATTCTAAACGAATGATTAATTAAATCCCTAGAAAACTACCTCAGGTCATCAAAATTCGGTTCCACTCCACAAATTGGAGGGATTTATAAGAATTCTACAGAACCAATAGAACTAGGAAAAAGTGAGATAGGTTTGCCTCTTCTAGCGTGACAAATTCAGATTTGCTAGAGCTACTACGTGTTTTGCTGTTGCAATTCTTTCAGCTTACTTGCTGTTGGTGGCTACCATACACGGGGTAAGCCCCATATGCTGCAGCTGCAGCAGCATACATGCTTGGATCATGGGGTGGTGGCAGAGCATATCCATACCCATCATAAACCTGCCCTCCATAGTATGCTCCGCTCCATTGGTTGCCAAAATCTGCTCGAAACTGCCAAATTCCAAAATGACCACCTTTTCAATAAATACCCAATTTATTTCTAATGCAGCAACTACTTCCACAGACAATAGAAGAAAAAAACATTCCCGGCAAATTTATGAATACAAATTTTTAACAGCTAAAACTTGGTCAAACCATTTTCTCCAAGATAACCATAGATTCTGCAGGAGGAAAAATAATGACACTAAAAAAGAAAGTATACCTGCTTATTTGCTGGATTCCGACCCCAAGAAAGACGCACTGTTTGCTTGCCAATTACTGTGCCATTCAATTTCTGCAATGCCTCTTCAGCATTACTCCTGTCAATTAGAGTTAAATGAGGTCCATGTAGCAATTTAATATGAAGAAATTACTTAGCTTTATTTTAGCATTGCATTCACAGGCAAGCTGAGCAGAGTTACGCTACGAGTTTTACCTGTTGGCAAATTGTACAAACCCACATCCTTTACCAAGTGGAATTTTAACGGAGACTATCTCACCATATTGAGAAAAAGGTTGCTTGAGATCTTCATCAGTGACATTAGGGTCAAGTCCTCCAACAAATATCTACGAAAGAGCAACATGGTTTAGTCAACCAGAAGAACGTGAAGCATCTAAAGGTTAACCCACATGAAGTTGTTGGAAAACTCACTGTTGTGTTAGTGGAATCGCCATCAGATTGGAACCCTTGGCCAGTTGCACCATTTGATGCATATCCACCTAAGAAAAAACAGAAGTGTTGGCAATACTCCAGATTGAAAGGTACGCGTTCATGTTTCGAACTCAATTTTTAACCCCATAAGATGAAAAATTTAGTACAATAGCTGTACTTATAGTAATCTATATTAGTTGGCAAAAGATCAAGATGGCAAAGTACAAAAAGTAGTAAAAATCAAAGCAACTACAATCAAAACCACTTAAAAGGATCAGAGAATATATGACACAAAGAACTCCTTCAAATGTCCAATGGAAGTTTGTACATCGAGAAATCCACTATTCCATTCTGTGAACACCACCAGAAATGGACATGCAGATCTTGCTCGCTGCCAATGATAGCACGTTAAAGATCCATCACATAAATTTGAAGAGCAACATAACAATTAGCGGACTTGACCTTTTTACAAATCAAAAACTCTGGTGGAAAATAATCTAAGTCGCTAGCTCTCATAAAATAAAGAAAATTAGAAAAACAAGGTGCTGGAGCATCAAACACACTAAATAGAGAGTGCAACATCAATTAACTTTTAAGGTCACCAAACGCATTTAGAATACTTAAAAAAAACAGATATGCAGCCTTCTGGCGGATTTCTCTATCATGCTATAGAACAATTATAAACTATAAACTAACAGCCATATTGAGTATTGATCCAACTTACAGTTGGGAAACAAGGGGCATCCTATAACTAGGCAACATTTCTTAACTTCTATTAATCAACCAATAGAATGGCATTGAAAAATATTATGACTAGTTTCTCACTGGAATTAAAAAAAGGGAACCTTGAAAACACACAAGATTCTTCCACATATCTGAAACAGGATCATCCCACAGATTCATGTGTTCCTAGTTATTGTAATCCGTTGTCAATACATGTAGTGAAAATCCTGTTTCCTTTCCATTATCATTAGGGAAGAATGATAATTTTCTAATTGTTTGTTCAGAGCTGGGAAGTTAGCATATGAAAGAAGAGAAAATACAGATCTAAGGGTCATGATTATAATTAAAATGAACATATCAAATTAGGCTAAATAAAATAAAATAAGAGTAATCATACACTAGAAAAAAAATTCTAACTTTCAGTTTGATGAATAAATATAGACAAATGGCTTCCATCATGGCAAGACATTTCTTACAAAGACCCTGACTTTTCACAATGACACAACCAAAGGCCAATAAATAAATTCACTCATATATTTTTGGAGAAAACCCTTGAGCTCCCTACTTGGAAAGGTATTGTGCCCTAAAGTTATGAATTTTGGTAACATCGCATACCTCTCTATATTAGCAACCACCTTTTTTAGAGTTTTTGGTTATTATATGAAAAATATTGATTTGATGTGTAATTAGTACAATTTTTTAAAGCAATATTTTTCATATTTTTCAATTATCCAGTAGGCATTTAATTGATCAAATTTTAAAAGTGAAGGCGTTCGACAAAATGATTTTGGAAATTGAATATTTTTCAGGCATATATTTTTGTCTTTTGTATTGTTGTGTACACGTTTATGACCGCATATGTGTGTGTGAGAGAGAGATATATGCAGTGACAAAATTATTATGCAATTAAATTCCAAGTCCTAAACAACCCAAAGATAAGGTATCAAGAGCATGTTGAGCAGTAAACGATAAAACACCACTAGTAACAACTAAACTTCGATGATGCAAATGCTAAGCAAGTAAAATAATCCAATACCTTGTTGTTGATATCCAGAAGACTTCCTGGGAGTTGCAGCACCAATTCGCATCGGCCTGCTTGAACAATATACACCATTCATTTCTGTCATAGCCTGTGTTCTTTCACTATCATCTGCAAACCTCACAAAACCATAACCTTTTGAACGGCCAGTATTGGCATCAAATACAACTTTTGCAGCTTTAACAGATGGATATCTACTAGCGAAAGTTTCATGCAATATACTGTCAGTAACATCTGCAGCTAAATCTCCTACAAATATAGAAAGATCAGGTGCATTATCAGATCGCTTGTCACCAGTGCTAAATGTTGCCCAGTTGAGACGGAAGGGCTGTTCAGTATTAGGCATCAAAATTCCACTATAGTTCTGTAAAACTTTCTCAGCTGTTGCGTGTGTAAAAAATTCCACAAATCCGTAGCCCTCGGATAAACCAGTCTGCTTATTGCGAATAACCTTAAGTGAAGCGATCTGTGCAATACAGAACACTGGGTGTAAGACAAGGACAAGCATTGATAGTCAATTCATAAGAAAAGGATGAGTATAGTTGTCCAATTTGGACTGGAAATGGAATATGATATCATTCTACTCTCTGGTATCGCAATCCAAATTTTGTATCTTTTGATTGTCTCAAACTAATTGATATTAAAACATCAGTTTCCAAGTATAATATTTAAAAACTATATTCAGGCTCCAAGCATTCTCTAGAAATTGAAAACAGAATGATACTTGTATTCGAATTTTTGTTCCTATTTTCTTAACGATGTGAAAATAAACTCTTAAATTACATAACTTTGTTCACAAGCACCATCATCACCATGCATATTCCAAATGAACAAATGCCGGCACATTTGTTAAGAGTGTTTATTATCCATACACAGTGTCATACATGTATTTCAAAATTGCAACACACACAATCCCCCATATTGCACGTCCAAATATACAAAACTACATAATTGGATGTCATCTGTCACGTAGGGATAAAACATTAAAAGATTATACATAAGAGAAATTATAAACTGAGAGCGTTAAAGTCATTTGTACCTCGCCGGTGGAAGCAAAACAGGTGTGGAGGTAATTTTCATCCATCCAATGATGTAAATCACCGATCCAAACCGTTTTATTCTCGCTAGATCCTTGGTTTTGATGATGATGTTGTTGAGGGGTGTGTTGTAGGTGCGGGTGGTGGTGATGGTACTGGTGGTAGGCAGCCATGTAGTGCTGGGGCGGTGGCGGCGCATAATGCTGGGGTGGTATCATCTGGTGCTGCATTACCATCGCAGCCGCTGGATACTGCATCGTCATCCACTGCTGCTGCTGCTGCTGAGGTGGCGGTGGTGGTGGCGGCGGTTGTTGCTGCCGTTGGTTCTGCTCCTGCTGTGGCTGGTTCTGCTGCTGCGAATCAGAACCGTTGGATTGCATCTTATCTTGTTATCTTAAAAAAGAAAAAAATAATTATGTATATATTCTACAATTATTATATATTATATTATATAAACCAGAAATATGGTTATATCTTTCCTCTCTATAAACGGAAAGGAAATGATAAATATGGAATTAAGAGGAAAATGAAATGAATCTGAGTTTTCAGAAAGAGAGAAATATGAATCTGAGTTTTTTTTGGTTTGTTTGGGAAGAGAAAGAGAGAGACACGGTTAGGGTCTAAGGAGAGGATTTATGTTTGTTTGTTAAAAGGGATATGAAGGATTCATGGGTTGGCTTCGTGAACGCGGTTGTCGTTAGAGCCGTTGGATTGTGGTTTTGAGGTTCGATCTCGACCATTGGTTTTGGGTGAAACCAGAGGATATGCATGTGATACTCCTTTGGTTTTCACTCCTCTCCTGGATCCGCCGCCAGCTGCACATTTTTGGGTTTTGTGGGTGAAACCAGATATTTTTCAGTTGTTTTATAAGGTAATATGGATTTACTGTCCTTTTGTTTTTTTTTTTACTTTGCGTCACCTCGCAGACACGGTTAATGTATAGTAAAGATTCTTCATCCCAGCCTTTAAGAAATTGTCCCTGCATGAAAAGGGAAATTTTTTAAGGTTAGATGTTCCACGTTGGATTTTTGTTGAATTTAGGGTGTTCAATTCTGTCATAAGACTCTGTCACCTTAAATTAAGTAAAAAGGCAGGAAAATGTCAACTAACTGTGGGTAAAAAAATATTATCATATCCTATCATTTGTAACAAAATAACTAAATGAATATTCTGATAGTGCTATATCCGAATGCACTCCATTAATGCTAACCAACTTAATTAAGAATTTCTGAATTTTATGCAATTTATGATTGAATTAGACATTTAAATTTAGATTCTGCCGTTATAATTTTAAACTCACTAATTAAATACATCAACAGTAATTACAACCGTTTTAATACTTGTTTTGTTCATAAATATAATATTATCTTAAAGTAGTTCTTTTATGGTGATCAATGAATTTTTTTTTAATTTTACATTTGTTTATATTGACTGCCATAACTTTCTATATGACTTTCTAAAATCGCCTCTAATCAAATTAATGATATAAAATAAATGGTAATTCATTCAAATTAATGAATATTTTATTATAATTTAAAAAAAATTAATTACTTTATTGATTACCCTTGTAAAAATTTTAACAACACACGTTGTTAGACGAAAAGAGTATAGTTTTAAATTTAATAACTAATAATTAAATCATTTTAATATAATTTTAAATTTATCGATGGATAAGATCTCATGTAAAATTGAATTTAAAAAATCTATTTTACTGTGAATGGTAAATTGATGGTTGATGATTTACAATTTTAAATTGAGAGATAAGGAGAGGAAGGCTTTTTGATTTTCATTTTTTTTTTATTTTTTTATTTTTAAGCTTATCAAAAAAGCAAAATGTCCTTGCCTTTTTGATAGACAGTGAATAAGAATTAATCGATGGAGATTTTGAAGAGTACTTGGAACAGGAAGGTAATAAGACAGAAGTTGTGTTCTAGACGTGCAGTCTATGTCAAGCAATTAATCTTATTACATATTGAAAGTTGAAACACGTCGCACGTGTAGAATGTGACACAAACTTTGGGCCTACGAAATGACTTGGAAGTTGGAACTTAATTGGTTGGTGTTGAATGTTGGACTGGATTGGCAGCCCAAGAATACGTCAAACACAGTGATTAAAAAATTAATTAGTTAGTTAAATTAAAACAAACACGTTCGTTTAGGATGATTTCACCAATCGTCGCTCAATATAGCATTAGAATGATATGTGAAATCAACCTTAATTATTTATAACTGCTCAAGATATTTTATTTCTTAATTAAATTTATAATTAAGGTTGTCCACTTGTTTATTGTTGTTGACGAGGGTGGACTGGGCCGTGAAGAAATTGGGTCAAATCACAAGCGGGCCTAATTTATTAATTTCATTTGCATTCGGGCTATGGCTTTTTGGTTCAACAATATATAAAACAGCGGCAACTCACATATCTACTAGATTCACCCAGAAATGCATAAATTTATTTCTGGGACTCAAAAACTTTAATTCTGATCTATTAAATAATTTAATTTATAAAATTCATTTTGTAAAATCATTATATTAGACACTACAAGTTGAAAAAATTAAATATATTAAACACTTAATGAACAGTTGAAAAATATAAAAATTATTATTATAAAAAGTTATAATAACCAAAACCAAAGCTATTATTAATAAAATCATATTTCTACTTATAACATATCCAGCTTTATTATTCATAAAAATATAAAAACGACATACAAAATATAAACAGAAATATGTAACTAAAAACATAATCAATATATGTGAGAAATAAAGCCCAATTATAAAATAAAGCCTACGTTCCTATAATTATATTGTGAACAGAACGTATCTGTAATTATTTATACCATGAAAGGTAAATTATATTTTGCAGGAGGTGATAATTTCTGAAAACCATAAGCTTTATAAATTTATATACTTATGATCCTCAACTGATTAATGTGCAATGCTAGCGCTACTAGGGCCATTTGAATGACCGGCTCCGGGACTATGACCTGGATTTGTTGGTCGGAAATCGTCACTGTCTCCTTCCAGTTCCACTAAAATGTTGCGGTGGAAGTTGAAACTGCCACTACTTACACTTGCCTCACGCATCTCCTTCAACACCCTTTGCTCTGTGGAACTGATTCCATGTGACAGAACCAAAGCAATGATCAAAGCAATACTGAAGTTAAACTTAGCATTGGCCATTGGAATATGTAAATGGAGATATTTAAAAAAATCTAGCTAAAACACTCAAAAGAGAGAATAAATCTAAAGAGAAGAAGGTGTTGAGAGGTTTTGGGTGGCTGAAAGTTATTGCCTTGCTTGGGTTTATATAGACTCTAGAGAGTTGGAAAATGGCAGTGAAAATTAAATTACGTTCCGTAAATAACAATAATTCTACAAAATGGAAATTGAGAAATTAGTAATGGTCTGATGAATTTCAAGTTTTTAATGATTATGTTCCCAAAGATTCTTCTTGTCGAAAGGAACTATTGTTTAATTTTAGTATATTCCTTCTATATTATTTTTGCATGCCCCATGCAACTATATAATATTGTATATGATGATTTCTCTCTCTCTCTCTCTCTCTCTCTCTATATATATATATATATATGCACACACACAGAGAGTGAATTTCTTTTATTTTGTATTGATTTGTGAGATTGCTTAAGCAAAAATAGAAATTAGCCAGACATGCAGCTCTTCATCAATAAAACTTGCACCCACGTACTAGCAGATGAATAAGACTTTTCTGGTATGAACCCAATTACTAATTTGCTTATTGATGCTTAATATTGGACTTTTAACTGGACTCACTGTTACGGCATCACAGTTCACGTGCTATGTATATATGTGTGTGTGTGTTAACCAGTAAATGTCGTATCTTTCAACTTCTGAAAGCGATGTATACGCTAAACACACATGTAAGTATCTGGCCATCCTTGAACATTTTGCTGGCTATCTAGGCCAGTGGAAGAATAATTAGAATTGTTTCTCAGTAAATTAATGGATATAACTTTCTAAGCATTTTAATTAGCAATTCAGCACATTACTAATATATATATATATATAGTTGGCTTCAAGCTGCAGGTACATTTCTCTTCTTGGTCTTTTTTTTTTTTTTTTTTTTATTGGACTTTTAACTGGACTCACTGTTACGGGGCATCAAACAGTTCACGTGCTATGTATATATGTTGTGTTGTGTGTTAACCAGTTTAAAATGGTTCGTATCTTTCAACTTCCTGAAAGGCGATGTATACGCTCTAAACACACAATGTAAGAAAGTATCTGGCCATCCTTGAACCATTTTTGCTGGCTATCTAGGCCAGTGGGAAGATAATTAGAAATTGTTTCTCAGTAAATTAATGGAATATAACTTCCTAAGCATTGTTAAATTAGCAATTTCAGCAACATTACTAATATATATATATATATAGTTTGGGCTCAGCTGCAAGGGTACACTTTCTCTTCTTGTCTTTTTTTTTTATTATTATTTATATTATATTATTATATTTTAATTATGTATTTTTTTTTTTTTTTTTTTAATTATGTATGTTAATGCAAGATATTTGGATGGACTGTAGATGAATTCAATAATAGACGTGCAAGTTGCAGAACAGTCTGGATTATAGAATTTGTGTCCTTTAAAGTTTGCTTGTGAGTATATATATATTGAGTAACAAAAATTCAAAGAATCATGCATGTTTATTTTGACTTAATTGTCAGCTCACATTCGATGGTTGCAATACAAGCTGATGGTACAATACAAGCAAAAAAATATTTATATATTTATATATTGGAATTACCATTGTTTGCTTCACTGGCTAGCTAGCGCAGAAAGTCTCTGCTAGAAAGATCGTTGGTTATTATGATAAATATCAAAGGCAAGATTTGTGGGGTCCTACAGTGTATTTTAGCACTGTATATAACATTGGTACATTTTTTCTTTCTTTTTTATCTTATACAGTTACTTAAATAAGAAAGAAAGCGAGAGATCTCGAGTTCGAATCCTCTTGATCATAAGAGTTTTCACAAATTTAGTAAGCTAAGAGAAGGATTATTTCTCTAATTGTACGTTCACAGTTTTATTCAGCTCATTGGATCTCCTAACGAATAAAAAAAAAAAAAAAGTACTACCAATGAATTTTGTGGAGATATAACAGTCTAAACAGGTCAATCCTGAATTTCATTTAGCAGTACCAGAGTCATTTTTTTTAAATTAAAAATCTCAAATTCAAACTCCTCGTTCAGAACCAAATTAATGGAAAAATATCTATTTATTTCTCATCATTAGAATTTCTCAAATATTTTGTTGATGATAAAAGTGTTAAGCTATGAATTGCAGGTGAACAACTGATATAGAAAGATGTTACCAAAAGTCTGGAGTCACTCGTGACTTGGATAATGCGTAAAAGGCACCATAGATGGTTTTGGTAAAAGATGTATACCAAAAGAAGAAGCTACGTAGCTAGCTAGCGTCATATTGGAAAATCATTATTATCAACAGAAGATTGTTTATATTTTAATGAAGATTGGTTCAGCAATAAATAACTGAAGATACTGCTAAAGTTAGATTGGGTTGGTCTCTCAGTCTCAGTGCGCACTAATTTTTCAAAGCCTTTTTTACCAAGAAAAGAAAGGCTTACAACCTTTCTAACCCCACAAAACTCCTCCAAGCTCCATTCTCGTCTTTATTAATTTATAATTCTCTATGAAAAATAAAATATAACTCTGTTTATCAGTTCTAATTATAATTTTATAGTACTAGTACAATGTTATGAAATATACCTTTTTATTTAATAATTCCTTGTTTAGTTCAAGATAATTTATTTTATTTCTCGAAATTAAAATATGATTTCTAAAAATATTTATAAATAAAGAAAGTATCTCGTGTGTGAGTTGATTTTCAAAATAAAGCATTAATGATTGAAATATGAAATAATTAATTTTTTTATTAAGTAAATTAATATTCCAACGGTGTTCGATTTAACTTTTAAGTCGATCAAATCTATTTTTAAATAGAAATCACAATTAAGATATTTATTTGGTTTGGCTCATAAATTAAAAATGATAAGTAAAGAGATTTGGTTTGATCATCTACTTATTTTAAAATTAATTGTTGACTAGTGAAAGACTATATTATTCTTACAAGTGTTCAAAAAAAAAAAAAAAAAATTGGTTTGGATCATCTATTATTTTTAAAAATTAGATTGTTTTGACGTTAGTGAAAAGACTATATTATTACTTACAAGTGTTCAAAAAAAAAAAAAAAAAAAACTAAAAAAAAAAAAAAAAAAAACTAAAATTACCCTAATTACTTACAGACCCACTTAACTATTTATTATATAAATTAATTATTAACTTACAAGTTAAAAAACATATTTTAAATAAAAAATTAAAAGCAATTAATTAAACTAAAATAGCTTCTTAGAATAAAAAAGGAATTGAATGAGTATGATATATTGATAGGACAGTGATGTGCAATTTGTCTTAGATGTATATGTTCCGTGCCTCAACTGATTTTGCATTATGGTTGAAAACGAAGGAAATGGTGGCTGGTTGGTTCCTCAAGTTGGGGAAGTTCAATTAAACACCGAGTCCATTTGGACCCTTGGAAATGGGCATGCTTATTAAAGTCACTCTCTGTTACCATATCAAAATGAATTTCAATATTGGACTGTCCAATCCTAGCCATTGGAGGAAAATAAAGGAATCCTTGTAAGTCAAGGGTATCTATAACTATAAGGAATCTTTGAAAGAAGCAAAAGATTTTCCTTCTTTTTGGAAAGACTTGTATGATTTTCTCCTAGTGGAGATACATCAATCATAGCAAGACTATTAGAGAGAATTTCTTTTTCCTTCTTCTTCTTCTCTTTTCCATGTGGAATTCTGATTCATGTTAGGTCCAAAAATTCCCACTAGATGATACGTGGGCCAGGTCTAAACCGCCGCTGAAGCTATGGCCATCCTGCTTAGCCAAAACGAGCATGTGCTTTTATTATGTTGGGAATTGCTGGAATCCATGTCCTGCCATGGCGTGCACTATCTTTTTTTACCTTCGGCTCTGTTTGGAGGAGAAGTAGAGCGAGGATATATCAAGTCTTTCTATACCGATTATTTTTACCATTTTGTTGAGTTAAAATAAAGGCTAGTTATGTTGCGTAACACATGGGATTATTTCAGCAATTAGATTTTCAATAAATTAAAAAAAAAATATAAAGTACCCTCATTTTAAATTGGAGTGTGCTATTAGTTGGTTCGGTTTTAAACCAAACTGAAAATGAAATTTTTTTTTTTGTTAAAGTTAAAATAAATCAGCGATTCAATTTAATTTGTATCACTTTGATTCTTAAATAAAAGGGAAAATTATTATTTAGTCCCTCCATTTTTACATAATTATTCAACTAATCCCAAGTTTTGCACAAATATCTAACTAGTCCCTCAGGTTTAACTCCATCTAATTAAAAGGTCCTTCCGTCCGAAAAGTTGGTTTTTGTTGATTTTTTTCCATTAATTATAGATTAAAAGACGAAAACACCCCTCCCTAGCTGACGTGGACCATAAGGGGAAAATTATTATCTAGTCCCTTAGGTTTTACATAATTATCTAATTAATCCCAAGTTTTGCGCAAATATCTAACTAGTCCCTCAGGTTTAACTCGTCTAATTGAAAGGTCCTTCCGTCCGAAAAGTTAGTTTTTTTCCGTTAATTGAAGACTAAAAGACTATAACACCTCTCCCTAGCTGACGTGGACCAATATGAAGCGATAATGATATACCTAGTTTGTTTCCCTTTTGTTCCTTCCATGCTATAATGATATACCTAGTTTATCTTTTGCGCAGATAACCTTGCATTAAATATTAATATTCATATTCAAAGTTATGAAATTATAATAATATAGGTGGCAATAATAATAACTTTTTTTATCTATAACTAACTATTATTTTAGAGCCGGTGTTTTCTACGCAAATATCTTTTTTTTTAGAATATTAATAATTTGTATTAAATCAAAAATTTTGAACTTTTGACGGTATGGGCCGTAAATAGTGAATAATTTTAATTTGAGCTCAAGTTTTGGCCAATTGGGCCCAAGCCCAAATATAATGTTCGAAAATTTTGAACAGAGAACAGTTAAATTTTCGAGTAATTAAATGAAAGTCCAGCAATTATCTTATTATGGTATTATATAATAAATTAATTCCTAAAAATCAAATATGATTACTTAACTATATTTATTTTTATTTTTTATATTTAATGGAGGAAATGTTATGAAATCTAATAAATAATCCTAATTAAAATAATTAAAATAAATTGAACCAGACCCGAAACATAAACTGATTTTTCGAAAACCACACGAATAATCCGAAAACCGAGTGAAAAACTCGAAAACCAAACAAATTGAGACCAAATCTCTAAATCGGACCGAACCGGTTCGAATCGAACCGGAATGATCTAGAAACTGACTTGGTTTCTTTTTTTCCTTCCTCTCTTTTTCCTTCTTCTTCCTCGCGCGCGACAGCACCCTCTCCCTTTGCTCTCTACGATCTCCAGCCACCGATCACAGTCTCCAGCGATCTGACCTTCTTTCTTCATCTTCTCGACGAGAGGAGTTCGTTGGTGGTGTTGTTTTGCAGAAAAGAGGCCAGAATCGCGAAGAACGCGACTGGGGCCGAGTGTCGCGCAGTACTGGCGATCCACGCCGTTTGCGGTGGCTACAACTTGAAGAAGCAGTGTCGATCGTCTCACCTCCTCCATGTGAGCCTTTTGCCGCCGTTGAATCAAGCGTCTGATGGAAAATGGTGAAGCCACCATTAATGGCGGCACCAAACTGCTGTCGAACCCGATCCGGCCAATCAAGAACCGATCTCACTAAATTAACGCCAAAAATGGACTCCTTGGTGAATTTTGAGTTGAATGATGTGATTGTTGCAAATTTTCTGGGAAAGGATGATTTTCCGGCCACCGTGCACGGCGGTCGGCGGCAGCAGTTCGGTGACCGGCCGGCGACACTCCGGCGAGGACCCGAGAGACAGAATGCTCTTCTCTTCGCGCTGATCGTGGAATCGTCGCCCGATTCTCAACTGGTACGTTCTAAGACCAATTTCTTTATCTTCGGTATAAATTATAAACTTAGTAAATATTAGTTAATTAAATTGAATTTGGATGAATAATCAAACAAATATAATTTTGTTAAGATATAACAAATATAATTTTGTTAAGAAGCAATCGGTATAATATTGATGTAAGCTAATTTAGGAACTTGGATAAATATTGTTAGGAGAAGTTATAAATTAAGGCCTAGACAAGTGAATAGTTTTAGAGCAATTAGTAGTATCATTGACTTATGTGTGGAGGTTAAATAAATAGCTATTTTTCACTTATTTGCTTATTTATTTATTTACTTAATGTTATATAATAAGTTGAAGCTTGACATTGACGATTAAATGTTGATGTGATTATTTTGGACGGAGGAAGGGAAATTAATTTGTTTGATTGCCCGATGGATGGGCTGTGTGTGTAATGGTTGATGGGTATAATATTGTTGATATTTAAGCAGGTAGATAATCAACTGAATCTTGAGACCCCAGTTAATTATGACAAGGAATATATAAGTTATAGGTGTATATGATTGTTAACAGTATACAGTTGGATAGTTTTAACTAGTAGAATTGATGTTAAACAAATAGCTATTTTTCACTTATCTGCTTATTTATTTATTTACTTTTATATAATAAGTTGAAGTTTGTCATTGACGATTAAATATTGATGTGATTATTTTGGACGGAGAAAGGGAAATTAATTTGTTTGATTGCCCGATGGATGGGCTGTGTGTGTAATGGTTGATGGATATAACATTGTTGATATTTAAGCAGGTAGATAATCCCATTTTTAGGGGAGATGTTGCCGAAATTTCGATAGAACTTAGATTAGTTTTAATTAATAATATAATTAATAAGTTTATTTTCTATAATTGGTGATACATAATAAATATAAAAGTACCTCTATTTATTTATTAATTTTTCATATTATTCATTTAAGTATCCAATATTTATTTATTTATTTTCATTGTTATGGTTTATCATTATATTATTTATTTTATTATTATGTTTATATTGTTAGACACTATTTACTTATTTTATTTGCATCTTGATGTTAGATGTTCTAATTGATTAATATGTTTGATTTCGATTGCACATGTTGCATTGCATTCGATTGCAATGTTTGATTAGTTGTGTTGTGATATTGCTGTGCTTTGCTTGTGTGGAATTGGGATGAAGTGGGTCACCATGGGTTTATGAGACTGTTTCTGTTATATGGATCCTGATTCTGATTTCCGTTATATTCTGATTCTGTTATATGGATCCTGATTCTGTTTCTGTTAGCCGGGTAAATGGGAGATCGGCGCCCCCGTGTGCACTTGATAATTCTGTTTATTCTGAAACCACAGGATGGCCGCTTGTTGTTGCGCACCTGAAAATCTAGATTTGATTGCAGCCCACAGGGTGGCCTCCTGTTGTCTGAATGATCTAGATTGGATGGAGTACCACCGGGTGCCTCCCGGTGGTATTATCGAAAAAGAGAAAAGGGACGGAGGTGTGAGGAGAATGGAAAAAACAATGATGAGGGCTGGTCAAGTGAAGATTAGGACCTGGTCGGTCCAGTATGGGATCAGCCTCCCTGGTGCACACGTGAGAGGATGGAGCCCATTGTGGGTGAGGACGGCCTCACGAGGGTAGGGTTCCGGTGACTCCACTGGACTAATTTTCCGACGTGATGTGGTATTGGAAGGTGATATTGTTGTGAAGTGCTGTGACATGCATTGTGTGACTACTGCGTGAGCATATAACTAGTCGTATGACTAGATTGATATGTTTACACATTGTTGTGGGAACTGCGTGTGTGTGCAATAATTATGACTCCTTAGAAAAACACATGTTTTCTTGGTTATTGATTTTTTAGGAAGTAAGTTTTTCTTTTATCCAATTAGGCCTAATTTCTTTCGGCGCAGGGGCGAATAGAAGAAATTTCCTTAGTTCCATAATAATTTCACTATGTAATTATGTGTTTTAAAAGCTATGTATACCAAAGATTAGTGACTCCACAATTTGTAGATTTACAATATTTAGGCGTGAATTAAAACATAGACAAAATAATTCTGGTAAGCCATGATAGAATGTGATGTATTGTTAAACTGGGCCCGAAACTATAGAATGCCTGTAAAAGATAAACTTGGGCGAGAACTAATAAAATGTGAGGTTTATTTTTCATAAGATCAATATGGGATAAGAATGTTGAAAATTTATACCGAATAATAGATCTAGATGTTTTCAGGCTTACTTACGGGCCTCGGGGCCTTACAGCTTACCGGGCCCTAAGTGCCCGGTCCGACCCACGGAACGGGTCGTGACACTGTGTATTGCTCCGCAAATATCTTTTTTTAGAACTATGTAATTGAGCTAATTAATTTTTTTTTTCAATTTGTATCCTTTATTTAATTAAATTTAATAATTATTTTTATAATTCCAAAATCAAGTATAACATCTCCCTCTCTTACTTAAGTTACTTAAGGTTACGTAATAAAATTAATTAATATTTTGTTATAATTTATAAGAATAAATTTACTTACTTAATTACCATAAAAATATTAAAAGTATTTATGAATAGATGGAATACTTTGTTTTTTTTTTTAGATTTTATCAATGATAATAGAAATGTTTCTTGATAAAATTTGCATATTAAATATGAATAAAATAGAAAATATGTTTATTACTTTTTTTTCTAAAAAAGAAACTATGATGATAATTTGGGGTAAAAAGAAAAATGAAGTAATTACTTTTTTGAAGATGTATTTACTTTCATGATTCACTCAAATTTAATAATATTTAATTAGAACATCAAATTAATTTTTTTATCCTTTTTTTAATACTGTCTTTGTTTTATAATACTTGTCAGATTTGAGAAAATAGTTTGTTCTAAAATATTTGTCTAATTTAGTCTAAAATACTTGTTATATTTACGGTTTTAAGGAGTAATAAATATTTTTTTCATATTTACCCTTTGTGTATGATTAATAATTATTATTTCAATTTAATGATTTTCTTAGAGATTAATATTAAATTAAGAGTAATATTGTCAAAATTTATTCAATAATTTATTATAATAGAATATTTTGCGCAAAACTGGATTATTAATAATTATGTAAAACCTGAAGGGACTAGATAATTATTTTCCCTTTATGGGTCCACGTTTCAAACTAGGGAGCGGGTTTTTAGGTCTTTAGTCTATAATTAATGGAAAAAAAATCAACTTTTCGGGACGGAAGTGACCTTTACGGAAGGACCTTTTAATTAGACGGAGTTAAACCTGTGGGACTAGTTAGATATTTGCGCAAAACTTGGGATTAGTTGGATAATTATGTAAAAACGGAGGGACTAAATAATAATTTTCCCTAAATAAAATTAACCTATTTTTATAATTGAACTAAAAATTAAAATTAAAATCAAAATCAAGATCATCCTATCCAACTAAAACTGATGCTATATATTTTAATGTTTAATCACGAAAATTTCAAAGGATATGAAAGATAATATAAATAATGACTAATTAACTGCTAAACAAGCTTCTAGGCACGTTCTCTTGCCATCCGCTCCCGTCCTAGTTCCATTGCTCCTACATGTCTCTGCTTTACCTTTGGACTGTACTCTTTCAAAGACTTTACTTGTACTGCATTTGTGAACATCTCCATTGCAACAGCAATTTTAACAAGATACAGAGAAATGTCCATGTCAACTTTGTTTCCCTGAAAACCACTTGGCTCAATTTCCATGAAGGTGTTCATGCCGAAATTCTGCAGCCATCTCCATGTCAACTTTGTTTCCCTGAAAACCACTTGGCTCAATTTCCATGAAGGTGTTCATGCCGAAATTCTGCAGCCATCATTACATCGCGCGATGACATATCCACACGATTACCATGATAATGATCTAACTGAAACAGAGAAAATAAAACATATGAAATGAACAAACAGACTGAGGAACAAACATCAAACAGCTTATATTTTTCATAGGTTCAATCAATGTGAAGCAAACACTCGCATGCAATTCAAATTTCTGCATGAATGGACAAGCTTTTAGGAGAGAAGGGAATACAATGCAACCATTGTATTCCACATTAGCGACAACACTAGCAACTTAAGATTAGGTAACTTGGGAAATGTCACAGAACTCGTCTTAGCCTGTAAATCCAAGTAGAAAGCAATAACATCCAAAATTAGGACTGGAAAACAAGGTGGATAATGAAAATATTTTAAATGTTGATTTAACTTGCCCATGATCTTTCGCGGTGCAAGAAAAGGATCTCAAGATTGGGAAAGATGCTCACATAATTACTAAGAGCACATGATGTTGTTTCATACCAGATGCCAAACCACATCTCATTGAGACATGGGATGCTATTAAGAGAAAAGCTTGTCTTAGGTCCATAATATTTAAAAGCTACTAGATGTTTTGCAGAAATTTCTATACTTTTCAAACGACAATATTTATGTATCTCCAACTGCTTCAACTGTAGGTCAGATCCAACAACTTTCAAATTCACCAAATTCCAGCAACTGCGAAAGAGTAAGTTCTCAAGGAGATTACAATTCACCAAGAAGTTACAAACTACGGCATCAGTGAGATCCACACTGTCCATTGAGAGGCTAATGAGAGATCTCAAACTTTCAAAACCTGGAGAAAGCACAATGAATGCACTTAAAGCCAGATGTTTCACAGACTACACATTGGCCTCTGTAAGTTTTGAGGATGGAAAAGTGTGGAGGTCATACGACACATTATATTCTCGAAGACCATCAGAAAAGTCAAGCTCAAGGATCTTAACTCTTCTTTCCAAAGCAAAAGAAATCCACCAATCAATGTCACAAGTCGCCTCTTTATTCAAATAGCAACAAATTCGAAATTGATTAATGTCTGAACCGTACTTATGTCGCCTCAAGACTCTATCCACCCAGTTTACAAATTCAGGAATCTTCTTGCGGAGTTTACTTACCATGTATTGCGTAAAACTATCATATCCACGCTTATTTTTATGTCAAAGTTACAGAATTGTGTACAAGTTCCTCCACCTTCTTGAAACAAGAGCGGCCATAGCTGCATCTTTCATTGTCAAGGAAGATAGGATGCAGAGAAGAATATCATTCGGCAACTCATCCACGCGGCACATCTTGAGGTCATTTTGCTAGTTTGTTTAGAACAATGAAAGAAGAATATTAGTACAATTAGCAGATTCCCATGGAATGTTGGAACGGTATAGATTTCAACCAATTACTCAGCAATATCATTTAAGTTTTTTTCCCACAGAAAAACATAACAATAGCATAACGAAGCGTTCTCCTTTCTTTCCTGTATTTTCAATGTACACTACCTTTTTGATAAAGAATGATATCCTGAACCTTGATAGATACAAACGGAAATTGGAGACCCCAAAAGCCAACCTCGAGGTTACAGGCTCGAATTCGTTCTTGCAGTATTTCATATTTGTAAATTTAGACTCAAATCTCCTCCGAAGTCAGATTGAATCTCCTTCGAGTCCTTGCTTGGAATCAGTTGGAACTAGGAATCAAAAAATAAAAAAAATAAAAAAAGCTTGATCATCATAAATCAGAACCTGGTGTATAATTGGGGTTATCACAAAAATAAATGCCCACTTATTGACATGCCAAATTTATCTATGTACACAGTATACAAACACTAACTGTTCTTAAAGAAGATTCTTTTCTCCAGAAAATTTAACCCACAAAACCAATGAGCAAAAAAAAGACATAATGAACAAGGTAGAACACGAACTTGTATGAGCAGATGATCCGCACAACAGCAGAGACGCCAATATGCAGTACTAGTAAGCAGTGACCCTATTTATGGGCTAAGCCTATAAACAATATAGGGAAACTAATCAATATACCACCTTCATAATTGAAAAAATCCTAAATTGGTATTGTTAATATAAATTAAAGATACTAAGAGATATGCTAGTTTAAAATTTTATATAAGGAAATTATACAATTAGCCGCTTAAGTCTCAGTTTCCTTACAACCGTCCCAACCCCAATCACAGTTAGTTACCATATTTCTTGAATCCGGTACACAGGAGCAGCAATGGCGATATTCTTTTATCACAATTACCATATTTCCCTTCTTGCAGGATAATGATCCATAGCTCGAATCGTGCTGTATCGGATCAATAAATTAATAGAGTGGGCCACATAGTTTGTTAAAGACATAAAATAACGAAGTTAACAATAGGGACATTCTAGTAAAAACGTAGTTTTCCTTCTATGTGAGCTCCTGAGGAAGTCGCATCTCCACTTTCTGGTCTCACTTCCACCGCACCTCTTTCTGATTGCAGTGATTCCGACGGTACCGCCGTTAGATAATGTCGTTTTCTATGAGTTACATATCGCATGGCAGGCCATCTTTGATTTCTAGTCCTGCTGAAGGTTGACGGCGGTTTATGGAAGGAGAAGACGCAAGGGTTTATGAAATACAAACTTGAAATACTGCAGTTTGAGGTTTCCTCAAATTGTCTGTTTTGAAACCCCAGATTAACGAATTTATAACAAGTTCATAATTGTAAGCTCTCTCCTATCTATCTTATTATCTATTTCTGTATCGCTCAAATCCCTTCGAAAGTTCTTAAATTACATTGGGTTTGCTTAGTATTATCATTTCTCATCTGTTTCTTTTTTTTTTTTTTTTTAAAATATCATTCTCATCTGTTTTCTTTTTTTTTTTTTTTGTAAAGAATAGAAGAGTTTGTTCCATAATAGTTTCTCGCCGTATATTTTTTATTTTTATTTTTTATTTTTTTCAATTTGCAGACAGAAATTTACAGAACCAACATTTTTTTTTTTTTTTTTAAAGAATAGAAGAGTTTGTTCCATAATAGTTTCTCGCCTATATTTTTTATTTTTTATTTTTTATTTTTTTCAATTTGCAGAATTTACAGAACCAACAACGATGCAGGAGAGTTCTTGATAGATGTATAGAAGATGATAGGGACAGGGGTACCCAAAGCTAAAAAAAATCTAAAAAGCCCAATTATTTTTTGTCTAGATGTTGGTGCAATTAGTGGTCCCGTAAGACTTTTTTATTCATCCGATCCCAGCACGATTCGTGCCATGTATCACAGTATCAGTGCCCTTGAAGCGAATCCGGTAAAAAGGAGCAGCAATGGCGATATTTTTTATCGGTAAATTGGGTTATAGACGGAAGAGTTTTAAAAGAATTGTAGCTCATGGGCCAAGGCCCGCCCAAGCAATCATTCCAAAACATATAGTACTGTCCATTTTAATACATTAACATCAATAATACTTAATGGTTCCATTTAGAAAAAATATGTATAATCAATTTAATTTAATTCTATCGAAGGATATTAATGAATTTAATCCTTAAGTAAAATTATCCCAAACATCATGTACATCAAAATGAATTCAACTTTCTAATTTTTAATTCCTTAAATATATGTAAACCTAAAAAAGAATAATAATACATAAATTAGATTCATAAATCATACTAATTTATAAATTTTTAAAACGTGATTAATGATTTTTCTTATTAATATCTAATTTTTATAAAAAATGTTGAGATTAAATTTTTCAATGTCTTTGAATAATAAAGTCTATATAAGTTTAAGTGAGTTGAGCAAAATGAAAAGATTAGGAATGGAAGAATAGAAGTTTAATACGATATAGAATAAAAAAAGGGTTTTCTCAAGCAAAGCGAGCGCGTTTTTCTTGTGCAACGATACAGATAGGGTAAGTGCACGAGACGTTGACGAAAAGCCCCAACCACAAACCAATCAAATTCAAAAACCAGTCCACATTTCAAATCCAACGGTCAACAATAATGTGGGTTTTAGCTTTTCATTAATAATAACATTAATAAAATAAATTAAAGCTTAATCACAATTGTTACTCATTAATCAGCAAAAATAGTTAGGAAATAATAAATAATAAATAAATAAAAAAAAACCTCTGCAAGTAAAGAGAATATGCCATGGTTATGTACGAGTCAGACATTCTCAGATGCCAAGTCGGTTTAAGCTAACTCTCCTTTCCTTTCATTTTATTTGCTTCCACATGCACTCTTTCTCTTTCTGTCCATTTTCTCTGCTTTCGCCTCCGCTTTATCTCTATCAGGTATTTGCCCATTTCACCCTCTCTCTATCTCTATCTCTTTTTCAACAGTTCGTCAATCATGTTTATTTTGAATATGCTTTGTTCCAGCAATTCTATAGGAGATTTTTTTTTTTTCTTTTTTTGCTTTTGCTTGCGGTTATGTCATGTGATGTATTTGAAGAAAACCCTAATGCTCTGTTTGGATGCTAGGATTTGGGGTTTAATTGAAAATAAAAACATTACGTTTACTTTTTTTTTTTGTTTTTTTATGTCGTCTTGCTGTCTCGGTATCCAAACAGAGGTATTTCTATCGTTGTTTCTTTTGAGAAGTTCCAGCGGTGGTGTCCGGGAAATTGAATGACCGCGGAGTAGGAATATAAGTCGTCGATGAATTTTCAATTGTTGTGCTTATTAAAGTTCTGTGTATTTCACTAACTATCACAAAGTTTCAGCAGTTCTCAACACTTGTATTGTTTGGAACTGTTTGATCAGGATCCTGGAGCTTGTCTTGGAGGTGGTTTTGGCGCTTGCAAATTCTGGTTTATTTACGAAAATTTTGAATTAATTGTTGTAAGAGTGAACTGTTGCAAGATTGTTCGATGGGTTCTGATAGGTTACTTGATAGCCTCAGAATGGAGAGGGTGAGGACGATTTTGACACATACTTATCCTTACCCACATGAGCATTCACGTCATGCCATCATTGCTGTGGCTGTGGGTTGCCTGTTCTTTATTTCTTCAGATAACATGCACACTCTAATAGAAAAGCTGGACAATAATGTTAAATGGTGGTCTATGTATGCTTGCCTACTTGGTTTCTTCTATTTCTTTTCTTCACCATTTTTAGAGAAGACTATCAAACCCAGTTATTCAAATTTCAGCCGGTGGTAAGTCTTCTATACTAAAGTCTTCTTCCTTGTTTATACACTTTTGTTAATGTGACATATATTACTAAAATGAGCCAATCGGTACTAATAATTTTTTGAACATTGACTTTTGCAGGTACATAGCTTGGATTTTAGTTGCAGCTCTGTATCATCTCCCCAGTTTTCAATCAATGGGAGTAGATTTGAGGATGAATTTATCTTTGTATTTGACAATATATTTATCTTCAATTTTATTTCTGCTTGTCTTCCACATTATTTTTCTTGGATTATGGTACGTTGGTCTTGTTTCTCGTGTTGCTGGAAAGAGGCCTGAGATCTTGACCATTCTCCAAAATTGTGCAGTAAGTCTTAAAGCTTTGAATATTATGCAACATGTGGTATTACCTTTAACGATCTGATCATTGTTCTCATACCTTTATCTTTTATTAGGTTCTCAGCATAGCCTGCTGTGTATTTTATAGCCACTGTGGTAACCGTGCTATCTTGAGAAATAAACCACTTCCAAGAAGAAATTCTAGTTGGTTTTCTTTTTGGAAGAAAGAAGAGAGAAATAATACCTGGCTTGCAAACCTTGTCCGCATGAATGAATTAAAAGATCAGTTCTGTTCATCTTGGTTTGCTCCAGTTGGTTCTGCAAGTGATTATCCGCTTTTGTCCAAGTGGGTCATATATGGTGAGGTAAGCCTATTTGCTATTACAAATTCTGTTTGAACATGTACTGTAGCACTTTGAGCTCTTTTCTGGTCCTTAATGTTCTGTGTTTTCTGGTATTGTTTTATGATTTGCAGTTAGGTTGTAGTGGAAATGAATGTGTGGGTTCATCAGATGAAATCTCTCCTATTTACTCGCTATGGGCAACTTTCATTGGGCTTTACATTGCCAATTATGTTGTAGAAAGGTCAACAGGGTGAGTGGTGATTCTGTGATTTGATTTAGGGGAATGATTTTGTTTCTTGGTATGGAAGGGAATTCAAAAATATTGTGCTAGATTTAACTTTTGGTCACATAATAGTTGGACATGCTCTTGATCCATCTTCACATTGGTGATGTTGAACGCTATGAAGTTATAGGAATGGCTTGAATTAGTACCATCAGTAGCTTTTCATTTTTCATTTCTTTATTTGTTCAGCTAAGGTGTAGGACAAGACACTATAGTTTGAGGGTTGATGTGCCACTGCTATTATCTGCATTCCTTTTCTTTTACAGATAAAGAACTCTCTATTTATTTGAATTGGTGTTGTCATATACTCATGAGTAACCATTTGAGAGCCTTGCTACCTAAGACTCTAGCTAGCTTCGTGTAATTTTGATCGTTTGATTAAGTATGCTCACTCAATATGCAAAACCTTCTCCTCGGTGGTTTCCTGGGTTATCTATTTGGTCAAGTATGCAGGGGAAGGGGTTGGTTCCTTGTTCCACTGATCTTTTTTCTAAATAATTTTCTATTCTTTTAACAAAACAGCGTAAAAAAGAAAGTAAGAATTTTTTGGTTATTCTACTATAGTAATCTCCTTGGATATCTTTTTTATATGGCTTCTTATTTTTTGAGTTTCTATTCCATTACTTGATTGTGTTACATGTACTTTGTTTTTGGCAACTCTTCTTATGTTTAGCTCCTCTTCCAATTGACTTCTTGCAATCAACAGGTGGGCTCTTTCTCACCCATTGTCAGTTCAAGAGTATGAAAAGTTGAAGAAAAAGCAAATGAAGCCCGAGTTTTTGGATATGGTTCCTTGGTATTCAGGGTATATATTTATCATTTCTCCCTAATATGCTCTCTCTCTCTCTCTCTCTCTCTCTTCTGTTGTAGTAATGAAGAGTTCCCATGGACTTTATAATGCTCGTCCTCATGTTGCTAGTGGTTATTTGTTGACAGAACATCTGCTGATTTATTCAAGACATTATTTGATCTCCTGGTATCAGTAACTGTGTTTGTTGGTCGCTTTGACATGCGGATGATGCAGGTATAGGTCCAGACTGCATGCTATATTCATTTAATAACTTGTGTTTCTTTAGTTATACTTCCTTAGATAAGTTGCATCTCTCTCTGAGTAACTCAACAAAATATTTCAAATATTTACAGAAGGAGTTGTTCTTTGGCCAATACTATCACAACTTACTGCAGAAGTTGTGGTTTAGTTGCCTTTGATTGTCACTAAATGAAGGAAATGTTAATTCTCTAGGATTTGATTTTTTTTTTTTTTTTTTTTGAAGAGATGAAAAAGGCCATTGCCAGCTATGTTTCCATAAAAACTACCTTAAAGGTCTCAAGTGCAGTCGCTTTAGTATTTTCAGGAAAGATGATGTTTATGTTTTTCTTTTTTTTTTTTTTTTTTTTGGGAATTGTCATGTGGAAGCCTATTTGTAATTTAATCGTAAAATTCACTTTTTTATTGACGTTTTTTTCAATTACTTTTCAATTTCTAATTTACATCTGAGAATAACTTCTTTTATTTCTGTTAACTCACATGGTTTTTTTTTTTTTTTTTTTTTTTTTTTTGGAATTGTCATGTGGGAAGCCTATTTGTAATTTAATCGTGAAATTCACTTTTTTTATTGACTTTCTTTCAATTTACTTTCAATTTCTAATTTTACATCTGAAATAACTTCTTTTATTTCTGTTAACTCACATGGCAGAATAATCTAAAGGGCTTGTGTTAGATATTTTGAATTTTTTGTTAACAGGAACTTTGCATGTGGATAAGTTCTTAATTTTTTTTTTTTTTTTTTTGAATAATGGTTCAATCTATGTTTTTTTTCATGTTTATCATTCTTCTACTTCTATTGATGATTTAGTGACTTCTGTCTTTCCTTGCCTTCATCGTCAGGCAGCAATGAGCAAAGTTGAAGATGGAGCACAACAGGGAGATCTTTTATATGATCATTTTAGTGAGAAAGAAGATCTATGGTTTGACTTTATGGCTGATACTGGTGATGGTGGGAACTCATCTTACACTGTTGCTCGACTACTTGCCCAGCCTTGCCTTCAGCCTACTGGAGGTGATTCTGCACTGTCACTACCGCGTGGAAACTTTCTCCTTATAGGAGGGGATCTTGCGTAAGTTTGATCATATTTCATGCATGTGTGACATCTATTGCCTATAAAATGACATGGTCAGATTATTATTGACTTAATTGTCAAAAGTCCCACTGCTTGATTGAGTCCTTGTATTTGACTATTTGTTAACTAAAGCACCTTTAATAATTTTTTGTCATTCATAAGTGTGGTGAATTTGAACCTTTGATAGGCCAAACTTCTGATGAATATCTTAAGGTTGGTTGACTATGTTGGGGGTCTGGAAAAGTAATTTAGAAGTTAATATGGTTTACTAGTTTAAAAAAAATTGTTACTGGGTTTAAATTTTTCTTATTATGGAAAGCCCTAAGTTAGGTTTAGTGCTCTGTAATTTGATTTCTCATGATTGACCAGTAAAGCAAAGATAATTACTGGTCTGCTGTTTGGAATTCAATTGTATTTTAGATTCCAATCTCAAGGTAAGACGTTTGAATTTTGTTTCAGATTTCAATTTTATCGGTGTAATCTTTCTCACTGCCTGTTGGAAAAGTAATGCTGTTACTGTTGGGTTCAGCTTTACTATAATGCATGGCATTGTTTTCCAGACACTACCTTCCTACTTGATTGACGTCCACTTTTAATCTGCTTCTGCCTGCATTGATGGTCATTCTTTTGTACATTGTTGTCTTGGCCTTGTCATAGATATTGCTACTCTTTAGAGAGTACTTTCATGTTAACCTCTTTCATCAGTATGAGCTCATTGGGATTTGTATTGGGTGCTGCAGGCTATTAATGTGCATATAGCTTCCGTAATTTAAACTCTGTTTCTAAAATGTGAAGACTCAGTGTGGGTTTCTGTGAAATTTTTGTACTTCATTTATATAGATACCTTGCTTTCACTGGATTGTTTTGCTCATTTGCACAACAATTTGTAAATAATCTATTGTTACTTGTTTACAGTTGAGGGCATTTTCCTTTTCGGGTTCCCATTGGGTTCATGGGAACTTTTGGGTTTCCCTGGAATTGGAACCTCTGATCTCGTGCAGTATGAGGTAGTCGTGTGACTATTGGGTAATTAGCCCATGACACAGTTGAGGGCATATGCAATTATCATTTTTCTGCATGCATTTGTGTGTGGGTTATCGAATTATTTTTTGCTTCTTTCCTAACACTTATGTACTTTTTTAACTAACAACTTATGGTTTTCTTCTAGATATCCTAATCCATCAGCATTCACTTATGAGAGGCGTCTGTTTTGTCCTTTTGAATATGCTCTACAGCCCCCTCCTTGGTATAAACAAGAGCATATAGCTGTGAACAAGCCTGAGCTACCAGTTGGGGTGTCTGGACTGAAGCAGTATGATGGACCTCAGTGTTTTGTCATTCCTGGAAACCACGGTTGGTTCTCGTTTTTACAATGAACCTCCCATTAGATTCTTTTTTCATGTTTAAAAAATGGTCTTGCTCTTGCAAATTATTTTGATATTTATTCTTATTATTTTCTGATGTACTTAATCAGGTGTTACGTGTTTCCTTGTTAGACTCTCTGGGTTCTTATCAGCTTTCTCATAACCGGTTGGCTTGATAAGCTTTTTCTAACTTTACAGATTGGTTTGATGGACTTCATACTTTCATGAGGTACATTTGTCATAAGAGCTGGTTGGGTGGGTGGTTTATGCCCCAAAAGAAGAGCTACTTTGCTTTGCAACTCCCAAAGCGATGGTGGGTTTTTGGTCTTGATTTAGCACTCCACAATGATATTGATGTGTACCAGTTCAAATTCTTTGCGGAACTAATAAAGGAGAAGGTACTTTCTTCTTTATCTTTTTTCACCATATTGATATATTCGGCAGCTAAATTACGCAAGCAAACAAGTCTCTTGGTGTGCTTTCCTTATCCTCTTTCACCATATTGTATGTTTCTATGGTGTTATGCCCATGGATGCTTGTTATGATTTTTAGCATGCTGCATATAACTGTATTAGAAGTCCCAATTTATGTGGTGGTACAGATACTCTTAATTGTGTTGGGTACTCAGGTTAGACAAAAATGATTCATGCTCTCATTAAATCAGGTGAAAATTTTGGGAAGAGTTCTGCAGTTATTTTTCTAGATTGTGGTGATATATATGCACACTTTATTTTGCTGAACCTGGGAGGAAATTCTGTGCTACAGTGTGTTTGGATTTTCCATATCCTAAAAGCTTGTCTGAATTTGTTCTTCATGCTTAAATCCATCAAACACAGGGTCTAAAGACATTAGCCTTCATATGAGTGTGTACTTACTCACAATTGCATCATCATCATGACAAAAAAATCGACGGTTTCATGACTTTCGATGGTGTTACTACTGTTGATCTCTGTGCTATCTATGTGTTTAAGCCTTTTCTTTTAATGTCAATTTGCTTGGACCAGTGCTTATAATTGTCTGTATAATAAAGAATGCTCACCAACACAATTTAATTAAACAAGATCTGGTATCAAATTTTTTAATGGTAGACAATTATTTCATCTTCTTTTCTAGAAACTTTATGTATGGCAAGTAGGCCGTAGTGCTGTTCCACTGTGTTTCTGACTTTTCAGGCTTTACTCGTTCTTGTAGAACCTCAATGAAGACATGTAACGCCTGAGTGATACAATCATTGATTTTTTAGCATGATTTATTTTTTGCACATTTCTGTCAACAACTTGATATAAGTTGCAGAATGTACTGCTAAAGATCGCATCCCTACTGTTATTATTGTTTTCATGCTTAAAGAGCTATTCTCACTGTGTGGAGTAACCAATTTTGTTCCACCAAATAACTTTGTAGCTGCTGTAAATGATTGTTGGGTTTTCTCACTTCACTGCTTTCTCTGTTCTGATATGATATTAAGTCTTAGTTGATCTGGAGTTTGAAACAGCGGTTTCTAATTTTGTAGGCTAATTTCTGTGATGGCCTATTGTCCTTCTCTTCTGTTGTCTGATGGTACTTATTTCTCATCATCTTCGATCCAGGTTGGAGAAAATGACTCAGTAATCATTATGACACATGAACCAAATTGGCTGCTCGATTGGTACTGGAATGATGTTTCCGGAAAGAATGTCTCACACCTGATATGTGATTATTTGAAAGGAAGGTGCAAACTTCGAATAGCTGGGGATGTGCATCATTATATGCGTCATTCATATGTTCCATCAGAAGGGCCGGTTTACGTGCAACATTTACTTGTAAATGGATGTGGTGGTGCATTTTTACATCCTACTCATGTCTTTGCTAATTTCAAAGAATTTTGTGGAACAAAATATGATACCAAGGCAGCTTATCCTTCTCTAGAAGATTCAAGCAGGGTAAAATTTGGATTTCATTTTAATATGATCTTTATAATTTATATATATCCTTCAATTTCTTAGTGCTATTGCTTCTTGATCATGTTTGACAGATTGCATTGGGAAATATTTTGAAGTTTCGAAAGAAGAACTGGCAATTTGATTTCATTGGTGGCATTATATACTTTTTGTTGAGCTTCTCTATGTTCCCCAGGGTAAGCATGTTTTCTATTCCATGCTAATTACTTTGTTGGGTTTGTTCGGACCTCAGTGACTACAATTAGGTTGAATTACATTTTTGAATTCCTCCTTTCGTCCATGCCAGCATCAATTTTGGACCCAGTGGGTTGGGTTGGAAATAAGGATGCATTTCATTTCTCTTCCTTTCATGTGAAAATTAGCTTGCACCTTCCTAAGACCTTAAATTGGATGGTATTGTTACTGTTTTGCATAGTTAACCAAAGGGTTATGTTATTTTGTTACATAAAAAGGTTCATATATCTTTTTGCTGATGGTTGACCGAGTTTTCTCCCCTTCATTTCTAGTGTAAGCTTGGCCACATCCTGCAAGATGATAATTTTTCTGGTCACTTGTGGAGTTTCTTTGGCACTGTGTGGAATTCTTTTATGTACGTGCTGGAACACTCTTGTGTATCATTGGCAGGTGTTGTGGTATTGCTAATAGTGGCAATCGCATTTGTCCCACCCAAAATGTCTCGAAAGAAACGGGCAATTATTGGAATTCTTCATGTTTCCTCGCATCTGGCTGCAGCTCTAATTCTTATGTTGCTTTTGGAATTGGGTGTTGAGACGTGTATCAGACATAATCTTCTAGCAACTTCAGGTCAAGTTAAAATTTTCTTCTATAATCAGGGTTTTCCTACTATTTGTGGTCCTGTATAAATCTGAAGAAGGGCTGCATTTCTAGTTTCTGTTGCCATGTTGCGTGTTTTGCTAGTCATCTGAGTAATGCACTTAATGGATAGCATGTCTCTGCTGATGAAGATAGCTGGTTGAAATCACATCTGAGGAATTCTCAGTTATTACTATGTTGCGTGTTTGATTTAGCTTTAATTATTTGATAATTTTTACAACTATAAAACTATTAATGCTTATTTCTTGAATTACAAGTCTTGTGTCCTGGAAATTATTTGAGTAATGTGGTTTTTTGAGCTCGATATATTGATATTTTTTCCAGGCTATCACACTTTATATCAGTGGTACCGATCAGTAGAGAGTGAGCACTTTCCAGATCCTACTGGCCTTCGATCTCGAATAGAACAATGGACATTTGGGCTTTATCCAGCATGCATCAAATATCTCATGTCTGCATTTGACGTTCCTGAGGTAACAAGGTTATAATTGTTATAAAGTACGATACTATTTTTTAATTTTTAGTGTACGGTATTCATGGCAGAAAATATCAGGTAATGGCAGTTACACGGAGTAATATTTGCAAGAATGGGATTGAGTCACTGTCAAGAGGGGGTGCTATCATTTATTATGCTGCTGTCTTCCTCTACTTCTGGGTCTTCTCAACGCCAGTTGTTTCTTTGGTTTTTGGAAGTTACTTGTACATCTGCATTAACTGGCTTCACATACACTTTGATGAAGCATTTTCTTCACTTCGAATTGCTAATTATAAGTCCTTCACTCGATTCCACATCAATAAGAATGGTGATCTTGAAGTGTATACGCTTGCAGTTGATAAGGTATTTCATTGGCTACAGTTTTCTTTTTATCTTTGCTACTAAAAATAATATTATGGCGATATAGTGGTATTTTCTGTTCCAATAAGTTAAAAATTCTAGCTTTTTGATAATGAAAGATAACGCAAGTGAGAAATGATTCTTGCTTTTGCACATCTATGCACGGCACGGTAAGGATGCACCTCAAGATTGGGAATATAGGCAGTTAAACCATCATCCTGTGTAGTCTGTATCTAGGATTGTGATGTTACTGATTGTGAAACTGCATGATGCGTATTTAGATCAGATCATTCTAGTAAGAAATGGGAATATTAATATTTCTGATTCCGTGTGATCTTCAGATCCCAAAGGAATGGAAGCTGGATTCTAATTGGGATGCGGAACCAAAGCAGCTGCAGCAGTTGAGTCACCATCGGCAGTTTCCTAGCAAATGGCGAGCGGCCACTTCTCAGTTGGACCCACTAAATACTGTTAAAATAGTTGATCACTTTGTTATTCCACAAACAGAAAACCAGATATCGGAGCAAGTATTGGATCAGTAATTCACTGATCTTGATGCTCAATAACATAAATGTAATATCATCATTTAGGAAGCAGTACACGGGGAGGGGAGAAGAAAAAGAAAGAAAAAGAAAATTAGTTATGGAACTGATTTCCATTTTTCAATTTCTAATTCCTGATCAATTATCAGGCTGTGAAATCGAGTAGCGTAGTTGTTCCTATTTGTTTGGGTTTCACTCAAACCCATTGTATATTGTAATATTTAGGCTTATCGTCCTTTAGATCATTTGCATGTCAAAATGAAGTGCCCATCTGATGATTATGATCTGTGTCTGTCTCAATCTTAATCAGACTCTTTTTTACTTTAAAACTTGTTGATCCTATTTTTTAAAATGAATTTTAAAGACAAATATTTCATTATTTTTTGTATTAATTTGTTTTGACACTATAATAAGTGCCTCTGAATGGGAAAATATATGCACTTAAAAGCTAGGCTAGATGTATATAAATACAGTTTGGTTGTCAGCTGAGTTGTATTACCTTATACTTGGAATATATTAATCTTTTGCAAACAATTACTATTATCCGATTATCTTATTTATAATTATTTAAAAATAATAAATAGCTAGTAATTATTATTATATAATATTAAACTAATATTTACTAGTTATATAACATGTTAAAATAAAATATTTATCTCTAAATGTATTTACATTTTAGTAGTTATTTTATATTTTAAAATTTTATTGACTAAATAACGTTAAAATTTTATCAAATAACTAACATTTATTAGGTAACAACTATCCTATCTATTAGCTACACGAGAAATTAAGATTATAACAATATGGTATCACGTTGGCTGGCTTAGGAGTCTTACGGAGGATAAGAAATTAGCAAAATCGAATTTTATTTAAATCATTTTTTATATGGTATTGCTGAAAATTACATTTAATAATCTGAATGAATAAAATTCTGATATGATGATCCATTTAGTACTTTCAACACACTATCCCAATTTTGTATATAGTTTGATAAGTTCCCACTGTGTATCTTTACTTGTCGGCTCGTCAGTTCTCTGTATGGCAATTTCAGAAATTCCTGAACTTCTTTCAGTTTCTGCACATTCAAAAATTTCTTTACATATGATACTACCAAAAAAAAAAAAAAAAAAAAAAAAAACTCCCTGCAAAAATGTATATAACTTAGTTTGTTTTTCCTTCAAAAAATTGGGATGGAAATACAAACTATGTAAAATATCTGCAACTAAGCAAGTTATTTACCTGATTAAGCATCCATTTGAATCCAACAGCTGCATTGCACTCGTTCTTTGAAGCACTGCTAAACCAATCAAGATTATATACTTTATCCAATGTCTTTACAATTGCAGAAACATTTGCCCTTCTATCTTTCTTTCCAAAGATTTCTCCATTGGAGCTAACGTTGATGTGACTGTTTAGCAATGTTTCAAACCATCCACTTCCTGATCTTTGCATAGACAAGATTGCAAAATACCTTACAGGATTGCAAGCACATTCCTCTCTGAACATAACAAGAAAATAGGAATATGAATGAAGATTTTACACAGAATTAGTGTCCATTTTTTCCCAATCATTAAGTAGTTATTTACCTGCTAAATGTTACGGGATTAGGGTAATGCACGTAAGGAAGTTCGGACGGTTCTATATCGGAAGTATTACATTGTTGGTCGAATACCATGAAATTTAAGAATGAGGCTGTTGTCTGTGGCCCTATTTGCTTTAAACATATTGAGCAAATATAAATTCCACAAACCATAGCAAAAGCTAAAACCACCAATCTCAAAGCTAAAGGAGATTTCTTTGGAGTCTTTGTGACTGATGAATCCTGAAATTCAAGAATTACAAGAAGACGATGAATATGAAAAGGGAAAAAACAAGATTGAATTGAAAGTGTTTAAAATTAAAAAAAAAAAAAAAAATTTTCTAAGTAAAGATAGGATCATACTGTAGATTCCATCTATAATACTCCATGAAAGTAGACTGTGATCAAATTAAGGAGAAAGAAGAAAGTAGAGGGAGGAATTTGGGTTTTATTATGTTGTATATCTCGGAGATAAAGAAGGCGATAGAAATGGTCAGAGCATAGGCTCACTTGAAAAGATCAGATCAAATTAATCAAAACATTAAACATGCATGTTATTATAAAATTATAATAACACAATAATAATAATAATAATTAGAACATGTTTTATTAAAAGCAAGAAAGCTCAATCGTCTTTTTAAGAGGGAAAATAATTGAAATTGAGATTTAATTACTTAGCTAATTGGGTACATACCCTGTTGAATAGTAAGCAAACATCTTCAGCCATTCTTGAGGAAAGAAGAGAAAACAGATAAGAACATTTGCAGTTCTCTTTCCTCTCTCTTCCTATTCTTTCTTTCTTTTTGGGAGTCTTTCCAAGAAATTTTGTCAAACAAACTCATGTTTTAAAGCTTTTTCTTGTGAAATTGACATATATATATATATAAAATGATGCTCTCTTGCAATCTTTCTTCTATATGTTTTTATTAATATAGCTAAACGCGTTTCTCATGCCATTCTTTTATTGGACATTTGTGAAAGAATAGTGCCACCAGAAATTTCAAACATGAAACTTCGGTTTCAACGAATAATTAATGTCTTTGAGTGGGGGAGAGAGGGTGAGACTTGAGAGACAACCTTAGCCACCGCCAAGGGATATGTTTGCTTTTTTCCTAAATATTAATTTGGTACTGCTCTTTTGACATTACTATTATAAATATCTCATTTTGAATTAAAAGCTAAAAATAATTATATTTGCTTGTTGATTATATATATTGTAATGTTAATTATTATGGGTCTAAAATTAATTTTAAGAATGTTTGTATTTTAAATTTCTTCCAAAATCAATAAACCAAAGTCACGTTTTAAGAATCCATTATCTTGTGTGATAAAGCTTTTTTTTTTTTTTTTCCATTAAATTTTGATCTCAAATAAGCTATTTAGCAATAGAAATACCAAACCAATCCTAAGAAACTTGACATTGTGGCCAACCGAGTTGCTGAGCAGGACTATCCTAAATGACCTGTTATACACCATTTCTACCATTTTCAGGATCCAAACAATAATGCAAGCAACTTGGTTGCAGGCTTGCACTATTATTAAGAGAATCTAGAAAAGCTACAAAGAAAAGAAGCTGAAACAAATAAAGAAATACTCACCTTTACAGAGTTGTGACTCCCACGCGAGAAATTGTCTCCCTAAACTTGCCTTTCAGCTCCTTTTGTAGGTACTTTTTTTGTGTTGATATGTTTTATTATGGTTAAGTTCTGTTTGAGTTTCTAATGTTATTATCATCAAACAACTTGGCTTTGTTGGTAAAGCAATTCATACAATACATATATTAGTATATAGCCAAATCAAGCCTTGTCGTTTGTACACTTGAGGATTCAAGAGAGACAATGGAGACGATCTTCCATGATACATGACCAAAAAAAAAGAAAATGCTGCTTCCTGCTCTGAAATTGCTGTATTTACGATATAACAGTGTCACTGAAGCGTAAGCTGTTCCGTGTCTAGAAATAAAAGAGCTTCCTTTTCTCAGTTATCTCCTGCAATCCCATTGCATTGCAAAGTTTGATCTTGCTCCTGCAAGCAGATGTTAAATCGACACAACAGGGAAATTGCTAACTGGTATATAAAATAAGAAACCAATCATTTATGATTCGTGTTATGAAAAAAAAAAAAAGTGGAGATTTTGGAAAATTTGGTGAAAATTGACGAGCAAATTAGACATTCAATATCATAGACAAATCTTTTTGATCCCAAGCCAGTGGTTTGATGGCTGTTTAATCATGAATGAAAATTTATGTAACAGTAAAGATAAGAGGGAAAAAATTTCTTTTCTTTCGTTTTTTTTTTTTGAGACAACTCTAGAATTAACTCTTCCTAACATTATAATCTAAGTGAATGGACTTCTTACCAATCGCACCACAATATCAGGAATCAAGGTTTAGGCCAAAAAAATAACAACGAAGGCACAAAGCACTGTGCATAGACATCAGATTAATCACAAAAGAATGATGAAAAAGAATTGCATCTTACCAAGAACAAACTGCCCAACATTGTTGAATGCGAAAACAACTTTTCTTCATGAGATGATCAACCGAACTATCTGCCCCAAATACCTGAATGACTTTGTTGCTTCTTTTAAACATTTGTTTTTCACATCTCGAGACCAGTGCTGCATAGATAGATTTACAAAAATCCAGGGTAAGTCCCAATAAAAGCTAATACATGCCACATCAAATATAGTCTCAAGTAGTCAACCTCTCCAAGCATATTAAGATTCTCACGTGTGCCCTTCAACAATTCTTGAACATCTCCATCCCATCTGTAGAATTCCAACTCTCTTCCTTTTAGGATCTTTTCAGAGACCTAAATTAAATTTGAAGAGTTTCAAGGGATGGTAAGGGTTTCTAGAAAAGAAAAAAAAATCCACGTTTCAAATCTGAATAGAAACAACCATTTAAACATTCAAAGCAACTAGATCAAGCAATAGAATGACAGTGCATTGATCAAACAGATATGAGACAACAACATGGTTCATATTTGGAAGAAGGCAAGGAGACATCGTGATTGATATAAATTTGCATATGGCATCACTATGCATCCCTAAATTAAACTTGCAGACTCAAGAGAGCACTAAACAATAAATAAAGCAGTAAAACTCCATGTAGAGTTCTTCACTGTCCATGACTTGCCCAAATTTTTTTGGGGCAGCTGCAGATGCTATGCCATTTTGTTTCACTGTACTATGATGGATAGCTATACCATGCAAGATCCATGTGTTCGTCATACAACGTTTGCTACTTCCATATGGATTCAAACACCTCTTCAATTCTTAATTAAGCATTACTGAACAAACTTGAAGCTAAGAAGCCAAATTATCTATGAAACAAGCGGCAGACATAATTCTCAATGAGCACATAGTTTGTCTGCAGAAAAGGTCAATTGTCTACTACCCAATAGTTCAGTTTTTCCTATATAACTAACTAAGATTTTTCCAAGGTATAACTGGAACTTAATTTATATCATTAGCTAAGTGGTAGTTGACCTCAAAATATTTTCCTTACCACAGTCACAGTTATCATCTTTTTGGTAGGTTGATACATATGCTACTGTATCAAGGATTTTAAGCAAACAAGATATTACTTTTCATAAAATGATCTGTGAGAACAAAGAAAAAACCATATTTCACCGAGAAATTCTTAGGCCTACAAGATTAACTCGATATCCTTAAGGCTTATAAGCTCAAGTTCTGAAATTGCACATGTTCCTCTTAATCAAGATCACTAACTACAACTCAAAGACACACCAATAAACCTACCTCACCATCATTATACACCTGCTATATGTGAGAAGTATATATTATAAAAATGACAAAGAAACTCTTCTCTGTAGGCTCGATCCAAAGATTTTAAGACAGCAACAAGATACTGCTTTTCATAAAATGGTCTGTGAGAACAAAGAAAAACCATATTTCACAAAGAAATCCTTAGGCATCCAAGATTAACTTGATTTTCCTAAGGCTTATAAGCTCAAGTTCTGAAATTGCACACGTACTGTTTAATCAAGACCAAAAACTATAACCCAAAGACACACCAACAAACCTGTCTCGCTATCACTTGACCTCCTGCTATATGTGAGAAGTATATATTATAGAAATGACAGAGAAACAAAGGAGCACTCTTCTCTGCAAGCTCATTTAAATACTTGGCATATGAAACTCCAGGAGCACTGGGTTCAGGAATAGCAATATCCTGTTGGCTAAACCACTCAAGGTCTTTTGCAATCCCCTGTGATCGTTCCAATCCAGTTCTTCTAAAATAGGTATCTGTAATGAAAAGAGATATTAAATTGGCTAACTTTATGAACTGCAATTCTAGGCAGCAGAAAAATTCCCAATATTAGTTACTTGGTACAATTATGACAGGAATAGTGATGATGATTTACCTAACAACCAAGACAGCTAGACATAATTTCGTTGCCACAGCCCAAGAATAATTGGTAATTCTATTTATGCTCTTTCACCATAATAACTAACGAAGCAGGGAAGAACAGGATCGTACACTAAATTTTACAAAAATTAAAAGAAATCATATACTTGGATAAAAAAAGTATACACGTATACTCACAAGAAACGTCATCGGATTTATCTACAATGCGCTCGATAGTGTCGAAAACGAGTTTGCTGTCAACCAGATACTTAACGAATCCTTCCATACTGGCAACCCAAGTTTCCCCATCAAGCGCACCCTCTTCTTCTTTTTCATCTAATTCGTTGTTGTTGTTTTGTGAATTTCTGGACTCATTATCGTCTTCGTCATCACTGCTAGCGGACTTGTGGGTATATTTTCCTTTGAGATTGCGAAGCCTCATAGCAACAAATCTCATTTCTTCAGTGATGCCCTTTTTCTCTCCTGGGTAGGGCTTCCTGTATCTCTTTCTCTTTTTAATAACTGGAGGACCCATGTTTTGTGTTGTTGTTGTTGTCGTAAAAGAAGAATTGGAATTGGAGCAACACATGATTAAGGGGCTTGCTGCAATTCTCGTTCTTGTCAAAATTGGGCTTATGACCTTTGATTGAGAGGAATGGAATACTGTGTTATTTACATGAGGCTCCATTGGAGGAGCCATTGATATTGTGGTTAAGGAGAACAAACACATTGCTAAGACTTAATAACTGCAGTCGTTTGAACCATTAACGTCTTTCCTACTGCTTCTGCTGGAACTAGTAGATTTTGATGACGAGGGTTTTACTCTTGCTTCTAATGGGCTACAGCTAAATCTAAAAGCCGCTCATATCAGCCTAGGCTTCTAAGTCCATTGGATCGAACTCAGAGTCCAATGGCCTTTCGTCTTAAAGACAGAACCGCAAAATTTGGCACTGTGACAGTTATATTTACCAAACAGTAAATATGAATTTACCGAACAATCTCAACGGCACAACTGCTATAATAGTGCACAATTTGTTGGCAAAAATGGTCTAACCATTGAATCAAATACAAGGGCACAAAATTTGGAACTTTTCCAGAATCCAACATTAAAAATTATCATATTTAAGTTGAAACAATATTCATAGACCTTATATTTTTCTCAACAAAAACAGCTTAGCAAGAATGCTTTCTTTAAATTATTTATTAATCCCTTGTTTTGGGAATTAAATATTTGAAATTATATACAACACCTACACCAACTACGTGCAGGCTTATTTACAGAAGCAATAATACATGATAAATGATGTACAAAGTTAATTTACAGATTTAATCTGAAAAACACGAGGAAAAAAAATGTGAAAAAAGAATTTTCTTTCCTCTCTAACTGAAAAAGAATGCATCGTCTCGTCAGCAAGCTTCATCTCCTTTAGTTCAGTAATCTAATTAGTAGCTACTATGAGTTGCTGATGAATTGCCCTCAAGAATGTCAAATTTTGTTTCAATCACCATGCAAACTAACCATCCTGCATGATAATCAACGTCAATTTTCAAGTATATAAAATCACAGTGAAGCATCTCATTTTGAATACCGGGCTGTTAGCTTGCGTAAAAATTCTAATGTCTCAGTATAGGAAGGATCATCCCGGTTGATTGGCTTGCAAGAATTTATATGATCTGTTGACTCCAACACCTGTTTCCAAGATTGGAAAAAGTGAGCCAAAATTTGAGAAAAACCCAACATCAGACCCAGTACATAATAGTTATTATGATAAAAACACCTACAACAAGATCACCAAATCCAGGGTATGCTGATTCTATAGGTACAATTTCCATCCTCCAGGCCCATCCTCCATACCCTTCAACAATTGGAGTTACCTTTGTCTGCAACGCAAGAACAGATACCATCAGGCGCAAAAGGCAAAAACATACATGCAAACAGATACACAGGGAGCAGAGAAAAAGGAAGAAAGGGATTTGAGGGAGGATGAGGAGAAGAGCACAGGCATCAAAATTCAGGTTTATATATTACTTCACAAAAACTGAGGACTTCAACCAGTCTTTTCTTGTGAAGTTGGCGGATGAAGTCATTAAGCTCAACCAGTCTTGGGGAACCACTTCTTAGCTCCCCTATCTGTGAATCAGCAGGTACTATTTACTATCAGCATGAACCAAATCATAGGAACTTATTTAACTTTAAAATTATGTACTCAATTGTAGACTAACAGTCGGAGCGGGGCGAAACACGAGACCCATTCGCCAAGGCATGTCTGCTAGCTTACTTCCAAAGTGTGGACAGCTGTAGAAGACCTGAAATAAAGGTAAAATATCAAGATTAAACAATCTGACAGCCTCAGCCAATAATTTAGAGAAAAAAAAAAATTGAAGCATCGTAATGTAAATTGCTATCAAATCATCAAGTGAAGCTTACAATTCCAACAGTGTTGTTTACAAGGTTACTAATATTTTTTTTTTTTTTTTTTTTTTCTTTTTTCTCTGGGTGGTGGAGGTGGCTTTCATCGCTGAATGCAAATCTAAAAAATAGATATCCAATCAGCTTTTACAAAGAAAATTATGTATCATTTTAGCACAAATCATCATATGTTCAGCTTGCGTTATGATCAAGTTGGAGCTATCACTTTAGTAATCCTTAATCTTGATAAGCATATCCGACTCCCTATCTTATGTCAACTGATGTTAGTTTGCAATAATTTGCAAAAATGTGCTAAACAAGAATTTTTGTATCTTTGATGAACAAAATTTCAGCACGCAGGATAATGCAGCCAAACAAATCCAAGTGGGTATTGACAATACTGGATTGGAAAGCTTACGTACCTGAAGAGGCAGGGTAGCTCCAGACCATTGTGTAAGATTCGTCTGCGCCAAACATTCAATCAGGGTTAAACAGAAAGAAGGAGCTAAACCAAGAGACCACATCAGAAAAAATATAACCAGGAAAAGCTGAAAGAAATGAAGTATATACAAATTTCAAGAGGCAACATCAGAGAAACACCTTCCGAGCTAAACCAAGAACTTCTTGAGACAAACCTTGTATTTCATGGTAAACATGCGCACTTGAGGCATGTCAACAGAAAGCCATTCTGCTGGCCAAAACGTTCCAAGCTTCCCAGCTTCCTCATCAATCTTCTCTACCAAGCCAGATTTAGTTGAGGTTTTGTCCTCAGATAAGCGCCAAGTCTTATAAGGCCCACCACGCAAACCATGTACAAAAATAACATCTAACTGAGGAGCCTCTAATTTAGAGCTATTCTGGGATTCATTGGCAGTAGTAGAACGTTCTCTTAAGTCTGAAGCTCTCCTTATGGATGAACCATCACCATTATTAGAGTCAGTCTCAGCCAACAACAATGCATTTCTTTCAAATGCCTTACTATCCATATTTTGACAGAGTTTCCAGTGAGGCAACTCTGGATTAATCAAAAATATCATGTCATTATACCGAGGACAGCTGCTGTTTCTGTTTGTACATCCAGTTTCAGGAATTTCACTGTTTACATGGTCTCTGCTAGAATGGTGACAACAAAATATGTTTAAGAGTGTTGCCCTAGCATAACTTTGTATCTTGCAATCACTGCAACCTGGGATCTTACCATTAGCACAGTCTTCAAGCCATTTACACCAAACTTTATCGGTTAGAATTGCCTTCTGGACTTTTGGAAGGTGTGAAAGGACAGTTAACAACCTAGCTGCATGCCTTCTAATGTGAGCTGTTGGTGGAACTCGCACGCTAGATGGATCATTAGTAGCAGCATTAGGCATCTCACCAGAAACATTTGAAACCCGCTCCTGTGCCTCAAGGACTCTAGATGCATCATAAGCTTCCAGAGCAGAGAGTCTCTCGTAATCATCACACAACAAAAATCGCCTCAGTAAGCACAAGACCCCAAATTCAGCTACCTTGTCTTGACATAAAGAATCCTCAGAACAAAGTTCAGTCAGTGCTTTGATCCCTTTAAGTGTTGCCAATGCAGAATCTGCCACATTAAACTTAGATACAGCATCTTTCTTAAAGTTTTGAAATGGTACAACAAAAGGTTGCAGTGAAAGAAGATCTGCCAATGGAAGTGTATCAACAGAATCAGTGGTGGCTCCCAGCTGATTCCCTGCTAGATTTACAACAGCGCCTGCCAGCTGATTAGCAGTTTGTGTGGCGAAAAGAATGTTGGACTGATCAATTTGAGTCTGCAAAAGTTAATAAGCCTTGTTGAGACAGATATCATATTGAGATGATATAGGTACATTCTAGCTGTATATGCCAGATTAATGGACCTTATTGAAGTAAAACCAGGTTAAACTTTTGCATGCAGCATCATCCTAATTTAAATGAAATGATAGAAGTATTCACAAACCTTCACTTTCTCACTTTTAGGCTGAGTGACTCCCTTAATAGATGAAGCTTTGCTGGAAGTGAGAACCTCGTTTAGCAGAATGGCTAACCATCCTTGAGAAATTGGTACAGAAGATGGCCCATGGTCTTCAAGAATGCATGAAAGTATTTTTGTGGCTGAAGATCGTATTGTGTTAGATGAAACTTTTGCAAAAACCCAAGAAAGCAGAATGCCAGACCACTTTTGGCTCTCTTCAAGAGATAAATGTATATCCCTGGTAGAAAGCAACTCTAAAGCTCTTGCTAATGCTTCTTGCACTTGCTTGTATTTTGTTGTCCGCTTAACTGTGTCTCTCATAAGCTCAAGGCCCTTTTCCATCACTATCTTCCGCGCCCCTGGGCTTCTTTCAATAGAAAGCAAAAAACCAGATAAAGCCACCTGAGCCAAAGGAATATCCTCATTTTTACTTGCCTGAGAGACAGTATTGAGAAGACTGGAGCTCCAGTCAGAAACAGAATCATTTAAGGGCAGATTACGGTCCTCCAAGAGCAACCGAGCTACCAAGCTTCCATGCCATTTCACAGATCTCTCAGGCGCAATTAAGGCAGTCATTACAGCTTGCCCATCCTGATCCAATTCCTGAATATGAGATCTGTTGACCTCAGATGCCATAGCCCAATTGGCTAATGCCCATGCTGCAAAAGGCACAGCAACATGTTGACAATGTAGATCATCCCAGAGACCAGGAACAACAGCTGAAGACAAATTGTGTGCCAGGGAACTATCTTGCTTCTGTAACAAGCTCAGCATCTTTGGAGAATGACTAAATTTTTCCACGTGACTAGCATTAGAGTCCTCCAACTCTGTCAGCCCATTACTTCTTGCAAGCCCTAAAACTGTTGAGCCTTCAAGAATTTTAATTCCAATACCCTTCATTCCCCTTCCACCATTGTCATCATCTTCATTTTCATGTGGCCCATCCATATGCAAGCCACCTTCCTCGATGACTTCAATGGCTGCAGCAATATCCCTTGTTTCAGCATTTCTGGGCAAGGATGACTTGAAAGGTACCTTTGCTAAACTATCACAGTTGGACGTTACAATATCCATGATAGCAGCCACAAGCATGCTCCTGCCTTTCAAAGAATCACACATATCGAATGAACTACGTATTGAATGCTGTTCCCACAGAAATGCAATATATCAATGGCAAAAACACAACTTGGAATGAAAAATAAGAGCAAGAGAAAAAGCTTGAAGAACTCAGTGCCTAAACAAAAAAATGACAAAAATGAAAATAATGCAACAATGAATCTTTAAAAGTTAATGCAATAATTAATTTCTGTAGAGACTCACATGCCCATTGTGAGATTGACCTTTGATCCAAACTCTATGGATGGTTCTCAACCCAAATCAATACATGCCACACTAATTTTCATTCCCCCAGCCTTTCTTTCTTTTTCCTTTTTTTTTCTTTTTTCTTTTTTTTCTTGTTGTTGTTGTTGATAATCGGCTATCTTAAATGTAACAATGAAATGATTATCAAATGCACAGAGCTACAATTCTCGATTCTCCTCGACCCACCACCCTTGTTGGCAAACCTTATTTTACATATGGCAATAATGCGAATAATATGATTTTTACTAAAAAATTGGATATAGTTGAAATGAAATCACAAGTTGGCAATAATTGCAAATTTAATTGGTTCAAGAAAATCCATAATGCACAAAGCGCCATTCAATCATTTAAAAATGTGACTGGTACTAAGGCAAGAAATTTCCATAAAAACTGACCTTCTTTGGCTGGCAAGAAAATATAAAGCGTAACAAATAGGGCACAGCGTGAGGCCTGCCAAACACATCTGCAGACACATTAGGATCTGCAATCAAGTAAGCAAGCGCCCTCGCCGCCTCAGCCTGGGTGCCACACCGATCCCCACCAACTGTCACCGTCTCGAGCAACCAATCGACCACCTTCCCGTCGCCCGCCGCAACCAGCGCCGCTCTGCGGGTCCCATTAGCCGCTGCAATATCGGCCAACAAGGCCGCCACCCGCAACTCGAATCCCACCCTGACTTCGTGGTTGGCAGAAGAAAGCACAGACCTCAGCGACTGCCATAGCACCGATGCGGCAACGCCTGTTTGTTTGAAATGATAAAAAACTCTCCTAAAAGACTCATTCGATTTAGAAATCGCATGTTCAATGGCGGCATGCAGGGAATCAGAGTCATGACTGTGGTTAGGTTCTGCCGAATGTCGGTCAGTGGGAGAGAGGAGAGCGGCGGAAGCGATCACAGCGGATAAGACAGCGGCGGAGAGACCAAGTACAGAGTAACGAGAAAGAGAGCGAGAAGTGTTACCGGTTGTTGTTGCGGCGGTCAAAAGAGCGTTATGGGTTACAATTGACGGTTGGGAAGGGATATGATTGGGATTTATGAGATTGTTTGGGGTTTCAGCGGAATTCGTAGAAGAAGAAGAGAAGGAGCGGGGGAGAGGAAGGGGGAGGCGACGGTAGCGTCGGGGTCTTGAACGGAGGCGAAGCATAACTCTTCTATTTTTCCGTTGTTTACGAAAACGAATAGAATCTTTTTGTCTTAGTCGTTTCTTTTCATGGTCTTCTTCTGTGAAAGGATTTTTTTTGGAGGACAAGTAAAGTCGCTGGAAGAGAAGATGGCGGATGGCGGATGGCGGATGGCGGGACGCCGAATCGCGATTTGTACGCTGTATAAGAGGGAATTTTCCCATACAGGATGCGGATCTTTTCGACCGTGGACTATTAATCATGGGCTTAAAAGGCTTCGTCTAGCCAAGGCCCAAATTCTTAATTCATTCTCTCTTGACTCAAAGAAGCCTCCTTGGAGCCCAAATGGGAATAAAGGCCCAAATGAACTGTTACTTTGGAGTATAAAGTATGGTGCAGAATTCAAAGTATTGATACATATATTTTTTTTTACTGTTTAGATTCAAAATATTTAAATATAAGTTACTAGGTTTAAATATAACTAAATAACTTATTATTTAAAAAATAAGTCATAAATTAAAATATTGAATTTTTTTATATTATCTGATTGTTATTATTAAATATAAAAACATTTATATTTATTGGGTGAATTTAAAAATAATCTTCCCAACGACGCAACTCTAAAAAATAAAAGCAAAAAACAACTATCTAGTATCAAATTCAATTATTAAATATAAATTATTTATAATTTTAATAAATAAATACAAATTTTATTTATCCTATTATCAAAACATTTACAATACCTCAACATTTATAATATGACATCTGATCATCTTTTCAATATAATATTTTTTAATTAAGAGAATTAAATTATATAACTTAAATTTTTGACTTAAAATATCTTTTTTTTTTTTTTTTTCAAATTATATAACTTAAAATTTTTGGACCTTAAAAATAAATCTTTTTTTTTTTTTTTTGTAATACTAAACTAATGTTCTCAAAATGTATATATAATATATATCAAAAGATTGATACCGTGAGTTAATAGTAAAAGTCTCATAAGCTATAACATTTTGGTCTACAAAATTCATTTTATACTCGTTTAGAAAATAGAATGATTAGAATAATTTTCATTTAATATGTTTATATATATATATATATATAATAATAATAGAAGATTATGAAAAAGGAAAGAGGAAAACAAAAAAACAGGCGTCAATTTCTGGATGTTGAAGGGGAGTGAAGAAAGAGAAGACGATGTCGCCTTTCTTTTGCCTAAACTTCACCTAACAAATCGAAATACGGTATATATAGATAGATATAGATAGATATGAAAAAAAGAAAGAGGAAAACAAAAAAACAGGCGTCATTCTGGATGTTGAAGGGGAGTGAAGAAGAAGAACGATGTCGCTTCTTTGCCTAACTTCACCTAACAAATCGAAATACGGTATCTGTGTTTTACATGTTTCACGCATGTCGTCGCCTCTCACAATCATGGTTTTATTTTGTATTTTTGTGCTCAGAATGTCTTTTGTTTGTGTCGATTTACAGTTTGTTGCGTATTTTATTTGATATATTGTGCATTCATAGTTGTTATCACGCACGTAAGCTTCGTCAATGATCATGCATGAACAAGGGGAAAACGACGACGTCAACAATACATAGTCTAATACTTATATAATATAATTTACACATTATGAGCAAGAGTCAATTAGTTAAATCGTTTTCACTTTTCTTCTTAATATTATATGTATATATTATCTCCTCATTATCTAAAAATGATTTATGTATAAACTCTATTAATTAGGTCATTTACGGTTAGATTTACCTATGCAAAATGTATGAGTTCACTCATGAGTCAAATCAATGAAATTATAGATTTTTAAAAGTTTAATTGATGTATTTTTTAAAAGCATATTGAAATTATGATTCTTTTTTTTATTATTTTTTGTTTTTTATATCATGTATTGAAGTTATTTTAGAAGGATGAATTTTATCAAATTAAGCAAAATCTAGTAATTAAAAAAAAAAAAAAAAGAAGAAGCAAGCTTAACATGAAGTGCTTATTATTTGATTAGCCCTTGAATGCGGATGATGAACATTATATGAAGGAGAGCTAACAGATTCTTCAACTCCATCAATTTGGGTAATTGGTTTTATTCCAGTCTTTCATTTTGTAATATTTTATTACCTCATTATATTCTAACCTACAATTCACGTGCGGTAGTCTCACCTACTAGTATACTTTGCTGTTCTGTAAGAGGAACATATTCAAATGTCAAGCTTTCAAGTTTATCCCTCTCTCGATAAACCTTGCACTTCGATTTTATACAAGTTCAAAGAAAGTATACAACACCGGTCAAATTCAATAAAGATTCAAAATGCATCCATTGGCATGCTTAAAACATGGAATTGTAACTCATGAGTTGTACAAATCCATTGTACGCACATGAAATGAGAGTTCTATAAATACCCATGTTCCATACAAAACTTAAATCACAAATATAAGCTCTTGTCTAAGGCTCTACCTTGCTAGTTAAAGTTTTCCTCAAAGGATCTTATACATATATATAGATACTATCTTTTTGCAAGCTATAAATATCTTAGAGACAATATATAAGATCATAATAAAGGTCTTAAATACAGAAATATTAATTAGTCTGTAGTTTGATCACCAATTCCTGATGGAAGGAGCAAATGCAGCAGCCCTTCAACCTCCAACTTATGGAAACCTAATCACTGTTCTAAGCATTGATGGAGGTGGAATAAGAGGCATTATCCCCGGAACCATACTTAGCTTCCTAGAATCTCAACTTCAGGTATACCCCATGTATAAATTTTCAAGTTAGTCTCAAATACATTGCATTGAATGCTTTTGAAAGAGATGGAAATCCATTGTTAGGTTCCACTTATATTATAAAATAGACACTCGATTAGTATTAATTTGAATATTGTTTAATATATTTTTTCCTTGGGTGTGCATTATGCGGTGTCTCCATCTGCTAATCTATGTTCAAGTCAGGCTGGTATAATGGTGTTATTATTATATATTTTTCTAATTTGTTAATGATGATATTAATATGCGCTATTTTTTTCTTTGGTTTAGAAATTAGATGGTGAGGATGCAAGAATCGCAGACTACTTTGACGTCATTGCCGGAACAAGCACCGGCGGTCTAGTAACCGCCATGCTTGCTGCCCCAAATGAGAAGAATCGCCCCGTGTTTGCTGCCAAGGATATCAAGGACTTCTACCTTAATGAGTGTCCTAAGATCTTTCCACAACGCAGGTTAAAAATACATATTATTATTATTGTTATTATTATTATTATTTGTTTTAGGCTGGTCAATCATAATTAATTAACGTGCTCTTTGTTTGTAATTCTCAAACAAACAGTTGTGCATTATTTCCTCAAACGACAAAGGTGATAAAAGCAATATCTGGACCAAAATATGATGGGAAATATCTGCATCGTCTCGTTAAGGAAAAACTAGGCAACACCAGATTGAACCAGACATTAACTAATGTTGTAATTCCAACATTTGATATTAAAAGACTCCAGCCAACCATCTTTTCCAGCTACCAGGTTTATTTAATTACTTGAACTTGCATTAATTTATTAAACTCGTCAGATTAATTATTAACAAATTTTTTCAAATACTAATTTTTTTTCAGGTTAAAAACAAACCATGCTTGGATGCTCTACTGTCAGACATTTGCATTTCAACCTCTGCAGCACCAACTTATCTTCCGGCCCATTATTTCGAAACCAAAGACGAGAAGACAGGGAAAGTGAGAGAGTTCAATCTCATAGATGGTGGCGTTGCTGCAAATAATCCGGTATAACGGAGTTATTAATTTCTTATAACCAATGTCTGGTAAATGAACTTGTGTCTAATTATAACAATTAATTTACCCATGTGTCAGACTCTAGTTGCTGTAGGCGAAGTCACGAAGGAAATTACGAAGGGAAGCCAAGACTTCTTGGCTATAAAGCCAATGGATTATAGAAGATTTCTCGTCATATCATTAGGAACTGGGGCACCAAAAGCTGAAGAGAAATATCATGCCCATGACGCAGCAAAATGGGGTGTAATAGGTTGGTTAACAAGCAACGGCTCCACACCTTTAGTCGATGTTTTTACACATGCAAGTGCTGATATGGTAGATTTCCATATTTCTGTGGTTTTTCAAGCCCTTCGTTGTGAAAGTAATTATCTTCGGATTCAGGTATTATGCATCAGATTGATTATATTATCTTGAAAATAATAAATTCATAAAAAATTAATCGAAATATTTATAAAATACTTTGCAGGATGATACGTTGAGCAAGACAGTTTCATCTGTAGATGTAGCTACAAAAGAGAACTTGGATAATCTTGTGAAAGTTGGTGAAGGGCTGTTAAAGAAACCAGTTTCGAGGGTGAACTCGGAGACTGGAATATACGAGTCCCTTACTAAGGAGACTAATGAAGAGGCTCTTATAAGGTATATTTCTATGTTCATAGGCAGCTTTATGATCTCTATAGCTAACTATTATTGTTCGTAAAAATTAACATTGCATCTGAAAACTATCTTGTAGGTTTGCCAAACTGCTTTCTCAAGAGAGGCGGCTCCGCCATGCTAAGTCACCACATGGAAAAATGCCGAATCATAGTGACGATAGGATTTGATTTCTGATACTTGTATTTTTATTGTTTTATACTTTAAATGTACAAGTTAATTAAACGAAGGGCACAAATGCCCTTCACTTTAATTACGATTAATTAATTCTTTATTTGTTGTTAGTATTGAAGTTGAATAATTCCCACAATGGGATGAAAGTATTGTAATGTTTTTCTTTAAATTCTTAATTTGGGTATGTAAATTAAATAATCAATCCCACTCATGCAAGTGTTGTTAATTTGAATAATTATTTTATTACTAGTTTACTATTTATTTTATCTCTTACTCATAATATTTTTTTTTGCTTACCATATATATGAGTTAGCTCATCCTCTTTAATTCTCTCCCTCTTTCAAATTATGGTTAATAATATTTTGAGATGAGAAAGACTTATTAGCTATGATTTGTCTAATACCTTTAATCATGTATCAAATCAATAAAAAATAATTTTTTATTATAATGAGAGTATTTTTTATCATTTATTGAAAAAATATAAATAAAAATAATTTTTAAAAAATCTCTATTTCCCTTGGTTTATTTTTTTTAATTCGTTTAATTTATGTTTGAATTTATAAACCGAATTAAGACAAGAAGAATCCCTTAAAAAATACAACTATAATTTTCATAGGAAAAATTACCATTGATAGCCCTAGCAAGTACTAGCTAAGTCTTTGGATGCAAGAACAATTGGCGTCCAATCCAAGTTGTCTTCACGTTCAACTAATTTTCAATGCAAATAAGGAAACGGTCAAATAATATTTTCCAACAAAAAAGTGATTAATCATTACTAAATGTATGTATTAATTAGGTTAAAATATTTTAACAACTAGGTATATGTTATCTTCTTACAGAGTTGATCATTGGAACTATATTTTTGTGGTTTCATCACAAAATGACAATGATGGCATTGCCAAAGGGTTTGTAGACTTTTCCATATATGACAAATTCCAAAATAATACTATATGACATGAAAATGAAATATATATGGAAGCATTATGTGAGCATTTTGGACCCAAAAGTGGGGTACAATAGATATAACCAAAAATGAAAATCATACCTGAATTGACATATTATTTGACAACTTGAAAAATAAAAATCGGTAGCTTTACTGTGCCAACCATAGTTCTTTAATTAATTTAATTAAGACGTAATTAATTTTCCAATAAAAAGTCAGACCTAGATAGTGATTAGTACCTACCAAAAGTTCTACACGTACCATGTTTTTTGCTTTCTTATTGGTTTCATTTTAAGTTATTAGGATTTTTTTTGTATATATAATCTGATTCATATCCGGTTCTTAGAATTGATTAACGGATTGACGTATACGTAATTCTTATTCTCTGTCATGGATCCATATAAATGCCCCCTCTATAAAGATTAGGCAAATCTCTAATACATATGAGGATTATAATCTATGAGCATTTACGAGCTTAAGACCAAGCAGTAGTTAATTAATTGCACATTATTTAAAATTTTCCTTTTTCTTTTTAAAATTTATCTATTATTTATAATATGTCCTTAAATGAATTTTGTAAATTTTTTAAATTTTATGGATAGTATATATTATTTTCATTCTCATCCAATAAGGTGAATCAAACAATGATTCAAAAAGGTCAGGAAGAAATTAGCAAAGTAAACAAAAGGAACTCTAATGATATTTAATTCTTGGACCATGCACTGCATATGGATAGAAGGAATCAAGTAAATAGTAAATATCTATATGTTGATATGGACTTCACATTATTAATTAAGTAATTAATAATTTGAAGACGGGAAGTCATGATGCCTCGTTTATGTGCAGTTGCAACGCATCATTGCTGCGTGGGGCCGTCGTCGGCGACTTTGCTGACAACGACGACTCAGTTTCATGTTTGAACAAAATTCAGCGCAGGTCCAAATCACAAAAGCACGAGTCATTAAAATTTATAAATGTCCCAGAAAAGTTTTAATTTGAATCAAATGGTATCAGAGTAACTTTCAAATTTAAACCTATTTCCTAATATAATACAAAAATATATTTCAATTCAATTCCAAAAATTTAAGAATTATCTTCAACTGAATCAAATCACTTGGACCAGTGAAGCCATTAACAAATTGTCCAATCTAGTTTTAAAAAATTAAGTGCTTGTAGTGGTAAGAGAAACCATTTTGCTAACGAGTTAACATTCACCCTTGGTTTCCTATGAATGTTTACTTCTCTTTTGTCGGCATGCTTTAAGCTGGACAGCCTTTTTTTTTTTTATGTCCAATTAGCGAGCAAATTGATTAACAATTTATATATAGGATTATGTGGAATCCATGTTTATTTAATTTAATTATATCCATTAAAAATAATAATTATTATATATCCATATGCATGATCAACATATGCATATATGTTAGCGCCGGCATAACGAATTGATCATAGATAAATTCCTAATTATAAGTATAGCTTTGGAATTTCAACACGTTATTGTGCTAATTGATATTTTGACGTTATCATTCTTATTTATTCTAGTTTAAGACATCGTCACCGTTGTTGTTAATAGAAATGTTCATTTTTCTTATCAATTAGGAGTAAATTTCATTGGAGAACACTCTCTAAACATGTAATCGCATAACTTCGTCGCAATTATAAATTAAAAAATTAAAATAATGTGCAAGGCAATTTTAAATCTTTTAGATGCATTACAAGACATTTCTCATTACATTAATCATTCAATTAATGATATGGATAAACATGGTGCTAAAAGAGAATAATTAGTGCGTTATAATAATTAGTCCTTGACCTTATTTTCCCACCTAAAAATCACATGGGATTCTCACCTACAATTCTTCATATAGTTGAATCACGCGTTTGGATTCTTGACTTATGTTTAATGGATAACATTTGCAGCCGGACAGAAAAATATTCAAGAAACTAATGAAAGTACATTCAAATTTGGTTTCATGCACTTCTTTAATTTACTGTTAATTCTATATTTTTATTGCTCTTTCTCACTTGTTAAAAAGAAAAAAAAAAAAAAAAAAAAAAAAAATATAGTTGAATTCACGCGTTTGGCTTCAATTGACTTATGTTAATAATGAAGATAAAACATTTGCAAGCCGTGAACAGAAAAAATAATTCAAAGAAAACTAATGAAAGTAAACATTTCAAATTTGGTTTCATGCAACTTCTATTAATATACATGTTAATTCTATATTTTTTATTGAACTACTTTCCCTCCTTGTTTAAAAAGAAAAAAAAAAAAAAAAAAAAAAAAAAAAAAAAAAAAAAAAAAAGAGTACGTAGACTCAAATTTGGTTTCTTGTGTCCTCGGAAATTCAAGAATTAACGCAAGAGCCTATAAATAACCTGTATCTATATATATATGCAAGCATGGTTTCATCATATATATTACAAGATCTTATACATAAAAAAACTCCTCATCTCTTACTTAATTTCTTTTAATTTCCTTGATTAATTTCTCATGGAAGGACCACATTCACCATTGCAGCCTCCAACATGTGGAAACCTAGTCACTGTTCTTAGCATTGATGGAGGTGGAATTAAAGGGCTTGTCCCTGGAACTGACTAACATGTTTTTATATGTAATTAATCTGTAATAATCGTGTTATCATCTTTAATTTTATGATTTTCCTTTTTTCTAAAAAAAAAAAAAAAAAAAAAAAAAAAAAAAAAAAAAAAAAAAAAAAAAAATGGATCCTTTTTTCTAAAAAAAAAAAAAAAAAAAAAAAAAAAAAAAAAAAAAAAAAAAAAAAAAGAACAGTGTGTCCCATACTCAAAATTTTCATAAGGTATGCGACAAATTTGATCAAAGGTTAACTGGACCAAAAAGTACGATGGACACAAAAAAAAAAAAAAAAAAAAAAAAAAAAAAAAAAAAAAAAAAAAAAAAAAGACAGTTGTCCATTATTTTGGTAAGCGACAAAGTTGATCAAAGGGTTAACTGGACCAAAGTACGATGGGAAATATCTGCATGGGCTTGTTAAGGAAAAACTAGGAAAGACAAGATTGCATCAGACACTGACAAACATTGTTATCCCAACATTCGTCATCAAACGGTTGCGGCCAACAATATTTTCCAGTTATGAGGTCAGAATCAGCTATTACATATAATAGTTATTACTTTTAATTTCTACGTTAATTATTGACTTAATCAATCTCTTTTTTTCTTAATCATTATGTGGATTAGGTAAAGAATAAGAAGCCTTGTATGAATGGTCTACTTTCAGATATATGTATTGCAACGTCAGCAGCACCAACTTATCTTCCAGCTCATTATTTTGAGATCAAAGATGAAAAAACAGGAGAAACTAGAGAATTCAACCTTATAGATGGCGGCGTCGCTGCAAATAATCCGGTACTTAATTAATTAATTATAGTTTAATCATAATTATTTTATTTTAAAATCTGGTGAAATTTATTGCATCAGGCTTTAGTTGCTATTGGTGAAGTTACAAAGGAGATGATTAAGGGAAATCCCGACTTCTTTCCGTTAAAACCATTGGATTACAGACGGTTTTTGGTTATATCATTAGCAACCGGGTCACCCAAATCGGAGAAGAAATATAATGCAATTAAGGCAGCAAAATGGGGTTTGTTGGGTTGGTTAACCAGCAATGGCTCGATTCCGTTAGTCGATGTTTTCACTCAAGCAAGTGCAGATATGGTTGATTTTCACCTTTCTGTAGTGTTTCAAGCCCTGCACTCAGAAGAGCACTACCTTCGAATTCAGGTTTTTATTAGGTTTTGATTGATGCTAATATTATATAATTTATAATATATAGTATATGGATGTTGATAATGCCTTGTAAATTAAACTTAATGCATTCATTTATCTTCAACCTATTAATCATATATCACTTATCACCTTACATACTTAAATTACAAATGAACATTATTTATTCCATAGAAGGATTTTTTTTTTTAAACCACCCCTTTAGCAGCAATCACTAAATCACATCTTTCAAGAACAACTATACAAATTTTAATCATTAAATGACTTGACTTTAATCTAGCTGCGAATAACGTTTAAGAGGAAAGCAAGGAAGACTATGTTAAGACGTGACAGGAATTACTCCGCAGTTATATCTAGAATTATGAACCTAAGCTCTAATACCACCTTTGTCACGACCCGTTTCCATGGGCCGGACCGGCACTATATATCAACAATTTGTCGTATTTATTTTCGCTATTGTGTAGTT